TTTTTTAAAATAGAAAATAATCTAAATACTTTTATTTATATTATAATTGAATTTATTTTTATTAAATTCAAAATAAATCTCAAATTGAAATATAAATATTTCTAATCTTTATTAATTATTTGCAAATTTGTTAAATAGAACAATTTTGAGAATTTTAATAATAATAATCTTCTTAAAATCCTTTTCTTTTTTTATAATAATATCTTTATTTTGATTTATAATCAAATTGTTGAATTAAAAGATTTAAAGTAATAATAATACTGAAAAAGTTATAAAGAATGTAATCTAGATTATAAAGAAATAATCTAAATCTTTGAATAATTTATAATTAAATGTCAAATAAAAATTTAAAATAATATTAATAATTATAATTTATAATTAATAATAAAGCATATTAAATGATTGATTTTGGATACAAAATTTTACAAAAAGAATCCTTTTCTAATTACATAATTCTTTATATTCTATCTATATCTTATTATTTCTATTACTTCTTTTCAAATAAGATCGATAAGATAAATAGAAATCTTTTCTATTATTTCTATTGAATTAATTCAAATAGAATTGACAAAAATAGAATCATATAATTCTATTGTTGTTATTGTAATGGATCTAATAATAATAACTTTTATACTTATTAGATCTTTTTACCATCTTAATCCTATACTAAATTAGTCAAATCGTATCTTGTAAATATAAGAACGGTTATTGTAGGATTTGTGATTCTAACAATATTGATCTTAATAATAAATAATAATAAAAATAAAATATTTATATTAATTAATAATTCAATTAAATAAAAGTGGAAATAAATTTTTAATATTTATATAATCTAATTTATTTATTAAGTTTCTTTGTTTTATAGATTGATTTTATATTTTTTATATTTATATATATTTTTTGTTTTTTGAAAATAATGTAAAAATTTAATTTATATTTGTTTGTATATTTTTTATATAATATAATTGATTATTTAATAAATGTTTAAAATTGATTTAGAATATATTTTATTTTATTAATTGTTTTTTTTTTAAAGAATTTATATTTTTATATTATTGTTATATTCGACTAGTAAAATTTATTAGATTTAATATCTAAGTATAAATCAAAATTAAGATTTACAAAAAATAAAAAATAATTAATAATTTTATAAATTAACTTATAATATTAATTATTATTATTATTATTTATACATAAAAATTTTTTTTTTTCAATTATCAAAAACAAGCCGAAATTCTGCCTGCACTCTAATATATATATCCAATATTTAAATTTATTATAAACTTTTTAAAACTTCAATTTTTATTAGAATTTCTTGAAAAGTCAGGGGTCTGGGGGGCGCAGGCCCCTGGTTTTAAAAGATCAATATATATATCTTTTTAATATTTATATATTCTTTAAATATCATTTGAAATATTTCAAACAAATCAAAATTATTATGTTATCAAAATTTGATAAAAACAAAATCTAAATAAAGAATTACTAATTAATTAATTTTATTTGATATTATCAAAACCTTTTAAAAGATAATATTTTATAAATATTATAATTGATAAAAAACAAAAACTTTTTATTTATATATAAAATAAATATAAAATCTAATTAAAATATTATCATTATTTTTAAATTTATTATAAAACAAATATATGTAATATAAAAATCCTTTCCAGATTATATAACTAATTTTCTAAATGGCAATATAATAAAAATATTTGATAATATTTTAAAGATTAAAAACCTTTTAAAATAATTTACAAGATTTAAAGAAAACTTTTTAAGAGATAAATCTAATAATATTCAAATCGATAATTATATAAATCTATAATAATTTATATATAATAATATATTATAAACATTATTATTGAATCTTATATTATTTCTTTTTTACAATAACAAATTCATCAATATATATTTTATAATCAATTTTTAGATTAATATTATTAGATTTATAAATAATATTAATATTCTAATCTAAAAAAATTATAATTGAAATTTATTATATCTTTAATAATATTTATAAAAAGTATTAAATATAAATAAAGAAATATAATATTATATTTATTTTTAAAAAATATTAATTATTACATTTAATCAAATAATCAAAATAATATAATATAATAATAATTATATAATTCGGAAATATTATAGTAGATCCTAAGGCAAATATAAAATTATTTAGATTACAAATTGATAAAAAAATAAAATATCAAAAGAATCGAATATTGATTTTAATATATATCATTATTTTTATTTAAAATATATCTTTTTATAATTTTAAATAAATTTATAAAATTATAATTATATCGATTATTATATATGTGTTTCATATTATCAAAATATAACAATTCTATTAATATTTAAATTACAAAAACAATAAAATAAATATTTTTATATAACAAATAAGATATATAAAATTATCTTTATTATAATTTTAGAAACAAAAACAATATATAAATTATTGAAATTATATATAAAAGAATTTCTAATAATAATATAATATAGATTTTAAATATTGATCAGAAGTATATATAATAAAATTAAAAAGAATATAAAAAAAAAGAGTAGAAATATTTATATCTTTTCATAATATTCCTAAATTCATTCAAATATCAATAAATATTAAATCAATTACAATTAATGATTATAACAAATAATTAAGATATACAACAATTATCATATACAAGATAAAATTGAATTATTTATCATTTAAATATAATCAAATTGTTTAAAATAAAGATTATAAAGAAATAAAAAAAACAATTTATATAATCTATAATTTCAGATTATTTATAAAATTTCGATATACAATAATATAATAAAAAAGATTAATTCAATAATAATAAAAATACAAATCAAAAAGATAGAACTATATACCTTTTTTGTTATATAAAAATTTCTAATATAAATCAGATTATAATAAATTATATTCTATTTTATTATTTTACATTCAATAAAAAAAATAAGAATTATAAAAAAATTTCAAAAATGATTTAATATAAAATCGATTTTTATTATAATATAATTTATCAAAATAAAAGTATTATTAGAAATCTTTAATAAATATTAAATAATGAAAAAAGGCTATATAAAAAATGAAGAAATCCTTATTCAAAAACCTACCAAAAAAATCATTATTATAAACAGAAATCTCTTATATATCATCAAAAAAAGAAACTATCATTTTAATTATCTCATCAAAAATCATCCATCTCATTTATAAAATTTTAGTAAAGATATTAAAATAATATATAAAATAAAAAAGAATTGATTTATAATAACTTTATAAAAGTCTAAAAAGATAACAAAATTAAATATAATCTATCGAATTCAGATCATCTTTTTAGTTATCATATTTTTTTTATATATTCTTTTTATAATAATTATAATAACTTTATTAATAATAATATAAAGATTTATGTACTTTATAAATATCTCATTAAAAAATAGAAAATTATTAATTTTATTATTAAGTATTTTTTCATAATTTGGAATATCAAAAATAATAATAAAACTATCGAAATTCTATACAAGATCGAAATTATAAACAAGATCAATTATAACTACATTATATTTATTAATTATTTAAAGTATTATTTAGATTTATTTTATATAGTTATGAAAATCTAAATAATAGATCAATATAATAATTTAAAACAATATAGAAAAAGGATTTTTATATTGCAATACGAAATTTTGTTATAATAATAATAAAGATATTTATTATATATATATATATATATTGATTAATTAGGCTTTATAATAAGATTATATAAATATTTGATATAATAATTATAAGTAAATATTATAATAGATTAAAAGTAAGGATATATTTGAATATAAATGTTTCCTTATTTGGGATTTATAATGAATAAATATAAATTACCAGGAGCCTGCGCCCCCCGGACCCATGGCTTTTCGAGAAAGTCTAATGAAAAATTCAAATATTAAATATATATCAGGGTGCAAGTAGAATATCGATTTGTTTTTGATAATCGAAAAATAAAAATTTTCCATTTAAAATAATAATTATAATATTTTATTGTCGGCTTGCCGACACCAAAACCTTGCTGTACACATAGTGTACTACAATTTACCTAGTATAGATTATAGAAAATGAGAAACTTATTTAAATAAGTCGCAATCATGATAATCTGATTAGTCTAAAATACCCCGATAATTAAATCTAACAAAAAGCTTGATATAAGTAAGCCTTACAACCTCAGGCAAATCTGACTTAGAGCTTTTTTCAATTTAACTCAATTCACAATTCAATTGAAATCATTTACCCCTATTGAAATCATTCAACTCTACTAGAATCATTCAACTCTACTGAAATCATTCAACTCGACTTTATTAAAATCATTCAACTCTGAAATCATTCAATTCATCTCTATTCATTCAATTCAACTTATTCAACTTATAATAATAATAATAATAAATAATTGTTGATATCACTTCAGTGATACTAATGTATTATCTTTTTATATTTGTTTATAGATGATTATTATCTATTAATAAAAAAAATCCTATTTATATTGAAAGGAGTACAGGTTAGAATACACTAGTTATACAGCTCCCTTTATATACGGCCTCCCTTTCGAGGTTGATCACATGATATACCGACACAATAATTAAATCTTCAATATCTATACTATCACAATTATAAATTCGTGATACGAATATTTTATTTTTGATGTTAAAAACTAATTTAAAAAAAAGATAATTTAAAAATAAGATTTAGATTTAATTAATATTTTATTAATATTAATATTAATATTAAAACAATTAAATTATATTTAATAAAATTATATAAAAAATAAAATTTAAAATAATAAAGATTTAAAAAATAATGAATTTATAAATTTAAAAAACTTTTATTAAATATTTATTATCAAATATTGTTCTCTTTATTATATTTTACTTCTTAGTGTTTGTGGTCACTCGTCATGTGATTAACAATCAGAGTGGAGATATCACCAAATGCAAAATAAATTGCAACTTAAAACTCATGGATATTCCTAGGACCACCGATGACATCCGTGAAACCCATCAAAGAGAAGCCAGCAGGCAAGTCTCTTTTCTCAACATCTGCCGCCGGAGCTTCCCTCTTAATTGCATTGCAAGCTGGGTCTCGAGGGCTGACGTTTATCGTCAACCAAGTACTTCTCCGGTATCTCTCACCCGAGCTGCTTGCCGTGTCAACACAACTTGAAGTTTACTCCATCACCGTACTGTTCTTCTCCAGAGAGAGTCTACGCGTCGCAATACAGCGTCAGGCGGACGTAACTGATGATGATTCCAAGGCCAAACAAGATGGGAATCTCTCCAGAAAGGACATATATTTGGACAGCAGAACGACTGCTGGCAAAAGTCAAGCAATTGTGAATTTGTCATATATCTCTATTCTCCTTGGACTGGTATCTACTGTGATATTTGGTTGGATCTATGCTAATGCCAGGCAAACTGGCGTGGTTGAAACACCATATTTTGGACAATCTTTGAGACTCTACGGTGTGGCAGCGATTCTAGAATTGTTGGCTGAGCCATGCTTCGTAGTGGTTCAGCAGAAATCAGCTTTCAAAATTCGAGCTATTGCCGAGTCGATTGCAACTGTACTAAGATGCGTTGTCACTTGTGCTGTTGCAGTTTGGGCTGCGCATCATCAAAGGGATTTGGGAGTAGTGCCGTTTGCAATTGGTCAGGGAGTATATGCTATTTCGATACTACTGGCATATTTCTTGGCTGTGTGGAACATTGCGTCGCGAGGAGGGTTTTCGTTGAGGCTCAAGCCTATCTACAGGTACTCTAGCTATGATGGTATAATTAATTCATGATGCTAACTAATGGTAGCAAAAATAAGCAATATATCTACTCTTACTTTTCCAAACCACTATTGTCTTTAGGAGGGAGTTTGATGATACAGTCAATGGTGAAACATGTCTTGACGCAAGGCGATACGTTTCTTATAGCGTCCATGGCCACTCAAACAGCCCAAGGCATCTATGCACTAGCCAGCAATTATGGAGGCCTCGTTGCTCGTCTAGTCTTACAGCCAATCGAGGAAATGTCCAGAAACTACTTTGGCAAGCTTCTTTCTGTCGTCGATGGCAAGACAACCAAGCAAGCCACCAAGAAAGCTAGTGTAGATCTGCAAAGGCTACTACGAATATATCTTATCCTGTCAGTTGCCGTGGTTTCCGTGGGTCCCGTCATCGCTCCTCTACTTTTGAACTTCATTGCTGGCCCACGATGGCAGTCGTCTGGAGCTGGCAATGTCCTTGCAGTGTATTGTTACTATATACCACTACTTGCGCTGAACGGAGTGTGCGAAGCATTTGTAGCCGTTGTTGCTACTGAAGCTGAAGTCTACGGGCAATCTTTATGGATGGCTGCTTTTTCTGCCGGCTTTGGCGGTGCTGCTTATCTGTTCTTAGGAGTCTTAGGTCTTGGAGCCGAGGGCCTTGTACTTGCAAATATGGCTAACATGCTCCTACGAATCACATGGTGTGGTCATTTTATTTTGGCGTACTGCGGAAGCCATGGTGCTGAGTTCAAGGTTATGGGTTTGTTACCACGGCCTAGCACGATATCGCTTGGGGTTGTTACATATGCCGCACTTGCTCAGATGAGAACGTCATTCACAGGTGCTTTAGTGGATATAATCAAATGTGGTTTAGTGGCAATGATTTTTGTGATTCTCCTGTAAGTTCTCAGCTGCGGTGCCGATCTACAGACTACTAACCGTTACGCCACAACAGAGCCACGAGTGAGAAGGAACATCTTCTCGAATGTTACCGTACGATTAAAGGTTGAATCTATACTCTTCAAGCGAACAATTATCCTAGCTTGTTGCATCTTAATCAAATGTTATTTTCGTTGCTTTTTTGGTGGTGTCAACATTCTTGAAAAATGCACCGTACGCGTCGTGAGCCTTCTTCTTTACCGTAGTCCCGAATTTCAATAATTCGTCAGGAACTGGCTGATTAGCTGCCTTGAGGACGTTGATTAAACTATGCCGTTTGTTAGTGCCTAGCCGATTCGAGATTGTGGAATTTATACTAACGCGCCAGACTGAGCCTTGTCATGCTCAGTGAATAATGTAATCGCCAATCCATCTTTGCCAGCTCTACCAGTTCGACCGATGCGGTGCACATAATCTTCCACGGTAAGAGGGAATGTGCAGTTGATGACTAGCTTGACAGCAGGGATATCTAGACCTCGAGCTGCGACATCTGTGGCCACCAGAACTGGAGTATTACCACTCTTGAAAGCCTCCAAACTTCTTGTCCTTTGTTCCTGACTCAAATCACCATGGATTCCAGCAACTCGGAACCCCTTCTGTCTGATGAAACCCTCCACTCTTGTCGCTTCCTTCTTGTACAAACAAAAGACCAGGATCCGATCATCCTTTTGACTACCGCTTTGATATTGCTTCAGCAGTTGCATGAGTCTGTATTCCTTGTCCCTTGGTTCCACAACCTCAACCTTCTGCACGATGCGGGAGTTAGCCCGAAGATCCCCCGTAGGATTGTCGCCAATGGCGATTTTGACAGGGCTGGTCATGAAGGTGGAAGCCAACTCGCGAACAGACTCGGGCCAAGTAGCCGTGAACATGAGCGTCTGTCGTTTTCCAAGAGAAGGTGTGGTATTGATAATCTTCCTAATTTCTTCCTCAAAACCTTTATCCAGCATACGATCAGCTTCATCAAGAACGACATATCTAGCCTTGCTCAAGTCTGCACATCCTTGATTGATAAGATCGTTGAGACGACCGGGGGTGGCAACAACGATGTCCGCAGTTTTCAATGCTCTTATCTGTTCGTCCTTAGGAACACCTCCATATACGCAGACACATTCAAGCCCAGACGCCTTTGCAAGTTTCACGATCTGCTCATAACTCTGCATTGCTAATTCTCGAGTCGGCGATACGACAACAGCCCTGGGACCTTTGTTCTTTTGATTTCTTGATAAAGATGAAATGTAACGTACACAAGGCACGGCGAATGCCATTGTTTTGCCCGAACCCGTCTCAGCAACACCAATTACATCGCGGCCAGCCAGCAAAAATGGCCATGCCGCAGCTTGAATAGGAGTCGGAGCCTTGAAGTCCTTAAATGGAGCTCGTTGGGCAGGGTCGGTGATCGGTAAGTAGTTGAACTTTATCAGGGGTCTTAGAGTAGCGGAGGCAGATAATGGATCGGTGATGGTGATGAAGTTTGTGGTCAGGAAGGAGTCAATTTCGGTTTGTGGCAAGCCACTCAGATTGTAATCTTCTGTATATGTTGTCCCGTTTTGCTGCGGAGCAGCACTTATGGGAGATGCAGAATCAGTAGATTCGGGAATGTCGACTTTCTCTTGCTTTCCTTCCTTCTTCAATGCCTTCAATCGCGCCTTTTCGGCTTTTTTAGCAGCTTTAATACCTGCAGCAGCATCGGCATCTGACGTCGGCTCAATGGTATTGTCTTCAGGTAATTGTTCCTCCTCTGCCTCTTGAGCTCTTTTCGCCTTCTTGAGTCTTTTTTTTTCCTTACGAGCCTCCTTTGACTCTACCTCAACATCAATCGAGGTGGAGTCTGTGGCTGGCCCTTCGGCATCTTTAGATTTCTTTTCTCGCTTTTCTTTGCGACTTTTCTTGGAGGAGACCTTGATGTCATTATCTCCAGGATTCAATTCTGTATCCTCCAGTGTACGTTTCGGCATGATTAAGAATTGAGATTATGGTTGCTATACGCAGTCAAGAGTCGAACAGACACTTCCGACAAAAAAAAATTATTTACCTAGTTCCTCGCAAATGATAAGATAAAGGCAATCAGACCGCTTTTGGACCCACTTAAACTTTTCAAGCCCCCGTCTCTTGATGTTGAATACCATGGGTAAATATTCCATTTCATGAAAGTTTCGTATCATTTGTAATGGCATCGAGTATTCCCAGAATATTGGTACATAAGTCTTTTTCCCTGCACCGTTTCAATTATTTCAATACCTAATTTCCGTTCTCCGCAATGCCTTTTATCATTTGTAGAACAGAAAGGTACATAAAACCCCTGACCCCATCTCGGTCTGCAATCCTTTCTTCCTTAAGCCCATTCCGCCATCCAGTGTTACCATGATTCTGTTAAACTTATCTATCATTTGTGGTTGTAGGGTAATGAGTTTCGTCCTGCCTAGTATTTATTTCAAAATGAATCTACATCTACCATGATTCTTCGTGGACATTGTGAGCACTTTTGTTGCGCTACAATGATAATACAAATGTCGTCTAATGCTCTACAGAGGACGAGCATGGCACAGTACGTATCAAAAACCTGCCCAATCACTTTGAAAAATTGGCGGAAGTTGCTGATCATACATAAGCTTTGGTATCTTATGGCTCATTTCAACTTGATTGATGTACCTAAGGTATGCTGCGAGATTGGAGAGAACTAAACTCCCATAAACGATTTGGTAAATGCCCATCTGCATAGAACCCAAACGAGTGTCATGTGGACCAGTCTCCTCGGCCCTTCTTATCCTCAGCGTCTCCAATATCCTGGACATCCTATCACTGATCCATGCTTTTACCGTATCAAACAACTGCACCTTCCCAATCATAATACACGCGGAAAAGAAACACTTCCATATCCCAAATGTGCTTATTCTCAAAACTTTAGACAGTTGCAGTCTGAGACTGTGCGGTTTCCATCACTGTCTCTGCATCAATCTTTGGCATGGATGCACCAGTACCTCCGAGGTTGGTAGATTGTGATTTGGGGTTCTTGGTGTAGTAATTCGAAATGGCAGATTTAATGGCATCTTCAGCAAGCATAGAGCAGTGGACTGGATGAGTGTTAGCATGTAAAACTGGGTAGATATTCTTTGCGTAGACTTACGCTTCACCGGCGGAAGGCATAGCTCCTTTGCAATTTCTGTATTTCTCACTCGACCGGCCTCCTCAAGTGTCATTCCTCGAACCAGTTCCGTCAAGTATGAAGAAGAGGCGATGGCCGAACCACAACCAAATGTCTTAAATTTCACATCGGAAATAGTATTCGTATTTGGATCCACCCTAATTTGCAACTTCATAACATCACCACATGCAGGTGCGCCGACCAACCCAGTTCCTACATCAGTATCTGTCTTTGACATACTGCCAACATTTCGCGGCCGCGAATAATGATCGAGGACTTTTTCATGATATGATCTGCGGCCAGCAATGAAGGACGGTGATGCAAGTTGAGCAGATAGAGGTCCGGTGGCGGAGTGATTGCTCGCCGATAATACTCTACCGGCAACGCGAGGTGCATTTAACAAAGCTCTACGAAACATTTTTGTGGTGTGTGATGAGTGGCGATTGAAAGGTTGACGAAAGATAAGTTGTAAGAATTGAAGTTGATGATATAAATGATGTATGGATGAAGGTGAAATGAGGAATTTGATGAGATTCGAAGGTATTAATTGTGTTGTATGGTTTTACTATTGTGTATCGTTGGTAGGTTGTGATTTGTTTCGTCGTATAAATTTGGGGTAGATCTGATAATAAATCAACGGGGAATTTTGATTCATGAAATGAAGAAATAAGTGGAAGTTGGAGAAGCATGGACTAACTATGAGCGGAATTCACGGAGCTCGGTGTGTAAAGAATGGCTTAATGAGTTTAGCTTATGCTTCCAACTACCGATATCAAGCCTATCACAATAGCTTCTATGTCATAAAAACGAAATGTTAGGTGAGATCGAACCAATCATGAATTATAATAATCGAAAAGACCGATCGATACGGAGATAAAGATAAATGATGTCAATTACCCAATCACACTTGTAATCTTGGTGCGGAAACCGGACCAAGCGATTTTTTCTGGAATATACCTAGTAACAAGTAATTACTGGTGGCGAAACTGTAGGATGGGCTTCCAATAAAGGCTGTAGAATGTTACATTACACATTACTGTGGTGCACAATTGAGCCCACACCAGTGAGGGCCTCGTGACATCGCGATCTTTTTAACCCCTCAAATTGTTTCGAAGCACGAAAGCTTACCCAGTATAGTATCTACGCGTTGAACCTAGTCCCAAAGTGCTATTACTTTCACCCACCCCACCAAGCTAACGGAACATCCCGCATTCCCGCTTTCCTATTTTGAACTCAACCTACCTAGGTACTTACTATTTTACCAAGTAGCTAGTCCCTACTAGTATTTACCAGCTTCCTGGTTTATCCATATCAACATCAACCTCTATCTCTCAGACATAACTACCTATCACTCTAGTAGGTACCTACCTATCTAGTTATTACTCATATAAACATTTAAATAACTACATTCTGACAGAAAAATGTCCTGCAAGCATGCCGACGCAGCTGGTAAGTTTCTCCTCAAAACAGGAGTTCAACATACTACCACACCATCTACTATTCGAAACTGACTTATCCTGTTCTTCAGAGCTGCATCCGCCAGGACCCAGCCAAGCTGTCTACCGCGAAGATTGTACACAATGCTTTGACTCCATAGTAAGTATTATGTGCGAAAAGCAACTCCCTTTCATCTTGCAATACTCCTAGCAAACAGGAGCTCTGACTTCTTTTCTGTTCAGGATGATTCCACTGGCTTGGATGTTTGCCTGTTCTGCTTCAACGGCGGTTGTACTGGTGATAGGAACCACTCCCAACTCCATAAGACCATCAAAAACCATCCTCTGGTTCTCAATATTCGAAGAACAAGACGTCATGTGGTTCGAGATGAACCCCCTCAAAAGATGTCCAAATTAGCCATCGCAGCAGAAACCGAAGCCGATCGATACGATTACCATACAAAGGTTCGTTGTTATGAATGCGTGGTTGACGATATCGATAAATCCTCCGGTAGACTATCTGCGGTGGTGGATGGTGTAATGAAAGCAAATACATTTTCAAGACAGGAGGAAGTAAAGGCCTGGGAGCAAGAGTTTACATCTTGCGAACATATCCTTACCTTAAAACAAGAAAGCGCACGTCAAATACAGTCTCAAGATTTAGGCCACTGTTCTCTTTGCGATCTGAAAGAGAACCTGTGGCTCTGCCTGCAATGCGGTAATCTGGGATGCGGACGAGCGCAATTTGGTGGACTTAAGGGTCATTCTCATGGTTTGGAGCATAAAAATCGAACCAGTCATGCTGTCGCGGTTAAACTGGGATCAATCACTTCCGATGGTACGGCAGATGTGTACTGCTATGCATGCGACGAGGAACGAATCGATCAAGATCTTGGTAAACATCTTGCTCATTGGGGAATTATGCTCGCTGAACGAAAGAAGACTGAAAAAAGTTTGATGGAGATGCAGGTTGATGAAAACTTACGCTGGGAGTTTTCCATGATTGACGAACAAGGGCACGAATTGACGAAGTTGTTCGGGGAAGGATTTACAGGGTTGAAAAATTTAGGCAACAGCTGCTACTTGGCAAGCACTCTCCAGTGCCTTTTCGATTTACCTCAATTCCAAAAGCGTTATTATTCTCCAAATACAGATCTACCTATTGTTGAAGATCCGGCACAAGACTTGGAGACGCAGTTGCGCAAGTTGGCAGACGGTCTAATATCTGGCAGATATTCCTTTCCAGATCCCGCTACCAATCAATCAAAATCAAGCGGTGTTGCAGATCAGAAGGGGCTGGCACCTTCAATGTTGAAATATTTAGCTGGCAGAGGTCATTCCGAATTCTCAACCATGCGTCAGCAGGATGCTTTTGAGTTTCTCCTCCATGTTTTTAAACTAGTCACACGTTCTCAGCACACAGCTCCGCTTGAGGATCCCACACGAGCCTTTCGCTTCGTCATGGAGCAGCGCTTGCAATGCTTAGGCTGCAAAAAGGTGAGATATCGCACGGACGAGCAAGATAACGTATCTATCCCCGTGCCACTCAGAAAATTGAAATTAGCCGCTAGCACAGACGGCGAGCTGGTGGACGAGTATGAAGCTGTTACCTTGAAGGAATGTCTAGACAGTTTTACGTCTGAAGAGATCGTGGAACTTACCTGTTCGGCATGTGGTAGTAAGGATGGATTCTCCAAGCGATCGCTCTTTAAAACATTCCCAGAAGTTCTCGCTGTGAATGCTAGAAGATTTGTTCTCATCAACTGGGTGCCTACGAAGGTCAACGTCCCTGTCGTCATTGGAGATGACAAGTTCCTCTTAGATGATTATCAGTCACATGGTTTGCAACTTACAGAAACGCTTCTTCCCGACACCGATGAGACAAGTCAACCTTCATTCTCTGCGAACGCCGAAGCTTTACAACAGCTCCAGGCCATGGGATTCCCAATGAACCGTTGCGAAAAAGCCCTGCATGCTACAGGGAACAGTGACGCAAACACCGCAATGGAGTGGCTCTTCGCACACATGGATGATGCAGACATCGATGCTCCATTAAATTTGAGCTCCGGCGAAGCCACAGTTAGTACAATCGACCCTGAGAAAATAGGAACGTTAGGCGCCATGGGCTTTGGGCCTCCACAAGCGCGAAAGGCATTGAGAGAAACCAATGGTGACATGGAACGGGCTGTAGAGTGGCTGTTCAGCCATCCAGACGATCAAGGCGAGTTCGAGGACGACACGGCTGTTGTCAACAGCAGTGTCACGAGAGACGTTCCTCCGGGAAGTGCTGCGTTGCCTGCTGCATTCCAGCTTCAATCCATCATATGCCACAAAGGATCTAGCATACATGCAGGGTAGGTTTTTTCAATTACTGATAACTAAAACATGGCTGATGAGTATATAGTCACTACGTTGCATTTATTCGTAAAAAGATCCCCGAAGATAAAGCAACGTCTTGGGTACTGTACAACGACGAGAAAGTGGTAAAGGCGAACGATGTCGAAGAGATGAAGAAATTCGCGTATGTTTATTTTTTCAGAAGAATCGATTAAGCGAAACAGGCAGCATGAGGTGACACATGGCCGGTACGATTCGTGATTGTTGATGAAGAAATGATGATGTGCATGAAGATGGCAGTAGAGAATAGAATGACATGATAATAGCATGATGATGGTGATGATGCACGCAAATAAATTAAATTCATTCTGTTCACAACAGCGTAGAGACAACATGCATAGAATCCTATCGTTTGATGCTAAACCCTCTGTGTAAGACAAATAGCTTTTGCAGAGAAGTTTGCCACGGTATTGCTACTTATTGCTCTACCATTGGTTCCTCCGCCACATAATGCAAATATGCGCCCAACAACTTGATACCCTCAATATAGTTTCTCTTGTCCAACTTCTCGTTTATTGAGTGGGCTGCGTCAGTAGAGCTACCCATGGGCAGGAGAAGGACATTCTTGCCAGTGGCCTGCTCAAAAGTCAAGGTGACGGGAATACTAGGAAGAAACATTAACATTATTGCGAGCCATGTAGCGAGCCATGTAGCTGATGAGAGTGACTTACCTTCCTCCCTCTCGAGTCAAGTCAGGCTTGACACCCCAGACTCTCTCAACAGCTTTTGCAGCGCTTGAAAAGTTCCAGTGCTTTGGACTGGCGACCCACCACTTACCAGCATGTTGCAAGAAGCATCGTATAGTATTCTTGCTGCCTAGTTTTTTAAATTCTTCATCGACATACTTGAAAACGAGACGATCCACATCCTCGGGTTCCATATTTGGAACAGTTCGAATAGAGAACTTTCCGGTCACTTTGGCTGGAATAACTGTCTTGGCACCAGGCTGAGAGAATGCACCCTCAACGCCATGAATTGAGAGCGATGGGTATCTCCAACGGGCCATAAGTGTGTTCTCCTTGTCGTTGTGGATGGTTGTCTGGCTACCTAATGATTCATGTAGGTTGTCCATGGTGAATGCAATATCACCGTAAAGGGATTTCTCCTCATCTGTGAGGGGAGCAACAAGTTCAGCCAAGCCTGGTATCTGAATCTTGCCATCCGTGTCTACTAGATTACCAAGCACTCTCACCAAATCAGTCATGGGCTCTTGAGCAGTACCTCCAAAGACTCCACTGTGGAGATCTTGGCCGGGACCTGAAATTTCAATGGAATAATAACTGCAACCGCGAAGACCTGTGTATAGTAAATTAGTACCGACTCAGGCCAAATAAACGAAGACTCCCAGAGCATCTGAAGGAGGAGAAATGATACAGGATGGATTGCAAAACAGCTTACCATAAGTAAGGCATGGCTTCTCGGTACCAAGCCAGTAGTTATCGGAAATACATACAGCGTCGGTATCTGCGAAAAATTTATCGGCCTCCTCTTTAATGAAGTCGTCTAAGCCTTCTGAACCGTATTCTTCCATCCCTTCGAAGCACATCAACAGATTGACTGGAAAGTCAACACCAGCTTTCTGATGGGCTTCAATTGCATTGAGCCAACCAAGAACCGGACCCTTATCATCCGTACTGCCTCTGCCATACATTCTTCCTTTATCATCAATAGTAAGCTCGAATGGTTCTGTGGCCCAACCGTCTTCTTTCCCGGCAGGTTGCACATCGTAATGACCGTAGACGAGAATGGTGCGTTTCTTCTTGTCATTTCCATATCGCGCGATCACTACGGGGGGAAGCTCTAAATGCTCCATTCCAGGTTGCTTGCCCAATGGTCGCTTTTCGACTTGGGCACCCAGTGCAGTGAGCTCATCAGCTAAGAACTCTCCCATGCGAACAACATCGGGCCTTCGTTCTTCATCTGCGGAAACAGATGGAATGGCAACTGCTTTGCGGAGTCTTTCGATAAAATGATCCGACAAAGAATCTACCTGCTTGAAGTAGCCATCGAGCTGAGGTGCCATTTTTACTTTTCGAGCTTGGTGTAACTTGACTGCGGGGTTAAGATAAGTTGAGATACGGATTCTTGACGGACTGTAGAGATTGGAAAAACAGAATGCTGGCTTGGGTGAAGTTCTATCCTTGAGAGAAAAAGTAAACCTCGATGATTCTAGAAGCGTCGATATTGACTTTGTAGAGATTCGTGGTTTAATTGTGAACATGAGGATGTACGGAGTAAAGTCGAACAAACACTTTCCAGCTTCCTGTTCTGGTGAATGGTGGGGTAAATTAATATTATACTATTATTGGCAGCAGAATGGCAGAATGGCTATCAACGGGTTAACATTTTTAAATGGTCCAATGATTAAATTAAAGCCGCCGGTTTGAACTTTATGAACTTACACTTACATCTACTGGATCAATACGTGACATCAACCATTTTATTATTAGTCGAGTACTCTTGAAGCTATTCCAAGTAAACTATGTCATAATCTAACCGGTAGAGAGTCGACACATTGCATACGGCGCGTATACTTATCCGAACGACCGATATGTATGTAGGTACTTGGGTACTTTGGCTACAGTGCCTGAGCAAGATCTACCTGTTGAAAGTTGGAAATATCAAGGCGGTATGTTGTTTTATATTCTATTCCTTTAATTAGTCCCACAACTCTTAATTCCGATTAGACATTCGTTGCTTGAAATAACATTGAATCTCACCTCAAATCTCAAGTCTCAAATCTCTGTATTCCGTCCTCGACTTAGGTGTGTTGAGCGGTAGAAGTCAGCAAGTCAATTCCAAATATACAATTCATCGTCTAATTTAGATACTGATCGTCCCCCCATCTCGTATATAGCGAGCAGCTCTCAAATTATAGAATTGGGGGGCCCCTCCAGACTTGGCCTGATACAACAAGGTGCTAATGTAAGTTGTGAGCCTTTGGAGGAAAAAGGGTGGTAACATCGTTACACAAGTTTCATGTTTTGAAATAGCTTTGATACAGAAGGATGAGATCCCATGCTACTCTCAAGACAACGGGTGCGTCTACCCACTCATATTCATATGCATAGGTATTCAATTCATACAGTCTCACATACTCATACTGATTATACCAGCATTGCCATGTTTTTGATCACCATCACGGATAGATCGATCTCATGCATATGTCGACAGCATGCAAGGACAACATAAACTTCCGCCTGCAGAACTCCCTTCTATCATGTTTCTATTTTGGTTGCTCAAGCTACTTCATCTTACTGGAATATTCAGGTACCATGCAGGAAAAGTAAGGTTAGCCGGGAGAAAAGGGAATATCTGCAGCTCTACTCTCTAACTGCATTACTCTTACTTTACCGTATTACCGTATTACCGTATTATCGCACTATTGATCTTACTCAGCGCACCAAAGAATGGAACATTTCCCACTACCCTTCTCACCATTATTACTTTCCTCTTTCAAACACACACGAAAGCTATTTTGAGACGAGGCTATGACAACGAGTATGAGCATATCGCGACTTATTTTGGGGCGCAGCTCAAAGATTGTGTGGGGTCACGCCCTACGTTGCATATCTTTGCTTGCATGTATCCAAATTCAGGTACCGCATCATATCTTCCGGTAGGTATTCAATATCCGGAGTCAATCCCTTTAGAAGCATGAGGCAACTCTCGACTTGTGTACGGTGCAATTCGCCGTTAGATCTTCGGGTCCGAGTGAACGAACGGAGTAGTATCGCCATGTAATAAGACAGCATCGGATTGTCTAGGTTTTTCGCCATCAGGTGGGGTACCTGGGAGACTTTTCTCTGTTGTTTTGATTGGGAGGGTGTGACATCTAGCAGGGATATGGGAAACGTGCTTTCTTCTGGAATGTCCACGGCGTCTAGAATTTCCGTCGCGCCGACCAGATTATCAAGAACATGTACGAAGTAATGATACCTCCGGTCCACAGGGAGTTTCATGGAAAGGGTGATCCAAATCAATGTTGTTGGGCGAAAAATCGCACCATCATCTTCTAAATCGACGCTGGCTTTATTGAGAAGCTTTGCCCGAAGGAAAGAGAAAGGGAGCACCTAATAGATCGCTGACCGTGGTTTGTTTGATATCATTGTGCCCGACCACCCGTGAGCTACATAGATACCTGGCAGGTGTACACCGGAGCATAGATCATAATGATAGGAGGTAATATTAGTGGATTCCCATGGAAGTTCATCTCATCTCTGATATTGTTTCAACCATTGAGGTTCTCCCGCGAAAGATGGAGATGGAAAACCCCCCAAAATTCCAAATTCCTGGTTGACGACGATTAACCTAAATGGTTTCAGGTATGTCCGTCTTCAACAATCGATAGGCTTAGAGTTCTCGACTCGTATAAGACCTATTCGAAACAAACAACCTTCTACTGCAAAGGATTACTACAGCAGAGATACCTGACTACGGTAGGTAGGGTTGCAGTGTATCATGCGCCCTTGGAGAGTTAGTGAGAGTGAATAGTCTTTCTATGGCAGTTGGGGTAAGTCTTTCGGGGGCTTTTTTAAGGTTGTGACAGTGGATAATAGCATGTCAATTGTGTGGCAGCTGCATGAGAAACTCTGGTGACACTTGGCCCTTCCGCCGCGGGTACCTGCAAGCTAACATTGAAGTTATTAAGCTATGGTACTGAGTACTGACTGTACAGAGTTAAGTTTTGAGCATGCTGAAGTCGTAACACAAAACCTCGATGAGTCCTGTAACAGACCACGAGATGAACCACACAATCCTTCCTTGACTTCATTCTCAGCACCTAATCCGTAGTTGATCACTCGCACTCTACATAACGAGGTTCTCGATACGGTGAATACGGTGAATGCTGTGAATGCTGTGACTATTACATACTTCGGCGTTCGATTTTTTCTGCTGTCTACGCCGTCGTAACATGGACCAATAAACTAATCAGCTCAAGAACCCCTCCTCTCCCCAAACCCTTCCCCCTAGATTCCTTTGTCCATGCCGAAGATCATTTAATCAATCTCGAACTACATAAGAAAATATATCTCGAATCCAATCTCAAAGAGGTTTCAATCATTCCACTGTACATTTACACCTTCGGAGAAAGGAGAGGAGTAGCTAGCTCATTTTTGATGACACGATGAGTATTGCAGGTATTTGAAGATGTATCCGAGTCCATGGGCATGCATGTATATGTATTGACTGGTGTTTGACAACATATTACAGACTCACAGTACATGTAACGTCCTTTATTAGTGGTGGTATTTCGACAATCCGAAGAATGAATCCTTTTCGGGAATCAAGTGCAGGTATGCTCATATTAATCCTTACTAGGTATTACTATGTACGTGCGTTGTCCACTTTTGGATTCCTATGCCCTTGTCTCCCGGAGTGTTGGGTAAAACCATGAACCAAACTCCATGAACTGACCGAATATCTCAAAAGGGAAAAGATTTCATTTTGCAATGTGCGATACTCGAGTAGAGCCACCATGAAAGACCAGGAAAACGCATTACAAGAGAATATGGATCGACGCAAAATAACGTGGTCGATCATGTATTATGGGGAGTATCACTACCTCCTGGGCAATAGACCGCGCAGCCTTATAAAATTGCTATATGGTATTATTATTGTCATTATTATGATTATATTATCTTATCATTATTATTGTACCTTTCCTCAACTGTGTGTTTGCTGTCCTGAGAAATTTTCCCCAGGTGTCATTCTTAGCCTAGGACGACGTCTCGTCCACCGGTCAGTCAGCCAGCCAGGGAAGTACATTACGATTTTGGAATGTTGCGAACCGTTTCGGTCCTGTTTGAAGGGGTGTCTCCATTTCTCGATGGGTAAAAGTTACTGAAGATGCAGTATCAAATTGATATATTCAAGGAGGGGCGCAATTTTGGTTGCTTTCCAATTTTAGAGTGGGCTGAAATCACCGTTATCCTTTCCCATCAACTTTCGAGTTAAATGGCGGGCCGCATTTGCTGAAAGTAAGAGCATGGCAATGGCATGCCAAGGTTAGAACAGGGGAAAGTTACCTCGAACCAGGGGGATCGGACGAAAAGCCTCCAATCCATTGGTTGTGTAGCCGTGCTGACAGTACCATTTCTCTTCAGTCCTAGATTGCAGAGCCTTCCAGCGAATCATCGCTGCTTCTCATCTGCAAGTTTGCTGCAGACTCGCAGACCAACATATTAATTCGGTCATTTCTGTTTATTCTTGTTCACCTACTGTGTTATCCCAGTCGGCAGCACTACATACATTCATTTGACCTGCATCTACAGCCGGACAATCTAACGCGATTCAGCAATAGTTATGCCTCTGTGGTGGGTGAGCAGAATGTTACATTTCGCATCATCTTGTTCATAAATAACTACCTGACTTTGCATAGAACTCGTGCATGGCCCATAAGCGCAAAGCGTCAGGGGTGCCACGAGAGAGAGCTGACATTTTGAATTCGATGCGGGATCCGATGCCATGGGGAATGATTTCTATAAGCGCCCTCAGACAAGGTCTGCAGTATGCATGGGTTATGCAATGGTTGATGGACAATGGGCAGCCTTTCACAAATTTTCCTCCTCGTCTGTCTCCCCCATCCCTTCCTCCAACCACTCTTCTTTGCAAACATAATCACGGAGTTCAGCAATGCCCCAAGATAAATTCTATCTTTATGCATCTACTGCGCATTTGTCTAGGGACATTGGAAGTACATGACATATACTTTTCCAAATAATATCCTGAAGCATCGTCACCATCCCAGGCTCTTCTCACCAAAGACTTCAAGTGCCGGTATTAGCTCTTGTGCTGAAGTTCCCGCCCCTGACATTATCTTTATTTTTCAGAAAGGCTGTGCAGTGCTGTAGGGATACATCATTGTTCGTTTCCAATTTGAGGATAATCATCATGTCGAGCCTCAAAGATATCATGGACGTAGATGTGGATCCTCTTCAATCTCAAGCCTATAGAAGGAAGGAAGCCGCTGAACAACAACAAGCTTCGCGACCATCCATTGATCCTTCATCTCAAAGTCCCTCTCCTCAGATTGATGATACTAAAGGAAAGTTATCTATCAACCATCGAAGATCAAACCGAGTTTCAAAACCGCCCTCCCAGCCCACAACATCGCGTCCAAACTTACGGCGGCGTAGCAGCGGTGCCGGCGAAGCTATGGATTTCTCGGCCTACCAAGCTGGCGGGTCAAGCCAAGGGAGCATGTCTAGTAGTCCTCTGCAAACATCTACCAGAGGAGTAATAGAGCCCATGGCAGATATTGTGCCTGTCAAATACACACCTGTGACCGGACGTATTAGCAGAGCAAAGAAGGGTATGCCAGTGCATACATGCGACGACTGTAGGAAGGTTTGTTCTTGAGTTCAATTTGATTACGACTTCATCAGCTAACAAGAACACAGACGTTCACCAGGGCGGAGCATCTCAGGTAAGGACCAGGTCCCATCCAGATTACTAGTATTGTAAAAATACTTTACGCGCGATATGATGGAGATAATAGCAGCTATTTATGCATCATGAGCAGATATGAGAACAGAAGGAACACTAGAAGAAGTATATGGACTAATTCTTGATGATCCCCGATTACAGGAGGCACAAACTGAGCCATGGTAAACCTGCTTTTCCATGTACATTCGAAGACTGCGAGAGGACATTCCACCGCCCTGACCTACTGGCCCGTCATCTCAATCGACAGTAAGTTTTATCCGTCTTGAGTTCCAAGACCTAACTAATAAAACAAAGCGACACACAAGGTGAAAAAGCATATAAATCTAGTGACCCAAGAAGCAGGGCCTCCTCAAGTGCATCAGAGAGTGCCCCTATGAGACTAGAACCCACACCACACGCAATATCTATGAACTTGAGTCAGATGTCTCCAAATAATTCTATGACACCGAGAACTTCAGCGGGAGGGGGAAATTCTGCCGCAGCTGCAAATTTTAACACAATCACGGGCAATTTCCAAGCTGGTGATTTCTCATCTCGCAGCTCTCACAAAAGGTCTGTTGGCCAGGCACAAATGACTGACGCGGAAGTGTATACTGGGGCATCAGCTGGACCGATCTCATCCAGGTAAGCATGGGCCATAACTCCCAGAATTTTTCTAATGCCTTCTTCATTTTACTATGGGGAAGTACCTTTACTTGCTTTTGATTACTCATACAAACGAATGTACAGAGATTTCTTGACTGACACTAGGCAGGACTTATGGTGAAATGACTTCAACTTTCAATGTAAGGCCCATGCAGGAGTTTTCAGGCCAAGATCCGTATCGTACAACGAGCTCCAGCTTCCAAGGATTGTATAATGAAGATGCTTCCTCATTCCAGAATTATAGCGCACCTCATGCTCTACCACTTTTACGTATTCCAGAAGAACCTTATATGCCAGGCTTACCATACACACACGACAATTCACCCTGGTGTTCGTCGGCTTCCGATAGCACCTATTCAACTCAGTCGGAGAGCTCACGAACGGGAAGAATGACGCAAAGAGGCCGATCTGGCTCATTAGCCACAGCGCCCGAATGGTCTATTCCAGTGCCAAGCGCACAATGGTCCCACGGTATGTGCGAGCATTTCGTGAGTGTAGTTCCATCAAATCATAAACTGATAATACGGTACTTTTAGGTATGGCCAACACCACAGCTCAGGGCCTCAGAAGTCCACCTTACGAAACAGTGATGGAGTCTTATGATGCACCTTATACGCCCCCTAGAATGTCACCGCCATCTCGGCAACTGCTTGATGTGCCTGGCTTCGGGGGCTATTATATGGAATCAGTGGGTAATCCACACACCTCAACATATAATAAACACTTGGCTCAGACTTTTCTTGCAGCGTCCCCTTCGCGATTATCCAGCTCCCGATTGGCAGTCCTTAATAGAGGATCGGAGGAGCTGGTGGGATCCCAACAATTAGAAACATCGACAAACATCAAAACGATCACTTCACCTCCTTCCCAATCCGCAATCTCTAACCTTGAAATCTATCTTTCTCTATTTTGGGATAACTTCGACAAAATATTCCCGTTAATTCACCGTGGGACGTATATAAAGAACCAAAACCTACTGCTCACCCTCGCAATGGCTGCAATCGGCACCCAGTACCGACCCTACCCTGAAGCACGATATCATGGTGTTGAATTCCACGTATATTGTGCTAAAATAATTCCTTTAGCCCTTGATTGGACAATACCAGTAATGCAAGCAATACTAATTACCGAGATATTCACTCGTTTCCGTGGTAAAAAAGCCACGGTTCGCCTATCTCTCCAGTTCGAAGAGTTATACAGTCGGGTAAGTTGCTGTTCTTACGACTACCATGGGTACATTTGTTGATTTCTAGCAGCTTCTGAACCTATCATACCCAGCATCTGAAACTAAAACTGTTATTGATAATGCTAGTACCTGTGCTGGCTTGACTGGTCACTTCAACACACGCGCTACATCTAAAGACATACAACGCAACTGGTTGCTCTGGGTCGACACCGAGTCACGACAACGTCTTTTATGTCTATGTTTTATTTTCGACATTCACCAAGCCATGTTTTACCAGCAAAAACGAGCCAAATCATGTGTAAATTCTACTGTACTATATGCACCCTGCTCGGAAGTCCTGTGGGAATCAACTAACGCAGCCGACTGGGCTATGAACGAGACAGGGGATAATGCAGGTCAACCACTTCATCTCCTCCAACATCATTTCACTAAAGAGCACCATTTTGAGCTTTCACATTTCGCTCGGTCACTTATCTTATGCTCCTTGACGTCTCAACTCCCCAGCCGTGTTGTCTCTAACTATCACTATCTAAGCGACTTTGAAATACACAATACGGATCCCACGATACTCGAACTTGTAACATTATCTTCCGCATCTTCAATGGTACTTACCTACGTCGCGTTGTACCATACCCCGCTCCGCGACCTTTTAGCTGTCAGCGGGGACACATGGGTGTTTACTCAAAAAATCACACATCCAAACCATTTCCGCGAAGCACAATCCCGTCTCAAACTTTGGTCATCGTCTCTAGCAGCAGCCACCGCCGCACATTATGCTTGCCTTGTTCTACTGTCCGAGTTTTCTGCGCCATGCTACCCATCTTCCGACAACAACACAATGCAACATTCTCTCGATCTCTCTCATTATTGGTCTTTGAACGTTGCCGCATTGATCTGCTGGGCCTTTGGCCACCGTGTCAGCGGAATTAGAGGTGCCTCCTTCCGAAACGTTACAGACCCATACACAGCCCTAGACTCGAACACTTCTCCCGAGGCGGCTCGGGAGAACGTACGACTCAAAGCTCTTACATATCTCAACTGTATGCTAGAGCTAGATATCAAAGATCTTTTGACTAGCAAATCGATCATGCGCACAGAGACCTCCTCTATTATTGATGCAGTGCGCATGCGACTAGAGGTCGATAGTGTTGGAGGCCAATCCATGACTCTCGTTGATTCTATCTGTGTTCTGAAGCGCCTTAGAGAGAGCGAAAGAGGGAAATGGTTCTGACCTTTCTACATTATCCCGCTTTTCAGTGTTCATCAATTTCTTTTGGTCATTCACTTTATCCTTTTTTTCTCTTTTTCCGGATTGGCCTTGTGCATTGTCTTTTAATGCTTCTTCACTTCTCGACAGGGGATAAAGATAATTAGCAATGACATGCCTCATGTAATGATGACGGATTTCTTTTAATTTCTTAATGTTTGTTTCATTTCATACATGGGGGTTTCATCTTCATTTCGGGCTATCTATTTCCTTACTTTACTCAAGCTGTACAACATCATTTCTCATCTGTATAACTACCTGTATCCTTTATACTTTTCTCATCTGTTCCCGCTTCTATATTCTCTTACGAGCTCTTTAAATTCCCTATTTTTTTGCACACGATTGATGTTAATGAACAAAATGCGTATGGTGACATATCATAGCTAGGGTTTGTGTTACTCCAGGGCTTGGTTGATGGGAAAGAACTCACTACATACGCACAATACATATCGATGATACCCGCGGAGATGTGATAGCGAGCATGAGCAAAGTAAGGAGAGGGAGGAAGGAAAATTGCGCCTTGTACACTATTGTATTGAGGTTGTACTGTACTGTACTGTATTGTATTGTGTTTCACAGCATTCAAGCATTTGAATCAAGATAATTCTACACATCATATCCAAAATAGCTGCAATAACTTTGAGGATAAAAATGAACCTTGCAATAGGACAGATTACGCAATAACTGCAGTCTTTTATTTTTATAGTAGTTGAACTTCAAGAGCAACTTAGCCGATTGCACAGTAGTCTGTTACCCCTTCTCAAAGTATTAACCCTCATGGGGGTTCGCCCACATGCAAGTACTCGTTTACACGGAACCACAAACCCATCCATCTCCAGTATCACCACATATCACCACATATCCCCAAGCCATCTCGTTCTTTCCACCCACTGCACATGGATATGTACGTGTCAATGTACATGCCATAGACCCCGATTCCGAATTTACAAACCCGAGCCCGACGCACATGTCCTCTCATGCCATGCTGGAAGGGTCTCCATACATTACATGAATTGTAACAACTCCGAGAGTCGTCTCGTGGGACGCGTTCTTTGCACTGTCGTCTCACATCGTTAGGAGGAAATGATTTAGGTATTCATGCCACCCTTGTAGCTAGCACATAACATATCTGGATATGACACAAGTACAAGAAAATGTATCATGGATATCACTGCCCCATACGATCCCTTCTATACAATGTCAATCATGCCCATAGATTTGAGAACTAAAGAGCCAAGGGCATGATGTCTGGTATTGACGCTATATCATAGAATATCTTGAGGCTATCGTGGAACATATTCGATAATTTCATCATCGAACTTCCGATTCAAATAGATCTATAGAAAAGTTTAAAAGATAATATTCTCTCGGAAAGTGAGCTAAATTCAAATAAATTATATTCCATTAGTATGGCGATCATTTCATTTGATTTAATAAAAACCTCAGCATCAGACCCAGACATACATCCAAGCACCCACGCACCGCATCCCACAAGACATTTCCAAACCACCACTGCAGCAAACACGCATCATTTCAAATAATCAAAGTCACACATTCAAAGCTTGAATCCACGACGTCGAAATATTGAAAATGCAGTTTTTTTTTTCATTAGTGAGATGGGAAAAAGCCTGTATTTACAATTTTCCAAAGTGGTACGCTTGTTTGCTTTCCTCCACTCCCAATTTATCTTTCATGAATCGACTAAACCCATCATCAATCAATCAATCACTAACTAGACTAAATACCAACTAACACCAGAATGTCGGCGAAGTCAAGAGAACCATTTGTTGTAACTTTGTAAAACGAGAACTAGAAAATTCAATGCAGCAAGGGCGGGCAGGGGTAACTCAGCCGGTATCAAAAAGCACAATTCAGACTCTCCCCTCATTTAGGCTTATCCCCCCTTCAACCCCTTCCTCCACATTACATGTTCCTGGGACAAGAAAAACAAGGAGCTGGTAATATCGTACAGTTCAGGAAAAAAAAAAGTGTGCCTCCCAAGGATACAGATGCTGCGTTTGTCTTACCATACCCATTTCATTCAGCCACCATTATCGTTCCCCTAATCCTTGTGGAATTTCGCCTTCAACTTTCCGAAAAAGCTAGTGCGCTTCTTCTTCTTATCGGCCGCTGCGGAGTTGGCAGGGCTGTCTGCGGCATGGGTGCTAGATGGAGTAGCGGACTCAACGGAGGATTTTGCTGTGGACGGTGTAGCATTCTCCTTCGCAGGAGTGGCTGGAGCAGCATTCGATGTTTCAGCAGTTGTGGTAGAGCCCAATCCGCTGGTAACAACGGGTGCAGTCTGCTCACCACTGGCGAGGTTGGTGTGTGGTGAAACATCTCTGGAATCGACTGGTTTTGTCTCGGTTGGTGTTGGACCAGAGATAGTTGGAACGTTAGTTGATTCCACTCCACTGGTAACGGCAGGCGCAGCAGCAGTTGAGGTGGTTGGGATGTCCACAGAGGCGACTCCGCTAGTGACAACTGGGCCAGTAGGAGCTTCCAATTTAGCAGGCTCAACGTCTGTTGGAGAGGTAATTTTTGGTGCAGGTTCACCAGTTGAGATCTCCGGTTTGATTTCGGACAGCAATTCCTTCTCAACAGCCTTCTTATCAAGAACCGCCTCTTCATGGGCAGCAGCCTCTGGGCTTTGACCTGACTTCGCAATTGACTCCTTAACAACCGCGGGGGTGTCTTTGGCGGTAGATGTCTCTGACCTGACTTCGGACAATAATTCCTCCTCAACAGCCTTCTTATCGAGAACAGCTGCATCGTTAGCAGCAGCCTCTGGGCTTTGACCTGACTCAATAATGGATTTTTTTACGATTTCTGGAGTGTCCTCGGCAGTTGTTTGATCAACGGTCCCTGTGGCATTTATCGAGTTAATTGATTGCTGAACAGATTCTGGCAATTTGCTTGTCAAACTCTCTGGAAGCCTACTTGGGATGCTCGTAACGCTCTCTGGAAGCCTGCTTGGGATAGCAGAGGCTGCAGCATACGCAGCACCTCCCAGAGCCATAGCAGCCGCTCCAACAGCCGCGGCAGCCTCAGCGGCGGTGACACCCTCTTCGGTTTTGGTTGTGCCCTTACCGGCGACGCCCTCAGAAGTTGTTGGGGCAACATCAACCTCCTTCTTAAGTTCCTTCTCAACTGCGCTCTTTTCAGAAACTTCGGATGGAATGGCGCTAGCTCCTGGAGCAGCTCCTGCCTTCTTCTGGCTCTCCTTGACCACCGCTGGCGCCTTTGCTGATTCGAGGGGAACTTTGGCGGCAAGCATTGCTGTTGTGCTTTGAGGACCCACGGACTGGATGGTTGGGTTTGTTCCATCGAATGTTCCTACGCCACCTTCTCCGACTGGCAAGCTTGACTCAGGAATCAAGTTCTTGGCCGCAGGAGGCAAATCGAGAATTCCAGTACCATGCGCTTCACGCTCAGCCTGAGGAGTAACGACAGGGGGAAGAATAGGAGCATTGCCAAATGCGCCACTGTTTTCATACGATTCTTTGTCAGTACGAACGGTTGAGTGGATGGTGTTGGCAGTAAAGTCACTTGATTCAGGGATCTTCTCCCCAGGTGCAAGTTTTATAGGATTAACCGCACCGGCGGAAGCGGGAAGCGGTGAGACACCAAATGTCGGCTCGGACTCGGATTTGGCCTTGTCCGCAGCGACAAGTTCAGGATCATCATGTACACCGGAAGTGACAGTGTTGGTGGTGAAAGAGCCTGAATCTGGAACTTTCTCTCCCGGTGCGAGCTTGATAGGGTTGACTGCACCATCTGCAGCGGGGAGAGGATTTACAGAGAAATCACCGGTTTCCACAGCAGCAGGAGTTTCGGGGAAGGCTCCAGGCAGAGCCGAGGTGCCATTTTGTTCAAGTGGAGATTTCTCCTTTTCAAGAGGAACATTCTTTGCCAACTCTGACGTAGTTGAGGTTGGTGCCACGCCAGACATGATTCCAGCAGTCGCAGGTGTATGCTTCACAATTCTATCCGTCGTGAGGACGTTGTTTAGGTTCCCCGAAGCGTCGTTTTCTTGAGGAGCGGTGTGATCTGTAACCCAGTTACCGTCGACAACGAACTGTTAAGTGATTCAATTAGCTTCTGAAGACTTGGGAATTTTTTTGCAAGTCCGAGGAAAAATGGCAGAAAAAATTGAAAATGGGTCAGGCTGTCTTTCTAAAGAAGGTCGGAGCTGAACATAGCTGAAGCAAACAAACAAGCGGGGTTGGGGAATAGGCCGGACCAAAAGGCAGCGTGTGCGACTAAATTAACCATGCAACCAAGAAGCCTGTTTATTATTAGGAAAGTAAATTGCCAACTTTCGAAGCCTGATCTCTTCAAGAAAGTTTTTTTTCTCTAGTGAGTGGGCAAAAGTAACTGCATGCGTCATAAGTGGAGGTTCTGCAGCTTCTGCTAAAGCTGCAAGTCTCACTTTGACGCATGCCCTTTGAGAAGTGGAATTTGAATCACTAGGCGCATTTGACTGACCACCTCGATTCCTTCAATGAAAACTTGATCGCAAATCAATATTACCATGATTCCTGTTACCCATAAACAATTTCCGACATCAAGTCCAACATCATGTCCCTTCAAATTTGGCTCACCTTGTAATAAATCTTTTCTGCAGCATTTGCCAGTTGGACGTCCTTCTGGAAGACGTCTCCAGTCTTTACCAACTTTTCGCTCTTGGACCAGTTATCGAATGTTCCAGTAACAAAGACCTCTTCAGCAGGATGTTCCCTAACAACCATAATATTAGCTATTGAAAAAGGATCATTTTGATAAGAGGAGTCAAAAGTCAGGAAAGGTTTGTGCCATTGTAGAAGATCATCTTGCGCATAAGTTTCCCATGTTCGCAGATAATGGAGATCGCAATGCAAGAGAGAGGAGTTATCTCAGGGTCTTAAATTTTCGAAATCATCATTGGACAATGGGAGCGATGAGGGCCAGACAAGTGAACGAAGGGGGGAAAAGAAAAAGCTTACCACTTAAAAACAAAACTTCCCATGTTTGATGATGCAAAGAGAGTATTCAATAGACCGAGGGAGATGAAGGAGAGAGCCAAGTCGGTTTATTGAAAATGATAAATCAGGGAAGATATTTTTGATTTGCCGAGAGGAAAGCTGAAGATGGAATAATAAACCAACCTTGAAAGTAAGAGGAGTAAAGGGTAGAGAGTAGAGAGTAGAGAGTAGAGAGTAGAGAGTAGAATGTAGAATGTAGAATGTAGAATGGAGAATAGAGGTTGGCGTCGTTTTCGGAAATTATCTTGGATTGGCGCGAGAGGAAGAGGAAGAGGAAGAAGAAGATGAACGGTTCAGGTTCAGGCTCAGGTTCAGGCTCAGGTTCAGGTTCAGGTTCAGGTTCAGGTTCAGGCTCATCAGGTTGATGGTCGATCCAGGTTCAGGTTCAGTGCGGTTACAGATAGTTAGACTCTGCTCTTCGCACAGGTAGGTGGGAAACTCTGTCAAAATGGTGGCGATAAGGAAGATGGACAGACAGACAGACAGATAACCAGAAGATTTAATCTAATTTTAAAATATGAGTCTGACTTGAGTGAATCAAAGAAAGAAGATGGAATTTTATATTCTTTCCACCACAATGAATGGTCTTAGTAATAAATGGGCAATCATAAGATAGAGACAAGGTTTTTTATATGATATATCTTGATTTTTGACAAGGAGGTGCTGGATAGATAAAGTAACCTTGAATAGGTATTGAGGGAGGTTGGAGCGAAGATTACCAGAAGAGATTAAATCGCGAGAAAAAGGTTGCAAGTTGCAACTGGTGAACCTATCAATAAGCACCTAGGTAACTAACTATATTGCTATTTGATATTTGATATGTTGATGGTGTCTACCTTTTACTTGTATTGGGATTTGTTCTTCTGGGGTGGGGGTAAGCAGGAATTGTAATGATCTAGCAAGCAATATAATAATTTACGACTACCTACAGAGGTGTCCATGATAAACTTATGGCCGTATGCATGTGCATATGCATGAAGGTGCTTGCTTGCTTGCTTGCTTGCTTACTTGATTACTTGCTTATCTACTTGCCTGACACGGAGGAGAGCTCCAGCCCGTTCCGTAAAAGTGGTTCAGCAATTTAAAAGTTGAAATATTCTGGCTTCCCATCCGTTTTCGAATTCCACTTGAATCTTCTCTTCAATCCATTCATTGACTCTTGGGGTAGAGGGGAGGGTTAGAGCTCCGCAGAGCAGACAGCGGTATGCTATGCTGGCGTTAGAATGTTTCCCCCGTCATATAATGAGGATATAATGAGGATATAATGAGGTATCGGTGTTCCCCCTCGACACCCAGATGGGCCTTTAATTTGAATACGTCAGAATACATCGGTCTGTCACATGTAAAAGAGCACCTTAGCACAAGCAAAGCACATTCATTCAATCAACAACATACGATTGTGATGAAATGCTAAGGAATTGAAATCTTTAATGTTGACCTTGGGTGATGGATGGATGGCTTTTTGATGAGAGGAACAGTCTGGAATCATTCTCGAAAGAAAGACGAGACCTTGAAACCTTTTGTATTAATTGCTTTTGCTTTCCAGCCGCCTTTCTGAATGCGGGGCATCGGATGAGGGAGATCTAGGCAAGTAAATTAATTGAAGGCTTATTTATTTATTTATTTATCATTCATTGATAATTACCTAAAATACCTAGTAGTTATCATCTGGTTGAAATGGTCATTGTTTTGAGCTTCAAATTGGATCGGATTGCTTTTTCATCTAGCTGTTTCCAAATCCAAAATCTATTTCATATTATATATATATATATATATATATATATATACTAGGGAGTAAGTACATCCATCGTATTTGTTTCGTGTGCAAGGTGGTGTCAAGGTGTTTTCTAAAGGCATAATATGACGTTTTTTAAACCCCCTTATGAATGGTCTTGGCCAATTCAAGCATCAACTTTATGCTCTAGAGATCATCGGCAATAATGTTTTAATTCTCTAATTAGTCTTACAAATTCATCGACTGTGATATGAGACTAATAATGTGAGAAATGTATATCTTCATTTCCCTTATACGTCAATATAATCATTGGTAGAGTGTAAGCAGATAACTCAATGTTGATTGAACTACTAGGTATACGAGAAGACATTTCCCATAGCTCAATAGCATGCCAAAACAAACCGAGATTGAATATTGATGGAGAGCCATGGTTCTTTGTTTCAACCAAATATTGAAATTGGAATGTAGGTAGGAGGTAGCTAAGGTTACTGGCTGCTAGCTAATCTATCTCACTTGCGGCAAATCTAATACGGCGAGAGAGGCTACAACTATGACCACCAACTGAGCAATACACAATCCAGAATACAGTCTTTGTTCATGGCAAAATCGGAATGTCTGATGTTTATTAGAAGTAGAGCTATTGAAATTGAACCTTCTCACAGCTTGGACTCACTCGAATCTTTTTTCTTTTTTCCTCTCCCTATATAATTCATATAATCCCTAGAATCAAGGACCTTTACCATCATTACAATATGATATTTGGTTATTAGTCCGTACTCGACCTTTGGCTTTGATTGTTGGCTATTTTGACCTCGTTACTATTGTTCATTCCATTCGACCTTGCTGCCCATCTATCTACCCGTCTCCCTAATTGCCCAAGGATCTTTTCAATTCATTCCTACACCTATACATATACATATACATATATCCCATTCGATCTTTCGCAGCGAATAATCTCCAAATCTTATTGAATTTGCTTAGCCGCAAGCAAACATAAGCATTACAGCATTACTCCTCTGGATCGTTTCGATTCCTTCTAGCTTTCTTCTCGAACTTTGCATAGAAGCTCCAAAAGCCAATCGATTTTATTCCATCTCACTACCGCTCCCCTCCCCACATTTGAAGCGAGAAGGTTGTTAAGGTTCCTGTCCTACAAGTCCATACAGTACATACACATACTGTACGGTAGGCAAGCTTCGCCCATTAACCCCTTCCCCTCGCCTTGTCGATCAAGATACAGTACCATAGTATCCATAGCGGCACCTTCTTTCCACTTAGTTAGTTCAGATCACTGCTGCCAAAATCATCCTTTATACCCTGCATTCCAATTATCATCCTCGCTCGCCCTCTCAACCCTCTCAACTCTGCTATCATACAACAAAACATCTCTTTCTTACCTTCTTAAAATCTCAATTCCAATAGAAGACGCCTGCAAGCTCAGCACGGTCGATAAGGACTTGCTTGGTAGGTGTTACGTTTACTCCACTTTGTCTGTGGAATTCATTCAATTCATACCAGTCCAAGAACTGAAGCTTGTGCACTTATAGAGAGGAACTTGTTGTGAGTACATCAATCAATTCCATTCACTTGGTAGCTGAGTGACACATTCTCTGTACCTACTTCATTCACCATCACTTATCAAATACAATTCTCATGAGCCTCACTAAATTGTTTTCCGATCCTATATAGATTATTCCACCAACTCGATCTGTCAACCTGCTCCTTAATTCCCCGCGCCCAATTTGCTGTGGAATCCTCCTCTTGATTCCTCCATTACATTGTTGCAGTCCTATTGAATGTTCACTGGTTTGTAAAAAGCATTAAGCTGTTTACCTCACACGCCGAGAACGAATGTCCCTACCGTCGGCGTACTTGACCGAAATCGAGTCTCTCAGTCAAGAAATCCTTAGAAGACAGCCCACCGATATTCTACAATTTTGTGCCAACTATTTTTGGCAACGTCTGGAAACGGAGCGCGCAGGTCTCCTTTCATCTCGCAATAGATCATATCGTTCCGTGTCGCCCGGAACAGCAAATCGCCCGAATATGGCTGGGAATACCTTCCCTGGCCGGCTCGGAACCCATGTCAACCCTTTTGGTAGCGACGGAAGCGGCATGGGGCATGAGCAAGCAAGTTCCGGCACCATCTCAAAAGTCATAGAGGAGGATGAGAATGATACCATCACATCACCAACTACACCTCATTTTGGATTCTCGAAAGGGATCCCTTCGTTTGGAGCTTCCTTTGGTGGAGATGCATCTGCTGGAGAGTTCCCACCATCTTCTTTTAAACCCGCAAACGAAGGATTCCCCGAGCATTATGGCATGGGAAGGCGCACTTCTGTTTCGGCCGAATCTCTCAACCCAACAGCTTCATCCAATGACAACTGGTCTCCACCATTTCATAAAAAAACAGCAGAGCAAGTAGCACGCTTGAAGAAGTCGATTTCCGGAAATTTCCTATTTAGTCATCTCGATGACGAACAAAGCACTCAGGTGCTAGGCGCTCTTGTAGAAAAGCCAATCCCAGCTGTTGGTATCAAGGTATGCGTAGATCCAGCTATCACCCACTCGAATCCTACTAACCCCCATTAGGTTATCACTCAGGGTGACCAGGGAGATTTCTTCTACGTAGTAGAGAAAGGTTCCTTCGACGTATATGTCAATCCCACTGGCTCACTGCAGCCAGGTCCCGATGGCCTCGGGACCAAGGTGGCTACCATTGAGCCTGGTGGATCATTTGGTGAACTCGCCCTCATGTATAACGCACCTAGAGCAGCCACGGTAATATCGGCCGAAGCATCTTGCACTCTCTGGGCTTTAGATCGCATTACTTTCCGCCGAATTCTCATGGATTCGACATTCCAACGCCGTCGTCTCTACGAAAGTTTCCTGGAAGAAGTACCCCTTCTTTCAACCTTGACCCGCTATGAAAGATCAAAAATTGCCGATGCTCTGGAGACGCAGAAATACCCTCCTGGAACTTCAATCATAACTGAAGGAGATGCCGGAGAAGCATTCTACCTTCTTGAGAATGGGGAGGCCGAAGCATACAAGCATGGCGTGGAGAACCCAGTTAAATTATATCACAAGGGAGATTATTTCGGCGAATTGGCGTTATTAAATGATGCTCCTCGAGCCGCTAGTGTTATTAGCAAAACAGAGGTGAAGGTCGCAACCCTTGGCAAAAATGGCTTCCAAAGGCTGTTGGGACCTGTTGAGAGTATTATGCGAAGAACCAAGTATGAAAGTGTAGAAAGCATTGACCCACTTCATCAGAACTGAAGGACCGTCGGATGGGATGGATTCATTTTATTGCTGGCGTTCAGATACAGGGTACGTTCGTTCATGAGATGATCAAATGGACTAGGGTTTGTGGGCAATACCTGAGATACAGACAAGAGTCAGATTTTCAATCACTTTGCAATTGTATTATGGAAGCTGTTAGCGGACTCCTTTCGAATGCTCATCAGTTTTACACTATGCATCTTTTATCCTAACGCCTCAATTATAATTTTATGAATCATGATGCAATCCAAATGATATCCCTACTGTGAATATGCACGCACGTTTTGATGTCGTATAGTACCAACCAAAACCCAGCTAGTACTTCAGTCCTTCTTCCCCTCCTCCCTAGTCCAAACGTTATATGCTCTTAACTTGAAATCAACTAGCACCCGCCCTCCTTCTCTCCAGAATCTCCCTCCTAACACCTTCAGCCGCCACCTCCGTCTCCAACACCCTCCCAACTCCCTTCTTCCACCCTTCTTCTAAGCCTCTCATCTCCGCCTCCACTGCTTCCTGCCCATTCTTCCTCCCCATCACTACAACATCAATCTCATCCTTCTTGGCCGCCACTTCCCTCTCCAACCCCTTTAATATATCTTCCAACTGCGTGTTTCCGATTAACCAAGCATTTTTGCCAAATTGATCAAGTAGGGAGAGGTTGGTGAGACGCGTCTTGAGATAGGTTTGAGAGGTGTAGGCTTGGGAGAGGAGGGTTGAAACTGGGACTGATGATTCGGAGGGGGAAAGTGTTTCGTAGCGGCTTAGGTCGATGGCATTTAGAGGTGGTGGAGGCGTTGAGGAGGATATCCGGGCATTTTCAGCAGCAAGGGCTGGAGAGAGGTTGGAGGGTAAGAGTGGTGGGAGAGAGGGGTGTGGAGTGGATGTTGAGGCGGGCTCTAAATAGGTGGTAATGAGAGATTCGGCAGCGGCTCGTTCGAGTGGGGTGGGCTCGGCGTCAATATATGGGAGAGATTCGTGAATTTCGTTTATGATAGGCATTTTGAAGTGGCTTTGAGTGTTTTTGTTTGATGGATTGTGATGTGAGCTGCGGTGTTTGATGTGAAGAACATCGACTTTTGGTTTGTGATTTGTTGAAGCACGAAGTGAAAATTATATCTTCCTTGACAAAATTTTGTTTTGGATAATTCCGAGGTAATTGTGCCGTGATAGCTCCTAGAAAACTATACGAGTGCTTGTAAAATGTGTTGTGTTTGTAAGATATAATAAATTTCTCCAAGTAAACAAGCCTAGAAGCTTAATGTTTGCCTTGCGCGCCAGGCTCGCTCCACCAAGTGAGCTTACTCCGGCCAGCCGCTAACTTCCTCCCAGCCCCAAGCTACAAACTATAAACTTTACATCGGTCACCATGGGATGATAAACATTTCCATATTCTAAAGAGGCCGGATTAAAAAATACAACAATCTTGCTTCAGTATCATGGAGCAGGACCCGGAAATGAAGGCTGGTCCTTTCGACCTGAATCGACGTGAGCATAGCAGGAATAGCTCTGGAATTCGCCGGTCTGTGAGAAATGCTGTTGTAGTGACTCTTTTGGTCACCTCTTTATTATTGTTTTATGATATGATATTTGGTGGATCTACACGAAAGGACTTTTGGACATGGACAGATGGGAGTTATGGAAGCAACGGACCTGAGCAGGATGATAGTTCGAAGGGAAGCCGGTACTTACTGGGAGTCGGGAAAGCAGATATCACCGGGTAAAAGTTACAACTGAGGACTATGAGGCCATACTAATACTCATTAGTCCAGTCGTGGAGATCAACATGATGGGGTATGCAGATCCCAAGCAATTAGGATCCGGATTACGGCAACGTCTCTATTCTCGAGCGTTCATCGTAGGCGATATCAATCGTCCGGAGGATCGTTTCGTCTATCTCGTTTTGGATACACAATCCGGCGATACTGCCGTTAGGTATGGGATACTGGAAGGTCTGGCAAAATTCGGTAGCGACTATGCGGTGTATGGCCAACAGAATGTAGCTGTGACAGGCACGCATTCTCATTCGGGTCCTGGGGCGTGGCTAAACTATCTATTGCCTCAGATTACTAGCAAAGGGTTCAGTAAACAAAGTTATCAGGCTATAGTAGATGGTGCTGTTTTGTCTATTCAAAGAGCTCATACTAGTCTTCAACCTGGATACCTTAATATCGGTACGACGAAAGTCTTTGGGGCCAATATCAATCGGAGTTTATACGCCTATTTGGCGAATCCGGAGAATGAACGAGCTAGGTACAATACTAGTACCGAGGACGACGGATCTGTCGAGAAAGACCTTACTCTGTTGAAATTCTCACGAGCTTCGGATGGGAAAAATATTGGGGTTTTAACATGGTTCCCCACACATGGAACTTCGATGCTAGGGAACAATACTCTGATTTCGGGAGACAACAAAGGTGTCGCTGCAGATCTTTTCGAGAAAAGTGTAAGTCGGGAAGCAAGTGCAGCTGGAAGTTTTGTGGCCGGATTTTCACAAGCTAATGTTGGCGACACAAGCCCGAATGTTCTTGGTGCTTGGTGTGAAGATGGATCTGGGCAGCAATGCAGCTTCGAAAACAGCACCTGTAGTGATGGTAGGAGCCAGTATTGCCATGCCCGTGGGCCGTTCTTCCGCATAAAAGATAATGGAGCATCATCTTGTCACGAAGTTGGCAGGAGGCAGTTCCAGGCTGCCAAAGAATTGTATGACGAGACGGATACAAAGCTGACTCCTATTTCCGGATCATCGGTGAAATCATTTCATACATTTCAAGACATGTCCAACTTTTCCTTTCCATTGGCAAACGGGAGCTACGTTCATACGTGTCCGGCTGCTTTAGGTTATTCCTTCGCGGCCGGAACCTCAGATGGACCAGGTGCGTTTGACTTTACTCAAAATGACCCGAATGCACCAAATGCTTCGCCCGTATGGCGAGTCGTCTCCGGTTTTCTCAAGGCACCAAGCGAGCAGCAGCAGCGTTGCCATTACCCCAAGCCCATTTTACTTGATGTTGGCGAGATCACGACGCCTTATTTGTGGACACCTAATGTCGTTGACGTGCAAGTGCTTCGGGTTGGACAATTACTTATAATTGTCAGTCCTGGCGAGGCAACCACAATGTCCGGTCGTCGCTGGAAAGAAGCTATTCACGACTCCGCTACATCGACCATACTTTCCGACTCTTCCTCCCCAGATCCCGTAGTTCTCATCGCTGGTCCAGCAAATAGCTATACACATTACATCGCCACACCTGAGGAATATGGCATCCAGCGCTATGAAGGCGCCTCCACTCTCTACGGTCCCTATACTCTTAACGCCTACATTAACCTCACCCTCACCAATCTTCTGTACCTAAGTCCAACCTCAAACTCACAGCCTCCTCCAGGCCCTCTTCCTCCAAACAATGTCAACAACTCCCTGTCCTTCATAACTGGCGTCGTCTACGACGGCCACCCGCTTTTTAGTTCCTACGGCGATGTAAAAACCGACGTTCTCCACACATATCCCCTTTCCTCCTCCCCAATCATAACCGCCACTTTTATCGGTGCCAACCCACGCAATAATCTACATCTCGAATCCACATATGCAGCCATTGAGATGCAGATCCCAGGCACGGATCAATGGCAGCGGGTACGCGATGATAGTGATTGGAGTTTGATTTTTGAGTGGAAGAAAATTAGCGAGATATTGGGGACTAGTGAGGTTACCATTACGTGGGAGGTGGAGGGGTGGGCGCAAGATGGAAGATATAGGATAAGATATTTTGGGGATTCAAGGGCGGTGGATGGGACAATTACGCCATTTGACGGAGTTAGTGGGGAGTTTGAACTTGTGAGATAATGCTTTCATAGTCTTTTTCGGTGTATTACAAGTTGGGAATGTTATGGTTGTTGGTTACGGATTCGGGCAGCGGCACATCACTGGAAGTAGGATAACGATTAGGACTAAACAGTATCACAACGGTTGGACGATCGGTTTCAATGGACGAATTTATTTTGATTATTCTGTCTATTTGCGATTTTAAACTTTTTATTCGCCGGGTATTGTACTGTATAGACAAGCTCGCCCTAAAAAACACCAAAATATGTGAGTATGCCCCAACCTCTCATTCAAGTCTGTGCCAAATTCTCGCCATTAAACTCCATCATATGACCATATCTCCACGTCAACGTAAGCTCAACCATGGGTCGATCTCTTAAGTTTTACTCTCTCCCTTTGATCTACCTTCCATGCATCTTCGAAAAGCGTTGGCTTTACCTTCAGATCATCGGGAGTAAGATCTAGTTGCCTAACAACCTTGAAAGCACCCGTGCCTACACCCATCGTCTGTCCCATGATAATACATTCACTGACACCCTCAATTCTATCCGTCTTCATGCCTGCGGCCGCATCAAAAAGGTGATCCGGGGTTTTCTCGAAGGATGCAAGTTGCAGTACACTATCTCTCATTTTCGAAAGGCCGAAACGGGTGATACCTAGGACTTCTCCCTTGTATGTCATGACGTCAGCAAGAAGTTGCATGTGACGAGGATCGATATCCATATCCGCCATAACGGTCGCGATTTCGTTGGCGATTGTGTAACGAGCTGCTTCAATACCTAAGACATCACGCATTTCCATGACACTGTTGGACTTGACTTTGGTGCCGTCAACACCTTCGGTTCCGATACAGGCACGGAGACCATATCCTTCAACAACGACTGTGTACTCTGGCTTCTCGTGTTCAGATGTGTTGATGATAGCTCTGGTGGCTTCTGGATATCCGGATATGGCCAATTCTGGTATAGCGCGCTTGAGGTGGTGTACACGGAGTAGAAGGTCAGAACCACCTTCATCAAGGGTGGGCTTGCCCTTAGCTGCGGTCCCACGAGCTGTGGTAGGAGCGCTACCATCGTGGGTGACCCTGATGAAAATGCACTTTCCTTTGACGTTGAGATCTTCGCTTTTGACCTTGAGTTTCTTATTCTTCAAGATTGTAGTAGCAATATTCTCCACGGTTACTTCAATCTGCCTGTTCACTAAATACTCCGTGTCTACCGCCAGACAGATTACTGCGGATTTCGCTGACCACATGTCCTCGGCAAAATGAAGAACTTCATGCAAGTAGGTCTTCTCCATACGAGCTTTCACAAGACGGGCTACATCCAGGTCCTTATCGTTGAGCAGAGGGCATTTGACGAACGGCGTAGCAATCGTCTTTGAAGCGTTGATAATTTCCTTAATACGGGGTACACCAGCGGTCAAATTCATACCAGCGACACCGGCAAAATGGAAAGTCTTCAACGTCATTTGTGTTCCAGGTTCTCCGATCGATTGCGCTCCAACAGCTCCCACGGCATGACCCGGTTCGACCTTGGCTCGAGAGTACTTTTCCAGACAGAGTTCACAAAACTTTTTCAATGTGGTTTTGGAAACCTTGGCAACTTGGTTTACATAGGCTCTCGATTCATCATTTTCGTCTTTTTCGTCGTAAAGAATACCCGTAACTTTTGGATCCTCTACAAAATCATGCAGGCCAGCCTTTGTTCGCGCTTTAGCCATGTGCGATGCTTTTTCACCTATGAATTTGTTAACGGCTGCAAGGAACTCCCGGCCACCATCATGCTCATCGACACCGTAGTCGCTCGCATCGTCGTAGCCTAATGGTTCACCGTTACGAAGTCCAAATCTAGAGAATTTGGCTTTAAATGATGCCAAGTGTTCCGTGCATTGACCGGTAACCTCAAAAGGTAAAAGTGATCTTTCTTCGTTGTCCCATGTGAGGGTCTCTGCTTGAGTCCATGTTCGCTTGAAATTGACAGGAACTGCATTTCCCTCCATGTCCAACGGATCCAGTCCGTCAGCACCAAACTGAAACTGGACGATTCCACCACCAGAAGTTCTGACGGTATCATCATATTGTGTTGATAAATCCTCTAGAGATTTCATGAGTCGTCGCGACATGTAACCGGTTTCTGCTGTTTTGACCGCAGTATCCACCAAACCTTCACGTCCGGACATAGCGTGGAAAATGAATTCATAGGGGGTCAGCCCAGTGAAGAAGCTGTTTGCTACGAACCCCTTGGCAGGAGGTTGTTTAGAGTGCTTCGGGAAATGAGGAAGAGTTCGATCTTGAAAGCCTTCTTGGACACGAGAACCTCCAATGATTTGTTGCCCTACTAGCGCAACCATCTGCGCAACGTTAATTGCAGAACCCTTTGATCCTGAATTAGCCATTACTAGCGGTGAGCTCGAAGCGTATAAGGTCCTGAGACACTCTTTTCCAGCTGCGCCACGAACTTGACTTAGCTTGCCAGAAAGTTTAGCTTCAAGTGTCTCTTCCATACTCAAACCCGTAGATTTCTCTAATGTGTTGTTCTTGAAACTTTCAATCAGTTGCTCGCACTCCGCGTAAGCAGCAGCAATCAGTCTGGCCTTACTCTTGTTGAGTTCCTCGGAAGGATAAACATCACTGATTCCTATGGAGAACCCCATGTTTGTCAGATATCTGGCGGAAAGCTTGGACAAGCGATTCATAGCCACAACAGCTGCGTCGGGGCCATAGTCACGCAATATGACATAAAAGATGGAGTCTTTTTTCCCAGATCCAACTGTGCTCTTGTCCATAAGGCCACACATCACCTCTGAGTTCCGAATTACCAGCCATCCGTCATTGGCTTCCATGTCATTTGCATACCCGGGCGGCACCATGTTTGGTACGAAGTCTCGACATTTTGCGTCAACATTGACAAGTATGTCATCTTGCTTATTCGGGCGCATGAGAATACTGAAAACTTGTTTGCCGGTCCAAAGAGCTTGTGGTTTTAGAATAGCTGGCGGAGGAAGTTGCAAATGAAGATTTGAGTCGACCATGTACATGCAAATATTGGTAAAGGTCTTGCGATCGAAGAAGTTCTCTTTACTAGATAACAAATAAGCTGCCGTGATAAAATCCTGCGTAGCAGAAATAATAGGTTCTCCATTCTTTGGAGTCGAAAGATTGTTCTTCACTCCCATTAGATTAATCGCCTCGGTCCGCGCCTCCTCCGTTTGTGGTACATGAAGATTCATTTCATCACCATCGAAATCTGCGTTGTATGGATTGCAGACACATTCATTCAGACGGAATGTTCGCCATGGCCGGATTTTTGCGTAATGACTCATGATACTGAGCTTGTGCAGAGATGGCTGACGGTTGAAGAGAACAATATCGCCATCCTCAAGATGTCTTTCAACAATGTCTCCTATCTTGAGAAATTTTGCCTCATTGTCCCGTTTAGCAAATTTCAAGGATATCTTATGGTTGGAATCTTTCTTGACAATTTGTTGCGCACCCGGGTGGACGTTCGGCCCATTGATGACGCACTTGCGCAATTTTTCGATGTTCTGGCGTTGGACCCGTTCAGGATAAGTGAGATTCTTTGCTACCAAAATAGGTACAGCGACTTCATCAATACCAAGATTCGGATCGGGAGAAATAACCGTTCGTCCAGAGAAATCAACACGCTTTCCAGACAAATTACCTCGGAATCGACCTTGCTTTCCTTTCAACCTTTGACAAAATCCTCGAATGGCCTTTCCAAACCCAGGCTGCTGAAGGCCTGGAACATCGCTATTAACATACATGGCGATTTGTAATTGAAGAAAGTCCCATTGCTCCATAATTGTTTGCACTGCTTGTCCTTTTTGTAATGCCGCTCTTATCAGAGAGCTCATGTTAACAATCTCGGCGAGTTTCGCGGTGAGATCATCCTCATTACTCCCTCCATCTTGCGCAACAGATGGCCGAATGCAGATTGGGGGCGCTGGCACGAACTGCCATAGAAACATCTCCGGACGACCCTCAGCAGGATTGATCCCCAGAAGTTCGCAATCGCTTGGCGTGATCAGCTTAAACAAATTGAGCACCCTCAATGGGTGCAAATCCTCATAGACCTTCTTCACGTGTTTTTCCAACTCCGTATTGTTCTTCTTTGCTTCTTCAAAAGATTTTTGGTATTCGGCCATTCCTGGTGGAGCAACCTTCTTAGCTGCAGTAGACTTGTTGTATTTTGTATACTTGTCGTGTGCCAGACGAACGACACTGACTTTCCTAATTTGACCATTGGTAGCATCGCAGTGCTGGCACTGGCTTGCCTTTCGACATTGTTCGTTGATCTTCTTACAGATTTGCGTGCGCTTCAAATTATCAATGCCTGGCTTTCGTAACTCTTTTAGGAACTGTCGTCGCTCGGCATCGGTAAGTAGAACCCTGGCGCATGTCTATGAACGTTAGCACCTTACCAACTAGGAGGAGATGAGTCTTTCCACATACCTTGCAGATGTTCTGTAGAATCATTATAATCAATTTCAAGTACCCAATATGGAAAGCTGGAAGCGGTAATCTGACATGGCCAAAATGACCATTGCAATCTTGCAGACCTTTGTCGCAAGTTTCGCACCGTCCAGCTTTGCTGGAGGTACCCTAATACAATATGTTAGTAGCTAATACCTGTAAATTGAGGTAAAATTCATCTTACCAATCTTGGATCCAGAGGGCCATGTGGAATGGGAGTTCGGCCATTATCGACATTATACAGCGTTTTATTCGAGACCTCTATGACACCTTGGTTGACAATGTCTTGGTTTGACAGGATACCAAACTTTAACTCTTTGAAACGTTTCGGAATTTTGTCGACGACTTGCGCCTTGATCGACTCGCCGCTGGACATCATCGGCATATTGGTTTTGTGCTACCGGCAACGATGATGCATAGACCACGGATATTGGAGGATATAGTTTGAATGAAAGCCAAGCTTTCTTGCTATTGCATTGTTGTTTTGATGAGAACAGAATTGAGTAGTATTTGACTGTTAGAACTTTGGTAGTAGGCTGGCGTCGCGGTGAGTTAAGTTGTTTAGATCTGGACTTGATCAGCAGAAATTTTGGTAAGGTTATAAGGTTGGCTCCGAAAAAAAAAGGCTTCACACCAGCTGGAACCGAACCCCGCAATCATGAAGCTCAATTGGAGAAAGCTTTTCTGTAAAAAGACTAGCGCCAACCTTATCTATTACGATAAGATATATTCATTTCTTCAACAGGGGATACTTTTTTTTTAATTACTCTCGAGACTAAAATATCCCCAAAAGAGGACAAAGAAGTACCAACACTTATATAAATTGCAGACGATTGCTTGCATTGAACCCGCTTAGCTACTGTACGGGATGGTTTTGATGGAAAATTTTCGAGGCCTAACTAAATATTCTGATATTTATATTCATACTCATATTCAAGTTCTGATATGATATGATAGGGCTGGGTTGAATATCCAATCCTGACCCGATAGCTCAATGTGATCCGACAATAATGAGAGATGTTGGTTTGCTAAATCCAGTCAGTGCATATATGCATGCATGTACATCGATTAACACAGACTACTCCTGCTTTGGAACAGTGACATCTGAGCCGTCAAATCCACTTCTAGATTAGGGAGTTAGATGCAAAACGTCACAACCTTAAGACTAAAAGCCTTGGACCGCAATCCGGGCCATTGGAACCATATAGTGGCCGAAGAGCGGTATAACGGTATCATTAAAATATTTATGCTGAAGTATTCCTATACTCCTTTACGAACTTAACATTCCAACCTAATCCTTTCCCTTAAGAAGTCATATGCTTTCCATCCTCTCCACCACGCAATGCAAGAAAAGCCCGTACATCTGTCACATACTGGAGTCCCTCCAAAAGGGGCACGAGATGCAGAAGATCATTATCTGTAGGATCATTGATCCAGCCCTCTATCGGTATTGCATTGTCTGTCGAGGTTAGCTCCATTCAGTACCTCATAATGGCATATATTCACCTTGATGGAACAGGTAGCTCGTGGGGCTATTATCTAAAATCATGACTTTACTAAGATCTGGCTCGACAGAGCTAAGATCCTTGATGTAGGCACCGTTCCGAAAGGTGCAGTGCTGACGATAGTATCGTGCTGAAAAGAATTTACGCTCTTGCTCTAGCCAATCTATAACCGGGTCCGCGTAATCTTGGAGTGATGCTGTGAAAACAACCAAATTATACCACTTGCAAACCTGTAACCTCATTAGTAACATTTTCCCCACGGAACATATCGCTGCTTACACGTCGCAGGAAGTCATCGCAATATGGCCTCTTATTTACATAATACAATATTGGATGTTGAGGAGGAACGCCTCCATTGCCCACAACGTTTGTGATTTGTACTTCAACCATATGACCAGCACTCATTCGACCTCCATGAATCATACTGTGTATCAAAGTTTCGTCGAGATCAAGGACGAGCGTCTTTTGCGTGAGCTTACCCACAGGAGGATCAAGAGTATAGGATGGCTGTCGTCGAGGTATGAGAGGTCGCGGTGGCGCTGGAGCTCTTGGATACTTTGTCATGAGGAGAGAGGACGTGGCGGTGGATGTTGGCGACTTCATGATTGCAGCAGCCATCTCAGTAGCAGACATGGAACCGCCGGATCCATCACTTTGAGTAGTGGTTGACTGGACCTTCCGGTGCTTCCGCTGCCTTAGATTTTCATCACTATGAAGCTTAATGCGGATAGATCTCCTCGCAGGCGAAATCTCGTCGGAGCTTTGTAAGGACTTGGAACGTGTTTGTCGATTTGGCAATTTCGTTGCAGAGCTATCTGTCTCACTAATGAACCTGTCATTTTCTGATTCAGACTCAGATGAGACGAAGGACGAGGAACTCGGCGAGGCAGGCCCTCCCGATGACGGTGTGTGCGCCGATGATAGCTTTCCGTTGGGCAAAGGGCTTATACTTCTGCCCTCGGAAATAGGCGATCCTCCGGTTGTTTGTGCTATTGAATACCCATTGGTGCCACCAAATAGTTTCCTGAATTGAGATATTGGGGCGAAATTACCCCTTTCGTCGCACAAGCAAGCTATAACGTATACTCCCGGCGAAACAAGAGTAGACAGCACCCACCGTATAGAATCATAAAACATCCTCGTTATTCCCACATGCTCACTTGTATGATAAGCCGTGCCTTCTTTGTCTAGTAAAGCTGTTGATTCGTGTATTGAGTTTTCATGGTCCGGATTCGAGTCTGGCGCATGGTCCTGATCAAGTCCTTCCGACTTCTGGCTGTACAGGGCTTCTCGCGAATTCCTTCTAGATTCTGATTTAGTTGCGGATGCCAATACATTTCCCAAAGAATTCGAACGCGAAAGCGATGGAGAATGCGGGGGAGACCCTCGCCCCGAGAGGATATTCAAAGAATTCATAATGGTTTCCGATCCATGGAGGAAGGTTTCTAACAATCGATCATAAACAATGGAGCTTCGCGAGATTCCAAGCAAAAGAGCTAGGAGCGCAAAGGCCCAAAAGTTTATGATATCGGTCTTCGGTTCGGAAAGTATGTTTGCTTCTTTTGTTCAAAGTTAAATGGTGATTTTTCTTTTTTGCCAGTTATGGTTGGAATCAGATTGAATATTCGTAAGGAGGTGGGTATGTAGGTGTTGTGAATTATTGATATATGGGAATCGTGTATTCGCTGTTAGTGTATTGTATGGGGATGGTCCGTACAAAGTAGCTAGTATGTCAAAGGGGACCAAGTCCAAAGCCGCTGGTCTGATCAAATACAATCACAATCTTAGAGAATAATAAAACAAGTAAACGTTGGGGGAGGCCCGCGGTTCTAGAAGAAGAAAAAGGTTGAGACGGGAAGAAATGGAGGAAGAGAATAGGAAAAAGAGTGTGAGGGAAAATGGGAATGGAAATGACAATGGGCAATGGGTGAGCGTTCGGAACTGTCATATGAAAACTGTGTGTTTAATTCATACAGCACAGTACAGCACTCTGATACGAAAGTATGGACGGGGGATGCACGATCGGTGATGGGTGATGAATGATGGGGGGATTGAGTGGTGCTACATGAATGATAGTGGGGATTTGGAAAGGGTCATCTAGGTATGTATGGAGTTCTGGCACCGGTGGCTGGGCTTGCAGAGTGATAAAAGCTGGGGTTGAATAAGGAGCAACAGCGTGTACAAAATGCAGTCAGTGTGCTCCCTGGTATCAATGTAGGGTATGTACAGCGAGTGAGTGCACTGTACAGTCTGTTGGGAGGTACTGTAACTTGATTTTGATCATCGGCCTTTTCTACGGAGGAGAGCCCGCTCACCCTGAGTCACCGAGTCACTGCCCCCCCGCACCTAGAATGACTCCAAACATACTCCGTACTACGCACCTAGGACTTACTTTTTTCTTTTTTCAAGCTTCCCGCTCCCCTCACTCACTCACTTACACCCACCCCTCCTTACAATATAATTAGAAGCGGAAAATAACTCTTTACAAATTATCTACCTACTGGTATCGACAACTTTTGAAGCCGTACAAGTTTATTGAGGGGCATTCACATTTACGCAAAATACTCGACATCCAAAATACAATCTCAAATTCTAACCTCCGAGCAACTCCTCTTCTTCTTCCCCTCCTCCTTCAAAATCACAATCTCCAACCATTTACACACACCCCATCGACATCTATAAAAAAAACAATATGGCTCCAGTTCATAGTGGAGGATATGCGCCAAATCTTGGTGCATACCTGAAATCATTGAAAGGACAACCAATTGAGTCATCTATAGAAAATTTAATATCGTACGTACTTTTCCATGATCTTTGAAAGACAATAAATTCACCACCTTTAGACTTTTGAAACGAAGGCAGATAAGAACTCCAAGATCATGCGCCATAGCCACCGCTCACTTATTACTCCAAGTTGTCGCAAAGCAAAGATGGACGGATATCACAAAAGTCTTGGAGCGCATTCGGAAAGTGGGACAAAGATTGATTGAAGCCCAACCAAGGGAAATGGTCGTGGGAAACATCGTTCGCAGAGTCTTGGGTATGATCAGGGACGAAGCAAAAGAGGACCGCACCGAAGACGTCAGTGATTCAGCATCAACCAGTCAAATTGGGTCGCCCAGGCGTGAGGGCTTCAGCGATGTGGGACTATCGAGGCTGGCACAGAGTTCACGGCCTCCTTTGATGACCTCGCATACTTCTTATGCTGCTCAGCATAACGCCCCTGTGCAGCAGTCAATGTTCAATCTCTTGTCGGTTGCTCCTTCTCCGGCTTCGACACCTCCAGGGACCTCGTCTCCTCATGGCAGATCTGTGTTGGATATGACTTCGCTTGCGAACAAGATGGCCTCCACCACGAGAGATCTCAAAGCGGAAATCATAAACGGCATCGAGGAGATTATTGATGAGCTCGACCAAGTAGATGATCAAATTTCTAGTTACGCACAGGAACAAATTTCTGAGAGAGAAGTCATACTCACACATGGTACCTCGAGGAGTGTTCAAAAGTTCTTGCTAAAAGCTGCAGAGAAGAGAAAGTTCACTGTGGTGGTTGCTGAATCGTACCCAAATGAACACGCAACAACTCATTCTACCGTTACAGGAATGGCGGAGCAAGACACCGAGGGCGACTTGAGCACAAAAACATTTCTGAAACCACTCTCCGCCGCTGGAATTACTGTTACTGTTATAACCGATGCCGCAGTATTCGCGGTAATGCCAAGAATCACCAAGGTCATTTTAGCTACTCATACTGTCATCGCCAATGGTGGACTGGTAGCCGCAGCCGGGGCACGCATCATCGCGAGAGCAGCAAAATTTCATAGAATACCAGTCATCGTTGTTAGTGGTATTTACAAGCTCAGTCCTGAATATCCTTTCGAGTTTGAGTCCCTTATCGAATATGGCGACCCCGGAAATGTAGTTGGATTTGAGGATGGTGAATTTGTAAATAAGGTTGAAATCGACAACCCTCTTTTTGACTATGTCTCTCCTGATTTAGTTGAACTCTACATTACCAACCTGTAAGTTTCCATACTCTCATTCGACGAATAGTACTGACAAATTCAATAAGAGGACCGCACGCACCTTCTTATCTATACAGGATCGTCGCAGAGCACTATAAACCAGAAGATATAAATTTCCACAAACCGGAACTCCAGTTTTAAATGCATTTTAGGTACCTATAAATGTAGAAATGAATTTGTTTTAGCGAGGACGAAGAGCTTGGAAGCTATTCACTCTTTGTACTCAGGTAGTTTCAATACAAAAATCATCCTCCGGAGCTCCATCCTAATTCCCGAGTTATGCATTCCATTTATAAGAGGAATACACAACAAGGTGTCACCTGTGCAGCTTCTGCAACTTACACGACACGAATCAAGCTGCAGTGAAGGAGCTGCAACGTCGATTGCAAAGGTATGGTTCTAGGCCCTAATGATATGCAAGGAATCGTTCGAGAACTCTTCGAAGCGGCAAGCCCTTCAAAACAATCTGCAAATTCATCGCATCGGACGAGTTGCTGCTAAAGGCTCCAAATACAACACGTTACCCATAAATCCGGCAGTCGATGATGCCGTGCTCGTGCAGTCTGGTTCTGTTGATTTCGAGTCTTAGTGGTGCAATCATCAAGGCTGCGTCTTATCGGAATCACAATTTGGATTGCAATAACGTGTGTAAAGTAGCCGAAAAACACATAGCCACGACTTCGACCACCCCATTCTCTTGATACCAATAGTCATCCTCGGCCGTCTTGCCATCGTGGCTACTTTCTTCCCAACGCGTAATCTTGCAGAATGGTGACCCATTTTCTCGCTTAAGCATGTAGGGGTTTGGCAGACAAAAATGGCTGTAGATGTGGGGGTTGCTAACCTGCGAGAGGACTAAATCTACAGATATATCATGTCGACTTCAGTCGTCCAGCTCAAGCTGCCACTATCTCTTTAATATCTATACAGCGTACAAAATATTTAATTCTTACTCTGTCGCTTTATTTTCCGAGTTTCTCCTCGCAACAATTTTCTTTATGTGGCGCTGCGGAGACTAGCATCGTACGACATGGATCAAACTGCCCCTCCACCATACAGCGAAAGAGATGCCTTCTCGAATCCCAATACCACGACACGTACACTGTTCACGACAGACGCAGATAATGCCTCTAGGCTGCCTCGAAGAATACGATCTGATACATCATCGAATGAAGGTTCATTAATATATACTCCTCCCTACTCGCCAACAGAGCCTGATCCTCGACGTAAGCATAACACAATTAGTTCCTTGAAATGAAAACCTGCACATTTTGAACTTGGACTGCATGTTCCATTGACCGAACCAAGGTCGCTCATTGCAGGAGATTTAATGCCATCAAGACATCAACTAACCCTTCACCATTCTAGGCTCAGACAATCACTTCGAATACCATTCTGCTCATAATTACTTTGAGTCACGGAAGATACCACAGCTATTTTCAGCTTCAAGTACCACTCAGCATACTATATATATATCACCTAGAAGTACACCAAGTGATGTCCCGATTCCACCTTCCGCGTCAGACAACGGGATCACGCAACAAGATTGGTCGACCTTCCTAAATTACTTACTACCTGATCATACCCTTAATGCCAATAACCATGTAGCCAATCGTAAGCTAAAAGCGAAGCTGGTCGACGAGCGGATGCAAAGGCTTACGCTCAATGAGGGTGATCGTCCCAGACTTGACATCAATGAAGTTCAAGCGCAGCTTAGTCCTCCACGTCGACCCAACACCTCGTCTGATACAGACTGGGCAGAAGGAGTAGACGAAGTGATCAAACTTTGGAACGAGGGGTTCTTTGTTCCTCGTGGATTAAAGATCGTTCGCATTGATGTAGAGCACCCTGAGCTTCATGAGCGATGGACCCGTATGCCTGGTTTTTGGAGACCCGATGAAGAGGATCTTTCGCACTTCCCCGAAAGCAATAGAAGACGTGGAGGCATTTCTAGACGTCATTCCCCATGCAATGGACAACCTCAAACACCTACAATCGGTTCTATGGTTGCAAATGACGGAGAGTTCAAAATTAGAAGGAATGGTCTCGTTCCCGACTCCAACGGTTTGCGTGTCGGTAACATGTTCATAGCAGATGATGATGGTTTACGAATAGACGGGAATCGAGGGCTCAAAGTCAACGAACATGGAGCTAGTATCAGTGGTCATAGCTCTGGAAGAAGGAGAAGGGGCGGGCTACATGCGCAGGGAGCTGAGCAAGGATCGGCACATGAGCCAGAAGGGCGGCATGGGAAAAGAAGGAGGGGAAGAACCGATCTGCATACACATGAGTCTGACCGAGGACGGGCACACAAACCGGGAGAGTGGCACTCTGGGCGATCTGGAAGAAGAAGAAGAGATCATTCTTCCTCCTCTTATTCTTCCTCATCTAGTTCCTTTAGCTCTGACTCTGACGCATCGGTTGGTTCCCTACCTGACTACGATCATCTCAAAGACCAACAACTAGTAGCCGCCAGAGATACAATAATTACGTGGCTCAATCACTCTGAACATCCCATGACGAGACAGACGGTTCGGAAAATGAAACAAGATATCAAATTCGCGAAGAAGAATCCCGAAGGAAAACCCAGCTCTCATGAAGATCTCGCTTCCCTACGAAGAGAAGTCAAAGATCTGCTTAAAAAGTTCAAAGACGTGAAGAAATCTCAAAAAACATTTAGGAAAATCATGAGAAAAGAACAGCGAAGACTCGAGAAAGCGCATAAGAAAGAACGAAAGAACATGGGGAAAGCGAAACGGAAGGCTGTGAAAAGAGATAAAAATTTGAAGGGAGAAGAATTCCCAGCTGAATTTCCAGCTCTTATACCTATGCCACACCATCTCGGCTTTCCCGAGTTGTCAAAAGTGCGGCTTTCACCGCTTTCAAATATGCCCAGCCCTTCATTTTACACACGGTCTTTTGAATCACATAATTCTAGCTTTACATCTTTGCACGAAACTTTGCATTTCTTACCCTCTCTTCATCCCCAAGCTCAAGTGCCCACGCAGGATCAGCTGCATAATCCTCAAATATCCGCTCGTCTTACCTCTTTCCTATCTCAAACCGCATCGGTGATCCATAGCCAAGCTTCCTCTCTCCTAGCTAGAGCCCGAGCCAAAGAAGTGGAAGCAAGGACTCTCAAAAACTCTTCAGATATTGATGGTAATAATGTGTATGCCAGTCAAAATAGGAGTAACAGGGAAAAGAGACAAGAAGTAGAAAGACTTCTAGAAGAGGCGGAGGAATTGAGAATGGAAGGAGAGAGATTAAGGGCGGAGGCCGTGCAGATGGACGAGGAGTTTGCAAGGGAGATACAGGAGCGCGAATTTGGGCGCAGGCGAGGTTAGGTCGAGGGGATCGTGGAGAGATGGATTTGGATGGGTGTACTAATTAACTAATGACCGGTCTCATTTCAATGTCGTCTAAGCTTGCTTTTACTTATATATCTAATTTGCGCCGAACATAATATTATGGGGGTTATTTCCATAGGTTAGACAGACGCATGCACTTTAATTACTTCTTAAATCCAAAATAAAACAACTATTAATGAAATGACACCTGAAGTCTAAACAACAACGCTCAGTTCTCCGCAAAAATGAGGGAAAAATAGGTATGCTTGGATATATTTTTATGTACGGCAATGAGAGTTTAAGTGGGCAATATAACGGGAATATGGTAAGCATTTGCTTCGACTTGCAAGGGATCAGAGTAGCTAGTAGTCCATATTTGAAATTCAACAATGGGAAACCTCTAAAATCCGAGTTCATTCTAAAGATTCGGAAAGATTTTAAATATTAATCCTAACGTGAAAGATTGTGATCCATTATTATTTCTATCTGGAAAAAAATTCGTTCGTTGGGATGGTTAAACAATCCATTGAAAAAGTACACTTCTCCAATTTTGAAACCTCGCATCTGGTCTGCTATATCTAACCCTGCAAGTGATTGCCAAGTTGTAGAATATAGAGTACGAATGTTATTTCTGTTTCATATCATCTCAATATGTATTTAATCCAACCAACATGCAGGCCTGAATGTGAACATCTTTCCATCGATCTCATCTCGTTACCTTCCTGGAACATCCAACAGGACACCACCATCAACCGCAATAATCTCCCCATTAACATAATTATTCTTCGCCAAAAACAACACTGCCATCGCCATCTCCTCGTCACTGTAGAAACCATTAGCCTTTCCCTACTCATAAATCAAAAGGACAAAAACATACCTTCCAGGTCTCTGCATAGGAACGTGACCCTTCTCCTGAACTTTCTCATCCTTCAAATGACTCTTCTGAGTCTCATCACTCTCTCCCACCGTCATCTCACTTGGAAAATATCCCGGCGCAATACTATTAACCCTAACCCCAATCTTTTTAAACTCATAACTCATCAGTTTACTCAGATGCACCGTCGCGCCCTTCGCCGCATTGTACGAAAAATGGCCCTGTGCATGTCTCATGATACCGCTCATGGAACTAATAACAATGACTGAAGAAGACATGCTCCCATGAGCCTTATGGGCAGCTTGCAGCAGTGGGAGGAAGCACACCGTAGTGAAATAGACAGCCGATACATTGGTATTGAACGTAGTCCCCCATTCTTCAAAACTTTCAGAGTTGAAAAGTTTATCTTTCAGTTCGACTGCATCCGAAGAATCGGGTTCTGCTTTAGGGCCCGAAATCCCTGCGCCAGCGAGAAGGAGACTGATATATTTTTCTTTTTTACTGATCTCAGCTACGAGGTTTTCAAGGTCTTTCTTGCTAGTTACGTCGCAGGGGCCAATCCTATGTTCTCTCAGATATTTATAGATAATGATGAAGAGGACAAGGAACTCACGGGATGATGGAACCACCAGATGTTGGGGAATGCTGCTTGGCTGCATTTTCGAGGGCTTCCATTCGACGACCTGTGATGTATACTTTTGCGCCATTAGCAGCTAATGTTTGTGCTGCCCTGTTAAGTTATCAGTATATACATCCCTCCCAATCAGGAAAGAGAAAATACATCAAACCGATACCAGTTCCTCCTCCTGTCACTACGCAAACATGATTCTTCATTGAGAAGAGGTTCTCTGCCCGGAGTTCATTTGTACCAACCATTTTGTCTAGAGTTGAAAGTAGAAGAGAACTTGATGTGTGTTATGGAGGTATAGATGAAGTAAAGTAAAGCTGTAGAAAATAATCGACTTATTGGATTAATTTTTAAAGAAAAGCTGAAAATTTAACTTGGCTACTCTTTTGCTCCTTACGCTTCGGAGCACTTGCTCCTTGATCTGATGTATCATGTCTGATGTTTGTTAGTCCCTACGTCACTACGCTTTGGTGCCGTTTGACGCGGGGGAAGGAACCACCAACCGCTCCCAGTCAAAAGCCAATTTGAGCCCAAAAATCGACCAATGCCGAGATTCATCGACATGAGGTTTATAAGAAATAGTTTCTACTCGTACTACTACTAGGTAATAGGTAGATAGGAACATCGCATCGATGAAGAACTTACCAAGTTCAACCAGGATGCTCCGAGGTCGACTCATAAAATCAAAAGTCACTTAAGCATTTAGATAAAACCCATCATCGGTGCCTGAGATACTTGGATGAGATGCAGACATATTTATTATCCTGTATATTCCCTTAAAAATTCGTAAAAATCATCATTATAATACCAATTCTGCTCATGATACCGCCATTTTCTCATAAGCCAGTGGTAAGTGTAAGACGGTTAGCCGCATCGTGCAGTGCCTTACCTCTCCTCCTCCTCTCTCCATTGTTTTACATATCAAAGCCTGCCATGTTCGAGCTTTTTATGATGACTCCTGAACCAGGACCTTATTCTCTTCCAATACCTTGGCCAATTCTCCGCTTTGGTGCATTGTAATTAAGATATCGCATCCTCCTATAAATTCCTTATTGACATAAAGTTGGGGTATGGTTGGCCACTCGGAGTATTCCTTGATTCCTGTTTGGAGTGTATGTTAATATCCACCTAGCATATATCAAAAGTAGACGTTCCAAGACTAACCTTGTCTTAAACCTTCATCCTCCAGAACGTTAAGGGCAGCGAACTTCTCTGGATCCAAGCCCTGTAGACTCAAGATTTGGATGGTTGCCTTTGAGAAGCCACACATTGGATTTTCCGGTGTACCTTTCATGAAAAGTACAACAGGCTTTGAACCAACAACTTGATCAATCTGCCTGCGGACTTCCGTAGAGAGATATCGAGAGGCGATGGGAGAGAACCGAGGCGCCGAGAATTTGGAGGCAAATGTTGCTGGGCGGGCAGCTTGTCGGAAAACCTAGGTAAGGATTCGTTAGTACTTCAAGTAATGAGAGTAGGCTATGTATGGACTAGCTAGAGGATGTGACATACCGACGAAAACATTGGTCTGGCAATCATATTGAAATATGATGTACTGATTGTTATATAGAATTGTTGGTGTTTGATGCTTTTTTTTGGTGGCCTTGCCTCTTGCTTGATAATATTCAAGACGGAGCTCGGAGGAGCTAAACCTTAGTCATTATCGAGCCAATCAAAGTTTGTGGTATGTAATATTTATCAATATCTGCATTCAGCCTTGCCCCTCACAACCATTCGATGATAATAACAATAATAGCTGTATTACTTCGTACAACACCCAAGAACAACGAAAGACTTGTGATTGAATACCTGCCTATCCTTTCCTCTACCATATATCAAGGTTCACAACCCCATAAAGAACTCTTTGCATTCAATCTTGCAACTGCTTTCCAAAAATCATATCGTTCACATAACCTTATGATTATTATGTCATTCTCCAATATCTAGACTGACATTCCACAATCAAATCTGCTCAACTTCCCATTTCACACTTAATAATCAAACTGTCTTAATCCTCAAATTCAGATTTTTCAAGCAGTCAAGCCAATTTATCTCTTAATTTCAGATCCAATAAGCAAATCTGCCCAATGTTGCAAATGATCCATTCCGAAAATGATGAGCGCCGAACGCGAGTCTCGGGAACCTCACAGCCATTCACGGCTGCGGCTCATGCTTCCGATGGTAGACGACATCTCCTTCTGGCAGCTAGTGGGTCTGTCGCAACCATCAAAATTCCCAATATCCTAGCTGCTTTGTCGCCTTATATCGGTCTTTCCATATGTGTAATCCTCACCAAATCTGCCACCAATTTCCTTCAAGGTCAAAGCATTGAACAACCACACATCGATACTTTCTATCGATATCCCAATGTACAAGGAGTATTTCTGGACGAGGAAGAATGGGTTCATCCTTGGAAACGAGGCCAGAGTATTTTGCATATTGAGTTGAGAAGATGGGCGCACATTCTTGTTATTGCGCCATTGAGTGCCAATACCATGGCGAAGATTACAGGTGGATTTTGTGATAATTTGCTTACTAGTGTGGTGAGAGCTTGGGACACTACGGGGGAATTGGATCCTCCTGCCGACGAGGAGGAGCGTGTTTTCTGGGATCAGAAGAGGATTATCGTGGCCCCAGCGATGAACACTGCCATGTGGAGACATCCCATCACGAAGAGCCAAATTAAGATATTGGAGAAGGAATGGGGTATTGGTCCTGATGGAGATGATGGTGAAGATTATGATTATGATGGATGGTTTGAGGTTTTAAGGCCTCAGGAAAAGGAATTGGCTTGTGGGGATATTGGAGATGGAGCTATGATAGATTGGAAGGAGGTTGTGGAGGTAATTGTGAAGAGGTTCTATTTGGAGCTCCCTTGAGAAACGAGGGGCTGGCGAATTTCTGGCAAGGATTTTGAAACCATCATTCGATTTTACATGAATGGCAGATATCTTGAGAACCGTTATGGTATTCATGAGCGGTTTTGGCGTAAGATTGGCGCAGGAAATGCAATTCATCTGATTCACCAGGTATTTTCTGGATTTTGGCTGCCGCGGGTAGGCCTTGGGACGTTCAGCTTAATGATGTAGCTTGTATTTAATATCTATATTCAAAGTGCTGAGTATCTAGTGAAATTTGTGACATTAGGCTTTGTTTGCTTGCTTGTTGATGATGGAAAGTTATTACTTTGATTAATGCTGTTTTGTTTTTGCCATACCTTCAATCCAGTATGAACGGATTGAGGTTGACATTGAGGTCGCTCCTTCCTTTTTCCTCCTTCAGAACTTGCGGATTTTTAAGCGATTTTCACTTTCAAAGCAAAACTTCAAAAAGATATGCAACTAAATTCATCATCCGCGAATAAATAATCTAACTTCTCTCCTTCTCCGATTCACCTTTACATCGCACAATCCAGGAGCAGCGATGGCACGTCAAGCAAACCATCAGAAGGTTTCTCCTAGTAATCGAAGTAAAGCGCATGCAGCAAAATCAAAAGTGTCAAAATCAAAAGCTTCCAAAGAATCTAAGGTTACATCACCGCCAAAGGCCTCCCGAGAGAGAACGAAGAGATTTGTTCTTGTCAAACCAATTGCGAAGAATGAGGTTCGAAAACTTCAACGTGTCGATAAACACGCACGCTCATTTCTGATATCCAAACATGCTCACATAGTTGAGCCATCTCCTGAACCTGATGACCTTTCCTCTGCTTTTCATGGTGAGAATTGGATCATTATGTAGTTTCCCTGATAGTTCAAGACTGATTTGAGAAATAGAATCTCTTGAAGGAGCAAGAACCCATGTACTGAACACTGGAAAAGCAGCCTTTGACGAAGTTCACGAGGTTCTCATCCAGAAAGTTGCCGAAAATAAGGCAAATGACCGTTCATTCCTCGAAAATATCTCGCGCAATGTAGCTGCCCTCAGCATGCCCTTAGCCGAAGAGAAAATCGAAACCACCGTGAAACGTAAGAACCGACGGGTTCCCGAAGTAGTCGAGATTGGCAAGCGCGTCGATCAGTTCAGGCAGACAATTGAGATTGAAGAGAATAAGCTGGAGGACTATTGGAAACAATGGGAGAGTTTACAAAATGAGTTTGTCAAATTTGCTGCTCAAGTATTTGGCGGTGATGCCATAAAGGAGAAAGAGGAGGATGAGGGATATCGTGTCGACATGCAGTTGTTAGACGCCGACCACACGACCCAGATGAATACGTTACTGGAAGAGCTTGATGAAGTAGGACATGATGCCATTAAGATGATGAAGGCTTCGGAGAAGGTATGCTATAAACCGCTTTACTGCGTACTTGGGGTGCTGATGAATTCTCTTCTAGGAAATCGATGTCAAGGCAGACAAAGTACGACAAAGAATTGTGGGAGCAATGATGTGGTGAATGGGGTTTCAAGGTGACGGCGCATTGAGCTCGTGAGATATACCATGTGGGATTTAATGATAATAGGCATACTAGCCATATTTTAATATCTGCTCACATATCTAGGAATGACGATGCCATGTTTTATGTGCTGAGAATAGCTATGTAAATATACTAACCTCCATCTTGAGGCTCTAATTGAACTTTCAATTAACACCTTGTATGGCGAAGATCTTGTTGGCCCTGAAATAGACTGCCACGGATTTGCTTTCCGTCAGCAACCAAACTTCAATTGCGGCGTAGATAGCTCATTCGGCAATGAAATACTTTAGGATGTTGGAAGTGATGTTCGAAACAGTCAAACACAACAAAGTTACTGCAAGAAGACACTTATTCTTTATCATAAAAGCATTAGATTGCTATGCTAGTCGCCGTCTATGAAATTCGGAAAAGCCACCAACGCTGATGAAAACCTATGCAAGGAAATATCTATGCCCCCAAACCCAAAGAAGTAACCGCGCCGTAAAACGACTTATTTTCCCAACCACCCCGTGTGCGAACGCAAAACGAAAATGGCCCGGCTTATCGGAAAACAGTGCGGCACACAAGCACCTCCGAGCCAGCCCACTAGAGTACAGATTATCCAATCCAATCCAATCCTGTAAAGAAAGGTGAGTTGAATTATGCGCCAACTTCATCAATGATAACACCCCATTCATGTTCCACGTTTCCATACATGATATCGACCAACCATTGCTTAATCTTGGCGGCGTACTCTCCACTGTTTCCCTGGGACATAGGGATGTTGATGTCCTTTTCTCTGTAGTTAATTTGTGCGACGGGGACGACGAAGTATGCAGTTCCGCAAGCGAAAGCTTCAATGATGCGGCCTTCTTTGGCGGTCTCGGCAAGCTCGTCCATGGTGAAGTTGCACTCGACAACTTCGAGTTCAGGGATGCGTTCTCGGACGAGTCTATAGTTTCAAGGTTAAAATCACTATTGCCAAAGTAATGGAATATGAGGTGTACTTACTGTAAAACACTTCGTCTGGTAACACCGTCCAAGATGATCTTGTCCTTCAAAGGAGCAGTAATCAACTGCCTCTTACCCTCCTTAGTTTCCCACACAACCAAGAAGTTGCTGGCTCCAGCCTCGGTAACCATTCCGTCGAGCAACCACAAAACTTGGTCATAGCCACGGGCGCGAGCCTCTGAGTTTGCCATCAATGTAGGTCCATAATTGGCTCCCACCTTGGCGAAACCGAATCCGCCGGGCCAGGCACGAACACCTTCTTGACTGGCGAGAAGCTTCATGCCCTGGGGTGAATCCATAACAGGCATGAAGGTGGAAATGACAAACATTGTACATTCTTTGGGGGCAGCAACGCCAACTGTGCATTTGGTGTTAGTAATGGACTCGTAGATACCATACTTGCAAATTCGGACAGGCTGCCTCGATATGCTCATGCCGATATCTTACAAAGGGCGTACTCACGTGCTCCAGCGCTACCAATCATGGTGGGTCGCAAGTAGAGGAAAGTACCGGGTTCTGGGAGCCATTTTGGTCCATCCACAGAAACCAGGTTAACGATGAGCTTCTCCAACTCCTTAGGATCAAATCCTGGCAAGGAAATACGTGTAGCGGAAGTGAGCATTCGCTGACAGTTGCAATCCGGACGGAACAATCTGAGTTTTCCATCGAATCCACGGTACATTTTCATGCCCTCGAAACATTCAGTTGCATAACTAAAATAGGTCAGCATATTTTGAATACACAAACGGCCGAAAATACAAGATGGCCCTGTCCGTTTTATGATTTAAAAGGTCTTTGGAGATCCGACTTGAAGATCACTCCAAAACAAAAAGAATGGTGGCTATGACTCAAAGCACCCAACCAGAAAACAGAAAGCAACTTACTGCAAAACAGAAGCTGTAGGAGCAAGTGAGAGATTTCCGTATGGCTTCAGTTCTGGTGCACCCCATCCGGTCTTGTCACTCCAAACGGCTGTGATCATATGGTCGGTACATTGAGAACCGGTATTAATGATTGGATCCCCTGCCGCAGGAACCTTCATCGGCGTCGTAGATTTGGTGATTTTGAGCAGAGATGCATCGAGGTGAGGAAGAGTGCCAAATTCAGTGGTTGCAATCTTTTTGCTGACAGCGGCAGCTAGGAGTTCATCGGATTGTTGAACATCCTTCGCAGGAGTTTGTGAAATTGCTGATGGAGCCATTGCTATTTATTTTGGTGGCCAAGTACAAGTAGGTGTGCAATTGATAGCTACCTATTAGAAGAAATAAAGAATGTAAGACTTAGAAGGGTTTAAGTTGTAAATTGGAAAATTGAAGAAATATTGAAGATTTTGATGTAAAGTTGTAGGTGATCAGAAATTGAAGGGCAAAGAAAGAATTTATAGAGAAGGTCCCAAGGAGTCGTATAAAAATTTGAGTCACAGTCTACGAAACAATTTATTTCGTTTGAGGAGGGAAAACTAGTAACCTTACATAGAAACATGCACAGATAAGATCCAAACCATAACATGAATAAGTGAAAAACTCAAACTCAAAATTATGGCACTAGCCAATCTTTATTAGAATACTCCGCCAGCATCCTATTTGGGTCCTTTTGGCGGTCCCCAATCAAAGCATGACTATGGGGAATTAGGATATTTTATCAGTACGTACGAGATATTGTACGTCGTCAAGAATTTGGTTAGTGGATCATTGCAATGCAAGGAATTTCAAGCATGGAAGCAACGGCACGGAGGAGATAGGGAAGAGATATTCAATACCGAGCACTGTATATGTTAGTTTGTCAGGAGAACAAGCATTATTGAACGTTTACTCGGATCATTGCATGTTCGAAAGGTAGACCCATGCAAAGATATAGATAGATATTGCTATCTCTGAGTAGGTGTGAAAACGGTACATTTTGTCCGGTGGTATGGATAGTAACACGACAATGTTTGCTGCGGGCGTTGAAGTTGCTGTGGAGATATGATGTCGTTAAGTTTGAATACTTTTCTTTCTGCAACTAAACTTCTAAAGGAGTGTCATTATTGAAACGCTTATCAGCGGGTAACGGTACGGTTACATTCGGAAATCAAAACCAAAAGATATGCAGGAGCTTGGAGTTTCGCACTATAAAAGTCACAAGCACATTCATAAGCTTATATATAGATTGCTGTCATGAATATTTATTTAACATTTAGGGATTTGCTCCAATATTCTCTCTTAGCGGTGAAGAGACAAGATCGAACCGTGGCACACCCTTTGTCAATTAGTCAATATCTATATGTAAAAATAGGTGGTATCTATGAACTTTTGGCCTCCTTACTACCCTCTCTCTAACCACCGTGAACTTTTCCTTGAAGGTTTTGGTCCCAGATCCTATACCGGGTTCTCGACAACAGCTCTATGCAGAACTTTCCTTCATTCGCTGTTCTTCTTCCATTCGTTCGCGTGTCCTTTGAGCCTCCTCACCAATACCCTTTACCCCCTTGACACGTTGTCTTTCTTCATACATATCTCGACTTTTCAATATACGTTGTACAATTTGACCGGCGTTGACAAATGAAAACTCATGATTTCCTATCTCGCGATAGATCCCCATCTCCTTCGCAGCAACGTATGGATCATAGGTCAATGGCATGAAACTTGTTGGCCCATGATACACGGCATCAGGCACTCCCCATGGAGTTGTCGTGAGATATGCCTTCGTTGGAGTGAAGGGAGCACCAAAGATGACGGCGTTGACATACTGCATAAAGTTAGATATGTCATTTGGGAAGGGTGTGGAACGTTGAATACCTTGCATTGCAACACGCAAAGACCTCGTTCGTAGATATTCATGATAGGATAATTGACTCCCTTCCAATGATTGATAACTTCATCATCGTGAACACCAGCTACCACAAAACACGGTGGATAATCCGCCCCTTTACCAACACGTTCTTCTACAGCTTCTTTGCTATACCAGCCTTCTGCCTCAGCGAGTTTCTCCTCCGCCTTGATGACTTGTCGAAGAAATTCAATATGACCCGACGAAAAGAGATCGAAACCACCGTCGACATACACGACTCGCTGACCAGGTTTTGGTGTGGATCCTTGCATTAGAGAACTGAATACTCCTTTCTCATTCTCGGTCTCGTCTTCTCTGGCCGCAATCGAAGCTTTCCAAAACCAAACACATGAGCCTGGGTTAAGTCCAGTTTCGTCGGTGGCATACATTCGCATTCTTTCCGTCATGGCTTTCCCATCCGCGTGCCTCTCCTCCGGAGTTCCTGAGCCATCTTCTCCGGCCAAGAGCTTGGGTAGTGACTTGATAAAGTGCGTTCGTGTGCAAAGTAACATTCGTCCTACCAGATCGGTCGTCGAGATACTTGGCGTTCGCTTTACAACCTTGAATCTGCCTGCAGCCTTGACAAATCGATAGCAATCTTCCCCACTGCTGTCCGAAGTAATGTCATCGCCATGAACTACATATTTACACCCATAATGAGAAATCCATGGCAGAGAGGTAACATATGGAGCATATGACACCGATTGTGTAACCCATCTGCAGGCATCTACTGCCGCGGTTCTTGAGGATATGGAATCAGTAAATCAGTCCTCATCCAATGTTCGTCCTGAATTACCGTTCTTGTAGCGTCATCACCGTAGGCCCTTTGTTCTCGAGAATGGATTCATCGGAATGAATTCCTACCACCAATTCATTTCCCAACTGTCGTGCTTGAAGCATGGCGCCGGCATGTCCTATGCAAAAATAAACATGTTAGCATATTAAGTCGCAAGCCAGGGGTAAGCTTAGGCTTCGAATAGCTTCCTCAGATTCTATACAAACAAACATACCATGATGGAAAAAGTCCCAGCAGCCATCCACCCATATCCTATCCTCTAAGATCTCAGGCGCGGCTTCACCGAATGGACCTTCTTCCTCGAATTTGTCGGGCATGACGTTGAATTAATTGATTAAGTATTATTATTGTTTAGTTTTAATAAGGGTGATGTTTTAAAAAGGTATTTATTCCTTCAATGCAGGTGGTTGAAGTTTAATAAGAACCATGGTACGGGCTGCAACCTGCGGGGCATCTCATCCCTTTACCGCCCAGCAGCAGATCAATCAATCAATCAGTCAATCAACCAAGCTATCTCTATCTATCTTATCACGCTGGCATGGTCTAATGGTCTAAAAGGAAACAAGGCTATATTATATATATGGTACCTACCTACATATGGAGTAGACGATGCTACCGAGTACATACATGCAAATACAACCTCGGAGATGATTCCAAGATAGAAGGTGACGAAAGAGTATTTATTCTCCGTAGCAGAATTTGGTGTGTTATCCGTTATCCTCTGCATACTCGATTTCGATCAATCATTCGTCAATTCCATATCATTCATGCCTTTCTTTTCCACACTCAAATGCGCTTCACCAGCCAGTTAGAGAAGCATGCTTATTCCGTACAGCTGTTGGAGGTAACGTTATCCCTTTATAGGAACCTCACCGTCTTCCACCCCTGAAAGTTGGGGTTCAATGGGCCGGCAAGCAGAACACCTATGTGGTTGTCAGGTGTTAAAGCTATGCGTTCTAGATACCTCCAGAGTAGATCATCTCAGTTGTGGGACATGAGGATAAGACAGGAAAGAGTATAGATATGGACCTCCGATTCCTCTTCTTACAATCAACTTTGTGCTCTTGTACTTCAACGTGTTCGAGCTCGAATTCAAGTTCCTTGGGCTGTCCCTCCTTTTCTAATTTCATCTTGTTGAGCTCCTTCATTTTGCAGAGTCGCTTTTTACGGTTGAAGTCTTCTGGATGAGACTTCGGTATTTCCTTTCTGCTCCACACGAATAAAAATAATAATATTAGCATAATTCCCCAGCAGGATTTAATATATAACCCATTGATTTCTTTTTCCCCTCTTTCCTTTTCAAGTTTCTTTTTTTTCTTAAGAAAAACAGAAGCACACCTACGACACGAAAAGATATAAAAGAGAAGGAAGAAGAGAAAAAGTTTTCCAGCGACAACGACTAGAAAAAGAGTGTGAAGAAGTCACAGAAGGAATAGAAGGCGGGGGCTATTTTGGCAACGACGGAAGATCAAGTTATCTATTTAGCCGAGATTTTGGCGCATCATGATGCATCGGAGTACATCCTCAAATGGACTCTTCAAAGGGGGTAACATATTTGGGGGCAGTAAGACTCCAACTTCTTCAACACGACCAGATACTAGCGGGGGATCTCCCAAGAGTGAATTGAACTACAGTCCAACACATCGACCAACACATCAGCCAAGGACTTCGGTAGCAGGATTCAGTCGCAAACCCTCCCTTTCCGCCTCATCGCGCCATAATCGACGCAACAATTCCACTGCGCATTTGCACTCTACACTCCTACCTCATCTCCCAATATTTCCGACGTCGAGCTCATCCGAGAAGCATTCTGCGGCGAATAATCCCTATGTCGTACCAGTAATCATCCCACTACCACCCTCGGATCCTCGGCAAAGCATAGACAGTTACGATCGGGTCGTCTTAGCAGAATCCACAGGAGTCAATGCATTTGGAGCCGTATCACCACGTCAATCAATAGATGCCGAATCTTTTACCTCCACAACGCCATACTCAAACATGCTTGCCAGACCAGGAACGGGGTATCAGTCTTCGGGGGGAGGGCCCGCGGGTCCGGGTGTGATGGCTCCCATGCAGCCTGGAAGTCCCACACTCGAGACCATAACCTATCAGCACATACAAGAAATGGCATCCAAGAGGATATCTACTCTGGACTATCTGAGAAAAGCGTATGATTGTCCATACCCCTTCATCGCAATCCGCCTTGAAAACTTAATTGACTTGGACAATGCTGACAATTCAATCTCAACAGTCATGAAGGAAGGGTCTATTGGTTCAACACATTATTATTCAACAAACCAGATTTACAACGAATGCCCTACTTTGATGCGCGCAAACTCGCCCGCCGCGCGACAAATTACCTTCTCCTCGGCCTTTCACTACCTACAATCCTCGACCTTAATTCCTCAAGTCCCTCCGAATTTCTGCGCACGCTCAATGCGCTCCTCGGCGAATTTGAATCTTTTCAACAGGCGCATCCACCGGATGGATCGACGTCTTCTTCGTTATCGCGCGGTCGATTTCCCCAGATGTTTAAGCGCACAACCATGATTACAAGTAAAGGGAGACGCACAAGCTCTGCGACTGAAATAGGATTACCGATGGGCAACGATTTCTCGGATACTAAATCTAGTAATGGGAGTACACCAGGCGGGGGTGGGAATGGCGGGACATCGTTCCCGGCGAGTGAGAACGATTTATTGCCTGGGGAGGAATATAAACATCTATTAACGCCATCTTTACCGTTCGATCCTGACTTTTACGAGACGTTTGCGACGCTGTGCGATGTGTTGATCGATTGCTATACGAGGTTGATGAGCTTAGTATCATCGCCAAAAGAGTGTAGCCCGCAGATTGCGGAAATGTTTACAAAGGCGGATGCTAGAGTCAGGAAGATCATTGTCCAGGGAGTCGTGAAGGAGTTTGAAGATAGCAGCAGGGGTGGAGTGAAGAGTGAGGTCGCGGGCGTGGGAAGGGTGGTTCTTGGTGGGCTTATGTGAAGAATATTGTTCATTTTGCATTTTTTTGGGTGGATTAACGGCTTGATACCATATGAATATTATGACGGGTTAGGAACGGAGGAAAGAGCAACGGCATTTGCATATATCTGCATTATTATATCATTTTCAAAGTCTGGATTGTAATTTAGATGGGGGCCAATATAATCTTATTGCTGAACACAGGTATAAACAAAAGGAAAAAAGCTTTTTTAAGTTCATCAGACACCATAACGCAATTGTGGTCATCAAATTATGAGCCGCTTTTTACACGGCTCAATTCAGTGCTTGACTCTATTTGGTAATCATCACCTGAACCGCTTCATGATCGCAACAAAGTCCAGCTCCTTCGACAGAGCTTCTAAGATGAGTGACTTCTGACCAAGGACGACTCTTTTGGTGAGAAAAGAGTTAGAGTTTGGTGTCCCAATCATTGGTCGACATCATCTTTGCTTTCCTATAAGCTATAGACTCAAAAATGTAATTGAACTTCTCGCATCAAGAATAAGCCCCATCGAGTTACTTCCCCAGCTTTGCAGCAAAGGAAAGCAATCGCATAACTATCGATCTCGACGAATAAGCCTCATCTACCATTAGCACCCCTACCTCAACCAAGAACATGTCTTCTACCTCCCATAACCCGTCTTCAACCAGTCAATTGGAAACATTGCAAGGAAGCTCGGACTCATATCTTCATCCATATGGTCTCCGAAGCTCTGAATCCAATTGTCAAGAAGCTTCAAGGTAAAAGTACAAACGGCAGAAGGATGTATGAAATTGAAGGTAAAGAATTGGTAGAAGAGAAGCCGCAAGTGCTTCTATGGCGGCGCGTTTCCGCAGTCCTAACTTTTAGAAAGTAGGGTGTCCGGGGACTTTCTCCCAAAGCATTAAAGTGAATTGAAACATCGATGAAGATATTTCTGTGTGTGTACTTCGAATGCGATTCTTTGAGCGAGAAGTTGTAGAAGAAAAGAGGAACAGAAAATTCCCACGATGAAAATTTGAATTTTGTAGGAAGTTTGTGCGGCCGCTAGTGTGCGTCTAATTAACTTCATTAGCGTCGATTTTCTACATGAGCTCTGAATGGCTTGGGCTGGAGAAAGCGGCCGTCTTTTTTAGTTACGTGCAAGCAAGCAACCGTGGAATTCAATTGTTCAACAGAAAAAGAAAAACGCGAACGAACGCGAAAGAGTTTACTTTTCCGAGGCGGCGCAGGAGATTGAACTGATTTTGCAGATATTCTATAAGTAAAAATGTCCGGATTATTTGGTACAGCGGCCACCACCACCTCGACGAACGCGGCCAATACTCTCGGTGACCTCTCGAAAGATATCCCTCTCAATAATCCTCCAGAGGATAGTATTTCCGATCTTTCCTTCTCGCCAGTTTCCGAACATTTAGCTGTCGCATCATGGGATAAGAAAGTGAGGATTTATGAAATTCTGTCAAGCGGGCAGAGTGAAGGTAGGGCATTATTCGATTTCGAGGGGCCAGTCTTCAGTTGTCACTGGTCAAAGGTATGTATAAGCATAGTTGGGGCCCCAATAAAGAGTATGCTGATGATTTGGAATAGGATGGAAAGAAAGTAGTAGGCGCGGGAGCAGACAAAACTGCGCGTGTGATGGATCTTGAAAGCAACCAGACAGTATCGCAAGTCGCCGCGCATGATCAACCTATAAAGGCCGCGAGATTCTTCACAGCCCCTCAGACAAACGGCGAAATGCTTGTAACCGGATCCTGGGATAACACCATTAATTATTGGGATTTGAGAACTCCCAACCCGGTCATCTCGGTGAACATGAATCACAAAGTCTATACCTTAGATGTGCAGAAGAACGTTTTGGTTGTTGGGACCGCAGAGCGATTTATCAACATCGTTGACTTGAACATGCCAGATAAGATTAAAAAGACCATTCAGAGTCCGTTGAAATGGCAAACTAGAGTTATTAGCTTATTCCCCGATGCGACTGGCTTTGCTGTTGGCAGTATTGAAGGAAGATGTGCGATTCAATATGTTGAAGACAAGGACGCCAGGTATGCAATCTTGCCCCATGAACGTATCTTCACGAATTTTACTAACTCATCGAAGTATGAACTTCTCATTCAAATGCCACCGCGATCCACCTTCAAACAACATGACCAATGTCTATTCCGTGAACGCGATATCATTCCATCCCATCCATGGCACTTTCAGCACTGCTGGATCTGACGGCACTTTCCATTTCTGGGACGGGATCGCCAAGCATAGATTGAAGGGCTACCCAAGCGTTGGGGGAACCATCTCAGCTACAGCATTCAATCATACAGGAAACATCTTTGCCTATGCCGTTAGTTACGATTGGAGTAAGGGATATTCAAGTAACACACCGCAGTATCCAAATAAGATTATGTTACATCCCGTGAACGCGGATGAGTGTAAGCCCAGACCAAGTGTCAAGAAGAGGTAGATGGCCGCACTACCATTCGAGAATGTCGCGATCGGAATTCGGAGAATGAAAACTACAGATATATGGGAGAGGACTCCAAGGCTCGAGTGAATCTCCGATCCTTTAAAATGTCACATGGTTCAGTTGGACATACCATTTAGTCCTGGGTCGAGCATCGCCAGATCGGAACCAAAGATAGCACGGAAGATGAGAGCGGGAGGCCCCAGTCATGGGAGAGAGAAGTTATTAGGGAGGAGTTAAGGACGGTTACAAAGCGATCAATACCAAAAATTAGGTCATATAGGTAGTAATGATATGAAGTGTATTCAAAGCCAACGAATGTATTACTCACGCTTGTATCCCGGACTGTAACACGAGCATACACGATTCCATTTAGGAGTAATTGTACTACCCATCAATATTTCCATTACCATTTCCACTTAAAACCCCAAGTTCCCACAATGCAGTTTTAATTGAAACAAAGTCTAGAATAGGAATGGTAACAGTCCGATCGTCTTGATCCCAAAATCTCCAAAAGCGCCCGTACTGATGCTTATACGATTAAAGAGAAATATCCGTCTTGCCACGCCTTCAATTCATCAAGATTGAAATACACTATGAGTAGCTCTTTTGTTTCCCCTTTCCATTTCCATTCCTCTTTCCGGTGCCCTCGTCATCGCTTGCGCTTCCAACGCTATATCTATCTCTATCCATATCATCTGTAGGCGACCTCACATGTAGTTCATCCAATTCACTTTCATCAAAATCCGCTGCCTCCACATCTCGAGCATTTCGCTTGTTGCGGAAATCTTCTAGACCTGCAGCTCCCCTTGAACCACTTCTCGCGCCTGCTAGAGCCATTGGAGTATCGCCTCCGAAGATTCCAGCGTAGCCGGCACGCTGGCGTCGTTCGCGCCAAATGTAATAGCCCCATGCTGAGGCAGCGATAATGACAATGACTAGGACAATCTCACCGGATTTGTAGTAGGCATTCCATTTCGCAGCTTCCAGACGCTCTTCCTCCGCCTCGGCGGCAGCGGTACTATTGGGATGGCCACCGACAGATGTTTCCAAACCTTTCTCGCCGTCAATACGACTATCGGTTGGAGCTCCACCAATACTAGCGATATCCACTTTCATGAATCTATCGAGCATATCTCGGGTACGTCGAGCATAATCGAATGGTACCATGTGAGAGGAATTGTAGAAAAGGACATATGTTAAGTTGCGTGCCTCTTGCCAGAATCCCGCTGGCTCGCCTTCAAATTCCCAATCTCGTCGTGGTGCCCAAGTTCCTGATCCAAGTTCAAAACCTTTGCCCCCGTTCCATTCCATATTGCTGATCAATTCTTCAGTGCCAATGTGGTTGCAAATCAAATCCTCAGCACCGGAAAATAATATCGTAGGGACTTCTGCAAGTAGTTCCGGTAGAATCTGGATAGAAGGCCTAGAGTTCGCGGCTCTAAAAGCGCTGCCAACAGCACCGTTACACTCGGTCCACCCGGTCCTCTTTTCGGGCGAAATATGAAGAGCTGCAACCACATCCGATCGGCGAAGGTAAGGAGTGACATTGACCAAATCAGGAGGCCAGTTCATACCACAGCTTGGGTAGGAGTCCTTCAATCTCACATCATACATATTGTAGCATTGCATATTGCCATCGGAGCCTTTGCTTTGCGTAGTCGACAGAATTTCTTGCAAGATTTGTTCGCACTGGCTGTTATCAACCTTGTCTCTCCCACCGTTCTCGTTCAGCATTTTGGTGCAAATAGCTTGTTGGGATTCCAGTTTCTTTGCCTTTTCACTATCCTTCTTGACCAGCCCCTTCTCGTACGCGAATGGAAGATAGGACATGTATTGTTCGACTGGTGAAATCCACCCATTACCAATTAGCATTCCCTTGACTGGCCACTTGTGTTTCGCGTCAGGCTTCTTGTTTCGTTCGAGAATCGCTTTTGTGATGTAGGGAATGTGCTGTCCCGCATAAGATTCTCCCGCAAGGTATAGCTTTAAAATAATCAGTAATCCACATAGAAATGATTGAATGGGATTATGCTCACATCATCATGCTCATACTCAGGAAATAGCGCAAACCATTTTTCCAAAAATTGGACGAATTGGTCTGCCATCTCCGGCAAATCATGAATGTAGCTGTCCGAGTCCACGAAACTGAATCCTGTTCCTACCGGATTATCCACGAACATAACATTCGCGAATTCATCCCACGATCCTGGATTGTATTCGAGTTTCGGTCCATTAGATCCATCCTTGACTCTGTAAGGTCCAATCTCCATTAAAGCTCCATCCTCAGAACTGCAACCCGGGCCACCATTCAACCAAATTACCGTGCGCTGTTTGTTGGCAATGTGTCTATTTTGAAAATGCCAAAAGAATATATTTCCGTGATGCTCAGGGGTGACCTCAATATGTCTGTAAAAGGAGTGTGAGCTAGATGTGGTAAAATGTAATGTGAATACAACTTACCCAGCATGCATCTTGAGCAATGGCCCAGCCGGAGCACCCGGCAGGGAGTGAACAAAATAATCCCCCGCGGTTTTATCTGCTTGGCCCACGGAGGGCATCAGCGATACAGACAATAATCCCCATATCGTCAGCAAGGCTGAACTGGTCTTGGAAGTCAGAGATCGCATTGTGGATAAAGACGGCCAATTCGATACAGACAACCCAGAAACGGGTACCTCAGAAAGGTGTTTGTGAGAATCGCGTAGTCGCGAAGTTCGAATATGCTATCATCCACCGATGGTATTGAGATGAAAAGTAGAGATTACTTGAATGTGATAGATTGTGGACACAGTTGGTATTGACTTTGTCTTTGGGGGAATCGGCGGCTTTGTTGTTACTGATACAAGAGTGATTGTTAGGGACACCCTGTATCGCTAGATTCTGTACACGGCTATTGGACCCTAGCGAAGTGAGACTAAGTGAGACTCTGTGAGAGGAGAGGAGAGGGTCGGAATGCTCAAGCATGGATTTTCAGTAGAGTAAATTACGAAAGCAATGTGTGTCTTGAAGAACTTTGAAATTACATTTATCATACATACCAAAGAGCTCAAGAACAGACACAGCTCCCATGAAGCAGTGTACCAACCATAGCAATGATTTTTTCCGAAAGTTTTCGTTTTCGTTCTTCGCCGACTTCACAAAGAAAAGATCTCCAGCTCCTCACCTTATTGTGACCCATTCAGTTTCCTCTTCTACGGAATCCGAATTCTATTGTCTTTGTAAAGCTCCATCTAGGGTCGAGAGTGTTTCGCATATTCATGTACTGCGAACCTAGGCTCTAACATCGAGTCCCGCTGTAACATGTCCCGGACCTTCATCGTAGGTATGGTAAGCTATTCCTGGCCCTTGCGGTGTCTTCTCAAACCCAAACTTCTCTGCTTTAGTAAAAAGAGAATTGAACTGTTGACTTTGGTCCAAAGATGCTGTTATTTGTACTTTTTTCTATCATTCGTTGCGCTTTTTACACCTCCTATGTTCAGACTCTTGGCGAAACAGCGTATTCGCCTACTCAATGATAGCTCAAGTGAGCCTTGTTCTAGATTTGCAGGGCGACGTTTGACGAGAATAATAATCCCTTATATAATACAATTTCTTACGCCTTCTGTTGTCCACCTAGAGCTATGGAAATGATGTGATAGCATGGCATTTGCATTACATTTTGCCACTGCCGCGCTAATGGTTTTGTATCTAGGTATCCCGCGGAACTTCCACAATCTTGCCTCCTAAAACATATCACCAAATCCCTTTTCTGTGTCCTTTTTAATAAGTTCAACCATCCCCTATATCCTCAGTCAGTCTTTTGCACATGAACAACACATGGCGAGATTTGCGAACTTACCTCTGGCATGATGGGCTTTCCATTGGCGTCCTTGACATAGCGAAAAGGCATTTCTGTACTTTCGTTCTTGTTGACCCGAAGTTCTGGATAGTCAATGTATGGGATCTTGTCTAGCGGGACTACAAATAAGTCAGCATAAACTTTCAGAAGTAGGAGCTCGGTCGGATCAGCTGACTTTTATCTTGAGTAACCATTCTTGTACAACGAACTGCGGTATCAGTAGTCAGTTGGATGGGGCCAAGCCGACGGCCTTCAAATCCTTTCTTTCTCAGTTCAGAAGTTCGATCTCTAGGTGGGTCATCCCCTAGAGCACAGCACATCAGCAACTACTACATGCAGATAAGGTAATGCGGTGTACAAACCCAAGATTCCACCAAAAAGGAAAACATCAAAAAGGTCTCCATCTTCTGGACTCAGTTCCTTGGTGGCTGATGGATCAAGCAAGCAAACACGAGACTTATTTTCCGCATATAGGGTTTCGACACTTTGGCCATCTGCTGTGAAACCTGGCACGGCTTTCAAGACGTCGGGTATGGTCAAGGTGGGAGGTATTGACGACAAGCAAAACTTTGCACCAGCTTGATTGGATTCCTTAGCTATGGTGATGTATTCAAGCTCAGACCATGGGCCAAGCTCCTCGTCGAGATGCTCAACGATGTAGGTTTTTTGGGCCATCTTTAGATAGATGTCTTAGCTAGATACTGAGATTCAAACTTTCAGGTCTAGTTAACAAAAGACCAATAGGAATTTAAGTGCAAGGGTGAAAAGGAGTCAACGCGGGATAGATGGTGGGATAAGTTCTGGTTCGTTGCGGGGTAAAAAAGTCTTAAGGGATGACTAAATGATCGATGATCATATATGATGATTGATTGGACTCTGACTCGTGCTCACGACAGACTGCCCCTTGTGCAAGGACTTCCAACTTGAAAGACCAAAAGATGTGCGGGGATTTTTGATGAAATTAATCTCGTGATTGTATATTGAGTAGTTTGAGGCCAACCGATTTAACTTTGCCTTAAAGTCCTCGGGTTGATCTTTGCGTATCTAAATATTGTAGAAGAGGGTGTATGCGCGGCCTACAGGGGAAAAAAGGAAGAAGATGATTAAGATGATTGAGATGATCCTGTATATCCTTTGATACAATCAATTGGTGCAACAGTGTGATGAGGGCGATACAAAAAAGATATCGATTCGAGACGGGAGTTAAACGTGTACGTACATTGATGATTTGGGATATAATATGATCTTCTCGCTCTATCCACTCGTGGTGCTCTTTTTCGTTGTTCAGCTGTTCAATCAATTCTCTTTTTTTTCTTTCCAGGTAAAAACTTAAAAACTGGAAGGTCTGGATTGTCTAAATTCTAAATTCTGCATGAAATTCAATTGTCCAAGTCAAGCGAGCGAGAGAGAGAGAGGAAAGAAGAAGAAGGGACGGAACCCCACCATAACGCTATCTAGGATCGGTCGGTCATTCTGAGCTGTTCGTGCTGTTCGTGCTGCCCCTTCCCCTCTAGAATATTTGAATATTTCATTCCCTTGTTTGTACAAGTTCCATCCAAACTCTTACCAAATTCGTAAGAACTTTATTTCTCCATCCAACAGATCCAAGAGCCATCAACCGTTACTCAATCCTCTCTCTATACAGTCATTCAAGTCTATCTTTCTATTTGATTCACTACTTTTACATCTACTTCTACTTCTCCTGAGCCCACTCATTAGCCACATTTTCACACGCAATCGCTCGCAGTACGGTTGCACCTTGGTTATTTAAGTGTAGATCTTCTGACGACAAAGAAGAGAGAGTAAATAACCACTTGATTCGAAAAAATAATCTCGAACTTGATACGACTACAACAAGTGGACAGTCTATAAGTCCACCAACCCCCCTTAATCCGAATTCAAAAGAGGTTCGGCGGAAACTCATCTTCAAGATGAATCCTTTACAAAAGAACAAGATCGACATTGCAGTAAGTAATATCTATTTTATTTACCCTTCACCCAAGTTACATTTATCCAACCCACCCAATATACTAACTCTACGGCCTCGTAGTCCCTTTCCCCTGATGAGCAACGACTCTTCCGTCTCTATGGCAAACTCCCCAGTAAAGCCGACCATCTGGCCAAACAACTCAAGGAACGTAAATATTTCGACTCCGGCGATTATGCACTCTCCAAAGCTGGCAAAGCATCTTCCGTCGATACCGGCAGCGTCGGCTCTGAACATCCCGTCCCAGAGAATATTCCACATCTCTCATCTCCAAGCGTCAGCAGCGCCGCACAAGGTGGTTCTGGTAACACAAATGTAGGACCCGGATCTGCACATCATGGCAGCATCACAGGACTGGGATTGGGTCAGCAGAGTGGAAGTCCTGTGAAGGAGAGCAGTTTTTTACATCGGGAGACGAGTATCGATGAGGCAGATAAGAAGAATGATGGAAGCGCACAGCAACCAGGAGATGGTAGTGTTAGTCCACCGCCTGTCAAGGGAGGCATTCCAATCAACGGATGAAGGTGCTGTGGAGGTATTTACTACGTGTGCGTCTGCGTGGGATTCGGCGTTATATGGGGCTATTCAACGACATGATGATTGATGGTTTAGGATGATGCGGCATTCTCTGTACGTGCTCGTTTTTTATGCCAGCTATGATAGTCAGGCAATATGCCAATGCGAAACGATGAATTTAGTTAGGATTGTCAATGCATTTACTGCATCATGACATTATCTTTGTGATATCGGGATAAATGAACTTGGTGATTTGGTTCTATGTCTCTTGGATCTATCTAATCTTTTGGTTTCCGACACGGGATAACGCTTTTAAATAATACTTTTCATGTCATTTGTGGACATCACAAATCAACTGCTGCTCCTGCCATTTTGCTTGCTCCTTCGAAAGTCTTATTTCCTCCGATGAATCCTGCTGCGTGAACAAACACACCTCCTGGGATACCAGTAATTTCAGACAGTTCCTCGTCTCTGAAACCTCTCCATGCCTCTGGCAACGGTTTCCTACTCTGGAAAGAGTCTTTACTGGCTGGCACACATTGGATTCTCCATTTCGCGTCTGGAGCTGTGTTTTCGGGGTAGAGAACGTAGAGTATTTGGTTTTCGCTGCTCTCTTCATCCTCAATTGTGTAAAGGTGGTCCTTCCATGGGACAGATTGGCCTTCAAATACCAATATCCTTCCCTTCGGATCATACTGCAGACGTTTGGCATATGCTTGTTGAACAATGGCTCGAGCTGGTAACCATGACTTGGCGTAATAATCCAAATCTCTTGAGAATTCTTCGCCAATCCTGGTGCTAGCTACCAGAAATTTCTTATCTTCTGCCTTTTGTGCCTCGACTGGATCAGAGGGAGCGGGGTCATTCCAGTTTGGATTCAATCTGCCAACCATAGCACCTAATGAAAATGATCCATCACTGAATTTCTTCTCTAATCCTGCAGCGGAAATAGCCTTGGGGTCGTAGACAGAGATACCATTATCATGAGCATCAAGTGCTTCAATAAAGCTCTGGTAAATCTTCTTCCAGATAATGTCAACTTCCTCCGCATCTTCGGAGACACCTAAACGTTGTGCAATAATCGCCTTTCCATAGTGCATATACACTAACCCCGCAGAAGAGAGTTTGGTAGGACGGTCTGGGAATGTAGTATCGAAAGTACGTTGGTGATGGTCATATCTCTTGGTTTCATTATTATATTCACCCCCCACATCAACAACAGTGTGGCAAGTTTCTAGAATTTTAGGATCCCGAGTCCGAATAAGCTCTGAAGGTTGATAGGTGGGAAGAAGGCGAAGCATATAAACAGCTAAGGCTTCATCCGCGTGAAAATGGCCATTGTGGGTACCGATGGTGACGGGAGAAGTCTTGAGTCTCTTTGCTGCAGTTTCCGCCATTTTAATTGTACTTCGAAGCATTCAGAATACGACAGGATTTATTCTGATATGTTGGTGGTTGAAAAAGTCTAAAGAGGGGTCCAAGTTTCTCCATTATTCAAATCCTCCAAAACTTCCGACTAAGCTAAATAAAGCGTAATAATCAAGGCGGTGCGATGGGCAAAATCCCCACATCAACCTTAGCTTTTTCACACGTGCGTTGTCATCCCTCTAACAATAATTTGCCCACCATCTTCATTTCCCAAAATTTACCTTTACCGGTACAATAATTCAAATAATTTGGAAACTTTCGGGGACACCTGGACCACCTGGAATACCTTGTCATTGTCATCATTTCTCTGCCACAATCTATCATTCATCTTCTGTGACAAAGATCTGCCCGCCAGAAACTATAAGAGCTCCTCTTGCTAGAATATTTTCCCAACTTTGTCTGTCAAGTTGTCAACTTTCCTGCAGGATTCTATCAGGAAAACCAGGCACAATCGGATCAAATTCTGTTATTGGAAGATTCCCGTCGTTGTATGCACACGACAAGCACAATCATTGGATCATTATATTTAAGTAGGGCTACAGATCAAGGTGACATCTGTCTTCCTTGCTATTCAGATCCCATTTTCCTGGAATTTGTAGGCAATTATCTAGAAGTTAATCACCTTCATAGCCGATTCCGTTCTCTTTCGGTACTTCCCTCAATATAGGATTCATGCACGCATGAATAATTATATCACTTTCCCTGCGACGATTAAAAGAGACTGCAGAGGGTAATTTGGGAGGGGAATTTAATACATTGGTCAAAAGACGTCATAGCAGTGAGCTTAAGCGCTTTTTAGGCTCAATATACTTCTCAAAACAGCATTCTCATTGTTGAGCAGAAGCTGGGATATCGAGAGTCACACGCAGACAAAACAGGGGGTGTCCAACGCGACATTGCGAGCCTACCAGGACAAAGATATAATCCGAACTTCTGATAAATTTAAGCTGGGCGCGCTTCCAAGCACGCGCCGGCGCCGTTTTCGCCGATGTGGTTATTCCGAGCTCTTTCCTCCGCGACCTTTCTCCTATCAATAATCCTCTCCATACCTATAGCCTTCGATGTTGGAGGTCGAGAATGCGGCCTGGCATTCTCACTCGCCCTTTTCGAGTTTTACTTGTTCTATTCGACGCTGAAATTAACAACACCTGAAAATTCAAGGATACGATGGGCATTAATACAGATAATTGGATGGTCGCAGTGGATAATACTGCCTACATTGTTAATATGGAGCATGAATCGATTTGCCGTGGACGCTGACAGTGATGGGGGCTGGGTCAGTAGGACCTTTGATGGCAAGCGTGCGAAAGATAAGGAATTGAGAGAATGGGTGTTTGGCTATGGAGGTCTTCTTGAGATGTTGACAGTTGGAACATGGGATAAAGTGCTGAGATATTCAACACCATTGTAAGTAGATGGTCATCCTTTATGTAGTGGCTTCCCGGGCACTGAAAACTCTCCTTGCTAGTTAAGGAGCCTCTACATGCAAGACAATCATCCCCATTATCTTCCTCAAGACTAACAGTGTAATAGATTTCAAATGGCAGAAGGTTTTTGCTCTCTTTTGGTCATCCAGGCAGCGGGTCAAATCACAAGATACCTCGTAAATCGCAGAAGTGATACATGGATGGTATGTTCTGAAGCTCTCTGTTGTATATTTAAGCTCACCAATACATTAGATTGGGCTACTTGTGCTATCAGCATCAATTATTTCAAGCGCTGTCTATTTCTTGCTCCGCATTACCGGATTTCCACAGATCAGCAACGTTGATGCTACACTTATAGGCATTACTATGACTTGTGCAGTCTTTCTGTGTGCATGGGGTATCGGAAGTGGTAGAGGAAATCCAGTGGAAAGCTCGCTACTGTTCGCTTATTGCACACTTTGCATATACCAAATATTCACAGACTACCTTCCATCGGTCACGGATGAGATCCCTCAAGCGCCGGTACAACCCGACTTTCCACCATTTCCTCCTATTATCATGGCTTCGTACTCGACTCTTTTACATGTTTTGTCAACATTGCCATCTTTTGTACATTCGAGCTTCTACTTCCTTTACGCAGCCTTTCAGACCATCACTCCATCTATTCTTATATCTCTCGCTTTCCGGGTATTTGTATTCTATGCGGCGACCCGGATTATACCAGCAATCCGTGAGTCCGGTGCTGGAGCTCTATCTCATGATCCAGGTCTTGACGACAATGACGGAGAGGGCAAAATCTTAGGGCTACTAAGCTGGTTTAGTCCCTCAATTTTGATAGCCGTTTATACTAGCTTGCTAATGCAACATTTTTCTACTGTAACTTCCGAGGGAAATTTGGGCGAATGGTGGATGATGCAAGGTGGTAATACTGGTGGCAACATCTGGCGATGGATCAATGTGTCAGCAACCATGGCTCTTTATGCATTGGAGCTCTACTTGGCCAAGGAAGATATGGACGGATCCCTTACTGGGCATTGGAAAATTGATTGAAGAATTACTGGAGAAGGCAATGAGATAGCATATTTCATGTGTCGGGGCTGGGTACCCGGTCAATCATGCGACGGTGCGACGTCGTAGGGGCCAATAGCAAGATGTAAGACATCTAGAACGGCGGAGGCGGCAAGTGAGGACTCCCCGAATCTATCGAAGAATGACTCGAATCAAGCGTCTGAGGGTGGGGGGAATATAATTGCGATCCGAGTTTAGCATAGCGTGGCGTTTACAATGGGCAGATCTATCGTGGGCCCTGAAATATGGAGTGGAGTGAGTGCAGCTTATGCAGCTCCCGGTGGTGTCACTGATGCATCGGACTTGGAGCGGAGCATAACGTATTACTTAGGGATAGCCTTCTGAGAGCAAAAATGATCTTATCACCAAGTCCTTTCTTTCTTCCGGATAAGAATGACAACACATGAATATGATATTCATGTCGAAATACCCAATTTGACATGTTTTATACTTGAGATTTGTGTCCAGCCATTGATTTTGAGATGACCAACTTTTTTGACATTCTAGAAGCCAGTCGACATCGAAACCAGGTCACCTAATCAAGTGTGGATGATATAATTTCTTTAAAGTGAAAGTAAAGTATCCGGCGGCATTGATCAAGGGGTCCCAATACCAAGGATACCAAGAAACGCAGCAAATATACCAAGAAATGCAGAAATGCAGAAGTGCAGAAAATGCCGAAAATGCACCAAGAAATGCAGTGCCAACATTGAAACCTTAAATTTTCTGAAGCGTTTAAGATATCGCCAAGTGTATATGGAAACTTGGGAAGCAAGCCTCACTGTACTTTGTATTCTTTTTTAATTATGGTATGTACTGTATGTATGGATGAATGAATGAATGAATGAATGAATGATGTTTGATGTTTGATGTTTGAGAGGTTAGAGGGGGAGTATAGTGTGTGATGATGGGATGGATATGGAGATTTGTGGATTGGGGGTTGGGAAGTAGGGGAGATAAGAGAGGAACTATTGGTAGGGGATGGATGGATGGATAGATGGGTGGATGGATGGATGGGTAGATGGATAGATGGATAGATGGATAGATGGATGGATGGATAGATGGATAGATAGATGGTCGTGGTGATTAGATTCAGATTCATGGAGAGGGACATCGATTTTGATGGTAAGGCTTACTTTTAGGTTTCGGGAGTTGGTTGGTTGGTTGGTTGGTTGGTTGGTTGATAACCCGGTAGTCTTTTGTTTGTTTTAGAGGGTCTGTTCTATCCTATCTATACATCTACTATAATCTATGTAGTAGAATGTAAGGTCATGTATGTGGTTGCATGCCATAAAATGTAATTGATTAATTGAGAAGAACAGTTCAGGTTGAAAATAGAAATGTTGCTCAATCAAATTCACAAATCAAAACATCTCCGAGAATTTCCCGATTCTTAACCCCATACTCCGTACATATACTCTTTTCTGCTTCCCTGCTTAGCGTCTTCAGACTCAACAGGAGTTTACATGATGGACTGACTACAGAGTATGTATGGTAGTATGCATGACTTTAGCCTTATTCTCTCTTGTTCTACTGTACCTACTGCCTAGTATCTAGTATCTAGTATCTAGTATCGACACTGTGACATTTTGTGTCTACGAAACCGATAACTACTGCATCTAAATTCCCATTCGAATATTCTCAATCCTTCGAGAGCATTGTTACATCCATTCCCGGAGTTCCGGACCCTCTCTTCCTCTCGTTCTCTGCCATCCATGAACTTGGATTTACAAGCAAGATCAGCAGATGGCTCACTCCGTCTCTCCATCTTCCCCTTTTCTATCAATAATCTTGGGAACAATTGGATTGAGGTGATGAGGATGAGTACAGTAGGTGAATTCTCAACAAAATCCCAAATGATGGCCTACTTGGTAAACTTAGTCAGTCAAGTCAATAATAAATAAATATAGAAAGTCATGTTTATCTCAGGGGCGGTATAGAATTGATAAAGCACGTGTAAGGGTGTGTAAGGGTGTGCAAGGGTGTGTAAGGGTATGTATCCACTTTTTATTGGTCGATCTTGTCCCCACTCCATCGAATGAATTACTGTTTTCTAGTGAAGGGGGTGAAGGGAAGGGAAGGGAAGGGGAACTGCCGAATGAATGTCATGTCATGAATACCCAGCAATAATGCGCACGGACGGATCTTTTTAATCCTGGTTGGAGGATGTACAGAGTAAATACCTAATCTCGTATCTATGCTTGGAGTGAAGTCTTGACGAGTTGGGAGGGAGGGGGACTCGGGAGAAGGAAGAGCTTAACCCCGTGTTATTTTTGTTATTTTATTATTTTTATTGTTTTATTGTTTTATTATTTTTATTGTTTTATTATTTTTATTATTTTTATTATTTTTATTATTTTTATTAGTTTTATTAGTTTTATTATGATTATTATGATTATTGAAGATGTGAAAAGAAGATGTGAAAGGAAGACGTGTTATTTTGGAAAAGGCTACGGATGTTAACTTCCTTGGCATTCCTTGTATCCATCTGACTAGGGTAAATCAAATCAGTCAATGTCAAGTCTTACTTCTTACAATGTGCATCAAGTGCATCAAGTGCATCAAGTGGATTTTTGGTAATGTGAATGGATATCAGCTTATCAAATGGATCAAAAGTCCGAACCTTGATGTTTGATAACTCAACAATTTGGCGTGATAGGGAGTATTCGATGAGGTACGTACGTATGCCACCGTGCATGAGGCAGTGAAGTAAAGTAAAGTAAAGTAAAGTACAGCAAAGTATAAAGAGATAGAAGAGTTGTAGGTACTGCATGATCTTTCTCTTCTCTCTTAACTTCCATCTACATCTCTCAATCTCAATCTCAATCTCAATCTCAATCTCAATCTGATATCCCATCCGATCCTATTCGTATCACCTTTGTACTCTTGTCCTCCAACCTTCGTATATCTGCATTCTCCCATTGGCAGAGCTTGAAAACGAGTGGTGCCACCAAAACGGAGATTCTTCAATACCATACATACCAACCACGTTCCAGCGAACCCTCAATTCCTGTGTAACCACTCAGATTACATTATCTACCTACCGACCCATTACTCCGCACCTGCTGCATACGACGATTCAGCTCTTGACAACTTCACATCTCTTCACTTAACCTTCTAAACTCATCAACTTACAATCCTCAATTCATCATCAAAATGTCTAGAGTTACTCCTCCCGTCACAAAGTTCACCCATGCTCTTCGTCGTAGTATCAGTACTACTTCTACTGTTGCGAGCCCAAGTGCCCAATTAAAAACCAAGGGTGCCAAAGCTGATGTATGTATACTCTCCAATACTCAATATCTTTTCCCTCAAATATCAAACCCAAAACTAATCACCTACGCAATAGCTCATCTCCAAACTATCCGCTCACGAGCGCACCATAACAACCATTCATCGACCTCTCCCACCCTCCATAAAAACCATCCCCCTCATGCAAGGATTCCGCACTAGTGCACCCCGTCCGGCGGCTTCCCCCTCCACACTCGACCATCTCATTCTCCCCCGTCTCCCCAGCGAATCCTCCACCACATTCTCAATGCGCGTACCCATCCTCCCAGATAATTTCAGCGCTACTCAATCCATAAAAGAGAGTATTGACACCGCGATTCCCAAACAGGAGATCCACGTCGTTAGTGCGTTGCCAGAGGAAGATTTCGCTGCTGTTAATGTATTGACTGAGGTGGTGGGTAATGAAGCAAATGCGAGTATGGATTTGGGAGAATGGGTTCAGGGTATTAGGTCGAGAGGTGAGGAGATTAAGGGGAAGTTTGTGGGAAGTGATGGTGAACAGGGGGTTCTTTCTGAACTGTGGATGAGTGTACGAGAAGATGTTTTTGGTTCGAAAGGGAAAGTTGCTCTTTGATTTAAGATTTAAGATACCTGATGAGATGAGGAAGATATGGGAAATCTAGGGAGTTTTGATTGATTGCGTTTTCTATTTTACAGTTTATATGGATGGATGGAAGGATGGAACCCGCTCGCTATGGATGGCTGGAGCTGGAGTTTCGTACTCTGATGACGTTATGATGATTCACTTTTTTGCTAGTTTAGTACTTTTGGGTATCTGCCTGCCCTTTTACTTAGGTACTTACTTGCTTTGCTTACTTTGCTTTGCTTTGCTAGTTGGCTGAATGAAAGTTTTTGAATCTCTCATTTTTGATGTTTCGAGTTTGATCGAATGTGAAGGTAGGTAGGTACCTTTTTTGTCTATGTCTACCTAGGTACTCTCGCTTTTTCTTCCTACCGTATTCATAGTAACATGATATGATATGACATACAAATCTTATAATAGCTCACTCAATCACTCACTCACTATAAGTAGTACGAAACAAGGAAGTGGGTGAGTATTTTCGTCTAGTAAGGGTAATGAGATGTTTATACTTATTACTCGGTTTTGGGGCTAATTTGGTGGATATCTTTTGTGGTATGTTTATAAGTCTGGATGGAATTCTGGGGAGAGAGAGAGAGAGAGAGACAGAGAGAGACACAGAGAGAGACAGAGAGAGACAGAGAGACAGAGAGAGAGACAGAGAGAGACAGAGAGACAGAGAGAGACAGAGAGAGAGAGAGAGAGACAGAGAGAGACAGAGACCAACGAGAGAATGAAATTATAAAAGTTATAACTTACATCTACAAAGAGATTATTGCAACCTTAAATCCTAGGATGTTTATGTATGTATCGGTTACCACATTGTTGAACATAAACCTATTCCTTCCGAGATACTAAAAGAAGAGTTGCATATCTGAAGTAGGAGTTTGTGACTATCATATTCCTAATCTTACGTACGTGTGTGTAGATCGAGGACAGAATTGCTTATTGTTAGGTCAAAATCGTAGAATCATCGAAGAGAATCTCTTCATCTAGTTTTTTCCCTGTCCATCATTGTCATGTATGTCTACCTAGTCTTTTTCTATATATTTGTTGTATATATAGTGAGGGGCAGAGTGAGGATATGATCTACTCGCTGGCTGGAAATATAGAAGAAAAACATGGAGGGTAATTTGGGAGTTTAGAATTCTGGAGCAATATAAAAGAGAATATCAAGAAAGTACTCGGGTAACGAGGATGGATGGATAGACATTCTACTGAATATCCAACTAGAGCTAAAAGAGAGAAATTATATCTTCCATGAATCATAATCTTACATAGCATAGCTTACAATATACACAACTAATTATCTCCATAATTAACATAAATAAGGAAAATATCTACCGACACATCCTCAAACCTATCAGCGCAATATACTAGGTAGTTGTGAGAAGGGAATATTGCACATCATAAGCTGAGCACCTCACTCGACCAGTTCCAACATCCCACCACATCAACCACCAAAAATATAAATATATCAATCAATCAACTAACTCACAGATCCGGTCTCCTCATTTCAGCATCCTATCACTCTGATTTACGATTCACGATTCACGATTCACGATTCACGATTCATGATCCATAACAGAAGATTCTTCATACCATTCATTCTGTTGCATATCTAAGGAGGGGTAGAGAGGGGAAGAGAGGGGTAAGGGAGTGGTTGGTTTATGAAAAATCTTAAGATACACGTAAGATTGCTAGTCTCCTATTGAATCTCTAGAGTGACGAGTCTAGAAAGGATAGTGGAGATATTTTGATTTGAACGAACGTACTCTAGCCTGTGACAGCTACGAGTAGTAGTATTATGTCTTATTGAATAGTTGGCTAAGATAGTCTCTACAAGTGTTCATCACATCACAACACATCCCGTCACATCACCATATATTATATCAACACACACACATCAGCACATCAAAAAAGACCACATAAACCTCCCCAAAACCGACGTACAACCAACAAACACAAACACAGATCAGCAAGTCGCACCCTCAAAATCCCAGAGAGGGATTAAATTTCAAGACAAGACGTTGTTAGGCCTAATATAGCAAGGTACGATGGTGATGGTGGATCTGTCTATCTGATCAGGAATCGTAGCTCCAATAATAAGACAACACCTCTTCGTACTTACAACTAGAAGCGTTTCAACGTTAAGAAGTGGAATGGATAGGCAATACCCCCGCCAAGAACACCGAGGTAAACGACGAGATAAGATCACGTAGTACGTGCAGAGTATAGCGGTGTCGATCTATCTTTGATAGGAATGGGAGGAAGTGATATGATATGATGTAATTGATAAGGAGGGGATATACTATACTATACTATATAGTGGGGAAGTGAGGGGAATGGAGGGAAGGGGGAGATCCGATCGTGCGAGCTGATGGTAGGGATTCGAGGGGTAAGGAGGTTTTGGTCATAAGAGGAAGTTTGTAGTTTTCTTCTTTGGTTGATGTGAATTGGAATGATTGTCCTTTATCCGCATGATTGATCATAGATCATAGAAAGGAAATATATGCTCCAACAACTATGAGAACATAAGTATGGTTATTCTAAAGTATGTATTTAATTTATCTCATTCAAGTGATTATAACTTGACCTCCCATGGAAGATCATTCACTTATCATTGCTTTTCCTGTGTTGCGTAACCTATTGAGCAACAAACCACATGATATACCTTGGTTCACATATATATGATACCATAAAATACCATAAAATTAATGCCAAGCCCCACAATGTGTACGTCCCTCTATGCATGACTCCGAGTCCAACCCTAACTCCACCTGTAAAGACATGACGCCAGAATAAAGTTCCTCAAATGAAGTGAAAGTAATTACAACTGAACATCATTGTTGAGAAGTCGAACCTCCTCACCTGGTTTGAAAGCAGGCATACCAATGTAGGGACAACCATCACAACGGAATGCATCACCTAAGCTGCAGTTCCCGCAGGACCCAACTTTCCCTTTGACTGTGAAATCTACTTCAGCCAAATCATCCGCATCAAGCTTAAGAGCTTGTAGCTGGCTATCGGCTGTGGCTCGTTTGTCTGCATCTTCCTTTGCAAGCTTTTCGGCCAAGCCACAAGTGCAATCTTTACATGCACGACGACGTTTCCCAGCTCTTGGAGCACACTCGGGAGCTAGATGATGTTAGTAGAGCTCAGAAGTTTGATAAATCCATTACGTACGGATAGCAAGAGGCTTCTTCATATCCTCCTCAGTAAGAAGAGTGTCCTCGTCAATTAATTCATCGTCATCATCCTCAGCATCAAAGTCATCACTAAAATCAATGAAACCAACTCCTTTTGGCACATCATTCTTTGGCACATCCTCCGTCATGTCCACACTCTTTCTCTTGCCAGGTACCGGTACCTCAACCGTTGAAACTGGAGGGCCAGCATTAGATACAGCCGCAACCTTGCTATTATCCTTTCTGCGAAGTCGCAGAGGGACTGCAACACTTGCACTATGATCTGGTTTGAGCATAACCCCTCCTTCTGCTACCAAACCAGCCAAGATAGCCTCTCGATATTCTGCACCATCAATTTCCTGGCCAAAGGTACCATCCTGTGCCTGCAACTTTGCACCTGTCTTCAAAGCTTGTGTAATTTTTCCAAATACATCTCTTGTCAAAAGTTCGGTAGATTGGACTCGTGTGCCATCGGCATCAGTGAGGATAAGGACTAAATCGTAGGTTGATTCTGGGAGTGTGACTAACCCTGCAGAGAGACGATCCAGCATCTGCAAGTCGGTAACACTCCTATCATGAGTAGCAAGAACATTTCTTAGCTTTTCCTCATGACTGGCAATAGAAGGAGGTGCGAGGAGTAATGTGCGAGGATTGAATGAAGTCGTCTTGGTGGTTGTACTTATCGGACTGAAATCGGAGGTATTGTCAATAGTGACAGAGGGAGCCATGGCGGGGTCGTGGGTGGCGATTAAATGCTCCCTTTATCTTCCAGATGGATAGTTTAATATTGTATCAAAGTATGCGACAAAACAAATGTTGAAAGAACGACTTATCAATTAGAAGAAAATGCGATATGAAAAGAATCGAATTTCACAGTATATCTTTTCTTTGGTAGATGATTTCAGATTTCTTATCAGGTTTGTCAAAAGGTTTCGGAGATGTTTAACTCCTGATAAATTCTTGATAATTCTTGAAAAATAATTATTAAGCAGCTTTTTCGACCACTCATAATGGAGGGAAATGGAAATTCTTCTACGGTAGCCAGAACTTGGATAGTAATTCTCGGCCAATCATAAAAATTGCCTTGAAAGATAGTTAGGTCAGCAATGGACTAGAGTCTATGGGGTCATATAATTGGTCAATGGTTCATTATTCATGAGAATTAATATTTAAATCGATTAGAGCGTCATACAATTGGTCAGTTATTGTTAGTAATAATAGAGATGCTCGAAATATCATGTCATCCATCCAGCCATTCTCCATTATTCATTAAAATATGTTCACATGAACTAGAGCGTCGTATCATTGGTCAATTATGATTCACTAGTACACTGCAATGTCGCACCACCCACACGCGCAATGGGCCGCTTAGCTTCCCTGCTTCCCATTAGCTTCCCATTAGCTTCATATTTCCCCGCATTACTGGGGGAGAGGTGAACTCCGATCGAATGATCCTTTGGTATCAGTTGACGTACCACTGAAATGAGCTGTTCTGTATGTTATGAGTGAAGGCGAGAGAGAAAGTAAAGGAGCAGAAGGTTCTCGTAGGTAAACAAAGAGAAAGCAAAACATTGATGGAGTCGTGTTGAATAATGTTTATCCGGTATTGAGCATTCATTGCAGCTGTGCGAGGTTTCAATTTCTCTATTCAATATACCTTCGTCACTGTTGTGTACAAGGTACCTCCCAGGCCATTTATATCTGCATAGTACATACGAATATTCCAAGACTATGACGCAAAGAAAGCGTGACTTGTGTTTAGGTGTGTACCTATTAGCCACCACAACACCTCATGTATGAACTTATCAAAGAGGGTACCTGAATACAAAACAGGTCGCGTGATAATTCTATAGAACTGAGAGGGGAGACGACCAATCTAACCGAATATTGCATCGCATTGCATTGTGATTCGTGAACCTTATTATAAACCTGTCTCTCTCATTGAATCATTCACACCTCAACCTATTAAAGAATCGAATCCATCGTCAACACATCTTCTTTCTGTCCAAAACAACTTTCAGAAATCCATTGACCTTTCCAACTTTTCAATCAACTGCCATCAAGTTCTCTTCTCTACCTTTCGAATATCATCACTCTACTTGACCTTGTACCCTTCTCATTAAATACCTTCAATCATTCATCAGTAAGTTTATCTGAAATCGCTTTGTTATACCCCGCCTTATGCGTAGCACTTGTCCTTGCAACCAAACTATCAAGTGCTCGATGAAAGTTTATCTATTCGATAAACTCTGGTACTTGTATGAACACATACTGATATTTGATGATATGCAGTGGGTAAATCACACAAGTACAATGATCGCGACCATGCCGGCCTCGCCGATGGTACCGCTCTTCCACAAGAGCATTTGCCTCGTTACTTTGCAAAGTCCGGTCATGTTGATATGGATCCAAAGAAAGCCAAGAAGAATGGTGCTGGCAAGGGCGGATGGTGTGTACTCCTTTAGTCTTCGCCTTACCGCTTGTGCACTTCCTCTTTATTGACTTCTTCGACTAACATATGCAAAACAGGGGTGTAGAAGGTGAAGAAGTCCAAGATGAGGGCTTCAATATGGCCAATGCTCGTCGTCGCTCCAACAGCAGTTCTTATACTGCCGGTCTCAAAGACTTCAAGACTAAATTCGAACAAATCGAAACCGAACCAGTTTTCGAGGAGAACATCCATGGTGCTTTGATGGAGGAACTTCCAGAGACTACTCGTTCCAACACAAACAGTTCGGAGGCTAGCAGTGTTGATGAGGATGTCAAGACCAAGTAAAATTTGGATCTTGATGAGGTGGATTATGGCATAAGTTACTACATGAATGTCATCTGTATGAGGACTGATGTTCATCTGCCGGCGGATCGATACAATTGCAATCTTCCCTCTTATGGACGGGTACATGGATTGGGGGGAATGAACGGAACGAAACGAAACGAAATGAAATGAAATGAAAATACACTTTGACCTGGCACCGATTTATAAGTCCAGATGTATCATCAGAGCTTCTCTTTAGCTATTTGTTATCAAAGGCATAGAAGGAATTGCCCAGATAATCTCGTGTTTCTGATTTATGTGATCGTTTATGTTGATGTTACAAGTACAATAATCCACTTAATCAAGAGCTAATATGTGTCCGCTCTCAAATGGTGAAAAGTCGTTATCGTGCAAGTTGGCATAACTACACCTCGGGTATTGGTCCTTTCGGATGTTGCTTTTTCACGGAGTTGTCATACCGATGTCCAGAAACACCCCAATAAATATTCACTCCTCCCCTCTTACTATCGTCGTCTTCCACTACACATCCATCTAGTGTGCATTCTCCAATTTACAACAGCTCCATTGTCAGAGATCAAACACAAAAGCAAACATACCTAGGAAAATATGCCATACAAGCTCAAGAACAGAAATGTTCTCGTAACAGGTGGAAGTCGGTACGTCGTCACCCCGCACTTCTCCACACTAATCATTTATCCACCATCCTTTCATTCAAAAGTATATTTTACTAATGACGAGATGGGACAGAGGACTAGGCGAAGTTATTTGTCTCAAATTCGCAGCGGAGGGTTGTAATGTCGCTATTAATTATGTTTCTAGCGAGGACAGGGCGAGGGAGTTAAAGGGGAGGATTGAAGAGGAGTGGGGTGTGAAGGTTGTTTGTTTGAGGGGGGTGGGTTGATTTTTCTTGTTTTAGATGGGGAATATGAGAGGAAAGCATCAGAGAGAGGATAGGATAAAATTTCGTGATGAACCAGGCTAATGGTCAAAATGCGGTTAGGATATGAGTCAAGAATCCGACTGTATCTCTGTGGTCAAGGAAACTATCAAGGAGTTTGGAGGGTTGGACATCATTGTATCAAATGCTGTAGGTTTATGGACATATCTTTTCCATTCCTTTTTCCTTTACCCCTTCTCCCACCATTCAAATCATCGAAGCTGATAAATAAGGGCTATACACGCTTCTCAAATTTCTCTGATCTCTCAGCCCCTACGGCAGAAGATTGGCAAAAATGCTATGATACGAATGTAGTGGCTCAGACTTACTTGATGAAAGAAGCACTGTCTACTTTTCAGGCGAATGAAGAAGGGGGATCTTTCATTATGACGAGCAGTATTGCAGGTATCGTCGCCGGAGGAAGTGAGTGTTGTTTTTATCTCTTTCCGCGATCATGTTTACTTGTCCTAGTGTAGGATATCTCGAACTTTCACAGGGAAGGTTTGATAACGAGATATTTGAAGAGATGTGATGGAACAAAAGCAAGTGAAGAGATAGTAGTTAGAGACGAGGCTAATGAGTTGAATGTAGGTTGTATGCCGTATTCGGTAACGAAAGCCGCTCAACTACATTTGATGAAATGTTTGGCTGCTACCCAGGGGCCAAAGGTACGGGTTAATGCTGTGTTGCCGGGCTTGTTGCTTACGGAATGGGTATGTTCTACACATTCTTTACTTTTTTCTAATCTCTGGATCTCGCTTTGGGAAGGTTATCTGGGAATAAGTAGTGGCCTTGATGAATTGGATAAAATTATAGGAATTATCGCAAGTGTCGTTTGTGGTTCGAAGTTTCATCCACAATTTTTTATATATTGCCTACTTGCCCCTTTAAGGTTATTGATAATGGAATCTACCACTAACATTACACAGGGGAAGAAATACTCCGAGGAAGATCAAGAGAAATTGAAGGATAGAGCATTTTTGAAACAAGTAGTAAGTATTTCTATGGTTGCTTCTTTCTTGTGATCTTTCTCACCCCTCCTGTATCACGAAAGGTCATCCCAAGGCAGAGTATACTAAAATACAAAAATGTAGACGGATATCGAGGATTGTGCCCAAGCATTTGTGGATATCGCGAAAAACAGTAGTATGACTGGACAGAAAATACAAGTTGGTGCGTATCTTATTTCATTCTTTCTAGGGCGACATGAGAAGGATTGAAAAGTGGTAGAGTCAATGCTGACCTTTGACAGATGCCGGACTTGCGCAGAATGTGTGAATCTCCGCATAGTGCTGGAAAAATGAGACAACTGTGGAAAAACGAGTTGGATCTTTGCGGAAAAGTAAGGTTCCAGTATGTAGTAAGCTTCAATATAATTAAATTAACACTATTGTTTCTTATTCTATAAACAATACCAATACTTATTTTGCTATTGGTAGAAAGCCAATCCCACGCAAGTACTCGACATTCTTACGAATGGCAGCTTCTACTCTTGACGAAGGAGTACCGGCTTTCAGTTCCTGTGGTATTTTATCCATAGGCATACCCATTTTCCCATGTTCCTTTTCAAGGTTATGGATTAGTGGCCATAGAGGATGGCTCTCGTGTTTAGAGTCAATATCAGCATAGATAGTATCCAACCATTCATCCTGTCTCAATGGCTCAATAATGTAACCGAAATGTCTCCCCAAGATAGACCAAAATTCACGCACGGGAAGACCCTCCGTGATTCCAACAACAGGATCGGACGAATCATTCTGTTTAGCGTCACAGCAATCCAACACAACTCTGGCTACATTATCGACATCAGAGATGAAAAGCCAGGAATCAGCATCTGCCTCATTAAAACTTCCAACCTCTATGCAACTCGCCACAAGTCTCCAGATAAAGTCATCAGTATTAGCAATACCCTGGTGCGGTGTACCAATAATAAAGCTAGGCTTTACCACGAATACGCGGTTATGATTCTGAATAGTAGTTTGAGAGTACTCTTGCACGAGAAGTTGCGAGATAAATTTCGTTTTAGCGTATTCGGTAGGAAGAACATTATTGATATGATCATCGTCCATGTGGAGATTCTTCTCTGCGAGCGATGGACCATTATAGCCTCCTGAGATATACACAAATTTCACCACAGATGGTGTTTCATTCATGATATTCAAGAGACTCCAAGTCGAATCGACATTTGCCATTTTCAGGGATGAGAAATCGCTATTCCAATGTACTTTTGCTCCACAGTGGATGATAGCATGGACTCGTCTAGAAAAGAGGGACTTTCCGGCCAGACAATCCCATTGATCGGAATTCAAACCGAGATGATGTTTTCCGAGATCTCCGAGCCACACTTCGATCTTTTCAAGATACGAATCTGTCCACCATCCTGCTTGCATTGCCATTTTCTTTACTCGCTGTAGACCATCCTTGAGATTCTTCGCACGCACATGTACCATGACTTTTTGGATATCCCTCCGAGCGCAGAGATGAAACAAAATCTGAGATCCGAGAAAGCCGGTTCCGCCCGTCAAAAATACATTCTGTATGGAAGGACCTCGTCCCCACTTATCCATCTGCTGTTTGTACATTTGGAGTTCCATTCTAAGATCGACAGATCTCTCTGCGCCACTTTGGCTTATTCCAACAGCTCTTAGCTCCTCTATATACTGTGTTACGCTTCGAATTGTTGCTTTTGGATGCAGTAGTACGCTGATGTGGAGCTTGACAGTGAATTCTTGCTTGATGAACATTATCAGGCTGATTATTTGGATGGAATCAAGACCGATTGCTGTCAAGGTAATGTCTTGGCTAATCAGCTTTGATTTGGCTTGGTGATCGTTATGGTACACGAGGGAGGCAAGTTTGCTGGATATTTTGAAACTGATTATGTTCTCTTTTGATATTGTAGTGCCGTTTTGCCCATTGGTATGACCGTTGGTTGTCCCATTGGTGGCTCCATTGATAGACCCATTGATGGGACCATTTGAAAGACCATTTGTTAGGATTGAATTCGCTGAATCGCGACTCAACTGTGTAAGCCAGAATTCCACAGCCTTGCGATTAATTTTTCCGGAAACGGAAAGTGGAATCTGCTCTACGGCAAACCAATGAGTCGGGACCATGTATATCGGTAGTTTTGATTTCAAAAACTGTTCAAGCTTGGCAATACTGAAGCCGGATGTTGCTAGTTGATGGTTGCTAACCAAGGAGAGGATATCTGTCGCCGAAGCAGGTTCCGAATCTGTATCACGAATTTGGATTATTGCCACGAGAGATTTTGCAAAAGCTCCGGTCTTGGGACTTGAAGCCATGGATAGCGCAACAGCGGGATAAGTCGAGAGATGATATTCCACATCTCCAAGTTCAACGCGCTGGCCGCGAATTTTCACTTGGAAATCTTTTCTCCCCACGAAATCTAGAGATCCGTCTGAATTATACCGTACAAGATCGCCCGTCTTATAGAAGCGTCGTGTTCTCGTCCCTAAGATTTCGGCCGGCCATCTTGGATTTTTGATAAATGCTGCTTTGGTTTTGTCCATATCTCCAATGTAGCCACGAGCTAGTGTTGGTCCTTCGACAAGTAACTCTCCTACTGCACCGATCGGGACGAGGCGATCGTGATCTTTTGGATCTACCAACCAGCATAGGGCCGATCCGAATTCTCGCCCAATGGTTGAGCCTCTGGAATTAGGCCTTAGTAAATTGGCCGTTGTGGGGGAGGATTCTGCAGGTCCGTAACAATTATAGAGGGTTACGGCATTAGCCCATCGAACCACATTCTCCTGCGTGACCGCTTCTCCACCCAGTGTCAACGTTTCAAGACATGGCAAATCTTCAGGCGAGATCAAGTTCGCTACAGATGGTGTAAAGAGCACCCAGTTAACTTGCATTGTATTCATGATGCCGATAATATTGCTTCGACGGTCATCTTCAGAGGGAGTACATACACATCCTCCGTAAATAAGTGTTGTGAAGATATCCATCATACTTACGTCGAAGGTATATGCAGCATATTGAAGGACGCGCGATCTGGAACTCCACCCAAAGGCTTTACCATGGGCCAGCGAACTTGTGGACACGGAGCTATGTTCCTGAACAATCCCTTTGGGCTCTCCAGTGCTGCCGGAAGTAAACAGAACAAACGCCGCATTATATGGCTTGATTCTGATCGATGGGCGATCCTGAAGAGACGCGTGGAGGGACGTAAGGAGAGCGTCTGAGACGCTAATAGTTTGTTTCGTGATGTCAATGAACTTCGATGCAGTTTGCGGTGATGTAATAACCAATTTTGCATTTGCCTTTCTGATGATAGCCTCTAGTCGTTCCTGGGGTTGAGACGGATCTAATGGGACGAATGCTCCGCCCACTCTTAAAATTGCAAGCATAGTCAATATTGCATACAAGGACTTTTCGAAACAAATCGGCACAAGTATCTCCGGCCCAACCCCATGATCAAGAAGATGACACGCCAGGATGGACGTTACTTTTTCCAATTCATGGTATGTTAATTGTCCATCCCAGGAGCATATTGCGGGGACATTGGGCGTCGATATTGCGTGTTGCAACACGAGCTCATGTACGCAAAGATCTATCCTCTCTGGAAAATCGGCTTCCCATCCGCGTAATTGTTGCAAATCTCGCTTCGTGATGAGATTGAGGCTATCTATGCGTTGGAAAGGATCCTTCAGGATACTTTCGATGGCTTTGGCACATGTGTGAGCTACATTTGTTGCGGCGATGGTGGACAATTTTGTCGAAAGGTGCTTTAGATATGCGTGAACTTTGGAATTACTACTGTCGTATCTTATATCTAGTAGTATCTCAATCTGGATATCGTGTTAGTCATGATATTCAACCGGCTCTTTTGTCGTACTTACATGATTTTCTGGCACATTTTGGACATCGCTACTACTTGGAATAAAATTAAAGCTCCCCGCACTATCCAATTCTTGAAATTGCAAAGCAGTATTATATAAGACCGTATTCGCACTCTTGTTTCCAGACGCAGGCAACAAATGAGAAGCGCCATTTTCTCCCGATGATTTTGATTGAATAGCTCGTAGAACTTCAATCACTCTACCCGCCTCCTCAAGCTCGACATGGCAATCTCGATTGTAAACAAGACCACAAGGTGATGCTGAATCTGCACCCAGTTCAGACGGCGGCAATGTCAAGTGACCAAACGACGGAGAGTTACTTCCTGCGTAACATTGAAGCACGAGCGCCCACGCAAGCTTGAAGAGTGTCAACGGAGCCACCTCATGTTCACAACAGAATCGATCCAAACATTCGATGCTGCGGCTGGGGACTTCTACTATCTGCCAACATCTTTCTGATGGGGATGAATCGAGAAAAGCGTCGAGGATAGGAAAAAAACAAGCTTGGGCTTGCCAACTCATCATATCAGACATTTTATCAGGCTTTCATGGATTGTGTATATATTGATGTGTTGTTAGGGGAGGAAACCAAAGCCTGGAAGAGTGATAGGGTGTGATTCATTGGATACCATTGGATACTACGCATATATACCAGAAATCTTCAGTGCATTGTCATAGAATCATGGATGGCTTGCTGAGATAGAGCTGATACATCTTATCATCCCGAGTCTCAAACTACATCATACAGGCCACAAATGTCCCTGTTGACTTATCTGAATTGTCATTATTTGTATCTTCCTGCAATGTTACGAGCAGGGTATCCAATAGCAAAGTACGCACTGCAGTTCGATAATGAGGGATTTTCGAGTATGTTCAAAATTTTACCATCTTTGAGTATCGGTGGCCTTCGAAAAGGTTGAAGCTGCAATTCGGACTCCCGACTATTGCGACCCCTGCGTACGAAGCTTCAATATTTCGCGTCTGAGAGGACTAGGGTTCTAAGTCAACTTGCCACGGCGTACAAGCTTTGAAGTTTTTCGTGGCTGCAGCTATGCACTTAGATACCTCATGTTTGCACACCGGTAATAGTAAATTTCCGTTATCTCTATGACATAATCGTGTGTCCCGTATCCCAAAGCCACATTAATTAAGTTGTGCGTTGATATGCATCTTATTCTCCTTTCGACTGCATCTGCAGCGCAGCAGAGAATACTTAAATGAAGTAGCATTTCCACCCATGCCACAAGATTAAAGATCGGAGATGTAAGTTACCAAAAGATTCCGAAGATTCGAAACTATTGATTCACCCTGCAGTGCCATGAGATACACACCCCCGGGAGAAGAAGATCTGTATGTCATACTTTATCTGCATCTGCATCTGCATCTGCATTAATTTAGCTCTGATATTCAATGATCCCGGCGGTATACTCCACACAGCTTAGATTGGCTGGCTATCTCGACTGGCTCTCTACCGTTCTGCGAGCTTAGATTGGCAGACTCGTCTATCTTTCTTGGTCGATCCGGCGTCTTTCCGCCCCCCTGTATCATACATTGGTACTATATCCCGGTACTTGAGATGTGAGGCGCTCTCCAAACATGTCTTGGAAATATGCAAAGAGCCTAAAACGCTTGATTGGAAGAGGAATATGAGGAAATACGATAACAAGGCACGGGAAACTTTAAAACGCCCTCGCTTATTTACCTCTAGTTTAATCCGATGACTTTTGTATAGAATCGAATATATTATAGCTTATAAATTAATATTAAGTTATGACTTGAATATTTAAATTTTATAGAAAAAGACATGAGAATTAAAAGATTATAAGATATATTTAATGTAAAGTTGATTATTCTAGAATAAGAAATAATTTAAATCGATGAAAGAAAATCAATTTTATCACTTGTAAAACTAAAAGATAATATCAATGAATAATCATTGGTTGTTTAGGGTGTTTTTTTTAATAATTCAAGCTCGAGATAATTCCAAAAAAGTATTTATACTCTAGATTTGTAAAGTTTTAGATCTAGGCTACTGTGACTTATTAGAGACGCTGGACTCGAGGGGATTTCCAGAGAAATTCGACTGCAGAAGGTGTAAGCCAATATTGGGTTACACGGTTCTCGATGGTAAAATTTCGTGTAGTATGGATTGTCTGTGGCCCGCGATCATGTACATAGAATGCTTTCGGGACATGTGCAGGCCAAAGACCAGTGAAACAAGAAAATGCTATTGTTACAAGATTGGTAATCCATGCGAACTGTGACATTGAAGAAGGCTGCGGCTTTATGAGGGCTCTCGAGTCAACGCTTTTGTGTAACACAAAGAAAAAGAGGTAGCCAGCCACCTTTTGCACCACATGCTGAAAGTCCGATTCGGCTGCCACAAGCCAAACCAAGCTCTTGTGGCTAAATGCCATGATGTACACTGACAAGCACGGAAGCACTTGCACAACACATGCCATCTAGAGCCAATATAAGATGGGAAAGAAATAATTCTGCAGACACTCTCTGCATCTATGGTATCATTCTCGCATACTCTTGTCGGACAACCATGGTTTACTTAATATTAATAAAATAGAATGCTAATTTCTGCGTTCGGATTGGAGAGGCCGAGATAATTGAGTAACTCACACATGAGCTGTAAGACTAAATATTATTGGGGCACGAAACACAATAAATGTATTTAGGAAAGACATTTCCGGACCTACACCGGAGCAGCTTGATTTATTTTTTAGTTTAAGAAACACTTTTGAAATGTCCGAATCACAGAAAACCCCAAATGAGACTTTTCATAATGGTACTCGTGCATCGAAAACACTAGCAATCCTGGGATGTGGTACGGATCTACTCTAGGAATGCCACTGGCTTCGAGCTAGAGCTCGATAGTTAACTTCTATTAGGTAGCCTTGGAACTGCTCTCTTGTGCGGAATACTGACCAGCATCGAAGAGAGCAAGAAATCCAACTTAGCTCGTCCGGACTTAGATCAATCCCATGTCCCAAGCAATTTCATAGCTTGTGTCCGGAGCGCCCCTTCTGCTGCACGCTTGGAATGTGCACTTTCTGCTTTTGACACAGAAGTAGCTATCTACCACGGCGATCAACGTGCTCCTCTTCACGAAGCCGATGTGATAGTCCTAGCTTGTCAGCCCGGTGATATACGGAGTTGTCTAGCCACCACCATCATCAGATCCCAGCTACAAGACAAGGTCCTCGTTAGCCTACTTGCGGGCGTCACAATCCCAGATATAGAATCCGTACTCCAGTCTGTAGGGGGTAAGAGCTACTATCCTGCCACAATTGCTCGAGCCATGCCAAATACCGCATCATTTGTCCGTGAGTCAATCACTGTCGTCGAAGCTCCGGAAGCAACGTCAGCCCGCCATCTACTTGCAATTGACTGGCTGTTTGAATCTATCGGCAAGGTTAAACACATTTCCCCTTCCAATTTCGATACATGCACAGCATTGGGTGCATCAACTCCTGCATTCTTCGCGGTTATTCTCGATGCCTTGATTGACGGCGCTGTCACACTTGGGCTGACCAGAAAGGATGCTACGTTCATGGCAGCACAATCTATGAAAGGATGTGCGGCGTTGGTGCTGGCTGGAGAACATCCAGCTTCTGTAAAGGAGAACATTACCACTCCAGGCGGTTCGACTATTAGGGGCGTACTGGCGCTTGAACAAGGAAATGTGAGAGCCGTTGTGGCAGGTGCTCTGATTAAGTGCAAAGAAGCCGCAGAAGGATTAGGAACTCAGGCAAGAAATTAGGCTTAAGGTTGTATGCTCCATTATTCATAGCGTACGGCCATTATTTTTTTGGTTTTATTCGAGTTTGGAAGTGTTTTTGGAGAGATTCTAATTTCATGTCAATCAATTTGGAAAATAATGAACGGAGAGTTTGTTTGAATGTGATTAGGAAATCGAGTCACGCACGTGACTGAGGGCAGAATCATACGGTGAACAGGTCACGTGATGGTTTTTACCCTTCCATCTTCATCATGCGTTGATGTACAAGCAAACCCATCCGTTCCATCAACCTGCCTATCAAACTTTTCATCTTCTACACCGGGGACGGACAATGTAATTCCACATCTTGTAGGACTGCCCATCATTCATTGGCCTTCTGAGTCGATCTAAGCATCATTTACCAAAACATATCGATATCTTGCGTCTCCAGCCTCCATCTCCTTCAGAACATTGTTCACATCACTCATCTTTCGCGTCTCAACCCATGACTTAATCTGTTCCCTCACCACAAATTTCAATAGGTTTTCTGTCTCCTTGACTGAGCCTATGTCATTGAAATGAATTGAGATCTTCCGCTCAACCAGCCCAAATATTTCAAGCGGCGGCATAGGATCGTCTGGCAGTCCAACTTGGCAGAAATGGCCTCCTGTCCTGAGCAAACCCAAGTACTTGTTTAGTGGCATGTCAGCGGATGACACAGTACAAATAATCACGTCGAGCGACTTTGCATGCTTCTCTGCCCAATCTGTGTCGGTTTCGGTGGCTATGTAGCTTTTTGCACCCAACTTGATGGCGTCGCCGAGCTTGCTCTCACTTCGTGAAATTGCAACAACATGCTGAAACTTCAAAGCTCTTGCAAACATGATTGCAAAGTGCCCCAAACCCCCAATACCAATTATTCCAACTCGCTTTCCTTCTCCTTTGTGTTCCGCTAATGGAACGAAGGTGGTAATGCCAGCACATAGCAATGGTGCCGCTGCTGCGCTGCTTAGTGCTTTGGGAATACGAATGGCAGCGGCGCCCGGAACTCGACAGTAATTTGCAAAGCCGCCGAAGGTCTTGCTGCCATCTGGGAGATAACCATCATATGCAGCAACTTTCCGTGGACAGTAGTTTGGCATCCCCTGGCTACATTCCGGGCAATCTTTCTGGGCACAGACGTGAATTATAGGACCAATTCCTACCCGGTCACCAATACTGTTTTCTGTTAGCGGACAGAATTCCAGCTATTTATAGGATGGACTAACGCAATATTTCGCTCGACTGCTTTCCCTACTCGAATTACCTCTCCCACAGTCTCATGCCCGGTACAGCATGGATAATTAGTAGGTCCCTAGCCGAGAACATGTGAGATTGAATCAAAATAGGGGTAGAATTTCTTACCCATCCACTTCGCAAAGTATGCATGTCACTTGCGCAGAGACCACAGTGAGTAACTTTGACATCTATGTCGGTCTCTTCCCATTTCTTCGGTTGGAAAGGTGTTAGTTTCAACCCATCTACTATGGCGTTCTTGTCAAAGGCCATCCATCCTTTGAAAGCAAGGTCAGAAATGATTGTTTGGTCTTCCATATTTTTCCGATTTGTGTATTTTTAGGTGATATTTGCGCTGAGTGCTCGAGTGTCGTGACAATCGCGATCGAAGATATAATTAAGCATAAACAATGCTACTGTATCGACATACTTAAATGGGACATCAAAATGTCGGTGTTCCCAAATTTGTCACTTGTACCGAGCGGCTCATGTAAGTCACTCATTTAGATACACAAGACTAATGATTATCCCGAGTAAGCAATGGTATTGTGACAAGCATACCCCACAATTGTAATTCAGTCCCTTCTGCTGTACTTGCTCTGTTTTGTAGTTTATTTCTGGTGTGCGCTGCATTAGATAGGTGCCAATGCTGCAAGTAGCAGCAGAATTCGCGCACATTCAACCAGGCGAAGCCTCCTACCCTTAATCAATTAAGCCATGAACACTGTCGCCGATCACACAAATAGATCGGAAGGTTCCACAAGATATCGCTTAGGTTTTTATCATGGGGACCAGTGTTTCATTATAATATACTTCGTCAGATCATCAGCCCGAATTAGTGGGTGAGCTGAAAAGGCGCGAATGAAAGAGGCAAGTGAATTGAGCCAAGATGTGAGCCCGAGATCAAGATGATTGGTTTGGAAATATCGATGATGATGTAAGTTTGAGGCAAACGTGTCTATTTCTACTTGTGAGAAAATGCTGGCCACTTTCGACCTTGGCAGTTTGTTTCTTTAACTGTCTATACTGAATCATTTCATCAAACGACGCTCTTTGGAACTGGAAATTTGGGAAGATGGCAGGCGATATTGAGAGAGCAAGTCCCAAGTTTCAAAAGCTTCCATGGCTCCTTGAATATCGGTCCTCTGACTGGTTCATCCTCACCACGGTGTGCTGTGCCATATTCACTGTAAGCTCGCCAAATGATCTTTTCTCCGGTATCTATCTAACGTGGCTTAGGATGCCTTCCTTTATGGTGTTGTAAGCATCCCCGTTCATACCATCTATACATTTGATTCGAAAAAGCGAGTGGCTGAAGCTATATGAATGTTATATTAACAATAAACAGGTGGTTCCCGTTCTTCCATTCAGTCTACAAGAGAGATCGGGTGTGCCGGAAGAAGAAGGTACGTGGGAAATGTCGAGACTTGACCATCCACTGATCAAAAATAGTCCAATGGTGGACGTCTTTCATATTCGCTATCTTCGGTGCTGCTATTATAATTGGGTCTCCAATTTGTGGATGGCTCGCAGATCATACTACCGATAGATCCATTACTTACTTCGTTGGTTTATTCATCCTAGCGGCTGCAACTCTTCTTTTTGGATTGGCGAAGAAAGCATGGCTTCTTGTCGTTAGCAGAATGTTCCAAGGATTCTCGGCTGCGATTGTTTACACCGTCGGGCTCGCACTATTGGTTGATACTGTTGGGAGTGAAAATATTGGACAGTGGATGGGCACAGCTTTATCATGTTCCAGTGTTGGTCTCATTATCTCACCTTTGCTTGGGGGCATCGTCTATGATAAGGCCGGCTATATGGCTGTGTTTAGTATGGCTGCTAGCCTCATCGTTATTGATGTCCTACTGCGCATGTTGATGATCGAGAAACGGACAGCCGAAAGATACCGGAACGTTCATACTTCCCCTGCCGAACGTGAGGTTCAAACTAACGGCTCAGAGAGCATTAACAGCTGGAGTGAGCCTTCGGATACTCCGAATCCTACACCTCCTGGATTTGGTATACCAAACTACGATGAATCTAGCGCTCTTCTGCCAAAGAAGATTCAAAACAGCAACCCAGCCTCCAGAGCCTGGACCCTTCCACCGGTTATTACCTTGCTCGGTTCACCACGAGTTTGTGCGGCCATATACGGCATTTTTGTTAACGTTTCGATTCTCGCCACATTTGACAGCGTTCTCGGATTGTTCGTCAAGGAAACCTTCCATTGGAGTTCTCTTGCAGCCGGACTCATATTTCTGTGCTTAGCTGTCCCTGGACTTGCAGGCCCACTCGTCGGTACGCTTTCCGACAATCTAGGTCCTCGTTGGATAGCCGTTGTTGGATGTACCTTGACAGCAGTGCCATTGATACTTTTGCGACTTGTCGATAATGATACTACCGAGCAGAAAATTCTGCTATGCGTCCTATTGTCTATATGCGGTATGAAAACTAACTAACTCAAATTTTCCTCCTACCAGCTTATGAACACCCGCTAATCTGATCCCTAGGTTGTACACTCATTCTTATCGTAGCACCTGTTGCCGCCGATCTTTCTCTAGTCGTTGGAGAAATTGGGATCGAAAATCCGGGCAAATTCGGTCCTGGAGGGGCTTATGCACAGGCTTACGCCCTGTTCAATTGTTCTATGGCTGCTGCTACCATATTTGGCCCAGTATTTGCCGGCGCGTTGATTACACAATATGGTTGGAAGACTATGGGTCTAGCTATGGGTATATTTTCTCTCACTGGGGCGATTCCATGTGTAAGTACAGAGCCTCTTCCTCCTGCTTTGTCCTTTTGTCTATTTTATCGATGCCGCCTCAAGAAATATTTACTGACGATATAATCAATAGCTATTTTTCACTGGCGGGCGACTATTTCGGAAGGAGTCAAAAAGCGCAACCGTGAACCTGGGATAGATTGTGATAAAAGACTAGGCTTTCCGGACAATATTTGATATTCGCGACTTGTCAAGCTATTTGGTTTGCTACATGGACTTCTCTACATTTTTCTTTTTAAATTGCTCTTTCGTACTTATCTCACATTCATTTAATTTTGTTGTTTCTTGGATCAATGTAACTAAACTTTCTTTTGCACAAGATGCACCAAAAGTCTTAAATTGTAATTTCATTGTTTAATTAAATTTTATATTTGTTGTACAAATAGTGTCTGTTACACTACACTGCATACATGGTATTTGTGCTACCAACCCGTGGTTACGAGGTTGGACAGAGGAATATTTTGGATTTGACAATTGTACTCTCTGTATGAGCCCATCGATGAAAACGAAATATGAATGATAAGCTCGCTACTTCATGTTTGATAGAACAGCTCTTTCAATTATAGCTTGCTAAGTTTGGTATTGGAGGAGCTTGTGATGGCAATTTCGGTGTGTAACTTTCGCATGCATCATGATACGTGCAGTGTATATGAGATGAAAATCACCACTTGTATAATCTGATCAAATCATCTTAGAGATCTATTGAGGGGTGTATGAACCAGACCTTTACTATAAATTACTTATAAAAAAAATGATTTTAAAGTACAAAACTAGAATACTGCAATATCCATATTCGACACAAAAGTAATCCTACTATTACACCCCATAGCTATCTCACCATACCAAGAAATCTCCTCACATGAATTCGAACATCCATTAACGCTGCCTACACACTTCTAAACCCTCCCTCAACCTTCAACTTCAAACTCCCATATGCATTCCACCATCAATCAATCAATCGACTTTCTTTGCGCGTTGCGCCCCATCCCGTCCCTTCTTATAAAGTATCTCCATCTCATCCGAATTCAATTTACTAGCGGTCCCCAACACATGATCCCAAAACGTTGTATAAACCTGCGAATAATTCGTCTGCTCACCAAATCTCACCGATCAGCACAAAAATTCCGAAACGTTAAATTTTAACTCGAATGACCACGAAAATGAAATAAAATCAATGAATGAATGAATGAGGAAAAATAAAGCTACTTACACCTGCGCCCCAAGTTTGGTGATGGATGTCGTGGAACACGGTTCCTTGTTCGCCTAGCCATTGGAGAGGATCCCAGGGGAGTTTGTAGCCACAATGGTCGTCGACGCCTTTTAGGACACTGATGGTGGAAAATACCATAGCTTCGCGCATGCTGAGTCCGGAGAAGAAGAAGGAGAGTGTGGTTCCAACGGTATCTATAATGAAGGCTTCGGTGAGGGTATTGTAAAAAGCAGCAAAGGCGTATGGAGCGTTAACGCGATGGTGTTGGGAATGTATATTTCCTGGTGGCAAGGAATGGGTTAGTGGGGGTTTATTGGAGAGGGGGTTCACAGACGTACGGTACATCCATTTATTCTCGTGCATGGCACGATGCCAGAAGTATTGCCAGGAGTCGCTGAAGAATATCGCAATACCGAATCTGGTGGCCGGAGCAAGAACCCTATAAATCACTTGTGCGAGTACAACATCCCATGCAATAATCTGTCCATCCTTTTATAATTATCAGCCATTGCACAAGACTGACTTGTTGAAGATGCAAGTTCCGACGAGGTGACTTACAGGAGTGGCGATATGGATATGAAGAGGAAGATGCAACGAAGTTTTTGACCTCGCAAGATCAAATCCCAAGGCTGTCATCCCCATCCTCAAGCTCCATGCTATCCATGAACTTCCACTTCTAACCCTATCCACCCAAACCGCAATGTCATATTCTTCGGTCCCAACCATATCATGAGTTCCCAGGACCACATGGCCCAAGAACAAGCCCCATGCTGTCTGAATTAACTGCTGAAAGATAATACAGCGGAGGACTTCGCGAGCCGTAGCACGGTTGCGCGTCTGGATTTCTGCTGGTGTGTGGATGCGATAGGTAGGAAAGAGATTATAATATGAGATGATAGACCAGAATAAAGAGAGAGACCAGTATGCAAGAACAGGGAGGAGGAGAGAAAGGTGGAAATCGGATATATGAGAGGACAGAGGTGGCCGAGGAAATTGAGAGGACAGCGTATAGGTGGGAGTAGTTGAAGAGGTATTGGTGATTAGAGTATTCATTTTGGGCGGTAGATAATGCCAAGAGAAATGTCTGGAGAGAAGTTTTGGCGCTGGAGAAATGTAGCTAACATTTAAAAAAGCATGAAATTGTGATGAAGTCTTATGACATAACCAAACTATCGAAAAGCCACAACGAAGTGTCCTCGTCTGGCTATGTCCGTATCGCAACCATTACAAGTGCATCCATTAACATTACCTCGATTTGTGATCATGCTTGGATTAATTTGCGATCTGACCCTAAATCAGAAATTCATGGTGACGCTCATCGTATGCAATGTGAGATTCAGCTGACGATGATGTGCATCCATTTGTGGCTGCATTTTTCAACCAGGGGTATAAAAGCTCGCACTGCAATGGAAACACGGCACAAGAGATAGAATTAGCTATGTGTGGCAAGCCAAGGCTACGCCAATACAATTTTCTCCGTATATAACGCAGTATTTAAGGTATAGGAAACAAATTGGAGATGCGATCAATGAAAAGTTACCAAGGATAGGTAACCCGTCCATTGATATCTCCGGGAGTCGGACCATTGTATCCAATAGTCCGGACTGCAGTCTAAATAATGAACTTATTTATAAATATGAAAACATTTTGGACACTGAAATTATCTCAGATAGCAAGTCTATTGAAACCGTAACATTATTAAAACAATAAAGCACTTTTTCAACATTGAAAATTTGATAAGTTCAAATAGGACTGCAGCCCGGAATATTTGACAAACTATCCGAGACAGATACACAAGATGTTTTGCGGAATATTCAGCCTCTGAGATATTCTGAATAAATCCCTACTCCGCCTTTGGGTGCGCCACATTAATCTCGTTTATCTTTCTGCGAGCTTTAACTAATTCGTGGGTTCGAACATAACGCATATCCGCCCCTTGAACATCGGTCCATTCGGTTCCGAGTAGTCTATCCCAAAAGACGGTATAAGTAGAAAAGTTGTGCTAGATCGACTTATGTTAGGGCATTCTCAGAAATATAGCAATGTGCTAAGGGTCGAAATTTTACTAACCTTAAGACCCCAACTCTGATGATGTAAGTCGTGGAATCTTGCATTATTGCCGTTAATGTATCCAAAAGGATCCCAGGGAAACACAAAATTGCAGTGATCACTAATAGTCTTCAGCGTCGCCAGCGAAGATAAAATCATCCCCTGACGAACTGATATCCCGGAAATAGTATTCGCTAAGATGAAGCTCAAGACATCGAGGAAAATAGTTTCGGTCCAATGAGCGTACACGGCTCCATAGGCATAAGGCACGTAAAGTTGATGGTGCTGAGCATGCACTACCCCTAGAAGAAATTTTAATTAGATGAGTCGAATTGGAGAGGTATTCACATACGGTAAAGAGTCTTGTTAATATGACAGAGACGATGTAGAAAATAAACCCATGTATCCACAACTGCGAGATACACCGTGAACTGTATCGCTGGTATTATGAAAGAAACTATGACACGCGCGAAGTTCCACTCAATAGCAGTAAAGGTTGGACTTGATAATATATCATGGCTAGTTGCCAAAATATGCGACAACAAAGGTGCTTCGCGGGATGTTGATATAAGTCCTTGAATATCCAGGCCGAGAAGTGTCAATGCCCAAGGAATGACCATAAAAGACTTCCTCACTCGTCGCGCCCATTGATATATCTCGCAGTCCCCCATTTTAACAAACTCTGCCTCCTTGTTGTAGGTGAGTAGCAATCCTATCGAAATCTGAATCACATGATAACGCATGACATTCAAAAGACAGCCCAATCTTGAAACGCGATTCCGATGTAGTTCCTCTTTCGGTGGATGGATGCGGTAGTTGCTGAATAGTTCAAACTTGTTGAAGGCATAAAAGACTAAACTCCCGGCAATATAAACCAATGTTGGCAGGATCACACCGAGGGTATGATCTGACACCCCGTGTATCATAGATGAGCGAGGATATATATTGCATGATGGCACAGAGGGAGAGGACGAAGTATCGGTGATGTTCGCCATTTGAAAAAAATGAATGGCACCAATTGAATATGGAGTTTTTAGTGTTGATAGTCCTGGAGGGTAGATAGATAATAAAACTCTCTTTGACGGAATTTGAAAGAGAGAAAGGCGGCTCTAACAATAGACACACATATATTAGGAGAATCATAACTTTTGGAATCGCCTCCTAGACGAGGAAGCATGATCTGAGACCAAAAGGCTACTAACCTTTTTAGAGAAAGACTGCATGAGGCATCTAGTATAACAGAACGCCATCAGTGCTGGGACACGAGCTGTGAAATGGCTACTGCATTTCGAATGTTGTAGAACACTGTGCGGTGTAATATAATGTACTTGTAGGATGTTCAAGCGGGGAGTTGTTGAAGGCGCTGAAACACTGAAACCACTAACCAAATCGAGAACTATACTAACACCAAGAACTTGGTAGAATTCTATCAAGTCCGTTTTCCTAAATAGGAAGTTAGAGACTTCCATATAACTTAAAATAATATAAATAAATATTTTACTAGATAAATACTTGTTTTTCATAATCTAGACATTCTCAATTTTTACATGATGAAAATCTAGAAAAATGAAAAGAAATTTTACTTCGATAAAAGTCAAGAACTCTTATACAGTTTGAGAAAAAAGACTAACTAGTATATATATTGAATAAACTTCAATATATATTTCATAATATATGAATCCAAACTAGAGGATAGATTATCGATTACGAAATAACACCAATTCCAGGGTCAAGCAGCAGAGGACGAATGTCCATAGATCGGCAGCTCGCCGGATCGTCCCCTCCGCCACATTTGCCTTCAAACACTACCATCTCCGAAGCCACGTCGAGTAACTTGCGGGATATCCGGCTGGAGATTGGCTGTCAAACCTGGCGCCAAACCTTGGACACGGACGTTCATCCGGATGCACATTTAATTCCGCTTGTAGGATGAGATAATTGATCAGGAATTGGAACACTAGACGAAGGAAGAGAAGATGCTGTAGGCGTTGAGACAGTAGATACTTGAGGTGGTGGTGTGAATATTGAAATGGATGGCGTATTGATCTTCAGAAACGGCAGAGCATTTGCCCACGGGCAGCAGAGAAATTAAAAAAAAGGCTTATACCGCGAGTCTGTGTATGCAAAGAAAAGAAAAGAAATGAATAAGTTGGAGTAGTACTGCAAGTGCCAATGTTGGACTCAATCACCATCACAATCATACTTGTACCACAACTTCGGTTTGTAGGTCAAGAATAAATTAATCATCTACTCATAGACACCATTCTCAAAAGTTTCCGTATTATAGAACAAAGCTGATATGGTATTCCCATTGAATATACGACCCTCGAGTGCGTTCACAGCCTGTTTAGATTAGCTCCAGCCAAGTAGGGAATGACAATGGATCACATACCCTCAGCGCCGATAACTGATTAGTAAATTTGACAAAGACCTTTGCTGGAGCACTTTGCCTATCGATGTACACTCGTTCAACTCTCCCATACTGTAGCATGTTAGTGTTGTTGTATATGAGCCATTCCCACGATCGGGCATACCTTTTCACCACATTCATCCCCAATTTCCTGCATTATGCCTCCATCCCCTGAACCTTCCACTTCCTCATCTAGATCCATATTATCTACCATTCCACGCAGTACTATAACTTCGGACATTGGTCCAAATCTGCCCGTTTCTTCCTCCTTAACTATCTTCTTTCCCCCAATGATCTTTCCTCTTCCTCCCGAATCACGGAACCCACCACCTTCAGCATCGGACTTCTTTTTGCGCTTGTCAAGTTTGACTTGCAGAGGTGTAATCATACCGGAGCCATCTGCACCAAGTCCCGATCCTTTACTCCAACCATATTTAGACATTAGACGTTCTGCAAAACCTTTCTGGCCTGGGCGAAGTGATTTTGGTGCATCTTCATCTAGTTCTACTCCATCTTCATCATCCCGTTCATCGGCAAGCGCTCTATCTAATTCTGCTTCTGAAGCTGGAAGTTCACTTGGCGCCGGTGGTAAGTTATACCGCACTGGTGCTCTGGAAATGGCTCCATGTAATAGTGGTTCCGGTAAGGGTTGATCTTCGGGAGGTAGACGGACTGAATTGGATTGTGCTCCAAGAGTGGGACTATAAGAGTCACTCTCTGGCGACTTGGAACGTTTTTTGGGAGGAGAATCGATTGGCGGTGGAGCAAACGAATAATTTGGAGGTGGAGCGAATTGGCCTGAGCATCATTAGCAAAGGGAAAACAAATAGAAGAGAGTCGCTTACTGCCAATCTTTGGGCGATATGGCTCCTCTTCATCACTGTCGCTCGATGTCTTTCGCGCCATTCTATGAGCATATAGTCTATCCTTCCACTCTCGTACTTCCCGAACCTTCTCATCACTATTTTTATATTCCTCGTAGTTATTCGGCCGCGACGGGTCATAGATATCGTCCCAATCTTGTGCTACAGCTTGCTCTTCCCTGTTCTTCTTTCTTCGTTTCCTACCACCTCTTTGCCTCTTCTCGCCGACGTAAAATCCATTAACATCATCGTCGTCAGCAGCCCAATCAGCCAAAGTGCTCTTAGAAGCTGGTTTGACAGTATTAGATGCTGGCGCTCTCACCACAGGTGCATTGCTCGGCTCGGTGGTACTTGGATTGACTGGGGTAACTTTTGGGAATGATGATTTCGGTTTGGGCTTTTGTGAAGAAAGTTGTGGTCTTCGTGTAGGTTGAAATCTTAGGGCAGCTATTCAAGATTTAGTGCGATTCTCAATGAATTTGGACTCAATTTTGTGAATCGTCTATGGCATACCAGCATCAATCTGCGGTTTCTTAGTTGAAGCTTCATCTTCCGCGGAAGCTGCGCCAGTTTTGAAAACGACTGGTCCTTTGGTAATGGAGGCGGGTGTATCACTCGATGACGGATCTAACAAGTTCGCATAGAGAGAAAGCCCATTCCGTGCAGGAGGCGCATTGGGAGGATTCGACATAGTAGTACATCAATCTGCTAAGGAAAAGCAGATAAATAGAGAGACAGTTAAATCCAATGTTGTTTGAGAAACATCTACAGCCTGGCGCATGAGGCTGTGTGTTCTCAGAGTCAGGTGATCAAGAGCTTCTTTCGATAACCTACCTAGGTACCTTGGAGAATTCGATAAGAGTACAAGGAGGAACCCTGGCGATAAGGGCTTTGCGAGCTTGGAGGAGTTGGAAATGTTGCTGGAAATGCTGTTATTATTTTTAACCTCTGTTCATTGAATTTTCCCATCACATCTAAACCAGACAAGCAAGCTCATCGATGGATTTGAGTAAATTGAAGCAATTTTATACCCTATTCGTCAATTGTTCATTTTCCTGAAGTTACATTTTGATATTAGCTCTATTTTATCCCTTGTACAGTGGCAGCGATTGTCATCCTTTCGACCAACCATCGTCGTCCAATTCACGCAGGCCAAGATGTCTGTCACCACTCTCGCCAATTCCTTCTCCACAGGTAGTGCTACCTCAGCAATCATAATTCCGGGAAAGCAACCTCTCACAATTACCTATAAACAGCTCTCCGCCGAAATTTCCTCATTTCAGAAGAGGCTTGCCAAGCTAGGTGTTACACCCAGAGCTGCAGTATCCATTGCGCTGCCAAACACCTATGAATTTATTGTTGCATTTTTGGCTACATCATGGCAGAGAGGAATTGCCGCACCTCTCAACTCTTCATACAAACAGGAGGAATTTGAATTCTATATCGATGATTTGAGCTCTGCAGTTACTCTTGTACCTAAAGATTCATTTCAAAAGGATGGGCCTGCTGTGAGGGCTGCGAGGAAATATAATGCTGCTATTGCAGAATGTTATTGGAATGGTAAGGAGGTTGTATTGGATATCAAGGAAGAGGGGAAACTCAAGGGGAAAGGATACCAAAAGGTTGAGCAGGCTCAATCGGATGATGTTGCTTTAGTTCTACATACCAGCGGAACGACAGGAAGGCCAAAGGCCGTGCCATTGACACACAAGAATCTTATTAGAACTATGAAGAACATCCAGGCTACATACAATCTTACTCCTGAGGACCGTACCATGCTCGTTATGCCTTTATTCCACGTCCATGGACTTCTAGCCGGTTTCCTAGCTCCCTTAATGTCCGGTGGTTCCGTTATTGTCCCCCTTAAGTTCTCTGCTTCAGAGTTTTGGAGTGATTTCGTTACGCATAAAGCAAACTGGTATACCGCTGTCCCAACCATCCATCAAATCCTTTTGAAAAATCCACCACCTATAACTAAACCTAATATCAGATTCATCCGATCATGTTCCTCGCCTCTTCCTCCAACCACTTTCTATGCACTAGAAGAAACATACGACGCTCCTGTCCTTGAAGCATATGCCATGACAGAAGCTTCTCATCAAATGACATCCAATCCTCTCCCACCCGGAAAACGCCAGCCTGGTTCCGTAGGGATTGGTCAAGGAGTTGAGGTACGAATTCTTGACGACGAGGGCAAAGAAGTCTCTCTTGGCTCGGAAGGAGAAATTTCCATCCGTGGTGAGAACGTCACAAAAGGTTACCTCAAAAATGAAAAAGCCAATAAGGAATCCTTCACCCAAGAAGGATTTTTCAGGACGGGTGATCAAGGAAAGATGGATAAAGATAGATATGTATTTATCACTGGCCGAATCAAGGAACTCATCAATAAAGGAGGAGAGAAAATCTCTCCTATTGAACTTGATAATGTTCTCGCACGTCACCCTGCCGTTTCGGAAGCAGTAAGTTTTGCTATACCGGATGAAATGTATGGTCAAGATGTCGGTGTTGCTATTGTTTTGAAGTCGGATCAAAAGTTAGCTGCATCGGAGCTGAAGGAATGGGTTGCAGATAGAGTGGCTAAGTTTAAGGTTCCAAAACAGGTATGTCTTTAATATGTTTGATCTCTTCATATTTACAATACTAATCGATATTGTAGGTATACTTCACAGATGTCATGCCAAAGACAGCTACAGGAAAGATTCAACGAAGAATAGTGGCGGAAGCTATGCTTAAGCAGCCTAAGGCGAAATTGTAGAGCTAAAGACACTATGCTCATTTCACAAGAGTGGCGGTTGTGGTATCGCACCTAGACTTGATACCTTCTTGTATTACACCCTTGAATGTACAACATTTTCTCTTTCGTTTAAAGAAAGATGGTTGTGGGTTAATTTTAGATTATGCTTTGAAGTTTTACAGAGCAATCAGTTAGATTTTGGGCGGGAGCTCTTTCAGGATAGTAGAATGCCAAATGGATAATAGAATTGTTTTGATTTACGGTGATATTGTGTATCCAAAAGTAGACTTATCTATATCTCTGCCTACCTACCTACTCACCCACTCTCCCACAACATCTCACCATCTCCCGCTCACTATTGTAGATGATAGTTTAATATCTAACATCTAATATCAGCAAAAAGACCACAAAGAAACTACTCTCTACCCCACCCCACCAACCTCACATCGCCTCCCCTTCTAACCCTTTACCTTTTATCTCTTCACCTTATCTCTTCACCTCTTCACCTCTTCACCTTTCATCCTCCATCTCTTCACCTCTACCCCTCACCTCTAACTCACCACCCTCCAATCCCCTCCACATCCACAATCCAACCACAATCCAACCACAATCCAACCACAAAACATAATATACACCTTCCCCTCCCTCCCCTCCCCTCCCCCTACCACACAAGAAAACATCCAAACCCTAAACCCTACCCTTACAAATCTACAAACCCGATACTTCATCACACTATCCATCATATCATCCATCATACAGTGAGTGTACCATCCATCCACCATAACATACCAGCATACCATCATGTTATCCATCCTGTCAAGAAGAAAGAAAGAAAAACAGACAGATATACTATTAAAGAAGTCTGAAATCACCAGGAGTATACTTGAAGTCCAAACACATGAATGATATCAGACAAAGAGACTAATTTGGCCAAGGCATCATCATCCCCTCTGATTATAGTAAAATGAACAGGACTTACTAGAGCAGACTAGTATCATTCAACTATGGGCTCAAGACCTGCAGTTCACAACTCACAACTCATTTGATGATATACTTAACAATAAATCTTGTAGATTCAAACAAGGCAAAGTCTAGAATACACAGTCATATAACAAAGAAACAAATACGTCATTTTTTAATGATTAAAAAGAGATTCATTATTACTCTCTGCACTTCTCATTCTCGGGGAAACAATATTCAAATGTACAATTTCGGATTCTCTCTTCTCAAAAGCCTAATGTTTTCCTTCCCTCCCTTCCCCCTAAATGCCTTCATGGATTTTTCTAAAAACCATCAATGCAACAGATGCACAAGTAGAGCAACCTTGACAGCGATGGATATGCAAAGCACACGTCCCTAACGATCCTAATGAAGGTGAAAACCCGCTCAAAAGCTTATGAAAAGTCATGTAAAAAAGAGAGAACGTGGCATATTAGTTTCTAATGTGATAATTAAAGGAAAAACGCCGACGTCCCAATGATTTACAACAACATGCTCAAGAAACCTCCAATAACAGAGACACCCATGAGTGCCTCGTTAACACCGTATGAGACAGCAGCACCCTTGCTAGCAGAAGCAGATGAACTTGAAGAGGAGCTGGAGCCGGAGCTGGAGCTGGTTCCGGTTCCGGATTGAGCGTTGGCAGTGGTCTTGCAAGTGTAAGTACCTTGGATGTTACCACTGGCGTGCTCAGATTGGAATCCAGAGCAGTCAATGGAGGTGGTGGATTGCATGTTGAAACCACCCTTGACGTCGTTGAGCTTTGGCAGTTCAGGGCTAGAATAACAACGTTAGCTAATGATCACAGCGAGAGTTTGCATAAATAAAGAACTTACGTAGTGAAGTTTCCAGAGAAATCAATAGCACCTCCAACTTGTGTCAACTCTGGGAAGTTGATAGCACCGAGAGCGGAGTTGTTGGCAATTTGGAAAGCACCACCGACAGTCTGAAGCATAGGGATGGTGATGTTGGCGAGACTTGGGTTGGCAACGAAAGCGAATCCACCTTGTCCGTTGGCAGTGTTGCCGACGGATGTCAAGTTTGGAGCACTGACACTGGTGAAGTAGTTCTCGTAGAAACCGAGGGATCCGTTGACAACGGCCAAAGATGGAATGCTGATACTTGAGACGTTACGTAAGGTAATGTTGGCCGCCCAAATAAGGTTAGGTAAGGAAACATCCAAGTTTCTTCCGTTGGAGTCAATGTTGAGGAGAGTGGTAACATTGCCGACTTGGGTGCTGAATGTTCTGAGACGATTGTTGTTGTTGATGTTCAAGGTGTCTACGGTGTTCAAGTTGATACCATCGAGACTGTTCAAGAAGGTGTTGGTGATGGTAACACTACTCGCGGTCCTGACCGACTTGGTGAAAGTAAGGGCTGAGAGAGCTGGAAGAGCAGCCCAGTTAATGGTGCCAACGGTGTCGAGGGCGTTGAATTGAAGAGTGGACAAAAGAGTCAAATTACTCAGTCCGAAAGTACCAGTGATAGTGGAAATAGTGGTACTTGAGAGAGATGTGAGGGCTCCATTGTTCTCAACGATCAAATCACCGTCGATTTCTTCAGGTCCGTCAAGTTGGATAGTAGCAACAGCGGCGGTACTGACGAGAACGTCACCCTTGATAGTTTTGCAATCAGCCAAAGCGGTGGCATCAGCAGCGTTGTTGATGGTGGCGGTTGATTGGGAGCAGATGGAGCTTGTAGCGGCTGAAAAGATTACAGTCAGTAAATATAATCTCAACTGGCAATTGAGATAGTCCTAAACGCCACCGCAGATCGAGTGTGTAGAATCTGCTGAGCCAACTATGAATAAATGGGTGAAATATTGAAAACTTACCAGCTGCAGTGCCGATGACTGCGAGAGCCGGGAGGAGGATTTTAGAGAACATGATTGATTCGAAGTGCTTCTACAGTAACTTCGCAATTGTTAGTCCAATGGTCGTAAGAAGAATGCAAAAAGTGTTGATCGAAGATGAATAAAGTTGCGATGCAGTTGAGAGATTGTTCAACGGAGGACGAGGTGGCTGATGATCAGAATTCCTGAAGATGGACCAAGAAATTTGTAGGTGCAGGAAGCAACTGATTTGATTGTAGGAAGGAAGGAAGGAAGGAAGGAAGGAGTCAATCAAACAAGAGATGAAGGAAGGATTGATTGATTGAATGAATGAATGCGTGATTGATGATAAATCGAGTGAATTGTAGTGAATAAACACCGCTTCGATGAATCGATTCAATCAAGAAGGAAGGAGAGATGAGTGTTGCAGGAAAGTTTCAAGAAATCGACTCACCCTTTGATGTGCAATTATCGTAAACAAATTACTTTCTCTTTCCCTTCCGGATGGTGGTTATGTATGCGTAGAACTTCGTTTACTTCTTTTCCTTTCCTTCAATTGTATAGATGGATGTGAGCGATTGGTATTATTAAAGTAAGAAGAGAAATCTTAACGACAGTGATGAAGTGATAAAAAATTGGAAAGAAGACGACGATATGGGACAACTTTTTCGAGGAGAGGAAATCAGTTTCAGAAAGAAGTTGGCTTTTTCTTCAAAAAGGTTGCAGGCGTGGGAAATGAAATGAGATGAAATGAGATTAAGTCAAAATGAGAATAAATAAAATACTCTAAACTGGTGAGTGTTGAAAATAGGGGGGCTTGTTGGTAGTGAGTTCCTTAACTTCCTAGTGAGTTTTGGAGTTAGTGCAGGAAGTTTACACGCGATTTGATTGGATCATACTAAAACTTGGTACATGCAATAATGCTTATCTATTACTCGTTTGGGGAAAAGTCTGCTTAATTTAGTAAGTTTAGTTTCCAGTAGTTGGTTAAATGCACTAGGTCCTCTTCCGTACGGGTCGTTTTTGCACAGCGCAGCGGCTAGAAACGAGTAGAAGGGCTACGGTCTAGTACGTTTTAGGTAACATTCCAAAGAATTAAGCCATATCGGGATTTCATTCAACGGAGAAGAACATGGAATCCTCCCAAGGGACCCGGTCGATTTCCCATGCCAGCTACATACGAACGAACCTACCGTTTCCAGGTGCCTTTCTGTACTTTTATGGATCCTCGGAAATGAAGAAGTGGATGATTTTCAGTACATCACAATCATACCTGAGCTGCCCATGCTGGTGTCGATACCTCAGAATTTATTTGTTCTTCCACTATTGAATTTCAAAACTCGAATAGCATCTACTTCTTTTCATCTCCTGCTGCCAAGGCGTCTTAAGGTTCAACTTAGCACGCAGCTAATCGCTGGCATGATATCAGTAGTATCATACAAATCATAAAGGCAGAGGGAGGGAACATGTGTGCATACATCAAAAGTCTCCAGGATTCGGGAAAATCATTTTTCAATGAATGTGCAGTGAGTGAGTGAGTGTATCCTAGGAAGCTCTCATCTTCCTTGTGGTTGCACGAAGCGATTCTTGGAAGGCGACTCAAAATATGCAGTCGGTGGATCCAGAGTTTGTTGTACGGATCTTCTCATTTTCTTTTGAACTAATCGATCACGACTTGAAAGCTTCCCTAGGTATGGAAAGTTGGACGGGCTTAATGGATTGATCGTTGTCCATGTGGTTTAGATGATTACGAAATGCTTAGCTGTATTATTCCAGACTGAAGGAGTTACAGCATCTACATGGTGCGTATTATGGGAATGGTAAGAAGGTTTACCCAGCTCTTGAAGGAAGCTTCTCATGTCTTATGCTAATATTATTTATTAGTAGTTTTGGATCTTCGGTATATGGACTTTGAACTATTCATCCGGCTCCCAACCGACTCCAAGGCAATAGGATAAAAACAATCTTCCACATTATATTCTGATAACTGTAAATATTTCTCCTCAGATAGACAAAACCAGTGGGTGGCCAACTTCATCCAACTTCATCCAACTTCATCCAACTTCATCCAACTCCAACTCCAACTCCAACCCCAACCCAAACCCCATCTGGAACAATCCAATTGTCAAGAATGAAGGCCGGGAGGAACCACGTCAAACCAATTGGAAATCATCCTAATCACTTTTACCAGCCATCATTCGTTATTTTACTCTGCAGGTTACAAGCATCCGCAGTCATTCTGGTGCAGCTGGGTCCGAGTGTTCAACGTTAAAGTCCAACAAAGACTAGAAATACCCCTGAAATAAGGATGAATTGGGATCTTTAGGTTTTAGATCCGGCATTTCTAGATTCATGATTGGTTGATAAGAAGGAAGTCTCCAACTATTTCTAATATTCCTTTTCCAAGGTCCGGTTCACTTCAAGATCATTTTATTTCCCAGCAAAAGCATCAACGACCTGGGCAGTGCGATCTATGAGCAATGAGCATAAACAACGAAATTAGCTACCTCTCTGGCTATCTAATTTACAGCTTGAGCAACGACCATTTGTTCACCCAAACAAGACAACAACTTTGATGAATACAATGCAATGTCACGGGATATCTGAAATCAAAAGTCTGAGCTGGATCGTTTTCTGAATTGTTTTTACCCGAGTAGTATTTTTAGTATTATCTTTTCGATAAATCTCATTCGCTTCCTTTCAGTCTGTCTTTGACTAAGAAACTGGGAGATACGAGGCCGTGGTAAGCCGGTTTGCTCATCGGTTGCCGTCTCGCTGCTTTTTGGAGGCTTAAGTTATGTATGTAGGTAGTCGTAGGCATTCAAACAATGTCAAAGCCTATCTCAGCCACAACGAGTTTGTGGCTTTTTAGATTACTCAATTTAATTTAATTCATCCTTGAATTTTCATCCTTTCATCCATATCTCCTCATACCTAGGTATGTAATAAAACATAAACTACCTACCTACCTACTACTAATTACCTGTCAAGATATATATTGAACTATCTATCTACTATCTATGCGGCACCAATATCTATGTAGATACTCACTCACCAACCCCTCAGGTTGAACCAATAGCAAAGTCCGCATACATACATGCATTCATACGCGTTCTGATGACGATTTCTGGTGCTTAAACTTTGGATCTACAAGTATATTATTTAGATGGTAGATGGTGGATATAAATAACTTACTCACTTTATTTTAGAGTTAGTTTATAGATTTTTATTATTAAGTATTGAATATTGAATATTGATTTATTTTTTAAGTTTTCGAGTTTTGTTTTGAAAAAGAGATTATAATATTATGTATATATGAAATCAATTGGGTTTTTATAAAAAAAATATATATATATATATATATTTGAATTAAAACTTTAAGAATTTTAAGAATTTATTATATTAAAAAGATCAAAAGAATCAAAATAATATAATATTTATATATATATATTTTTTTTAATAAACTAAAACAAAACAAATTTTTTCTTACACTTATAAAGACTCCTACAAAAAGAATAGAAAAATCATCTATATCCCGACGAATGTATTTAAAAGTTATCAGGCCATATATCCTCCGTTTTGACACCTGTATTCCCGATATATATCGATCTACGTGTACGGAGTATGTCCCACACGTGATACTGCGCAGGTACGTACGTACACGCAAGGTGACACGCGCAATGTAAGCTTAAATATATGTATATGTGATGTATATGTATGTATACGTATGTATATGTATCATGAAGATCTTCGACGGTCATCTGTACATACTGATTTTTAGGTAGTTATTCATTCGATTGGGAGTAGGAGGTGGATGAGCTAGGGAGGGGGGGTGTTGGTATTTTGTATATGTGTGTGTTCTGTTTTGTTTTGTTTGTATTTTTGTATGTTTGTATGGGTTTGTTTGTATATAGGTAGGTACTGATAGGTTGGAAATCTGATGGGTTGGAAATGAATGAGTGAGTGAATGAATGAATGAATGAATGAATAACTAATCAGTTGAGCGGAAGTTAATGTTGCGTTGAATTGCGTTGAGTTGTGTGCATTGCGTTGCGTTGCGGTGTGTTGATGGATGGATGGATGGATGGATGAAGCGGATATAAATAGGTTGATACATATCTATGTTGTACGGAGGTGATTCTAAAAGTACCTACGAAGTACAGTACCTACCTACCTTGTATATTCATCACTTGATGAATCATTTGATGTTAGGTACTTAATGATGAAACGAAGTAACATGAAGTAAAATGAGATGAATGGGATTGGCTTTTTGTAATATTGTAAGGCTTGGGTAATGTTCTATATGCGAGAGAGTCTACTTGGTAAGATTTATAATATATACAATATAACTAGATAGGTATATGAGAATCTATTTGTTGTCTGTAGGTATTATTATTCCGATATATGTTTTATATATTTAATATATATAAAAACATAAAAATATATATATTATATATTTTCGGATCTATATATATAATATAATTATAATTATAAAAATTATAAGATTTATTTATTTTATATTATATTATATTAAATTAAATATTAAATAATAAAAAAACCTTTAGAAAGAAAAGTCTAAAAGTTCCTTAGAGGTGTACTTCGAAGTTGTGAATACGCTGTATGAAGTTAAATTGATGTGTTTTGATAGATTTATATATTTATATTTATATATATAGGAAGCTATATAGTTTACCCCGGAGTGTGGTGATTTAGTTATAGTAAATTGGGTGGATTTGATGGATTTGATGAGACGGATTGGGATCTTGGGTCTCTATATATTGTGTATTATATATATGTGTTATGTGAGGTAGGAGAAAGAGAGTGAGGAGATGGTTCGGGATTTGAGAGATGAGAGATTGATATCAGGCGTGCTTTTATATCGTTCTACACCCGAGCAGTTGTAATAGTAATTTTTTAAGGAAGAACTTAGGATGAGGGACTTAAGTATTGAGGACGGGAGTTTTGATAATGCGGTTAGTCACTAAGCTCCGTTATGGAAACAAATTGTTAATTACATGTAATTATTTAAAATAATTAGGTTATAGTGAAAGCCTCGCGATATATGTGTCGGATATCTGGTAAGTATATGACTGTTCCTGATCCTGTTTCTTGAGTCCTGTATCCTTATTTCATAACCCATAACCTGTAACTTATCTACTATAAGCACCATTTATTCGTTTTCTCTTCATATTCCATGTCCCATGTCCCATTTCTCTGCCTCTGCCTCTGTCTATTTCATCTCCTCTTTGTATTATTCGTTCATATGTTATGTAGTGGTATATATCTTTCAAATATCAAGAATATTCCTCAAGCGTGGTGATATCTGTATCTTCTACCCTCCACATATACCACATGAAGATACTTCTGGTAGTGGTGTTAGCTTTTTGTAATGTAGGGTTGGGCTTGGTTTTGGTTTCGAGTGATGTTATTCGCAAGCAAAATCATGAGGGGAAGGGAAAGGGAAACCAAAAGGATGGTGTTGATGAATTTTTGTTTACATCAGAGTGAGGATATTCATGCATGGATATGAAATAAAGGCGAGAATGAATATAGTAGATAGAGTAAAGAGGGTAATAAGAAGAAGGAAAAATTCGAGTAGAAACCTAGCATCTGAACTATCAGATAAGCGAGTGACAGTGTGAGACGCCTCAAAGCATAGTAGTAAGAATATCTGAATTCATATGAAGCAACGCGGGAGGCTTTAGACACTCTAGAGTTTCAAAGCAAAAATCAACGAGGAAAATCATTGAAAAAACCCACCTATAAGGACTAAACTTCTCTGCCATTTCCTCCATTTCCTTTTCTCCCATATATTTCCACTTTCCTCCCCCTTTCGCGCCCCTCCCAGCCCTCTTCAATTTCTCCACATCCTTTCCAAGTAGAGCCGCCATTCCTCTTTGAACCCCTAAGTCCCCAGTACTGAAAACATCTAGACGTTTGAGGGCAAAACAGGCGAACATTTCGACGCTCCATTTGCCGAGACCTCGCACTTGGATTAAGGAGGCGAGAACTTCTTCATAGGAGGCGGTGAGGAGGAATTGAGTGGTTAGTTCCCCGTTTGTGAATTTGAGGGCGAGGCCGGAAATATATTCTGCTTTTCGCTGAGAGAGACCGGCGGTGCGGACTAGGTGTTTTAGTGAGAAGGGAGAAATGGAAGGGGAATTGAAAGGTATGAAGATGGGAAATCTGGGCCTTAGAGATAAATGATTAGTGAAATCCGTACTCACGAAGTGCTAAATCACTAGCTAAAATGGCAGAAGGGTTCGGAAATGTGTGAGTAGATGGATCTGAATCAGGTGGGTTGAAAAGAGCAACAAATTTAGCTTTTATTGATTTGGCTGCCGCACCGGAAACCTGATTTTGATGTCAAATTTATGTATATCCAAAGAAAAAATTCAGTTATTTTTAACAAATTTCCTACCTGCTGCGATATGATTCCACTGACTAACGCCCTGAATGGTTCAATCTCCTCAGCTAATCCCTCAGCAGAAAATACCCGACATGGATGCTTCTCGATAACTGGCTTTAACTTGGGTTCAACTTTGATCAAGTGTTCTAAAGCTTTGTCTAAAATATCTGATGTTGATATTTTGACAGCAGGTGGTTTTGATGGAGATACTTCATCCATAGCTTTATTGGCAAGGAGTCGGTGAGTTTCGGGTGTTACTAATGGAGCATTTGTGCCATTGAGAACGGCGAGACGATCAGCGGGAGGTGGATGCAAACTATCGTCAATGACTCTATAAGGACTGGACATGGATGCAATGACTGCTGGCGTTGGGGTCACTGGAGGAAGCGGATTATAAGTAGCACTTCTCTTCTTTGGGGTTGATGGGTTTTCATTTTCGGTGGATGGAGAATCGTAGGATTCTTTTGAAGCGGCTTTCCTCTTCTTGAGATTTGGAATTATTGCGGGCAAGGAAGATTCGGATTCTTTTGGAGATATTGCCTTTGTCGTCTTGGGCTTTGGCAATTTGGTAGATGCTGAAGAAGCCGTAGCTTCTGGCAGTGCAGTCTTTCTCGTCCTGCTGATTTTAACCTTAGATCCTACTGGGCTAACTTCATGTATAGCCTTGGCACCTTTTGCCACAGAAGAAGTCGGTACAGTTTCAGATGCATTTTCAATGACGAGAGAAAGTGCGCTTAAACGAGCTGATCGTCTTGTAGACATTATGAAATCTTTTGATGGTTGTAGGGAAAAGTATCTAGTTGATGAAGTGATGGTTTTGTCTGATGGAACCCGCTGCAGCTTACTTACAAAATTGTAAGCAAGACACTTCCACTATCACAAGGTATTAGTAACTTGATCAATAGTTCAAAGTAAAAGATACCTGTATAGACATTCCTTTGCAGAGTTAGAATTAGTAGATGTTATTTCTGACTTCAGATATGATTTCAGCTCTATCCACACAGTAATAACAATATAAGCCAAAGTACTAAACATGAACCATACCCATGTTCCCATCTCTGGCAAGATAACCTTAGCTAACCTATTTCACGTGATGACTCCTTTTCTGCCAGGTAACTTATTCCGAGTGGCATCCGTACAAACGCAACGCAACGCAACGCAAGCAACAAGCAATGCAAGCAACACAACCCAATACATTTGATAAGACGGTTGTGCGAATCCGATCGTATTGCATGTAACAGACTTTGGTTGATAGGGTAGGGTAGGAATAGTGAATTAATTATATATCTAAAAATATTCATCCGGTGTTGAATATTTTAATTTTAACTGTTAAATAATTTTTATCATCATAAAATCACTTTAATAATTACCTATTATTCAAGTACGTACCTTATCTTTCTTTGCTAAGGTAACTTGATATCATCTTCTCATCGCCTCTTTCTCGTGGAGTTCCCCTCAGAATTGAAATAATATTACGAAAGGTCTAGTTCCTCTCTTTTCATTCGCTTGGACTCTCTTGGCACAATTTCTAAATTCGTGTAGACCCTCGAGGCCACTGAACGGATCTTCCTGCCACTCGCGACCTCCCCCCAACTTCTTCAAATCCACAAATCCACCCAAACTTCAATTCCAGCCTCGAAAGAGCTTGCGGTCTCAACCTGTTTCACTCCGGAATCTCTAAGCGCTTTTATCTCTACGTCTGCGAGCTCGAATTGACATCACATACTCAGCATATCTGGTGGTTTTGAAGCCACAGGGGTTTCGCCATGTTGGGTCCTAAGGGTGGCATGAATTGGAAAGCTACAAAGGCACAGTTACCGCCTGTGAGAGCGATATGGGTATTTCTTACAAGGACGCGATTTTTACTCTGTGTAGCATTGGCTGGTGTTGTTATATTACTATGGAGAGGAATTAGTACTTCTGCACAAGAGATGCAAAGGTAAGCACTCTATTATACTCAATCGGCACAGCCAAACAAGAGTAACATCGCTGATTTTGTTCCTTGGGTAAAGATATTATTGTTGGGGACCTTCGAAACCGCCGATGCAAATGACCTTGAATGAACAAGCCGACTGGAACGCGCATTTACAAACACCAGTTATCTTTAATCATCATGAACCAGTGGTTGTAAATTCGAGCACCATTAAAAGTGTTGACCTCAATCCCATTCGATCCACTACGAAAGCAATTGCAAATGAAGAACGCATTTTGATTTTGACCCCTCTCCGAGATGCCGCGTCATATTTACCAAAATACTTCGATTTACTCTCACTCTTGTCATACCCACATCATTTGATAGATCTTGCTTTCTTGGTTGGTGATTCATCCGATGACACTCTTGCTGTTCTTGCAGCAGAACTCGACAGAGTTCAAGACGGAAAGGAAACCCCAGCATTTAACAGTGCTTTGATTGTTCAAAAGGACTTCGGTGCGGTTTCAGGTCAAACCGTTGAAGAACGTCACGCATATGTGGCACAGGCACCTCGAAGGAAGATTATGGCTCGTGCCAGAAACTACCTCCTCTCTACGGCATTGAAACCGGAACATTCATGGGTATACTGGAGAGATGCAGATATCGTTGATAGCCCTGAGAAGATTATTGAGGATTTCATTGCTCACGACAGAGACATCATTGTACCGAGTATGGAAATCCTTATTTCCATGGTACTTATTACACTTACTGACTTGGGCAGATGTTTGGTTCCACCGATACCGTGATGGGGTTGACATTGAGGGTCGATGTAAGTCTAGATCATCCCTGACAGTATGCGGTCAATGCTAATCATTTACAGTTGATTACAACTCGTGGATCGAATCGGATAAAGCACTCAAGTTGGCCTCAAAGCTTGACAAAGATACAGTTATTGTCGAGGGTATGTATTAGACTGAAGAGGTTTGCATCACTATGCTGACGAATGTCCAGGTTACAAGGAATTTGATACTGGTCGCACTTACATGGCTTTGATGGGTAATTGGAGAGAAAACAAGGATGAGGAAGTTAAGCTTGATGGTATTGGAGGAGTCAACATCATTGTGAAGGCAGATGTCCATAGATCAGGTAATTCTGCCAGGGATATTGACAGGCCGTGACGCTGACGAATCTATAGGAATTAACTTCCCGGCCTACGCATTCGAAAATCAAGCCGAGACTGAAGGTTTCGCAAAAATGGCTAAGAGAGCAGGTTATGAGGTTATTGGATTACCCAACTATGTGGTCTGGCACATGGACACGGAGGAGAAACCGGGTAACAATGTTTGAGATGGCTCTGTATTGAGAAATTCGTTCGGACACGTCTTAATGCATATACGGAGTTTTTAAGTGAGAAAGATAAGAATTTTGTATGATTGGATCGGAGTGGGAACCAACATTCGGAAAGGAGGAAAAAATGATTCCCCCAACCTACCTTCGAAGGGGTTTTAGTACCTTTGAAATTTCTTGTACCGAATTTTTTCATTCTGGGGGCTCAGGGAGTTTGAACATTTTTCATGAATGAAGATACGGGCTTGGGCTTGTTAGCAAGCATGGTTGCAAGGACAGCATACCACTGTAATAGAAAAGTCCCAATTGCGATTTGTTTATTCATGATGGTTTTACTACTGCTGTGGTGCACTGGTGGTTTATTGGATGAGAGACTGGGAAGATGGGCATATAATGAGAATGAGGAAGAGAACGCAAATGAGAACGCAAAATGAGAGCGCAAATGCCAGTGTGGTTGGTTGATTGGTGGGTAGGATGGAGTGGAGGTTGTGAAATGTGTAATTGTTCTATGGATACCTATGGATACCTAATGGATGGATGAATGAATGGATGGGTATGCGGGAATTCGAAGGGAAGAAAAGAAAAGCTTTAGAGGGCAGGGGCAGGCATAGGGATAGGGTTTGATAGCTTAGGGTAGCTTAGCTTGGTAATGGACGGTGATTTATGCTCAGATTGTTATTTTTTTATTTTGTGTTTTGGCTTTTGGCTTTTGGCTTTTGTGATGCAAGAAAGGTTTCTTGTGGGTCGGAGGAGTTGTGCTTGGATTGGGATTTGAATGGTTATGTGTACGGGGGTTGAATGGATGAACGGTAGATTTAAGGGGATGTATATATACTAGGTAGGAGGTAGTGCTTGTAGAAGAGAAGAGAAGGGAAGCGATTATGGGTATGTGTAGTTGTAGGATGTAGTTGGAGGATGTAGTTGTAGGATGCACAACATCACTCTCACTATCACAACGCCTCACACTAGTGACACAATTTATTCTTCACACAACCTATATAAAGAGTACAGTGACTTTTGTTTTTGAATTGATGATCATAGTTATAGAGTACAGAGCATTATCTCTCAATGCCTTGGTCCCATCCTCTAAAATTCCATCCCTCCACTCCCAAATATACATATCCAGCACGCCACCTAAGCCTATGCTTCTCCCTTACTTCTTGGTAATGGTCAAGGCCTCCAAATCAGCACGTTCCTTGGCTTCTGCTGCGATTTCAGCAATGATAGGAGAAAGGTATAGGTGATCCTATGGGTTCATTTGTTAGAGTTGATTGAGATACTGGAATTAGGATAGCTGCTCACTTCTTCTGGCTTGGTTTGTTGTTCTTTTGGCAAAAGTTGATGTTGAACGGAGCACTATACATAATGTCAATTATGCATCTAATTACTCGATTTCCCAGACAAAGAGATGACGAACCTGAAGAGCTCTTCTCAAACGGAAAACACGATCATAAGCTTCCTTTTGCGGTAAACGCTTAAGCGCAAGAAGGACCTCTTCGGATTCCTCGGGGATCAAATCATCCGCTCTATAAATTGACGAATATCAGTATCCGTATCCTCTCTTTTCCGTACCCCAATTCCCCCTCATTCGATTCCCGGAAGTAAAATCTCGCATACCTCAATCCCAACTGACGGTATCCAGCAGCATTAGCATACCATGAAGCCAAGGGCTTCATCATCTTCAAAAGTCCCGGCTTCTTGGAGATCCAGCTTGCTAACGATGGTGCAGACATGATGGGCGATTTATGGGGTGTGTAATGGGGAAAGACGTCGATTTTGGGGGTGTTACTGAGGATTGAAGTTCAAAAGTTATGATGATATTAGGTAAGCGAGTCAGCGTTGTTTGAGGAACTTGTGATTGGTTGGTTGGTGTGAAAGAGGAACGGAACGGAATAAAAATCGGTGGGGAAGATATTGCGAAATAAGGTTATGTGATACCTCTTTGTTTGAGATGAGAAGCAATGTTCTCTTTCCAGTTCAGATTTGAGTTATTCAGTGTAGGTAGTCTGGCAGTGTATTACAAGATACTGATGATACCACCACCCTTAAGGCTAGAATATGGAATAGCAGACTTATTGTCCAAATGTTGTGTTCTTCTGTCTTACATGTTAGAATTCGCACATTCAACACTCACTCACTAACATTTTTGAACATTTAGTTTGTAGGACAGACATTGAGATAGCTATAAACACTACTCCGTAGCCTCATAAGCCAATTATACCCAACTGCTGATATTATTACAACAACATAGGTACGTAGTTGTTAGAATCAAGCTTTCCCTGGATTGGACAAAAAAGACGGATTCACCTCACCCCACTTGTTGAATTGTGAGATTCTAGTCCTTTTCTCACATTTCTCTTCCCATACAAATGCACATTATGACCCTTTTCTTTCTTTGATATTCGCAATACCTACTCGAGTAAAGACCATTTTGATGGCCACAAGTAACCTCAAGTTAATCAAATCATAAGCTGAGCCATACTTCGATTCAACCTTTTGAGGTGTACCTGCTTCTTAATTTTAGCTTGGCGGGTCGAACTGGTGAACCCTTTTTATCAAGCGATTGATATTACTTACATACAGTATTACTACAAGCTTCCGAGAATTTTAAGCCGATTTAGGTTCCGGTGCTTCCCACTCAACCACAAATTCATCCCTCAACCCACTTTCTACAAGAACAAAAGCCCACCCTTCCAACTTCCAACTCTCGCTCATTTTCACGATTCTTTACCAAATATCCAGGCGATTGTCAATGGCCTGCGATAACCGTTAGCTGTTGTGTCACTGGCGTGCTGCGTGGGATCTTTCCCCGCACACCGGGACACGAGATTGCAAAGAAAAGAAACGGCGACAATAACTGAAGGCCTTCCAACCCATCGGCGGCTTTCCTCCCGCAATTACTTCTGCCCGTCTGCGGCCGAGGTAGCAGAAGCTATCGAATATTTGCGCCAACAACAATTAAAATGTCACATGAACGCAGCACGCCATCATCACCGCGATCTGAGGATTTTGCGTCCTCCAAGCCTACTACTCAACAATTCGCATCGAGTTTGGCGTTCGGGGGAGGCGATTCACCCATTACTAGATTGGAGAGAATAGCTAGAACAAGGGCGGAATGGGAGTTTAATGCATTTGCCGGAGCGGTGGGTGGTTTTGCTTCTGGAGTTGTCACTTGCCCACTAGATGTCATTAAGACGAAATTACAAGCACAAGGAGGTTTCAGAGCAGCACAAGGACTGGGTTCACAATCTGCTGGACAAGCGGTATACAGTGGTTTACTTGGAACAGGAAGAGTCATATGGCGAGAAGAAGGGTTGAAAGGATTGTATCGGGGCCTTGGTCCGATCATCCTTGGTTATCTACCAACATGGGCAGTTTGGTTTACGGTTTATGGCAGATCAAAACAGTTTTTTGGGCAGAAAAGTGGTATGGATTTCCCATGGATAAATCTTGAAGGTGAAACTGAAAGCTAAGAAAAAACCTTTACAGATAACACGGTAGTGGTAAATTTTTGGTCCTCGATAATGGCTGGAGCCTCGTCTACAATGGTTACGAATCCGATCTGGGTTATAAAAACTCGCCTAATGTCACAAGTCAGTCGAAAGGCAAAGAGTAATGGAGCTAGACCACCTTGGCATTATCGTTCAACTTTGGATGCCGCAAAAGTGATGTACAGGACTGAAGGAATTTTATCATTCTATTCCGGTTTGACTCCTGCACTACTTGGCTTGACACATGTGGCTGTTCAATTTCCAACTTATGAATACCTTAAGAAAAAGTTCACAGGTCAGGGCATGGGAGAATCCGCGGAAGGTGACGAGAGCGCTCATCTATTCGGAGTATTATCCGCCAGTGTGCTCAGCAAGATTATAGCGAGCTCTACCACATATCCTCATGAAGTCATTCGAACAAGACTTCAAACTCAACAAAGATCCATGCCAGCTGCCTCGACAGAATACAGTGCATTTAGGGGAGGTCTAGAAGGACACTCCCATCAACATGGGATTCCAAATCCCGTGACCCAAGTTAAACAAGCAGTACCAAAATATAGGGGCATTGTGATGACATTTAAAACGATATTACGTGAAGAAGGATGGAGAGCATTTTATGCTGGTATGGGCACGAATATGATGAGAGCTGTACCGGCGGCTACGACCACTATACTCACTTATGAGTATGTTATGAAACATCTGAATCATGCCAGGGCAGAAGGACTACGAAAATCGGGAGAAGAATTGTAAATGCTTGAATTCTTCGGAAAAATGTCCTTGGCAAGATGTTCAAACCAAGTCATAGCCCTGTGAAGTTCGAGGTGGTAAGAAACTAAGAAATATTTCTGCATTTTACAGCATTTGAAATTTGATGGCGTTCGATCATGTACTCGGCGCGGTATCGAGTTAGCATGATGTGGCTTTTGTGTTTATGGAAAATATTACAGACGCCTATTTGGATTGTACCTTTTTTGTGAACGAAGAGCTTGTACTTATAGATGGTTTTAGCTATCAAGGCAATGATTGTTTTATATTTCACCTTGACCTAAATATACAATTTTGTAGATAGCCCCGGAACTCCTATATGCAACCTCGAAAGACAAACTTATGCGTAGCTTGGCATCTGACCATATAATCCTAAAAACACGCCTTCAATTTTTATCATCATCCCCATTTGATGTCACTCTGCCTTTCCAGCAAGACCACCTTCTCTTCCTTTGGCTGCCCTCTCCCTCAATTTTCTCTCCACCTCGTGACTCTCAGGCGCATCTCCCTTTGTCTTCAATTGCTCCAAATTATCCTTCGCCGTGCCTAATAATTGTTTCACGGTTTTTTGCTCTTGCGGCACATCTAACTGACCATGACGTCTCAAACTTTCGTTGGCCCAATTTATTTGGCCGCCGTCTGCTTCGCGATGTTTCTGCGCATTTTGCTTTGCTGCTCTAATGGAGATACGAGCATATGTGTACAGGAGTAACGCCATGGTTGCGGCTGCTAGAGGGGCCGTTACAGTCTGAAAGGAGGGGTTGTTAGCTGGTTGAGCTATGGAGTCGCTGGGAGGGAGGGGATTGGATTGGAGAGGAGAGGAATGAATAGGAATAGGAATAGGAATAGTACCCTGCTATTTAAGTTGAATTTGCGAGGAGGCATTTTGAATTGTTTCTATGGTTTGATTATGAAAGATTGAACAATTCGTAGTTCACATTTCTCTTCCTCCTCGTTTGGGCCTGTACGGTCTCCTCAAATGATATGATCGAACGGTATTGTGAGTGAACATGGGAAAATTAAAAGAAGCCGAGGACGTCATGCGATCTCTGGGGACGGACAGGGATCTTTGAACAAGGGACTTGGCAACTTTTTTTTAAATAGGTAATAAGTCCTCAACACTTTTGCACTAAACATTTATGAATCTATTGCTGTTATTGGTGATATGAATTAATGGATCGTATTCCATAATCCACGGAGACTTGGTGTGGTTTTCGCACAGTACGTACGCGTCTATCATACGCACATAGACAATGAAGGGACTCAATTTCGCATCGGCGTGGGCGAGGTCGAGACCGAGTACGAAGGCGATCCCCTGGACCTGTGAGAGATGTATTCAGGGAGAAAGGAAGACGTCTTGGGTGCAGAATGCGGCGTTCTCGACGGGGAAGAGGGAAGGCTATGGCTATGGAAATGGAAATGGAAATGGTTATCAGCAGAGTCGAAGGGGAAATAAGGTTATCATGGCTTCTGCTGTGGGAGGCATTGCTGCAACCGGACTTGCTTTCACGGATGATATTAGGCATGCCTATGAAGGGGTTGAGAGGACGGGGAGAGTGGTCAGTACGCTCTTTGTTTGTATAAATGAGTGAGTGATTTTCTGGTATTGTGTAAAGTTGTTCGGGACAAGTGGCTAATTCGAGGTGCGACAGTTATCGAGTTACGTTGAACCATAATGAGAAGATTGAGGACGAGGCGGAGAAAGATAGAATGTTGAAAGATTGTCATCAGAGATGTGCGGACCGGACATTGAGAGTGTTGGAGAAGAATGGGAGCATATTCATTAAGCTAGGGCAACATTTGGTATGGTATTATTGACTAGGTGTATTTGCAATGGCTAATTGGTTTTCGCAGAGTGCTATGAATTACCTTCTGCCTTTAGAATGGACAACGACGTTTATACCTTTGCAGGACAAATGTCCTGTTTCATCAATGGAGTCGATAGAGAATATGTTTAAGATGGATACAGGCGAACAACTTTCGGATCACTTCTCAGAATTTGCACCTCAACCGATAGGGGCAGCATCGCTGGCACAGGTACATCTGGCAACTGTCAAGGAAACAGGACAAAAGGTTGCTGTTAAGGTGCAACATCCAAATTTGGCGGAATGGGCAGCTCTTGATCTAGCATTAACTAGTTTTACATTTTCGACACTGAAGAAATTTTTCCCAGAATATGATCTAGAATGGTTGTCGTCGGAAATGGAAATTTCTTTGCCAATCGAACTGGACTTTACTGAGGAAGGGAAAAATGCTTTGCGGGCAAAAGATTACTTTTCACGGATACCGGAATTACCGTTGATTATACCTGATGTTTTATGGGCAAAGAAACGCATATTAGTTATGGAGAATGTAGCCGGACATCGTCTAGATGACCTCGAATTTCTCGATTCTAATGGCATTGATCGTGACGAGGTCTCTGCTGCTCTCGCTCACATTTTCAACGAGATGATCTTCGGAAAGGATGCCCCTCTACACTGCGATCCACATGGAGGTAATCTCGCTATTCGCAAAAATGACGATCGACGTGGCGCCAATTTCGATGTAATCCTCTACGATCACGGCCTCTACCGCGATATTCCTCTCGGACTTCGACGCTCATATGCAAAGCTCTGGCTGGCAGTAATTGATGCTAATGAACCCCGCATGCGCAAGTACGCTAAAGAGGTAGCTGGTATAACAGATGAACAATTTCCCCTATTCGCCTCGGCTATAACGGGCCGCGATTACACCATTCTGACGAAAGATGTAGCTCTTCAGCGATCGGAGGAAGAGAAGAAACATATTAATGAAGCGTTGGGTGAAGGGATGCTTCAACAACTTGTACAAATGCTAGGACAGGTTCCGAGAATTATTCTGTTAATATTGAAGACAAATGACTTGACGAGGAGTTTGGACGAGAATTTACATACGCGACAGGGACCTGTGAGAACATTCTTGATTCTGGCTCGATATTGCTCGAGAACGGTATTTCAGGAACAGATGGAGGATATTAGAGCGAGAGGCAGTCTTTTGTGGCCAGCCAATGGTTTCAGGTTGCTGGTGGCATGGTTGGGGTATGCGAGGGTGGAGTTAAAGCTAGAGGCTTTTGAGGTTTGGTTGAGAGTTAAAAGGTTAATGGGTAAAGCGTAAGGGTAACAGTGGTAGGAAATCGTCGTTTATACAGGCTAGGAGTGGTTAAAACGGGTGGATCTTCGTGCTGGTTGGTTGGTTGATTGATGCGTACATAAGGTCTGAAAAAAGAGGAAATATCCGACTTTGGACTTTGGACTGTTGTGCTCGGAATGGTGGTTTGGCTTCACTTTAGCGTGCATGAATAAATAGCATTATAAATAAGGTTATATAGATCATAGAAGAAAGAGGAGAGGTTGAAGATAAATATATAGCGAGCGATTGTAAGAATTATGATTTGATTTCTATATATATATGTGTGTGTGTGTGTATATATTGTATAGCTCTCTAGATTTTTGGTAAGATTATCAAAGAAGTTGAGAATCTAAGTTAAGATAAGACTACAATCGATCCCTACGAAAATCTAAATAAGGAGATTTTTCAAAGCTAGCTTGCTGGATATAGTCTCGCGAAAGGAAGGAAGGGAGGTTCTATATATATGGCCAGCGTGTCACTGATGGAAAGTATATATAAGGGTTATCGTGACGCTCTCAAAAGGCGCAGAGTATACTCTAGTATCTCGCTCTATGTTATAGCTAGAATAGATTGTACATCCCGGTAGTGCATGGCTTTGGCCCTAACCTTCCTCAATGATGTTTTGGTTTTCTGGCTCTGGCTCTTGAGATCGTGTGATTACGGGTTGAGATTTTCGATATTTTGTTGAATATTGTATGGGTGGTTGTTCTGGTCTGAGCAAAGAACTCCGAGTCTCTGGGACTCTTGTTCTGGATATTTGAGTCGGTGGTGGGGATGGGGATTCAGGAGTTTGGTTGTGGGTTGTTTGAGTCAACTTTGTCAAGGTCTGATGTTGTGGAGGATGGCTATGGCCCTTTTGAGGTTTAGTGGTATATTGGGTAGGTTGTTGAAGTTGTTCAATGGTGCGGCGGCTGCGCTTAAGCTTAGGAGTGTTACTTGTTATTTTCATTATGGATAATGTGGAATTGAGATCTATTGCGTTTGATCATCCTTCTCTTTCCGATCTACATGGATCAAGCTCGGTGAATGATTACTCCAATGACTTCTAAATATCTTTAGGCGTACAGCCAGTCTTATAAAGACATTGCGGTGTCCCCGCTGCGTTGCAATAAAATGAACAAGATGAAATAATACATATACCATCCAGGTGGTTAATGCTGGGGAAGTATAATTAGTCAAGTAACTCTGCGAATTTACAATGCCATCTACTAGTAAAACCATATTTCCCGGCTCTTGTCGAAAACATAGAAGTGGATGTTTGTCCGAGAAATGTACCATAGCTAATTCTTTCGCAATTCAGAAAAGGACTTGGTTTAGCAGCTCTAGCTCCTTCATCTACTGTGCAAATGCATCCGCAATGCTGAGTATATCTCTTGAATTAGTCAATGACTCACTAATTTGCACACTCCTAGTGTCAAATCTGAGGATATCCCAATTCGTGCTATTATGGCATGGATAATGGACGCATTATTCAGCACTTCACTCACACCGAGGGACCAGGTCATCAGGATCCCGAAGAATCATGCCTTGGTAAGATCTGAGGATGGATTGTTTTAGGCGGGTAATTTGATAATCGGAATGGAAGATCAACTCAGGTTGAGTTCTGGTAGCTAAGTGGTACTTGCTGGGTTAGTTGGCATTTTGCATCCAGCCTAGTGCAGAAGTAGACGTCGATATATGGATATCGTGCCAGTGTTTTTGAAGGTAGAATCTCTTCTAATGTGGAAGTTGCTGCGAGAGTTGTGAGCACAGAGCCGAAGAGGCCTAATTGGGCGACGAAGTATGAAGGATTCATAGGGAAGGGAAATAAAGGGGAATGTGTTTGATATCTGATCTAGATATGGCTAAGTTTAGGATAATAATGAGTTTGTATCTACTTAATCTAGCTGGGCTAAGATCTAATATACATGTTTGAGAAGGTACCTACCACCGGTGGATTTATCGACCTAGCACAGCCAAAGGTAAGAAGCTCTCCTTTGCTAAGCTTAAAGATCGTAAGGGCAGCAAAAGCCACCCGGGATAGGATTTAGATGCCTTGCAAGTACAGAAAGAACTGTCAGGCTAACTAGTATCTAAAGTTGCGCAAATGATAGAATCTTACAAGCTACAAAATCGCGTGGGTAGTAAATATATGTTTGGCCCGTGCTCATAGCAATATGGCACTCACGAGGAGGCCATTAAAGCTCAGGTCACAATTCCATTTGGTATCTTACATCTTGTGAGAATATTCACACATACGGCTCCGCTAAGCTACATGCCGCGTACGAACGAACTATTGGATGATGGATCACACCATTCTTTGATTATATATATTTTCGCGCAGCAGCTTCGCATCACTTCGTATGGGTCTCCTACTGTGGCACGATGTCCGGCTATATTTTATGAAAGTTAGCACACAGGCTAGTACGTCAACAGTATTAACACAGTGATTAAAACATGAGGTGCACCTCAAAGGCAGCGAAAATAAATCAGGCAATGAGACAAACATCGATACCTTGCTTTTCATCTCGAGATAGAGGAACTAGTAAGTCTCTAACCGCAAAACTAGATTGCTCCAAAGCAAAAGCCTTGTAAACATCCAAGACTGGCGTCTTCCGCTCTGATAATTCTTGGATTGATCCTAGAACCACAACAGCATGACGTGCGGCTAATTCATGATTCCCAGTTTGAAGTAAAAGTCATTCCCAGAACTTCGGGACTCAAAAAAACCCGCTGACTGGAAGCAGGTCCTTTGCATGAAAAATGCACAAGATGGCTGTGTCGTTGTGAGAATTTTGTTTTCTCAAGATGACAGATATGAGAATCGAACATCATGATACTTTGGACATACATAGCCGGTTGACGAACACCTGAGACATACGGGTCTTGTCTCGTCGCACTTTATTCTTCGTACTATTTAGTTGTTTAACCTGTAGTATTTTTGCATTTCCTTCTTGTTTTCATTCCTGAACACTTACTCCTAGAAGCTGTGTACCGGGTTTTAGTTTTCGGTCCTTATGTTTGCTGTCTCTTTCCTTTACCTACCTTTACTCGAAGACGATTGTCTACCGATTGGAAGTTAAGAAACGCAATTTTCCTCAAAACTCAGTTGCCCATAAGCTTTATTATGCGTCGATGTTTGTTAAATCTAGAACGATAGTATGGAGTAAATTAACTAGCTGGTAGACTGAAGTAAGAATGTAAGGAGATGATGTTGAGTGAGCCCCATAAACATCAGCAAAGACTTCGTACTCCTGATTTGAATGTATCTTTATGTTGTTGTTTTTCGTTTTGTTCATCATAGGGGTTTTCGCCGTTTTTTAATGCTCTCAAGATACTCGAAGAGTACAATAGGATAATAAAGAATCAAACTAGACAACAAAGTAAAATTATAACTCGTTGATTTATTAATGAAATAGACAAATAGAAATAATTCCAACCTTGGATACTAGGTTTTCACTCAAAACCCATCTTTATTCCTAAAATACACCTTTTCGTATGGTTTTGAGAATCTTTATATTTATAAGAGTTTCGGATTTCTCTGCAGGCAAATTTACCGTAGTTATAAGTAACAAAATCCATGCATCATAGCCCCTTTTTGGCCGTGTAAACAAGAGGAGCAGGTAACAAGGAGGATAAACTATAATACAACTTATAAATTCTTGAATTCAACGTGAATTTGATACACGGGTAAGAAAGTTCCTTAGGGGTACTAGCCGGATTTCTCGCTTAAGTATCGCCTCCTGGAGGACTTGAGGATTGATGACTACACATCCATTATTTGTAATTGCTGTTTTAAAGATAGAACAGAAGATGCTCGAACTTTATGGTACCAATACTGCTTATTCCGATAAGTCCGCAATATGCTCGAATATCGGAAAGTCTGCACAACTTGCTGTCCGCGGTGAAGTGTATTAAGTATGTTCCAAATAGGGATATTTGCACAAGTTGGGTCGGAATAGTATATACTGTATGCTAAAGAGCATGTGGTTCACTTAACAATTAATATTTGAATACAATGGAGTTTGGCACGAAATTTCGTCTGAAACTTCGAGGGCTATAACTAATAGCATGTGGTAACTGTAGACATTATGTGAAAAGTACAAATTAAATGGGACTCTACAACTTCATTCAGCCTGGCGTCATGCTCTAGAACAACATTTATGATAGTATACTACCATTCTCTCATGACTCAGGATATTCCACAGCACAAGTGTGCAATTTCTCAAAGCGTGGCTTTGAATTGTCTGTATCTCTTTTAATATATGGTAGAAATCTCGGGTGATGGTTCTGATGAGCCCAATATTTGGAGCCACGGTAAATGAATATTTGTCACAGTCTTCCATTCATCTAGTGCGAGAAATAACATACTTACTATCTCTGGAACAGCCTAGCGTTGCGTCTTCCCTAGAAACATATATCTGTGCACAGAAACGACTTACGAGGTAAGGAAGCAGTGAGGAAAGCGAGGGACAGGGTATGAAGGGGTTCGTAAGCAACAATGCATGCTGCTGCATTTGAGATGGCATAAAATCAATGGATTGATCTCATGCAGTGGTTATAAGCACAGAGGTGAAAATGATGGATAATTTTTGACCTGTAGAGTAGCACACGAAAATGCTATTCGCCGTAGATTGACTACCATAAAGTGAAAGATTTATGCTATATGAAACGTTCAGCTCTTGTGATAATTTTATTTGAGGCCAAGCATTGGGCCAAAGAAATGGAAGATTCGCTTTTCAGTATGTAAAGCCGACTACATCAAGAGGGCTAGTATATGATACATGTATATCTCTTTAGTCCTTTAACAGAGACTCGTCTTAGCTATACCACTCAGCTGAAAGGTGGGAGCCAGAATGGATATCCACCGTTCTTGATACGGAAAACGCTGAGCAAAAAGCCGTACATAAGGAAGATGACTCCACTCCATACGAGAACCGCGACTTGCTGAATCTTTGGATCTGCAATGCGGGGAACTTTAAGAGCTAAAGAAATTGTTGCAAAGGATAGAAATCCATCTAATCGATTCTGTCAGTTATTGCAGTAGAAAGCAGTAGGCATCATAAATAGAGTACTTACATATAGCAGCAATGATTTGTGTTTCCAAACCATATTGATTTGAGAATCCTCCAGCAAAGTAGCTGACACCACCACGTCCATCACCGGCGACGTATGGAACCTTGCGAATATGGTTGAACATATGGCCACTGGTGAATAAAAGGATGGAAATCAAGCTGACTGCGGCCCAAACATTTCGATTTTGAACAATGGGCAGAACATATGGCCATGCAACACTGATGAAGGTTAACGTTCCCAATATGGAAGTGGTAACAGCGATAACACGAATCCAGTTGATGGGTCGTTTAACGGGAGGATGTGGTCGATCAGTAAGATATTTAGCAATCCAGGAGTGGATACTTTCGGCGCTTTGGGAACCCTTTGTAAAATCAAATCTGACGGGGCCATTGATTGTCGAGGCATGAGGGCCAACGGTAGGTAGAAAGAGTAGAAGTACGGGAGCGGTTTGCAGATTAAGCTATCTCAAGATTAGTGTTGATAAACTGGGTAGATTTGCAGCGCCGAACGTACAGATTGGAAAGTGGCTTTGCCATCCATAAAGTCAAGCGTCCCGAAGAGCAAGCGGGATTCCCCTTGCTTATCCCCTTTTGTCCAACCCTTTGACAATAGATCCCACTCTGGTTGGAATTCACGACATAATTGGCATCCGAATCTAGTTTCCGAAGCCGTCAACAACACGGCTAGAGAGTAGTCCCTTGGAGCAGTGGTCAATTTGGCATATACATTATCGTCGAGCTTCAATGGAGTAGAAGAGAGAGATTTGGTATGGTATCGTTCAAAGTTATCGACCGCGGGTTTTTTGGCACCTAGAGCAGCTATAGGTAGCAAGGAGACTACCAGCGTCTTAAGGAAATGCATTTTAGATAAAATGCAAGGCAAATATGCCTTTGAAGAGTGGAATTGACGATGTCGATGGTAGGAAAGAATCAAATTATTGTAGCCAATGGTACTTTATTGAATGAATTGAAGCATTGAAGATTCAAGATTCACAATTCAAGATATCATCACCAAACACTTACGAAGCTTCGTAGCGTGTCCTCAATTCAATTCGGCAAGTTCCACCTCGCGGGGTTGTTGGGATTACAAGACGGGTGTGTCAATATAAAGCAATCGTGCCTGAGGTTATAATTTCGCAGCCCAGCGTCGTCCCGGCAACCTGTCTAACATGTTACGAAGACTTTGTTGACGTTCGATCGCGGTTGAAGATTTTGACCTTAACAGCTATTATATTACATTTTATCCTCACGAATATAAATTCAAAATGGATCAGGCATTATCATATAACGATGATGAACACATTGAAAGTGTATGTTTACACAATCTCTAATTATTAAATACATAAGAGATATAGGAGTTTTATGGCTAACACAACCTATAGCGGTTGATGAAATCACAATGTTTAGAGTTGGCATATCAGGAAGCACTGCAGAATACAGAAATAATCGTTAAAGATGAAGCCAGCAGGCGACTCAGGCTACAGATACTCCTATTGGAAAATGAGAATGATGAATTGCACGTTCAACTGGCCACTGAGGAGGACCGAATCGATGGAGTAGAAGAAGAGAATGAGGATTTACGAACACGTCTTGACCAGGCTCAAGAAGATACGGAGAAGGTTGAAACAGAGTTAAGAATGCAGACACGAGAATTTAATAATGTCAAGGTAATACCAGTTAACTGGGCATAATCAAATACCATTCTAATACGTGACTACATAGGCGGAGCTAAAATCTATGAATGGAGTAACAATGGACTCGACGAAGATTCTTACGGAGAAGCTGGCTCTCAGCCGCGAGGTCGCTATACTGAAACCAGAGTTGGAACATTTACGTTCACAAGTGGCACATCAACAATCAACTCTAGCGGAGAAGTTAGCACTTGAGCGACAAGTTAGCACTCTAGAGGTAGAACTAGAAACAGAGCGTCGTGCTTTGAATCGTGCCACTGAAAAGAACAACGACCACTCAAAGGAGGTTGAGCTTCAACACAAAATTGATGCACTGCAGAAAGATCTTTCAGAGGAAAAGCGAGAAAGAGAGAAGGTTAAGAAAGAGATGGCGAAAGAAGCATCAGCTGCCCAGAAGGAGTTTGCACAAGAGAAGCGTGAAGTTGAGAAGAGCCGCAAAGAGACAGAGAAGGAGACAGAGGTTCTTCGTAAGGAGTTGGTAGTTTTGAAGCGTGAGAATGAGGGGCGGCAAGCCGGAGAGAAGGAGATAGAGGCTCTTAGGAATGAAATCGCACTATTAAAGAGCAACAATGAGAAAGGGCAACAATCTGGGGAAAAGGAAATCGAGACTCTGAGAAAGGAGTTTTCGCATACGAAGCGAGAAATCGAAAAAGCACACAAGAACACACAGAAGGAGCTGGCCGCTTCTCAAGCTCAGGTGGAAACTTTGGAAAGTGAAATTGACCAGCTTCGTGATAGTGAGAAAGGGCAGAAACAGGGTGAAGAGGAAATCGAGGTTCTCAGAAAGGAATTCGCCCATACAAAGCGAGACATGGAAAAGTCTCATAAGGACACACAGAAAGAGTTGGCGGCTTCTCGGGTTTTGATTGGATCCCTGGAGAGCAAGGTTGAGCAGCTCCGTACCAAAATGCGCGCCGCAAGAGAACAGTTGAAAGAATGTCAGGCTGAACTGAACGAGGCGCGCACTGCAGCTTTGAAGCTCCCCGTTGTGACGAGTCGGGAGGCTGTTCCAATGAAAGATTCAGGCAAAAGATCTGCCCGAGAGATGAGCATGGATATCACTATTGGAACGCCGGATGGAGTAGCAGGACGCGGAAAGCGAGCTGTGGCAAACAGGGGTAGGGCTGACCAGACATTGTTAGGAGAAAAGTCAACGTTTTCCATCACACCCTACCTGAACAAGACGATCAATATGGCTCCAGATACACCAGAAAGTGGAGAATCGCCCGGAGATATGGTTGGAAAAGTAACTGAGACAGAAAGACCTATCGAGGGCGACCAGGTATCGGAAGAACAGGAGGAGAGTCCTGAACCACCCGTGCAGCAGGTCAAACCTAAGCTTAAGGCAAGAAAGAAGCTAGCCGAGAAATCCTCTGGTGACGAAAAGAAAGTGTTGGTCGAAGCGAAGGCTGGTACCAAGAATAAGAAGTCTGTAGCCCAAAAGCTTAAGGAATCACGTACCTTAGATAAAGTTACAGAGGAAGAGGAAGGGGACGAAAATGAACAACCCAAGAAACCTGCCGCTCGCAAAATCAAGGCACAACGCATGCTAGAGAAGGTTGCAGAGGAAGAGGATGGAGATGAAAACGAGCAGCCTGAGGAACCAGAAAATTCCGAAGAGCGAGAAATTGCAAAGCCCGTAAAAGCTAAGACAAAGGCTATGGAGGAGCCAGAGCAAAAGAAGAAGAAACGTAAAGTCCTTGGAGGCGTTGCCAAGACACTATTTGATGACGAGGATGGTGAAGCTCCCAAGAAACCAGCAAAGATAGCACTTGGCCCAGCGAGGTTGCTGGGTAAAGGTGGTCTCGCCGGACCAAGGGGAGGGCTGAAAGGCGGCCTCGCAGCTGGTAGTGGGTTTGGAGCATTCTCACCTTTGAAGAAGGATCGTAGGGGTGCGGGAGCAAGTTTCTTAGCATAAGCTGTTGAGGATTAATGAAGCAATTAGGCGTTTAGGATAGGGCGTTTAGGATAGGGAGAGTACAGGCTCACCTGGCAGCGTTGGTCTTTGATAAAGTAGGTAGTCAAAAAACTACATGATTTGTGTTCAGAAATCAATTTTCTTCAAGCTACTTGTAATTGTGCCTTCGAACTCGGTTTTCTGGTTGTGTCACTAAACAATATCATTTGTTCTTGTTTGCTCACATGAAGGTCGAAGCCTTTAACAAATCACAAATAATAAGCATAGTTCAACAGATGGCCTTATTTGAGTATCGTAAATTTTGGTAAAAATTTCGGTTCAGGCAATATAAATTCTGTATGCACTCTAAATCTTCCAAACCCCCCACTAGACGAGACAAAAAGTTTCCGTCACAAGCTACCATATGCTATCACCGCGACTGGCACCGACAGTCTTTTCCTCCGGACTCGGGTTACTCCCACGGCACCAATTATGCATTCCACCGCTCCTCAACTGTAAACATGCGGGGCCGATTGCGCGGGGTCATCCAGATATAAAATTTCACAACGGCGCAGTCCGCGCATCTTCGTCTTCGTCGACGCGATGGAAAACAAGACAAGGAAGAGATGCCTTCTCTCGAGAAGCAAAGGTGCAGGGTTTGAAGAGTAGAGCTGCTTTTAAGCTTCTTGAAGTGCGTGTTTTGTTTACCTACCTACCTGATGGTTATTGAAGAGGCTTTGTGTATTGATACTTGTGTAGATTGATGTGAAGTATAAAATTTTTAAGAGAGGACAGACGGTGGTTGATTTGGTGAGTCTTTCTGTGTGTGTAAGAGAGAAGAGGATGGGAGAAGATGGGATGGGATTATGAGGGAAAAGTTTATTGAATTGAGGAATTTAGGGATATGCGCCAGGTAGTTGGTCTCAGGTTCGTTGTTTTCGAAGCTCCTTTCTATCTATTTCAATTCATACCTACCTACCTACCTACCTACCTACCTACCTACACATAAAATAACATGCTCACACAAAACCCCAAACAAACAGGTAGCAGTCGAGCGCACCAAACCCGGCGGACGAATCCTCGGCATCGATATCATACCCGCGCAACCCCCCAAAGGCGTCTCCACAATCCAAGGCAATTTTCTCTCAGCCGGCGTCCAAGAATCCGTCAAACAATTTCTCTCGGATCCTGATCGCGGACGACCGCGCAGATCCCTCTTCGCAGACGATGCTGAGGATATCGAGCCGGAACTCAGCTACCTAGAATTAGAGCGACATATGGATGATAGTGCGGCGACGGCTGCGGATCATTCAGGGAAGAAAGGAAGCCGGCCTGCGGAGGAGCAGGACGAGGGCAAGATGGTCGATGTGGTGCTAAGTGATATGTGCGAACCCTGGGAGCAGACAGCGGGTTTTTGGAAGAGAAGTCTGAGTGACCCTTATTTTAGGATGATGAATACGACCGGTATCAAGTTTTCAGATCATGCCGGTAGTATGGTATGTACTTTGAGCTATTTCTCTCACACACACACACATATATTTTGGATTCTGGATTCACCACTCTAATCTTTACGTATGTATAGGATCTTTGCGCCGCCGCTCTACGATTTGCTTTTGACACGCTGAAGCCTGGCGGGCATTTTGTTTGTAAATTTTATCAGGGGGCTGAGGATAAACAGTTGGAGTTACAGCTCAAGAAGTTGTTTAGCGTGGTGCATAGAGAGAAGCCCGAGTCATCTAGAAGTGTGAGTGAGCCCAGGCAATTGCAATGATAGAACGTGTGCTCATAGTCAACAGGAATCCAAGGAGTCATTTTTTGTAGCTTTAAGCCGGAAGACGGAAGTTGACGGTGTAGCTTTAGGCTATGTCGATGATGTAAAAGGATGAAACAGGAACACAATCCGTATGATTGCACGTTTAGGGTTATGTAGATCAGTGGCACAGTGATAAATGAATCTTCACATATGTAAATGGGCAATTTGAATAGGGTGGAATCACATTGTTCATGACTACTACTCCTATATGCATCAATACCACTATTTTCTTGTAGTATTCATATGCTGAAGACTTTCCTGCTGACCCAGCTCGCCTTAAATAGCTTGTTGACATACCTCCATCCTTCTCTGAGGTATTAAGACCAGCAAAGCCAGAAGTTCGTAACGGCACACCCCAAATTAGGCCATTTAGACCTTGAAACCTCTGGACCTTCTGCGTCCACGAGCCTTCTCGAACTTGCGTCCCTTGGACTCGACGTATGGTTTCTGTTGTAAATATGTCAGTTTTGCCAAATAAAGACTTTGTCGTATTTTTTACCTTGTGCTTGTGTGGGCCGAAACCGAAATGCTTGAAAGCCTCTCTGGAGTTCTTTGGTCCTCTGAGGAGAACGGTGTTGCTTCCAGTTGGGGATCTGAGAGCCAATTGATCCAAGGTCAAGGCCTCACCACCGGCGGCAAGAATGCGGGCACGGGCGGTAGCGGTAAATCGGAGAGCGGCAACGCTCACCTTTGGAACGGCAAGGAGACGGTTGTCATCGGTGACAGTGCCAATAATGACAACGGTTCTCTTCTCCTCCTTGTTGGTTTGGGATGCGATTCTGGAGATAGAAACGGGAGGTCTGTTGACGCGGGACATAAAAAGTCTGCGGAGGACAACCTTGTTGAAGGAAGCTTCAGTTCGGCCTATGTAGAAATCAGAAGTTAGCGCATGCTAATTTTGTGAGGAAGAAAACACCAATAACTTACGAGCCAAGAAGCGGTAGAGCTTTACCAACAACTTAAGGTAAACATTGTCACTCTTGGGCGTCTTACGGTGAGTGTTGCGCACGTGGTGGTTGTCAAGATCGATACCTAGTTAGAATATTCCTCGTCAGCCTATGATCAGGTATGCTCTTCACATCGGTCTTGCAGACACAATGTTGCGCAGATAATTGAGATCTTTTACGATGCGATTTGAGAGTTCAGTCTTTCAACTTCATCTCAATTCATCGTAAAGCCACTCAATTTCCACTTGCACACGATGGCTGGAATGGAACTCGGTGTTCACCTACCCATGGTTGGCGATTTGGGGGGGTTGTCGTCGAGGGTGTCGAGAGGTCGTTGATAGATTCCAGCGAAGGAAAAACAATTTCGAAGAGATTTGGGAATATGGACCCAGTGCGCGAATTCGCTTAAAATTTTTGGTGGAGATATCTGATGCCTTAGAGCCTTAGGCATTAATACTCTAAAAATTTTCTTGAATTTTTTGTCAGGGCTGACCGCCCGGAACCGAAGTATCGGGTACATAGCATAGCTACCTTTACTCGGCCTCGTTAAAGTGGTGAAGGAGCCGAGTTAAATGGAGTTGGGGAAAGATTCAATCAAGCCTACAACAACAATAATGAATTTCATCCTTCATACTTCCCATACTTGTAGATACATGTGGTGGACATGGATATAGCTATGTATCTATCTATAAGCAATGAAGGTACCTTCCGACTTGCCTATTATTATATCTACTCTCAAAAGTCCATACCAAGCAGTTTACATTTGGCATATTCACAATGAGAATTCAATGAAGTCTTACCATGAGATCCGAACTATAATAATGTAGCCTCTCTGTACCTATCAACCTCGCATTCAAAAGTTATTGTGCTGATCTCAAAGTGAATATGGACAGCACTCAGGGTATTCATTACTCATAAACTTCCTAATTCTAAGTAACAACGGCAAATCCATACCTGGATAGTCGATACTTTCGTTGTTGACGGGAAACTACGGAAGAAGGTCTAGGCAAGTTGACATCACTTCCGCAATTATGGGTTGGGGTACATTCTATCTCCATGTATTAAAACAAAAGCACGGAAGATCTCGAAACGTTGGTTTTGGGTAAACTCGTGAAGATATCAAAAGTTACCTATTACTCATAGTAACCCTTTATGAATGATTTGCAAAGTAAAGTTTTTCTCCGCTTGACTTATGGTAAAACTGGCCGAGCTCGAGCATCTCAAAAGTCTACTTACTGTCTTACACTTACCTACTCTAATAAAGTTCTCCATTACCCGTAACCCGGCATATCATCAATCCACCCTGGAATCCTGTTAAATTTCAAATACTGGAGTACAAATCAATCCCACATACACATAGACCTATGAAATTATTCTAGACTTCTTTAATTTCTTGTCTTTAATTCACTAGGCATTTTGACTAACTTGTTCAGTATCCTCCTGTTATTGATTCTCTTCTATTTTGCGCATCATTACTCCCTGACTAAATTGAAAATCCCATTTGGTGGCACTGTTCCTTGATCTCTTCCATTCAAGCTCCGTCTAAGGAAGAAAATCAACCCAGCCAGCCTCACAACCTCCACATCTCTACCCTGATTGTACCTGTACGAAATATTCAGCAATTGACCGTCAATTTCTCATTTCCTTCTTAAAAGTCTAGGTTTACGTATACTACCGATATCGAGTCTGCCCTTCCATTTCGAAGCATTCTTCTTCGGATTCGCATGCGCGGGTGGGTTTAAGGTGTGCGTTGAGCTTCAAGCCTGTTGGGTGCATAGTGTAGCTACTCCTCCTAGAGATGTCTGCCGTATGTTGTATCCTCTTGATCTTGCCCAATACCTAGTACAAATGCTGATTCTTCTTTTGTTACAGTCTAGGAATGACATTCTCTCGCCCAAATATGGCCCCAAAGTTCTGCAAATCAGAGAGCTTATCGCACAACCTGTGGTAGCAGCATTCTGCGCCGGTGGAGTGGCAGGTGCTGTATCTAGAACAGTTGTGTCGCCCCTTGAACGACTCAAGATTCTCTTTCAAATACAAAGTGTAGGACGAGAAGAATACAAGATGTCCGTAGGAAAGGGGCTTATGAAGATGTGGAAAGAGGAAGGTTGGCGCGGACTTATGAGGGGTAATGGAACCAATTGCATTCGAATAGTCCCCTATTCCGCCGTCCAGTTTGGAAGTTATAATTTCTACAAAAAGGTAAGAGCCTAAGGATTACTCGACCTTTTACTGTTTCTCTAGCAGTTGGACTTTTCGAGTATTTCTAAAGCAGAAAGGACATTTGTATGAAAAGCAAATTACTGATTGCCTGCGCTTTTACAGTTCTTTGAGACCTCTCCAGGTGCAGACTTAAATTCTTTTAGACGCCTCATTTGCGGCGGGGCTGCTGGAATTACCTCCGTGTTCTTTACATATCCTCTAGACATTGTGCGCACCAGATTATCTATTCAATCTGCGTCTTTCGCGGCTTTGGGTCAACACAGTACTAAGCTACCAGGCATGTTTGCTACGTTGAAGACGATGTATAAGACGGAAGGGGGCATTCTTGCGTTATATAGAGGGATTATACCCACTGTCGCCGGCGTTGCGCCGTATGTAAGTGTGAACCTTTTGGTTGTTTGGTTATTGAGATTGCAATGCTAACTAAGCGATAAGGTTGGCCTAAACTTCATGACTTATGAGCTTGTAAGAAAGCATTTTACCCCGGAAGGAGACAAGAATCCCAATGCAGGACGGAAGCTAGCAGCTGGAGCTATATCCGGCGCAGTAGCACAAACATGCACATATCCATTGTGAGTGTTTTCATTAATGTCTGCCGGATTTAAAATTAACGCTGTTTAGTGATGTTCTTCGACGTCGTTTCCAGATTAACACCATGTCTGGTATAGGATACCAGTACAAATCAATTTTCCATGCTGTCCGAAGTATTATTGCACAAGAAGGTTTAGTCGGCATGTACAAAGGGATTGTACCCAATTTGCTCAAGGTTGCCCCGAGTATGGCGAGTAGTTGGCTCAGTTTCGAGATGACCAGGGATTTCCTACTGACATTGAGAGCCGAGGAAGCCGATTTGTGAGCTTCGGGAAAGCCGCCTGGTCATTCTCAAAATTAGGGTGGGTTTTGGATGGGCGTATTAAAGGTCAGGCTTTGTATATGAAGACGGCGCGGACCAGGGTCAGTGGATTGCATTTGGTTAGGCATCTGGGTAGGCATATGGGAGCGGCGTTATTTTGTAAAAAGACACAGACAAGATTCTTCAGACCAAGTCCTATCAATCGACGATAATAGGAGAATAGATGTGCTAGGAAATCGGGGCGAGTTTACGATAATAATCGGAAAATTCGAAGGTGTATGAACATAAAAGTTGTGGCAGATAGTTTCAAGGTATCTCTACCTCATTGGATTGAGGTGATTACAATAGCTATATTGAAAATTTTGAATATATAGGTATTGATCCATTTAATCGAGTAGCTATAGACATCTAGCAGACAGTTGTGAATCAATAAACGCTATATAATATTTCAACTTGCAACTTTAGTATTTCCTGTATATTGTCTGAGACTTTGAATTTCAATATGTCATGCTCATAATATCCTGTTCATACGTAATAAAAAACTTTCCCATATAGCCCGAAATAGAACGTCCTTTCTATATATAGAAAACTAAAATTAAAATATAGGAGAATCTGATTTCCCGTCTGAACTGGCAATCTCGGAGATACCTTAGAAATGTGTATTGTCACGTGATATCAACACGTTTTCAATTTAAGGCTCCGCACTATATATAAGGCAACAACCAGTTATTAGCTTGTACACGTCTTATTCAAAGAACTTTAGCTTACCTAATAAAGTTGCGTTAACCTTCTTGTCTCGTCTTCCCAAAGCTTGCCCAGTTCTATTCTTTCTATTTCCACAACCAAATCTATCCATCAACACTTACACTTCAAAATTGATAACATTTACCTCATTGCCGTGCATCAGGTCTCCTTAATATCGGTCAACTCTTGTCAACTCTTGAGTAGCAAAGAGGTCATATTTGATTGGTCTTCCTCATCATCTTTTCTCATTAACAAAATGTCTCGTGGTGGTACAACTCTCTATGTCACCGTATGCGCTCCACCTCCACAACTTTTACGCTCAACACCAAAAGCCACTTTTAGATACTTCTATTAGAGCTTCAACAGTATACTGACATGTTTTTAATAGGGCTTCGGAGCTGGAATCCGTGCTCGCGATCTTGCCTACGAATTCGAACGGTATGTCAGCCAAAAATCGATATCTCGATGATCATCCTTGATTGCGATGATCCATTTTCCCATCCTCGTCCATCCTCGTCCCTTAATCCGTCGAGACTTCGCTGTCATTTTCGTCGCATATACTCTCCCCTCTGCCCAAATCCTCCACGTTCGATCGAGCGGTCGCACAACGATACGAACAATTTATATTCCCACATTTGTCTCGCGAGAAAAAAGTTCGAATTGCGGCGGATCGATTATTATTTACTATACATATCTTATATATCTCTTACTTTCATCCATATATCTGTCCAATATTTCCCTCTTCGTTAGTACATTGAGTCTAACCTTATCCTCGTAGCTACGGCCGTTTGGTCCGCTGTGATATCCCAGCTCCTCGAACCGCCGCATCTCGTCTGTAAGTTAAGCCTAAATCCTCGTTGGCAACTACACTAATATAGTTGACACGTAAAGTAGATTTGCCTTCGTTGAGTATGAGTCCCGTCGCGATGCCGATGATGCCTACCATGAAATGCACAACAAGCGAATTGGTCGGGATGATTTGTTGAAGATTGAAGTAAGTCTTCATGACATCACATACACACCTCGAATTCTAAAGCGTATTTAGTGGGCCCGCACACCTCCCTCGGCTTCTTGGCGATTCGATACTGGTGAGGACCGTCCAGCCCGTCGTGATGGAGGTAGAGATAGCGGGAGAGAACGTGGTGGAGGCAGCCGCCGTTCTCCTCGTCGTCGTTCAAACTCTCCCCGACGTGGCCGTGGCGACTACACTCCCCGTAAGGATGACCGAGATCGCCGGGACCGGGACTACGACAGACGAGACCGTGACCGAGCCGATCGCTCACGTAGCCCGGATGATCGGTAAGCAAATGTACAGAGGTTAAACTCGGGTAGAAGCTTACACTTTATGTTTAGGGACCGTGAGATCAAGGAAGAACGTGATGATGTCCGTGAACCCGGAACCAATGGAGATGACAGGAAAGGTGAATTACCACTTACACTACCAATACGCCTGTTCTAATTCGTCTGATAACCATCAGTTACTATGGATTCTCCTCCACCAGCGCATGATGAACTGGACACCGCCGAGTAAACAGGTCCTTCCCCACTTGAGGCCTTGTATGCGGCAGGGAAAAAGTTTATTGTGTCTTTTGGCTGCTGATATTTCCTTCTTTGCCTGAATTTACCATTGTGTTTCTAGATCGATTCCCCGAGACCTCCCGAGTTGAGCCAGGATTGGACCGGCCACAACAGCAGAATTTCCCCTCCCATTTTAGGTCAGCAGCAGCATACGATTGTGGTCATAATTTTTCATGGGTAGTTACTAGTATTAAAATTCTAAATTGAGCACATAATATACACAAAATACATCATCTCAACAATGTGTGAGACAAGAGCGACGAAATCGTGATTCTGTCCTTATAATTGAGTATATTTTAAGATATGCTCTCTCGTGGCTGTGAATTGGATTGACTATAGCAGAATCGGCACCTTAGTGGGCTAGATAAAGCATAAAAGGTTCAAATACCCTCGAAACAGGTCGAGAGAATTGCCCATCAATCACCACATCCAAACATACATACACGCATGCAAACACCACACGAATCACCAAACTCCCAAGAAACCTCTTGCTAACCTAACCAACCGATCAAAAAGTGAAAGGATATCCATAGTATATATAATAATAATAATAATAATAATAATAATAATAATAATAGTATATCGTTACTTCAACTTCACATGATTTTACTACATACTCAAGGCTATTATTCATCATTTGATTTGCTATGTGGTATGTGGTTTTGTGGTATTGCTATATTTCAGGATCATCTACTAAAAACAAAAGAACGGAAACTGTTATATTTTTCCACAGTAAGCTTAATCTTGTATTATACATTGTATAACATCATCATATCATATGGTATAGAATGTTATGTAATCCTAATATATATTCCTATCTCTTGCGCCTATTTAGTTGTAGATTAGATGGTGATATCCTATCCTATCCTATCCTATTTCCGGTTCACATATCCGTTCCCCTTCCCTCCCCACCTTTTTCTTGTGTAGGAGTTGAATAGGAGTAGGTATCTATGAATGGGACGAGACGCGATACGATGCATTTACTTCTTTTTCACTCTAATCATTCTTTATGTTGTTTTTTTCTTATTTTTTGCTTTTCCGCTTGCTGCTACTATCGCTTGTACTGTTTAAGCGGGCGACTGTTCGATGGCGCGAGAGGAGTTGCCCGATGAGGAAATGTGATACGTCTTCGTCGGCCCTATGTGTTGTTAGAATCTGATAATTTTCTTTCCTGAAAGCTTTTTCCAACTATAGAAGGGGTGGATAAAAGTCCATGACATACCAATATGAAAGATGGCTAGCAATCGTGTTGATCGGGTTGAAATCAAGTACGCTTCTATGACTGATTAGCATTGACTTCTTTGAAGAAGAGTCGTGCGGGGCCGGGGAATCTTAGAACCTACTCTTGAATACTGAAGTCTACCCTGCCATTTTGATTCAATGCCCTAACCTTCATTTCCTCCCTCCTCAATTTCTTCGCTTTCTCCTCCACCTCAGCCCTATCAGAATCAGGCATATCAGTCCTTCTCCTCTTCTGGAATCCCGCATACAACGTCTCGATCTCATCATCGATCAAAGTAGGTGCCGTACCCATGCCATCTCTATCTGCTGCAGCCGTGTCTTCAGCGAGCTGCCTCATCTTTTCGGTTGTGTGTTCTCTCTGCAGCGTAGGATGGTCGAGGATGACTCCTGTTGTTATACTGGTTCCTGCCCCTGCGGATTGTCCTTTGGTGTTTGATGAATTCGATGCTTGCATCCTTTCGACATCTTCGCCTGTGAGTCCGAGACTGCGGTTAAGGAGACTACTTGCAATGCCAGAGCTTAGACTAGACCATAATCCACTAACGCTTTGTCCTACTTTTGCACCAATGCCTGTGATTCCTTGATTCATATTTGCACCGAAGATACCTTTCTTCGTATACGGTAGTAGCTGAGGCTTCATGGATGACATCGCAGGGGCAATCAAAGGCTCAAGTCTATAACTAATCGGATCTGTTGGATGGAAGATGTTGTACAACCGAGCGCATTTAGGGCTAGAAATTGAGTAGGGCAATCCTGTCGTGCTAGATATATGTTCTCCTGACGAGAAGCCCACACCCGAACCAGTCGCCAGGAAAGGATCTTGCATCGAGTCCAGATCCATCGGACTTTCGGCGAGCAGCGATTCCGTACGATTTCTGGCAGCAATAGTCCTTCCTTTCAACATCTGGAACAATCCTATAGGACTTCCCAAACAATAGAAATCCTCCACTTCGAAATCGAATTCGAGACTCTTACCATGTGACTTGGTAGATGGAACAGAACGGCTTTTGTACTGCGAAGAACTGGCACTGCGGGATTTGGTTTCTCTCTGATGACAAAGAATATCAAACAAAATCGCCGATCCTAAGGAATGTCCAATTAAGCTAACCTTCCCCGAAAACTCTGGATTGCGTTCTCGGAAAAGATTGTAAATTCGATTTGCCTCGGTAAGAACGATACTGCTGATGTGTTCTCTGTAAGCGCTTTGATATAGTAAAATGTCAAGAGCAAGATCGGTGATGAGAGAGCGAACAAATGGTACACCCTCCACTGTAATATCATCAAGGCTTGGATATTCTTCCTCTTCCCCGAAGGCATCACCAAGATCATGCTCTTTACGATTCTGCCTGACGCCTTTGCGAGGAAAGTCAAGCAAGTGACGCCAGCAGATAGGAAGAACCTGAACACGGCAATTCTTGGGGAGCTTATCAATCTCCCCATTTAGAGCCTGCAAATCGGCGGAGTTTCCGTACACGGTTTTCAGCGTTTGGCGAAGAGCATTTACGTCATGGACGAAATTAACACTTTCAGTCCTATTGTAACATTAATAAATTAAACGACAATTATTCTCAAAGGCACTAAAAGAGGCATCTACAATTGGAAACATTGAGAAATGAAAATCGATTTGCACACTTTCCCGGCTGATTTCGCATCATTAACTCATCTTCAGAAGCAAGCCTTCTTCCAAGAATGCCACTAAAGTCCACCAATTCTTTGGTATTGACTATTGCAGACATTATAGAAACTAGGAACGGTGTGTAATATGCCTCTGAAGATTGATACTGCCAGCGCATAGGACATAGGGTCGATGAGAACGACCAGTCGAAAAACAAATAGTAAAGGAAATAAAAATAAGAATTTGAATACATACCTCATACCTAAGCGTTGACCTATACCGTGTGTTACCAGAATAAGATGTTCAATATTGCGCCCTTGATTCTCATCATCTCGATCATTATAATCATTCTGTATCTCTTTCTCATCACGTTTCCTCTCTGCTTCAGCTTCTGCATCCGCATCTATAGAGTTTAGTTTATTGTAAGCCGCTTCCCGAAGCTCGCTACTCTTGTCTCCTGGCAAAGCTTCGGAGTGACTTGTGCTAGGAGGTGCAGATCGCCGTTTCAGTAGCTTTTGTTGACGCTCGTCAAGCTGCAGATACTCCGGGGTACTTGAAGCAACAGCAGCAGCACTGGTGGGTGTTTTCGGCCCCTTGTCTCTATCAGTAGTTGATGTGTCTTTCGTTTTGCCTGGCTCCGAATATCCACGTACGACCTTTACACCTCCTAAGTAGCCTCCACCTGCAAACTTTTGGTAAACGGTGCTACTAACCCGTGACATGATGTTATCAGTCGAGATCCAGGCCACATGATCATCTTGATAAGTGACGACAGAGTTCATGTGTGTTCCAAATAAACGATGGGTCTGAGGTTGATGAGGTGGCGGTGAGTCCTTTGGTCCACTGCCGTCATCAGATCCATGCTGTGGTATTTTCAAGTTCTCAGCTGAGCCCTTTGGAGTCACGGAGGGAGAGCCATTGCGGTTCGTCCCTCCGAAAGCACCACTACGCGCTAATGATCTCGGTTCCTCTCCAGGTTTAACAGACAATGGTCTAACAGTATTTTTCTCTGGAGGTTTAGGATAGCGAAAAGGCTTAACCTTCAAATATCCTTCCTCCAGCTGTGTGGCCAAATTTTCCTCACAAGGTTTGAGGACTGAACCCTCTTGATAAAACCAGCTGCCTCTGCGGACATCAAATATCGCGCCAAGCCAATATACTGGTGAGAGCTCTCTCTTCTCGATGTCGACATCAAATAAAAAGTCCTCTTGCACCGGAACTTTGATACTCCTATCAGCCTCCTCATTATTCCCAGCTTCATTAATACTTGTGTTCGCCTTCTGACCCGCACTCCCAGAAGTCTGTTCCCAATTGCCACTCTGCGACTTCTGCCGTGGATCTCTACCATTACCATAGTCCTCGACAAGCTTCTGGTATGCAGCTTCTATTGCGCGAGAATCGTGCTCTGAGAATGTAACAAACTTTTTGGGAGGGGCTGCTGGTTTGGTTTCTTCCTGCTCGGTCTTGAGGAGCTTCGGCTTCCTCTTGGGGATCTATAGCGGTAAGCTTATGAAAACCAAAGTTCTTTAAAAATGACACCTACATCAACAGCATGGAACCATCTTGGATTCAACGGAGGGCAATCGGTAGGGTAGTTTTTAGTGCTCCATCCATGCCAATGATTCGTACTGTGATCCCCACCATGTTGATTTTTTAATCCTGACCCTTCGCCAGGAAACGTAGGCGTTGTAGCTTTAGGTGTAGATGCTCGAGAGCCTCCCCATGGTGAAATCGATTCCACTGCCGCAGATAGATATGATCTCTCTAGTGGTTTTGGCTTGTTCCCAGGCGCAGACTCCATTTTCTTGTCATTGGCTCGCCATATGGCGTCAATTACGCCTGAGGATCTGATCCAGTTGAGGGCAGAATATGATAATGGAAGTCGACAGCTCTTGGGAAGGTGCTTGGGTACTATTCTAACTTGGTGAAAGAGAAGGTTCATAGAGTAAGCCAATGTATGCCAAATTGTTTGGGAGGTTTGATGCTGTATTATGCGGTAATTGCCGATCCGGACATATTAAATAGAAATGGGGTATCTGTACATTATATTATTGATATCGCTCGGACCTTAGTGTAGGTTTTTTGTAAGGTATGAAGTGTCCTTTCAATATCCCGTGGGTCAATCTTATCTTGTTGATGAAGCATATTATCGCTCGTGGTGAAGCTGTTTTTGAAATGTTAGGTTGGTATAGGTATGTATAGCATAGTAGTAAATAACGGTGATGAGGATCTGGTGGATGGATGCATGCAACACATGTAATTCACAACATGGTTTATTATGACGATGCTTTCGGTTCGGGCTTTTGTGGCCCCGCTACCGACAAATCCGATCTCAGTACCTACATCTGCATAGGTACTAGCTTGACCTTACCATCCGATACTGAGACACATCAAAACACTCACAGACCCATGAATCCCTATACTATTCTTGAATTTAAAACCCATAATATATATAAACATGCTGACGTGCGCTCTATAAGTTATAATCTATTAATCGCCCTTTTACTGCTGTAGCAAAGCTTTCCTCAATGCCGTGATATCAAAGTTGAGAGATTCCTAAAACGCCCGCTAATAACCCACAAGCCAAATAGTAAATAGTATCGAACGTACAAAGCTGGGCCAAGTGTATCTAGATGATCAAATAGAGACTACACAGAAGACTCGGTCCCGTGAATATACCTATCCAGAACAGCACATTACCCAAAATCTTTTTACCTTTCATCCACTTCGTTTGGCTCATTATGGTCAGCGGAATCTGGCACATTTGTAGAACTAGTAGATATCCACGAAGTTTCTTGAAAATACACCACATAACAAGCTCATGTACACATGAGCTTAGGAAGAAAGTAATGAGGGTGGCCGTCTTCTTGTTGACCTTCAAACTAGAGATTGAGGAGTGATAAACGTGTCGCAGGAGGAAGTTGTGAACTGGCCGATTCCAATCGCGTGCGAATTGATCCCAAGAAACAGAGTTCCACCAAGCCTCGTAGAAACCTCGATCGGCGTAGCAGGTCAACTCAGCAAGGAGATTGAGAATGCATTCCCAAATTACATACCACGTCTGACGGAAGATTAGTAGAAGTAACAAGAATTTAAATGTGTTTCAACTCACTAGAATGTACTCGGCAAGGAAAGGAAAGGCTAGATCGCTAACGATACCCGGAAAATGACAGAGACGTTCGTAAGGTGTCATATCGGATTCTTTCATCCTTATCGTTTGAACTACGATAGGATAGATATAGGTTTGCGAAATTAAATTCATGACAATCAAAAGACCAGCCGTCGCAATGGTTTTCTCGGCAACGTTGTACCAGTCGATGTTATCGGATCGAGGATATTCCAACTCATAGACCAAAGTCGGGAGAACAATGTACTCGTAATGGTTGGCGGAAGTGAGATTACTTGGGTACTGATTTTTGGTAGCCGTACATTTTCCTTCCAGTTCTTTGCTCAAAAAATCGATTTCCCATTTAAGGATTCGCGCAAACGTCTGGATTTGATCAAGGTCAAGTGGCTCCCCGGAATCGACTGCAGCTGCTACTTGATCGATAGTAGACTCCATAATAGAATGCCTTCGCTGGGAGTTTCTCTGATGAACGTCATCGGATGTTGGCCTGGCGTCTAGATACGAGGTAGATAATGAGGCAGCGGCCGGGTTTGTCGCAGAAGGTGTCTGGACTGGCGAAATACTGTCGAGCTGTTTCAATTTACGCTGAAGTTTTAAACGACTCTGGTATTCCTCAGATAGGTAACCATTGTAAAAAGCATAAGAATGTTGTTTCATCAACATGACGAGTCCGTGGAGAACGAAAAAGACCTGCCCAAAGAGATGCTGTAAGCGAATCTGAACAGGGAGTACAAAAAAGATGAACAATTCTGGGATGGTCTAAGAGTCTTGGGATCTCGGACCACTTATAGAACAGGATTAGTTTAACATGTTGGTCACTTACGGTGTGTGTCCATGGCCACTCGCGAAACAGTGTCCAGCTCACCACCAAAGCAATGTATAATAGTTCCCATGCCTATAATGAAGTCACGTTCAGTAAGTTATTCTTTTCTCATAAATTAGCCGAAGAGTAGACCTACACTTTGAATGATCCAGCCCTCTCTATTCCAGCTAATATATCCTCGATATATAAGTTTTTGCAGAATAAGTCCAAACCCGGTAGAAAAGCACATTACACCATCGGACAGACCAAGAACTATGACGTCCCGATGGAACATCATTTCCATAATCTCATTCGTTCCAAGTATATTTCCATGAGTTCGCCAATTCGCGAAGGCAAGTTGGAGTACAAAAACGACGAACGCCAGCCAGGCTAGTGTTAGAAAACCATGGAAAGGTGATTCAGCAATAATTTTATTGTGCCGATCAAAAGCAGTGAACTTTTTAGTGAATACCACTGTTCAAATCAATTAGCAAATATATTCTTCCTGCGCAATTCCCCATCTGAAACACTTTCGCCCTGAAATATTCAAGATTGGGAACAGCTTACGGTCACTAAACTTGCTTCTCTGCTTCGGTTCTCCTGGTGTGTTGTCGTGAGAATAATGCGCGACAGTATCTTTTAGAAGATCTCGTAGTTCATCATTATCTGTCTCGAAAGTATAATGCCTTCCACCGCTCTTCTGGAGCTTCTTGAGAGTCACTGGAATGCTTTTGCGCCTTGTCATGCCCTTCCGTAACTGTTGGGACGGAATCTTCAATTCCGCATACACTGTCTGTGGAGTGGTAATCTTTGTCGCTGTTTCGGTATCTGTATGGAGGCCGCCGCCCTTCCCTCCTGTAATAATGGACATCGGATCTGGCTTCAAAGTATCATAGTCTTCCAAACTATCACTCTCCGATACATCCAAAGAATCTCGTCGGTTCCTGGCGGCCGTTTCTAACGCTATTTTCAAAGACGATGGATATTTAAGGTCATTTAAAGGCTTTTGTGTTTGTTTTGAATTCGAGACATTGACGCCATTTTCCTGTAATTTTTTAGCTACGGAAGGTCGTACTGGGTGTTCTGGATCAGAGGAAGGGACTGTCGTCATGAGAGGTAGCGCAGTCGTGGATGCCATCCTGGTCATCTTGTGAAGCTATCCTGAGAGATAACTTGTTGAAGATGAGTAAAGGTTATCTACTTTGTTCAGAGATCCGGGGATTTCGATTGAGGTATCAGAGAGAATTTTCACTGCTATGGTAGTGTTAGCCTGAAACCTTCTCCGAATTTCCTGTGGTATAGCATCAAACTCACTCAATGTCCAAACATGAGATACGCAACGACGGCGAATTTTTGGGTAAGACTGTTTTCGGGCAATGCTTGTTATTCGTGCCTCAATGGCCTGTATAGACCAGCCCTCACTCGCAATGGTCTATCGCAAGTGTGAGAGCTGACAATACCGTAGCCGTTTGATACTTTAACGCTGCGAAGTATATCGCCTTTAAATGAAGGTTAATACACAGAGTCGAAATGCCTGTTCTCTGTGAAGGACGCAAATTTATATTGAGGCTGAATATGTGCGATTAAACGCGATTTCCATGCAGGTACGAAATCGAAATATTGATAAGAAATCAAGGGGAAAAGATGACGAAGATTGAGTAATATTTTCAAAGAAGGTTTATTGTATTGGTGCCTTTGGAACAATAGCTTTCTTTAGGATTCAGGCACGCAGTTTGGCAATAACAATAATCAAAATGGAAAAGTCGGAAAGGAAAAGGAGCAGTCTAAATACCTTATCTAGATTATACATATGATTCTGTACCACCATCATGTAAGAAATAACAGTTTTCGTTGTCGCGCGCACTTCCTTGACTCTCCGACTCGTATGTCTGGTAGAACCTTACATGAGACCTTTCTACCTACTAGGTACTGCTATGCCTTTTCTGTTGGCACGTACTGCTGGGAACTGAGGGGCACGATGTAGCTTGGCATATCGCATTCGCACATTAAGAAGACCGAAGACCAATTGCTCGTCGAACATAATTGCGATAGCCCTTTCACTACTGCCGCTATGAAATCGAATCATGTACAGAAAGGATCAGATCGTCGGTTCGAATAGGGATTAGGAAGCAGAAACTTACTGCGTAGAAGGGATTAAGGAATCTTCGGAAGTACTAAGTAAAACTTGGGCCTAGGTGAGCATGTGGAGTCATAAAATGACGTAGATTTACTCAGTTTCTAAATTCTTAGAGTTGAAATTATCATTTTTCGTACCGCATGTCCGCATCCGAGCGCATTATTATTCCATTATTATTAACCTTATCATGCCAAATTCGAGCCACTACTCTACCGACATTTTACCTCTTCAGCCCTGTCAAGCCCCTGCATCGATGATGCCGGACCACCACAAAAAATTATGAGTCCTCAATGATGTCGCACTCGTCACATACCGTAAAATCGGGTACAATCTCAAAGGATTTCGCGCTCACGGCATTTATCAAATTCCCTAGACGGACAAAAGTAATGCCGATTTGCCTGATAAACTCAATGCAGTGCTTATGTGTGGCTGGCCAAGCAAAATTCTCTAGCTGCAACAATATTGCCAATCAATGAATCTATAAGGTAGGCGGTCTAATATTTGTCCGACCGGATTAAGTCCAATGCCAGGTAGCAAAGTAAGCAGCGCAACCAAATCTTACTACTTCTGTAAACGGGCCATAGCATCTATATCCATATCATTGCATTTTGCTATATTTACAACATACAACACATCAGGACAAGTTCGCCGACAATAATTCTGTCAAGAGAACATTGCCTGTACTTCTCGCCAAATCACTTGCCAACCGTCCTTCAGCATCCCGAAGATTCCGGATATCCTCCCCATCGGCAGTATCTCGCCCTACTCCCACTGTCTCTGCCATCTGGGTGATTTGTTCAGGGAAGATGTTTGTTGAAAGAGTTGAAGCTAGCCACAACAAAAGCCAGATGACTTCCTCCTGTCCCTTTTCAACGGCCACGTGCAAACCACTTTTCATTCCATCTAAAGGATCCTGATAACGGAGGATCGGCTTGGCCGATATTCCTTCTCCATCCTCATCATCATCTACAGCACTGAGTAGGTCGTTGATTCCAAAGATATCTCCTTCCGCACACATTGTCATGAATGCTCGAGCAGGACGTGCCTTCGGGTGTTCGTCAAGATAGGCTTCCTCAGTAATAAGAGGCAATATGTCAAGGTCTTCTTGAATGCCTCCTTCGTTGTGATATCTTGTGGGGACCCGATTTCCAGACACGGATGTTGAAGATGAAGCTATTGAAGATGCAATTGACTTATCACACGACGGGCAATTGAGCTTGTTCACAATTTGAGAAGACTCATCCAAAAGACATTGCCTGCGTCAAAATCAGTAAGTTTGATCTGCTTTTTTTAATGACGAAATATGTGACAAAATCTAATTAAACTTGACATGCTAAAATGAAAGCATAGAACGACTCATAAAATAAGGGATTGTCTCTCAAGGATCAATAGCGAAACCAAACAGAGTTTGTCTTGGCTATCCTTCGGGAAACATACTCTTGCTTGCTTCTTAAATCTCTATGGTATAACTGCATCTAATTGGTACATAGCGCCTCGAAGAACTATCTTCGACCTGGCTTCCATACAGGCAATTTGTTCGACGTAAACATGCGTTTTGAACACTAAAGAACAAGAACTATTATGCAAGGCAAGTGGAAGGTAATCTCAAGTGGTCGTATGGAGAATAACCAAAATATATGCTTTCTTACCAATGCATGTGACACCCGCAAATCAACTGAAGGTCGTCTGGAACGCTTCCCAGAGAAGAGCTTCCACCTTCAAACTGGTCCTCATCTGGGTCGAGCTGGACAGTTAAACTTTCCGAGCATACTCTACAGACATCCATATTGGTACAAATAATGTAAAAGTAGATTTAACTCGTTGTAGCTTTGTTAAGGAATTGTTATGTGGTTGTGTTTTGGGAGAGAAAAGTCTTGAGGAACGGGTTGAAATTCTTATAGCGGGGAGAGCAAAAAAAGTCATATCTAAAAAATTTCTTATCGTAGGTACGTAGGTACGTAGGTATATGAATTTGCTCGGCTTTGTAGTCCACCAGGTCTTCCAAACTACACTTACCACACAACACAACATCATGTAATGATCTGAAATCTAAAATCTCAATAAAAATAAGACAAGCTCCGTTTATACTTTTCAAAAGGGAACAAACATGCATAGTGTTTGTATCCCATGTCACCCTCTAACTGTTCAAGAAGATGGCGGCATTAATATTCTATACCCTGAGACCTCTGTCTATGTTCTACCATTCGCATTTCCTACCATTCTTTCTACTAACCATATGCCCACTCTCCTTACTTGGCAGTTAAGTATTTTGTATGTGATGCCGTCGCTACCATAGGTCCTGGTTGGCCATCGACTAGCTTACTGATTCTAATAGTGGTAAAGGCAATTGATCGTCCAACCTTTGACGCGGTTGCCTCAATATTCAAGACATCTCCGACATGAGCGGTTCCAATATAACTGATGTGAATGTCTATGCTTGCGCCAGACTTTTCCAATCCATGTGAAGCTATAGCAAGACCCCCAGACCAGTCGACCAAACTTGCACTCACAGCGCCGTGAATAGTACCTCGAGAATTGACATGATTGCTTCCCACAGTCAAGCGGGAAACAACTAGACCTTTTGTAGCCGATACAATTTCAACATCTGCGAGAAGGAAGTCGTAGATGGGACTGTTCCCTTTCATATTATCCCATACTTTTTTGACGTGGATCAGTTCCTCGGTTGGATTGTCCATTGCGATGCGATCCATTATCTATAGATCAGTTGCCTTAAATGCGGCGAAGGGTAGTCGTCAGCAATGGCGAGAATGAAATGTGCGTACACGCGGATAGAAAAGTAACGTCTTTGTGTTTCGCATGGCGTGCATGAACGGTCGTATTAGGATAGATGGATGGATGTACAATTACCTGCTTTAGAGCCCAAGACTGCGAAATTGGAAATGTGCAATGATAATTACAATTGTACCCAAGAATATCAAGGAAGTTCGTAGAAGCATGAGAGCCTTGAAGACCTTGAGATCCAGAATGCACAGAACGGAGGATGATCAATTATCAGCTGAAAGTCCGAAATTAAGAAAAGGCCGGTGTACGGTTACGGTACAAAGTTACGAGTGCGAGACGAGAACGAGACGGCCGCCTAGAAACCAGAAAACGTCAGCGGGGTTGGGCTGTGCATCGCATCACATCAGTTTGCATTGAGGCATAATTTGAACTCGAGAGTCTCCCATCAAGATAAAAGTTTAAACCTTGAAAGAATCCAACATCTATTTCTACCTCCTCCTCCTCCTCTTCTACTTCTTTCCTCTACCCAATTTAGACAAAGAATATCTGCCTTTTGGCATTTCTCACGATTGTTACGTGGTTTGCAACATCCATCCTGCGCCGGCATCATTATTTATAGTGGCATCACTGGGAGGGGTATCCACAGCTACCTAATACCGATAGGTACCTCAACCTGCCTCCTGAATTACAAAACCAAGAACTCAAGTCTCTTCGACTGCGAGAGTTAAGACCAAAGTAACAATTCGCAAATATGAATATTATCAAGTTGCAGAGGTATGTAAATATTCTAATAGACCTATTAATTAGTCAAGCCCACCTTTGTCTAACCGTTTTCCTTTATAGGAAGTATCCTCAATTCGCGCAGGATGAGATCTTTGGTCTTCAAGATGCCTTCCGCAAGCTCGACGTGGATGATAAGGGATATATTGACGAGGCTACAGCTATTAAAGCTACACAAGGGAGCGAAAGACAGCCTTACGATGTTGTAAGGCAGGCTTTAAAAGAGGTCGATCTTGACTCGTCTAGAAGAGTTGAGCTAGAGGATTATGTAGGAGTAAGTTTAGGCAAACATCTATTTAGCACATTGACGAATATCGACTAATCACCTTCAAGCTTATTTCCAAGCTACGGGTTTCATCACCAGCACAGCAGCGCATGTCAACCGGTCCACAGAGTCCTGCTCGTGGAATAGTATCTCAACACACCGGAGGGGCAAGCGGACATGCTTCAAAAGCAAGCATCAGTGGCCGTATTCAAGTCCAAGGATCTTCATCGAACGTTACCCATACCATTAATGAGGATGAGCGAACGGAATTTACTCGTCACATCAATGCAGTCTTGGCAGGCGACGCAGATATTGGCTCGCGTCTGCCATTTCCCACAGATACATTCGAGATGTTCGATGAGTGTAAGGATGGTCTAGTATTAGCCAAGTTGATCAACGACAGTGTGCCGGATACTATTGATGAGCGTGTGCTAAACCGCCCTGGAAAGAAGATCAAGACTCTCAACGCATTCCATATGACTGAGAATAATAACATTGTTATTGAGTCTGCGAAGGGTATTGGTTGTTCGGTGGTCAACATTGGCAGTGGAGATATCATAGAAGTCCGAGAACATTTGATATTGGGTCTAATTTGGCAGATTATACGAAGAGGTCTGTTGAACAAGATCGATATTAAGCTTCACCCAGAGTTGTATAGGCTCTTGGAAGACGACGAGACATTGGAACAATTCTTGAGATTACCTCCCGAGCAAATCTTGCTTAGATGGGTCAACTATCATTTGAAAGCTGCGAATTGGCCACGAAGGTAGGACTAATCTTAAGGTAGTCAAAACTTGCTAACATTCTATCAGAGTTGCGAACTTTTCTAGCGATGTGAAGGATGCCGAAAACTACACTGTTCTCCTAGCTCAGATTGCGCCAGAGTTTTGCGATCGTGGACCATTACAAACAGGCGACCTTTTGCAGAGAGCGGAGCAGGTTTTACAGAACGCTGATAAACTAGACTGCCGAAAGTTCCTTACGTCTAGTTCCCTTGTAGCTGGAAACCCCAAATTGAACTTGGCTTTTGTTGCCAATCTCTTCAATACCCGCCCGGCACTGGATCCGATCACCGAAGAAGAGAAAGCCCAGGTTGATGATTTCGACGCAGAAGGCGAGAGAGAAGCAAGAGTTTTCACTCTCTGGTTGAACAGTCTCGATGTGCAACCTGCTGTAAATTCATTATACGAAGACCTCAAAGACGGCACCATTATCCTGCAAGCATACGACAAAGTTATCAAGGGTTCCGTCAATTGGCGCCATGTAAACAAGGTGCCTGCCGGTGGAGAGATGTCGAGATTCAAGGCTCTAGAGAACACAAACTACGCTATCGAACTTGGGAAACAAAACCGTTTCTCATTAGTTGGTGTTCAAGGAGCAGATATTTACGATGGCCAACGGACTCTTACACTTGGTCTCGTTTGGCAATTGATGCGCAGAGATATTTCCGAAACCCTCACAGCCCTTGCTCAACGTCTCGGAAAGCGTGAAATTTCAGATGCAGAAATGATCAAATGGGCCAATAACATGTCACAGAAGGGAGGCAAGGGCTCTACCATCCGCTCTTTCAAGGATCAATCAATTGGAAGTGGTGTCTTCCTTCTTGATGTTTTGAACGGAATGAAGAGCAGTTACGTTGATTACGATCTCGTGACACCAGGGACGAATGAGGATGATGCTTACATGAACGCCAAATTGAGTATCAGTATTGCAAGAAAGATGGGAGCGACAATTTGGTTGGTGCCAGAGGATATCTGCCAAGTTAGAAGTCGCTTGGTGGTTACTTTCATTGGTAAGTTTAGATTTCCTTTTTCTTTTTCAGCTTGGGATACTTCAAAATATGAGTTCTAACATATTCTCAGGTTCCCTGATGGCTACATATGAGAAGATGCAGTAATTGGCTGCTCGGTTGACGGATGGGCGGATTGATGGATGATGGGAAATTATGACGGGGATGACAGATAGCGCGATGGTTGAAAGTGCGGGTGAGGCGAATCAATGGCTGTAGGACATAGAAAAGCATTGGTATTTCATTCTATGAGAGAAAGGGTGGATTATTGACTATTTGATTATGAGAAAGAGTTTTCATGAAGATTACCAAAACAACAAATACCACATACAGCATGGCATGGCATTGTATTGTATTGTATTGCATTTCAACGATACAACAAACAGGATGGATCTAATGACTGCAAAATATAAATATAACGCGCTGATGCTAATGCGAATGCTAATGCTAATGCGAATATAAGATAAGATACATCCACCTACCACAACCCCGCGGTAATCAATCAACCAAGTACAATACAGTACATCGCAAACTTAAGCCTGCAAAGCCATCTCCTCCCTACTAGCATAACTACCCCCCTTCCACGCCGCCCTCGGATCCCTCCTCTCACCCACCTCCCTCTCCTCACCTACTCTACCCCACCCCCCACCACCAGGCGTATGAATAATAATCCTCTCACCCTTCTGCATTGCCGCTGTATTTTTGCCTCCGAGATTAATCCTTCTTTCTTCGTATGGTATCTCTTCCTCTTCTCCCTTATCCTTATCCACTAAGTCACGGTGTAATAATAAATCCGATCTCCCTTTATCACTACGCTCTACCTTCCTCACCCAGATATTAAGACCACATTTTGCGTCCTCGCCGCCCTCGAGCCCATACGGTTTGTACACCCTGCGCTCGCTCAGAATGGAAACTTGCACTGGGATTCTAAATTCGATATCGCGCACGACGCCATCACCACCTCTATGTTTCCCGTTCCCTCCACTACCAGCTCTGAGCGAGAATTCCCGCAATAGCACTGGATATCGCCTTTCAAATACTTCCGCGTCTGTAATTCGCGTATTCGTCATGTGTGTGTGGACACCACTTGTTCCATCCCAATTTCTTCCTGCTCCGCTGCCCCCGGCAATCGTCTCGTAGTATCCGAAACCGCGGACGTGTTTTTGGCCGTCTACGTTGCCGCCAAAGCCGAAGGTGAGGTTGTTGCAGTCGCCTTGGGAGGCGGCGCATGCGCGGAAGGCTTTGAGGATTACGTCTGTGACGCGTTGCGAGGTGAGGACGTTGCCGCCTACGACGGCGGCTTTGTCGGAGGGGGAGAGGAAGGATTTAGGGGGGATGAGGACAGTGATTGGTTTGAGGCATCCTTGGTTTAGAGGGATGTCTTCGCTTATTAGGCTGCGGAGACAGTAGATTATTGCGCTGTAGGTTACGGCTTGGGGGGCATTGGTATTTCCTTGGGGTGCATTAGACAATAGGGAAATTATATGAGGTTTTTGAGGAGTACTTACCGTATACTTCTGGACCTGTTCCCTCAAAGTCAAAAATGGCTTCTCCTTTATCGGCGTCAATGGTGATTTTCAATTGGATTGGGCTACCATCATCCATATAATCGATTGCCGATAGATCTTGTCCTTCAAATCGCTTGCTAACATCTTTCAAGAGATTTCTCACGCTGAGTTCGGCATTATTCTGAATATTAACCATGTAGAAGTTCACCACATCCTCACCATACTCCTCAATCAAGGCACTGATGAGGTTGATTCCTTTCATATTGCTAGAAATTTGAGCTTTGAGATCGGAGATGTTGTCTGCTAAGCATCGCGTACCACTACATCCTTGGTATTGTGCAGGTTCGTCAAGAAGAAGCTGTGTTATTCTTTCCTCATTGAAGCGACCTGCGCTGACGAGTTTCTCCGACTTGATCGCCGCTCCTTCTTGGTATAATTCTCTTGAATGTGGAGGCATGCTACCAGGAAGGATACCACCAATATCAGCATGATGAGCTCTGGCAGCGACGTAGAAAAGAATCTTATCACCGGTCGTGTTGAAGGCAGGAGTAATGACGGTAATGTCTGGAAGATGTGTTCCTCCATATTCAGGATGATTGGATACTATGACGTCTCCCTTGACAAGCTTGCCTTTCCATATTTCAGCTTGTCGCTTGACACAAGTAGACATTGAACCCAGGTGGACTGGAAGATGTGGCGCATTAGCTACTAGTCCACCAGTAGAATCAAACAATGCGCATGAATAGTCAAGTCTCTCCTTGACATTCGTGCTGACACTAGTTTTTTGAAGAGCTCTACCCATTTGCTCAGCAATGGCCATAAATCTATGAGCGAAAATACTGAGCATGATAGGATCTACTGATTCTGTTCCATCTTTCGGCGAGGGTCTGGAAATCATTAGCAAACAGTTGAATACGCACAGAAAATTGGTCCGAAACTTACTTGTCTTTGCTTTCATTTTCACCAATATTAATAACTACGTGCGTCTCGATTATCAATGCAGTTGCATTTGGAGTAATAACAATGGTTTGTGTTCCATCTGCAAGAATTGCTGGACCCTTGATTCGATCACCGATACCAAGATCTTCGAGTTTGTAGATAGGGGTATCTTGCCGGCCACCTTCAAAATAGACTTGAGATCTCTTGTACTCTTTCTTACCAGTCTCAACATCATTAGGTTTAATCTCCTTCAATTGCTGATCAACAGTCTTCTCAAGTCCCTCAAAACTCTTTCCAATACCACGAACTCGTACGTCGTCCACAATGATATCTCTATCGGGTAAGGTGAAGCCGAATTCTTGTTGATGCTGCTTGATAAAAGCTTTTCCGTAAGCCCACTCATCACCACCGAATTCCTCTATATCTTGCTTCTCAGGCTTCACAACCATCAACGCAGATTCAGTTCCGCGATATCTCATGTTAAGATATTCCTCGTGAATAATAGAGTTATCCTGGAAGCCCTGTACCTTCAGAGCATCGGTTGACTTTTGTTTGAGCTCTTCTATTTTATTTTTCAAGTAAGCGCGTGATTCTCCATTATCACTCCATACCTTGGACTCTGGCTCCTGTTTCTCATCCACTACATCAGCTAAAGCCATACCATACGCCGATAGGACGGATGAATAGCGATGAACAAGTATTTGACGAATTCCCAAGCTCTCAGCAATGGCAACCGCATGCTGTCCACCAGCACCACCAAAGGTTGCTAGACGGTGCTTGGACGTATCATGACCCTTTGCTTCTGTCATGGACCTAATAGGTCGAGTCATTGCTTCGTTTGCAACAGTTAAGAACCCATGAGCAACCTCATCAGCAGTCATATTCTTGCCCGTTTCCTTGTTGATTTGCTCGGCTAATTCTTGAATTAGCTTCTCACTCGCGGTAACATCAAGGCCTTCATCTTCATTTTTTCCAAAAATCTTTGGAAAAAAATCAGGAACAAGTCTGCCCAGGAAGAGATTCGCATCGGTAACTGCAGCTGGACCTCCTTTGCGATAGCATGCAGGCCCTGGGTGTGCACCGGCTGATTCCGGTCCAACCACGAATAAACCATTCTTGAAGAATAAACGCGAACCACCACCTGCAGCTACAGTATTGATGTCGAGTTGAGGAGACTGGATAGTCACACCAGCTGTAGTGGTCTCAAATACATGTTCGTATCTTCCTGAACCATATCGAGAGACATCGGTAGAAGTACCACCCATATCGAAACCGATTACTGGTATTTTGGTATCAGGATCATATGATGTAAGTGCATATCCAACAACTCCACCAGCAGGACCCGAAAGAATCGCTTTAAGACCAGAAAAATTTTCCACATCTACTAGGCCACCATCACTTTGCATAAATTCGCACCGGGCCCCTTTACTTCCCTTTTCATTTTTTACACTTTCCGCTCCAAGACCGCCCTCAAATCCTCTGGAAAACCCAGCTATATATTTTTTGATTGCTGGTGTTAAGTATGCATCCGCGCATGCTGATGTGGCTCTCGGAACCAATTTGATCATAGGCATCAGTTCATGGCTAAGGGATACATGCTCAAATCCAATCTCTTTCGCAATTTTGCCAACCAAGGCTTCATGATCAGGGAAAGTATAGCCATGCATCAAACAAACTGCTATACTCTTGATACCCTTATCAAACACCTCCTGCAACTGTGATCGAATAGTTTGCTCTTCAGGACGCTGCAAAATGCGTACAGCTTCGGAAGATAAACCCCGCACCAGATCCTGATCTTGTGCGCCGTTGGGTTCAACTTTGGTGATATTTCGTTCCGGATCTTCGGCGTAATCTTCCAAGGTAACCCGTTCATCAATCTCCACTACATGTTCGTACAAAACATCAGGTTTCTTGATCGCTAGATCAAAAATCTTGGGTCTTGATTGATTGCCAATTTCCAGGCAGTCTTTAAACCCTTTGGTCACCACCATAGCGATCTTTTCGCCTTTTCTTTCCAGCAATGCGTTCGTAGCTACCGTGGTTCCCATCCGGATGGATTCAATTTCTGACGTATCTAAAGGTTCTCCACGAGGGATATCTTTGTTGAGAAATTTGGACATCAGTCGCCTGATACCTTCCAGAGGGGCATCATCGTAATTGGAAGGATCCTCAGATAGAAGCTTGATAATCACATCATCCTCCATCTTCCCCGTGCCTGGATTTCCCACACAGTCGGTGAAGGTTCCACCACGCTGTACTCATCGTTAGTATACTGTTGTGGAATGTCCAGTATAATTAAGACGCTATCCATGCACTTGAATGTTCAAACGTCTGAGTCTTCATGTCCGGAAAAGAGTACGGTGATCGTAATCTTCCCTCTAAAGTACCACCAACTAGTGAAAATTATGATAGAAAAATATTCCACGTACATCAATGGCAATTCTAATTCCCCCTCGCTCATGTTTTTGTTCACCCATCTTAAATGAGTGTATTTGCAGATTGTGAGAGATGTGTGATTGAACAAGGGAATGGCAAAAAGTAATATATTACGAATCTCCGAACAGACCGTCAAATGATGTCAAAAAGAGTGCCAATCTATATTCTTCCACAAGAAATTGGGTCACTATGGTTACTTGTCACCGTGAATCATATATATCAAAACCAGGAGCGGCGTTTGCACTCCGCAGTGGGAGACGGTGTTGAGATTCCGGTGATGAACAATCAAACAATGTCATTGATTAGTAAACAAATTCTTATCTCTTATCGGGGATGAGGTGAGGGGCATTGAGGGGCTTTGAGGGGCTTTGAGGGGTTCCTTCAATATCTAGATTACATCACAGCAATTACAAGCAAAGCTTTGGTTATTTGTTTCTCCTCGTGTTGATTTGTCTTCGTTTGTGTGACCTTGGGCGAGCTAATATTGTCAACTGTGACAGGAAGCGGAGGAAGTTTATTATACACTACCTAGGTACCTCAATGTCAACCAGGACTTGTGTCTGCTATTCCTTCACAAGTCCACCCCGCACTGCCCTTTCCAGATTATTTTCATACTACCATGGCTCTTTCCATTTGATACCTACTCTGGACATAGTATCTGATAAAATCTAAAATGCACTTCAATTTTCAATCATGGAATGAACATATCTCTTTATAGACAAGGCCCGAAGCTGGTTGAGTCGAGGTTGTTTATCTTGGCCATGATAGCTTCAAGTCCAAATCCATAAGGAGACTGTGCATTTAATAACCGAAATCGAAGCCGATTATTCGCTTGAACAGCTTGGGATACGGGAGTCTCTTAAAGATCTAGAGATGTATGATTGGTGCAGAAGATAGTATTGTCCAAAATGTGTTTGGCACTGACGCACATATGCACACCCACACACATACACAGCACAGGGGAGGGTCACCTTGCAAAGCTTTTTTCTTCATGTCTAATCTGTAAGCTCATACATATAAACAGGTAGGCTATCTCATGAATTTTAAATCCGTATATTGATCATTGGTTTTCACAAGAAAGGCTTACGATAAACCAGCTACATCCGAGAAACTCATTTGAACCCATGACTCACGAATCAACCACCCTCGTGCTTTTAACGTCCACCGAATCGATGATTTACAAGCTTACCCCAAGAGCTTGTTTCAAGATGGCGAACTGGACGGTACCATAAGGCTTAGTTCTACGAGGTGGGCCGAATATCATGTCGAGGTTTTTGAGATCTAATATATATTAGCGCGATGAATTGACCGTTGCTCAGTCGCCCATGGTGTGAGCTCTTCGAAGTTATAATTCCACATCATCTTTCCTGGGGTCTTTGCACACCTACCGACTAGGTACCTACCCCATAAAGCAGTATCCCAATTCGCGGGACTATGGCTACCGACTTCAAGGTGGACTGATTCATTTTATGCCATGTTCACGCATCGCCACAGATTGAGCCTGACTCTAGAAAATATGTATTCAAACGAACGGGTAGAAGGACAGCCGATGAGGTAGAAGAAGATGAAACTTGAGAACAGACAATGGGGCCAAAGATATTGTTAATCGTTCGTAAGGATCAGCAATCATGGTTAGATCGAGCCTTACTTTATCTATTAGTACATTCTCATTGAGCAATAGAGTACTACATCTCTAATGGCCAGATGATCGAGCCTTGTTTCAAGGGCCGATCAAGAGCATTGTGGCGTCCAGATCCCCAGGAAGGAGATGGAGATGGTTCTTAGATTCTCGTCCGACCTGGCGAAGATCGTTAGAAATTTTCAGATCAAACAGTAATATATTTCGTAAGATCGACTGCGCGAACGAATTGAGTAATAAAATCCGATTACTGTATTGTGGATGACATTTCATGGAAGGAGATACTCCTGTTATGTAGCTAGGTAAGGAACGAATCCTAATGTAACCAAGAATCGGGCGAACTCTCCAGAAAAGGGCAAGTTGTAAGAAGATTACACAATCCTTCTAGATCACATTAAATCGTAAGCTGGTTAATATATCTGGAGTACAACTGTTAGTAGATGTACCTTAAGTTACCGGCATCATACGACATATCCGAAATGGGCCTGCTCCACAGACTTTGATTTTGTGTCCATGGTTTCCAAGAGTGTAACGATAAACTGGTAATAGCTATCAAGAGCCGGCCTGTGATCAATGTGAATTCTAGAAACAAAAAGTCAAAACGAATAACCAAAAATACAATAATGGCGTGGCCAAGCATCGGATGCGAACGACGGAAGTGGTATGCTGCGGCATTTGTATGATATCGTGAGATGTAGGATTCGGATTTGAGAGAGAAGCTTGTTCGAATACGTCGGTGGTTTCAGTGCACTTAAGGAACAAGTTTAGGTATCCAAAGGAGTATTCGAAACAACCTTCCTGTTAGAGATGAATAAAAGTATGAATGCGAGTGAAGGTAGATATTTTATTTGTAAGCAAGTAATAGATAGATCCTTCTTATAAATTTAGAAACAGTCATGATTTGGTTGATTGATTGATTGATTAGATATTTTTTGTTACTCAGCTCAGCGTTGAGTGATTTAAGCGTCGGAGAATTGCAAATGTCCATCACTAATCACCAATCACCAATCACCAATCACCAATCACGACTCACCAATCAAGTGGTTTCCCCCTGAGTTTTTAGAGGATTAGTAATTGTTCAAATTCAAACGACATTCATCCAGTCATTGCCGCGTTGAGCGTTATGAACTGGATCTTTTGATGATGATATGAGCGTCGATATTTTGATATGCGGTATTTTAGTCGAATGCGGATATCGACAGTCAATCTCTAAAGATAAGAGAGATTGATCGAGTCCCACCTGGAAGTAATAAGATGTACAGAGTATGTACTCCGTAGATGTGCAATTAATGAATGTATGGATACATCAATACATATGCACAAAAATGTATAGCATCGTAACTTACAGCCATGAACACTCGATACCACTGATTTACATTCTTTGGTTGAGGAGTCTGTACTCTTTCCGCAGTAAGTGGTACAGGCAAGACATGCACTGATCATGAACACATTGAACAGAATCATCAGAACCAAGCTTTTGTCCCCCAAGCATTTCCTTTAAGAGTGATCTAATGAGCTAGAGGAGCTAAAATAATAAGGTTGCAATGCTAGACATATGAAGCAATCTGAGTGAGAACAGCTGCGAGAATAATGAAGCTGGGAAACAAAACTGGTAATGGTTACGTCGTGCTGCACGTCTTTTCAAAAAGGGGAAGTTTTCAAAAAAGGTAGAAACCTAGAAACCTTTCAATCAGGACAGCCAAGACCCTTTTTGGTCCTCACGATCCCTGATTCGCATGGTGATGGCGATTCATCCTTGTTGTCCACATGCTTTTCCCTTTTTACCTTGTCCATTATTCATAACCGTCATGGTCTACTTCCGTACCTTGCACAACACCACATCTGGCACGGGGTTAGCCCCAGCTTATCCACTTACTCCGTATTCTGTACACAAATCCATCGTTCGCAAGAGTCAAGATTTATTAATAAGAGTTTGTCTAAGCAGTCTAAGAAGTCTAAGCAGTCTAAGGAGTCTAAGCAGTCTAAGGAGTTCAAGCAGTCTAAGCAGTCTAAGCAGTCTAAGCAGTCTAAGCAGTCTAAGCAGTCTAAGCAGTCTAAGCAGCATTCTTAAAGTTGTACGCAGTCTAATCAGTCTACTCATTCTACTCATTCTACTCATTCTACTCATTCTACTCATTCTACTCATTCTACTCATTCTACTCATTCTACTCATTCTACTCATTCTACTCAGTCTAATCAGTCTAACCACCCTCCGTTACAATACAGCCCACCCCCAAAAGAGGACTAGGTACCTACCTATATAGTATAAAACCCCTTGCACCCATGCACTTTGCCATCCCGGGCCTTGTCCTGCACTATTTGGATCGCTTGGTACGATGAGAAACGCTGTTACCACCATGCAATAAATAAATATCCATAATATCCCCCATTTCCTTATCCAAATAATCAAAAGTATTTCCCCATTTGAAATACGCACCCGCCGGAATGGAAAAGGGTGTGTGTGATGGAATTTAGACCACTTGCAGCTTCACTCTGAATTCTTTTACCAATTTTCTTGACCGACCTTTCAACAACTTTGTTCACTTACCTACTCCAGTACTCACTCATTCAAGGTCAAGCAAGAGTTTACGTTTTAGTTTCATGTAATTTCTCTGATTCCCATTTTGGCTTCATCCATATCCTTCATTTCTTGCCCATATTTTGTTTATAACCTTATTACTGAAATTGGATTTACTTTTTGATGACGATATCTATCACTGCATTCGGTTCATGTATGATATATGTCAATATTTATTAGGTACATTACCTTAATTGATGTTACTGCCGCCGACCCGAAGCCGGTACCGGTATATGTACCCCTCCAACGATATCGTACAATAAACGCCTAAGCATATCTGACATTGCACTGTCTGTCTCAAATAGGAGCATCTCGGAGTCAAGTGGGCTTGATCCAGAGAAACCTTTACAACTTATCAATACATTCCTTATTGATTCCTAGCATCATTCAACATACGCCGAAATTGTGGGGGATAGGATTCGTGGAAGCAACCGGCGCGTCGCCATTAATTTGCAACGGCAATTCTTCACGAGGAATTTTATTGATCATCTGGAAACCGTGGAACCTCTCATCGATATTGTATGATCAGAATAGAATCCAATCGACATTGGTGGTAGGGAGATAATCCTTTGGTTCTGAAGGTATCATTCAGGAAAACAATGAATTCCAGCAGAGAGATTTGAGCAAGTCTCCATTCAAACTTCCTCCAGGTGCGTGTTGACCATTACGGCTATTCTTCAGTTAGATTTGGAAACAATAATAAGAGTACGGAGGAGATGTGCTAATATTGTTTTATTATTCGATTAGACATTTTCCAATACCTATACTCCACTTCATTAATTGGTACCCTACAACGATCGATTAAACAAGTGGCACGTTCCGGTCCTAGTCCCAGTCACAGACTCCCAATCCTATCTATATCTTCTACCTACCATATAACCTATTTAATTAAGACTTCGCCATTCAGATTCTGCACCTACCACGCAGGAGACAGAATATAAAACTCGACATCAACAAGTCAAGATCAAAATCATAATTGCATTCATATACTCTTGATCCTTCCACTCCCACCCCCATTCCCAAGAGAAAGGGAAGGAGCGGGAAAGGAGCGGAAAAGGAAGAGAGAAGAGTAGGAAGGAAACATATTCTTGTTGTTACTCCCTGAGGGAAGAGAGGGTCAGGTTGAAAAGTAAATCGGCTAATAAGAAAAAGATCTCTTCATCGAAATTTGAGAGATTCACGATCGAAGTAACAATTTGAAAGTCAAAGTCGAAAATCTCCACGATATTTGTGATTAAAATACAAGGGGTAAAGGAAGGAACTTACCATAACAGATACCATATCAAGCTAGTCTATTTAAGGCCAAGATCTAACCCAGATAGGCATCCTAGCCACTTTTGATACGGTACAATTACTTACCCACCAATTTTGAACTTCGACTCCCACCCCGACAATGCCATCGTTATCCTACAGTGCAACAACGGAGGACCGTCTGCCATATTCATTACCTACGAATAATACCTTGTCGAACCCTCGATCCATTAATTCCACTTTCAATTCCACTTTGAATGCACCAGTCAATCGTCTCCAACGAAAACCCTCATTTGGGAACACCCGCCAGATTGCGCCCCCTCCTCAAAATGAATCCCAAGATGCTATAGGAGAATCGCGAAGACAGCCGAGGCAGCCGCATAGCCGCTCTAGTAGTACAAGTGGTGTCAAGGAATCAACGGGGAATTTCAATCGGTGGAGTCAATCAACAGCTTCAAGTGCAGGAGGACATATTCGCAGTCGTTCTAATTCAATTTCGCGTTTGAATTTCGGCGGATCCAGTTTACATGGGAATGGTGTCAGCCAATCCCCACCGAGAAAACTACAAAAGAGTCGACCATCAATTGATAATAGCCCTCAGTGGAGAGGACCGGCAGAACGGTCCACGAACCCCTCTCTCCCGCCATCCCTGCCGCCATCCCTGCCGCCAATTATCACTCTACCAGTTCCACAGCAACCCCGAAGCCATTCCCCGTCACAATTGGCAAGTGCGCTGACCCCATCTACCGCCGGATTGTTGTCAGCTGCTGTTCACTCCACTGTACCCGATTATTACGAAAAAAGTTGGGAAGGTTCCAGACCCCGAGACATTTCTCAACGGCGATCGCCTTCAAGGTCAAAAAATCACAGCATTAGTCCTTCGCCCATTTCTGCTTTCTCGGCCGAACACACATTACGCCGGCGTCCCTCCGAGGAAGAGCCAAGTATAGAGAGGGGACATTCAAGAAACCGCTCAAGAGCTGAAAAGAGTAGTAGTTCTTCTCAAAGTTCGAAGCAGCCTTCACAGAAAGCTATGCTGTCCAAAGCTCTGCAGAAAGCGAACACGGCAGTATTACTCGACAATGCGCAAAATTACGAAGGCGCCATGCAGGCGTATTCTGAAGCATGTAATTTGTTGCAGCAAGTTATGTCCCGTAGCTCGGGAGATGAGGATCGGCGCAAATTAGAAGCCATTGTGAGTATTGTATTAGACGTTGATTGTTACCATTAACTAACGTCTCTAGCGTAATACTTACACTAGCCGTATAAATGAATTGGCAAAGATTACGCCCGAGTTAAGTGATGAAAAGGCACTCCCAGCCAGGCCCGTAGACACAGACTTTAGATCAGACGAGCTTCCAATGACCGATGATGATGATGAGCTTGCTACTATAGAGACAGCCACCGTTACGAGGATAGTCAACGATTCTTCTTACACGAACGGATCTCGGCATGATCGATCATATTCGAGGAGTAGGCAATTGCCTTCGCGAGGTGAATCTTTATTGCCTTCAGCCCTTGAACCTCCACAGACCCAGGATAGAAACCACTCTGATCAACGATCAAATTATTTCTCTAGATATAATCAATCCCAAGGGCGGAATATTGAATCGAGTTTAGCCGTACCTATGGACAGCCAGTATATGCCGCCTCCACTATCCCCAAGACGACCTCTTTCTCCGATGACATATGGGCCATCTGGCTCTGATCATCGAAGACAGAAATCTTCTGAATCGCCCAGATCGAGCTCGAACTCAAATTCGAACTTAGCCGCTCCAGAGCCTTCCAAGGGGCATGCACGAGCACCGAGTAATGAATCCATGTCATGGTTAGATACTATAGATGAGTCTGGCGGTTCGGCCGCTTCATCTGTACATTCTAGATCCTCATCGCTAAATGTAAGGAGGAAGCATATTCGTGCCTCTAGCGGTCAAACTGAAGCCGAATTTGATGCAGCCCTGGATGCTGCCGTTGAAGCCGCTTATGATGATGGTTTTGAGCCGGTAGATTATGACGACGACGAGGGCGATGATGATGAAATTGTAGCAAGTGTTAGGCGAAGGGTCGAACTAGCAAAGGAAAGGGTGCGTCAAAGTGAAAGAGAAGCTGTCATAGAGGATGCTCGTGAAAGAGAGCGAAAACGGTTATTCCTGCAAATGCAAGAGCCACATATCGGCCCACATGATGACTATGAAGGAAACGAGTCAGAAGAGGAGGAGAGGATGCTCGAAGAAATGACCAGAGGTTATGTGATGGACGATTTCGAATTCGGGCTCCAGTCGAAGTCTGCACTGCCTCGAGAGTCTGATTCCAGTGGGTCATTTTCTGGTCGTACTTGGCATAGCTCAAATGGTTCAATACCCCCTCTTACCACTGTCACCGCACCATCAACCACACCACCTGTAACTCTATCGCCGCCTCGTAATCAGCCACCCCACCCGCCTCCTTCCCAAGCATTACCTCCGCCGCCGACGCTCGATGGCAGCCCATTGAGAAAAGGTAGTCCAGCGCAGAGTGTACGAAGCAGGAGATTATCTGGTCAGAATGCTAAGCAGCTAAAGATTGAGACTTCATCAAGATTGATTGAAGTTCAAAATGCACCCTTAACTTTGCCTCCATCAATGCCACCGCCACAGGTTCCCAGCGGTCATGCAGGTCCCAAAACTGCCGGCTTACCACAACAGAGACTAGGTTCGATAAGCATGCGACCACCTGTCCCCACACGACAAGGTTCGATTTCAGGGCCAAGCTCATCAGATTTCACTTCACCTCCGACAGCCTTCCTTACTCAGACACTCACAAATGATAGCAGCGATAATTTTAATCTTATACCTCGGTCAGGATCCCCCAACCGTTCTCACTCAAGAGCAGGACTGCGAAAAAACTTTTCGTCGTCAAGCCTGAAGAATCTCCGAGGCCATACTTTGTCGGTTTCCAACATGGACGAATTTGGTGATACCATGTCATCCACGCCTTTAACCGCCCAAGGAAACAATGCCAATGGTAGAATGCCCGCTATGCCTACTCTACCAACACCAATAGCTGCAGCATTTAAAGAAAAGATGAATGGTGCGCCTACCGGTGGTTTATATCTTTTCAATAGTGATCTTCACTCCCCAGACAGCTTTGGCTCGCCGGATGCGATGAATGCAGGCGCACCAATTCCGTTGGAACCCTGTCCAACAGAGTATCTCCTTCGCCCATTCTGGCTCATGCGCGCTTTATACCAGACTATTGCACATCCGAGAGGTGGTTACCTATCTACTAAACTTTTTGTACCTAGAGATGTATGGCGAGTGAAAGGTGTCAAGATTAAGGGAGTTGAAGACAAGATTGCCAATTGTGACTTTCTTACAGCAGCTCTGATGAAGTTGGGTCAAGTTGATACTTACGATGCGGATGCTGTTTTGGAAGAAATGCAATCCCTAGAAGGAATTTTGGAGCAAGTTCAGATCACACTGAGTAAGAAGCTAGGCAGTGAGGTTGGAGTACAAGGTTCAAACGGGATGTTCAAAGATGCAACCATGGGTGAAAGCATGGATTTTGCTAATATGAGCTCAAAATCTGGAAGCGTATCTAGCAAGGCCTCTTCTTTTTCATGGAGACGCTTACGTTCAAAAAATTCCGCCATGAGTCTTTCAAACAATTATTCGAATAAGGTCACCTCTCCTGAAATACCCAGGGAAGGATTAACTATGGGTACTTTACCAATGACTTCTGCGCCTAGGACTCGATTCGCCAAAAGAGATGTAAGTCAAGTGCAATTCTCGGGACCGAATGCAAATTACATGAGTGCTTTGGCGAGGCTATTTGACGCTGCACAAGCTATTGGTATGTAATATGCTTAGTACACTTTTACTTGATGAAAAAACTAACAGAAAATAGATCAAATTGCACGTCAAGTCGAAGACCCTGGTCTTCGCCATGCAGACAAGACTCAAGTAGGTCTTGAACTTTGCACACGTCATGCAGCCGAGTTTTTCGGATTTTACATCTGTCGTTTTGTGTTGAATGACATTTCATTACTTTTGGACAAATTCATTAAAAGGGGAAGTGAATGGGTTCTTGTGTGAACCTTGAGTTCTTATTGTGTTGATATTTTTTGGATTGATATTTAGCAAGGGTGCTAGGAGCTAGGGTGCACATGACATTACATCAGGTGCATGGTTTCTGATATTAGCACTGGTCAGTTCTGTTATGAGGAGGATGGATATAGACATGATATATTATGGGGTATCATGTCGTATCATTGGCGTCTCGGGATTGTATTATTTTACACTCACCATATATAAATATGGAGTGTAGTTTCGTTTCGTTTGGGATTTGGCGATGGTGGCATGCAAAGTTTTCAATGATACCATTATAACGGGAAAGGAAAGGAAAGGAAAGGAAAGGAAAGGAAAGGAAAGGGAAGGGAAGGGAAGGGAGAAGGGAAGGGAAGGGAAGGGAAGGAAAGGAAAGGGAACAGAGGAAAGGGTACTAGAAGAAGAAGAGGAGTTAAAGATGGAAGTAAGAGGAAAAGAGATGGAGATAGTGTTATCCATTAAACGGGAAGGAGGCATTTGTATAGGTTGCCTTTGCATATCAGGTACTGTACCTACTCATAGGTGAAGATGATGAATGAAGAGATGGAATGGGTTTATGTTATCTGAGATTATTAGGAGAGAGTAAAGTATAACGGATATATATATCAGATACCTATCAAATGACTATTATATCATCTCATATCATATTACAATATCTTTCTTACCAACCCTACCCATGGAAATTAAATTGTCAGTTTTGAAGCAATTGGACTATTTACTTACTTAGCGACTACTATGTAGGTAGAACTTATAAGTCCGTATAATTGATTACCTAGATATCTCATGTCCAAATCAAATCAAGTTAACCCTTATTACTAGATTAGATCTAAAGGGGATGGATATTATTGCGGGGTTATAAGGGTGAGTAGGTAAGGAGAAAAGAGAAAACGGAAGATGAGAATTTGATATCTAGATGGTTATTTATTTTAACTTTAGACAGACAGACTAGACTGATTAATGATGGAACTTGATATTACCTAAGTAGGTATATATATATCTAAATACTTATTATATACAAATCAAATGTAATCTTAATTTATTAATATATATATACACAGACAAGATTAACTTAAGAATTCATTTATTTGTCCTTGGCTTTATCTATTGAAATAATTTTTTAATTTTTTTTGTAAATAATATTCTTATCAATCTATTTATCTTTTAATCTCACTCATCCTATCTCATCTTCATATCATTATCCCGTCTTATTTCATCCCCCTCTTCTTTTACTTTTTATACCTCAGACCTCTCCTCTCCTCCCTCCCCTCTCTCTCCATCTTCTCCCCCAAAATCCAAAAATCTCATTTCATCCCCCACCCAAGAACCCCACAAAAACAAAGAGAATCCATCAGGAAAAAAACATACAACAGTAGGGATTCGCTGGTGGTCACCCACCCAACTACTAATCTACCGATCTGAAGCTTGTGTATGGCAGAGCGGACGGGATGCCCAATTCTCTTCAGTCTATGGTCGTATGTGATGGTCATTGAGGTATTAGATTTTTTATTTAGTGGAAGAGAGGGGAAGGGACAAGGTGCTGTGATGAGATTTAACTACCTAGTAGGTACCCAATCTCAATAGCTTTTAACAATTTGTGGATCATCATCTTGATAATCTCTGGCAGGTATGTTGTTAGGAAATGAAATAAAACAACACAATTGTAACATCAAATAACTCAAAAGAAAATTCTTATTTAAATTTCATATTCTCCTATTACAGTTGCGCGAGACTGATGACAAATAAATCATAAAGTCATAAAGTGAATCGATTCTGAATCGAGATAATACAAAGACGATACGGGATACCCTACCCGAACGTCAACCCTTCCTTCCTATACCATAATCCCTTTCCGTTATTCCATGCCATATTATATCAAATCCTAATACATTTACTCGAATGGGTTGGTGTGAGTTCCCCACCATGTAAGGAAAAGAGAGAGACCGACAGTCTCGAAGACGCGAGCAAGAGCTCCAACGGCAACGGTGTCGAGTGGTCGCTTCTCAGTGGTGATTTGTGCGATGAACTAAAGCTTGTTAGTATTATGTTCTATTCAAAGATTTCCATTTCCATGGTTTATAAAAAGGATGGGTAAGATGACATACAGAAGGAGCAGAGGAAGCCATGAAAATCAAAGATCCCAAGTATGCAGCGCCCTTGTATGAAAGGGTACCAGTAGCATTGATCAAAGCTCCAACACCATATGATTGAACAGCACTACCAATGAGAGAAGTTCCCCATGCAGCAGCAGCGGAAGCAGCCTCCTTTGATTTAACAAACTCTTCCTTGGAGTTGGCAGCTTGAGCTCTGTGGTAGGTATCGCCAAAGACTGGGCCGAGGACAGCAAGGGAGGCGGCGTGGTTGAAGATTGTGCCGAGGGCAATAGCCGATGGCTTGACTGGTGGAAGATCTGTTGGGATAAGTGTTAGTCGATGCTAATTGGTGGGGTTGAGGGATTTGGGAGTGGATTGAAGATGGATATGAGAGTATGGTGATGATTTGAAGAGTTGGTAGAGAAGTTTTGATGGCATTCAACTTGGAAGTATAAATGATAGACAGCTTCCAGGCTTGATATACCATATAAAGCTCCCTCACAATATCTTCAACACCATCGCCCAACCGATCCAGCATCTCTCAAATCACAGGAATCCATAGTAGAAGTAATATACATACAGTGAAGAGACATGATGTGAGTTTGAAGTGATTGATCGAAGGATCAATTAGAAGTACTTGGAAGGACTTGAATTGAGATATCGAGTTATTGAAGAGATTTGATTTGATTTGATGTGATGTGATTGTGTTGATGAGGAGAATAGAATAGAAATCTGGAAGGGAGGGACAAAGAATAGATTTATGTAGCGGGGTGAATGGAAGCTAAGGCCATTACGGATAAAGTTGGAAGGCACGTCATGGAAAGTTCCAAGGCAGGTGAATACCGGTACTGGGTTTATGAGAGGTTGGCACAGATATGGAAATAATACCCAAACTGGTGAAAATTTATCGGAAAATGGCTTTTTGGAGATCAACATGGGAGTTTTCATTATTTGCCATGATGGTTGGATTGTGGAGCTTTCATGATCCACTATGAATCTAGAATCTTATGGAGAGAACAGCTGTTTACTACAGGTGATTTATTCATAATAGTTAATGGATCTATCTGTATTTGATGATCTCTCATTTACGATTTGTTATTTAGGCAAAGTTATATAGATACGTAGCCCTATGAAGATGTATAAACATGAGGATATAAACTAAGCTATTATTGATACTTACCCGACCAGAGAGACAAATAGATCGATCACTTACATTTTAGCGCCACCAATATTTGACCATCGAAACCGTTCGATGTAGTACGTACTTTGTACCTGTACCTAGATTTCCCTCATGTAGTAGTTCCCACTATTTAAACTCCACTTCCACCCGCTTTCTAGAGCTCTGAGCTACTTTCCCCACAAGTTTTTCATCGCAACGACGCAACCAGATTTATCCCAGAGTGACATCATAACACGGACCTTCAACTCCAACTTTTGACATTGTGGCGTTGTAGATCATCATTTTGATCACGAGCTTTTTGTGGCTAGTTCCCGCCGCTTTTATTGACTCCCGTCTTTAAATCATAAACCGGCGTCGTTATGTCTTGCTGAGTAATTTTTAACCTTAGGCATTAGTTCATCCCTGAAAACCCGAAACACAAGCTGAAACTTCAACCCAAATTCAATTTCTTGGCACGTGATGCTTGTTATTGAATTGGTTATTTTTTCATTTCATATTAAAATACAATTTTCATTCAAAGATTTAAAACCCCCTATTTTGCTAGTTGTTGCCGATAACACTCCTTTTCTGAAGATTCCGTATCATGGTCTTTAGATGTTTGGTTTTATTTTATCATTTGGACTTGCATGGTTGAATATTGAAGGAACAAGATATGGAGGATCAGGAATCTTTATTGGGTGACCGTCGACCTTACTCGAATGGAAGGTTGAGAAATGGTATTGCAAACGCCTACCAATACGCTTATCCAAATACAAGACGAACAGGATTCTGGAGGATATCTTTCATTGTGTAAGTGGGATTTATCCTTTTTTATTTAAAGTACAAAATGTCCTCTCGTTAGATACTTGTACTTGATTGTACTTGATTGTACTTCTCCATATTCTAGTTTTAAGCTTATCAAGTAACCAACAAATTATAGCCCTTGCTTATTTTTAGCTACACTCTTTTTAACTCCATTCTATATGATGAATAATAAAGTACAACCAAAGGTTAGACATATGGAGTTTAGAAATGTCGTAGGATACTTCCTACAAGATGATCAGAATACTGATTCGGAAACCTTTAACTACACGGTGAGTATCTACAATCATAATGCTGGATAGCATACTGACATAACTTTAGGCGATGAACTTCGGATTGAAGGATCGTGTGTATGATACTGATGCAGAATTTGACCCAGAGAGGCAGAAGACTCAATGGGAAAGATTTGAAAATCATATTGTGAAGCTCAACAATCAAACTCCTGCCAACGTTCAGTACAAGGTTCTTTACTGTATGTATTCGTAATTACATCCATCACATGATATACAACTGACTTTTGGAAGTGGGGCGTCATGGGGAAGGCTATCACAATATAAAGGAAACTGAAGTGGGAAAAGAAGCATGGGATGTATGTTTTATCTGATTTATAGAGGTATCTAATTCTCACTAACTCCAATAGTGCTACTGGTCTCATTTGGATGGAGATGCCAACTCGACCTGGGCGGACTCTAACCTTGCTCCTACTGGTGTTGCCCAAGCTCTTGTTGCCAACGACTTTTGGCAAACTCTCATCACCACTCAAAAGATATCTCCACCACAATCTTACTACGTTTCTCCCTTGACTCGTTGTCTGGAGACTTGTTCCCTCACATTCAGCAACGTAACACTTCCTCCCTCATCACCTCCATTCATACCCATCATCAAAGAACTCCTCCGTGAAGGAATATCCTCCCACACTTGCGATAGACGTCGCTCAAGAACCTACATCCAAGCTCTAGCACCCACCTGGCAATTTGAATCCAAATTCCCGGAAGAAGATCCATACTGGCGTGCCAATTATTCCGAAACTCACGACGCAGAAAATCGACGATTCAAAGCCCTCCTCGATGATATTTTCACGAATGATAACAATACCTTCATTTCACTTAGTTCCCATTCCGGAGCTATCAACACTATCTTACGGGTAATCGGCCATCGAACCTTTTCCTTGAAGACTGGAGCTGTAATTCCCGTCTTACTTAAAGGACAAAGTGTATTAAGAGAAGATCCAAATCCAATCTACAAAGGTCCAGTCTATGCAAAAGATCCAAAAATATGCTCAGCACCTCCATCTCCATCCGATACTCCAAAGCCAGTAAATGATATTGGTTTACAAAAACCCGGCGAGGATATTCCTCCTTCACAGCCTCCAGCTCCAGAACCCGCCGAGCCGCTCACACCGGCTGAACCAAATCCTCCAATCGACCAAATCCCACCTACAGAGCCCATAGATCCAGCACCCATAGAAGCGAATCCTCATCCTACCGAACAAACCCCTCCACAAAATATAGAGGAAAATCCTCCTCCAATCGAAGCAAATCCATCCACAGATATAGGTGCAAATCCACCCACCGATTCGATTCCACCTCCACCAGCAAACCAAGATTCAAACGCACCACCACCATCCGAGCACTCAACCGACGTCTAAATTCAGTACGCAACTCCCTTTAAACAAGACCATCAAGACCATCAAGACCATCAAAACAAACAAACGAACAAACATATCTAATCCCCAGATCGCATGCATGCTATACCACCTGTCGAACCAACAAATCAACAAACCAATAACCCCTTGGGTATCCCAAAAGAAATAAACAATAGAAATAGAAGTAGAAATAAAATAAAATACCTCATAGTTCACAGTTTATAATTTATATTAGATTATACTTTATACTTTTTTTATATTTTAAAATTCAGTTTTCTTCTTCTTCTTCTTCTTCTTCTTCTTTCTTTTATCAAATTAGAGGGTTCTATGCCTATCTATCTACTTCGATATAGAGTATATAAACTGATTGACCGACTAGTAAACTGTATAAAAATATGACTCGAGAGTGGAAAACTCTATTCTTATTCCATTCCACTTTATACCAGCTACCACATATGATTTAACATGTAAACCACTTCACGAATGAATGAATGACTTTCTTTTAGACTCTAGGTATATACGAATATAATATAATAAAATATCCCGTCTCCAAGCCAATCAGCCAAAATACCATACTTTTAATAGGTAGGTACATATCCTCATCCCATGCATGCATGCATCCCGCATCAAAGCGAGGAAAGACACCAGAGATAGGAAAAAAGAATCACATCAAACCATGCGACTCACTCACTCACTCACCTCCCTCCCTAATAGGCAACGCCTCATTCTTTTCCACCAACTCCCCAACACCCAATCCACGCCCAACCTTAACCTTTCTCTTCTTTTCCCCAATGGCTACATCCTTCCCCTCTTCCAAAACCTGAACATCTTTCTTACTCCCCGCGCTTCCAACCGCTTCCCCTTCATCCTCTTCCGCCTCATCTAAAATCTGTTCGCGGATATACGATAAATCCAAATTCATCGAGTATGCATCTTCCCCATCAGCGTAATATTTTGCTTCGATTTTTTCCGTCTGGAAACCAAGTGTGTCGCGATAGAGACGGAGAGCTGCTTGATTGGAGACGCGAACATGGAGGGAAACGTATTGAGCGGAGAAAGTTTCTACCATTGCTTTTTCTATTTTTTGGGGGGTATATTGTTAGCTTTCTTCATAGATTATTATCATATATCCGAGAATCCGTCTTAACCCCTCATCTCATAACTCCAAATGCACCATCCATCCCCTCTCATCTCCCCATGATAAAAAAAGAAAAAGAAACATACGACTCTGCCTCATCAATTTCTCTGCAATTCCCAACCTCCGATGCGTGCGCATAACACTCAAACTAGTAATATGACCATGCTGCACCCCATCCTGGGGATCCTCCTCCATTTTCGCAAGAACATAGCCGACGATGCGGGGATAATCGTAGGGGGTTTTTTGGGGCCGCGAGACGTCTACTGCGACGTAGGAGAGTTGTGGCCAGGAGATTGCGTGGTAGAGGTAGTATTTTAGGAAATAGCTATTTTTTGGAGGGGGGAGATGTTAGTGGGAGGATGCCCGGGGGAGGATGGAGGAGGAGAGGCGGATGGAGGAGTAGATGGAGGGGTAGAGGAGACGAACTTTTCGGGAAGATTAGTTATATTTGCATGTTGAACGTGCGGAATATCTGAAGGACGTAAGAGTCTAATATCCATTTTGAGAGCTGAGAAGACGATAATATTATTCAATTGATGGATGGTAGTTGGAGTGTTCAATCGATCAAACAGCCTGGTTGGTTGGTTGGTTGGTTGGTTTGTGAATTTCCCAGAGTCGAGCTGCTCTGTGTGTTAATTCTACCATGTCAAGTACTGACTGACTGTAATGCAGAGCAGAGCTCCAACCCAAGAAAATCAAAAGCAAGCAATATAACAGGTGCGCTTAACAGATCCAAAACCTAAGGAAATGATAAATGGACCCCGGGGATTTCTATGCCGACAATCGAGGGATAACCCCACCATGTAAGTGCGCTCAACTCTTTGATATGGTATGGTGGGAACTTATTCTTCGTTTGTTGGACTTATATAAGGTCGAGTAGATATCTCTCATCTCTTGTTTTCTCTGGTCGTTGCTTCTTTTATTCTTTTGTCCATTCTTTCATTCTTCCTTCCATCCTTCCTGATTTCATCTCCTACTCCATCCATAATTTGAGAAGATATATATACTCAGTTATCACTTGCTTCCTGTGGACTCACTCCCCATTAAAACCTACACTACGATGGCTTCGAAAGGTTATAGACCCTTAGAGGGAAAACTTGCTATTATTACTGGTGCTTCAAGAGGTAAGTTTGTGTGTGTATGTGTTACTATTATATACATACATATTCACAGTCCTCTCCCCGTTTTCTCTCCTTCTTCCGTTCCTATCCATATATATATATACACTTTATAAAGCATGACAGCCCAACTAACTAAAATCCTAGGAATTGGAGCAGCGATCGCTGAAAACCTCGCATCAAAAGGTGCCAACCTTGTTCTAAATTACACATCCAATTCATCATCCGCACTCACCACCGAGCTCTCCAAGAATCTCGAACAAAAACACAGCATCAAGACTCTGATTGTTCAAGCCGATGTTTCTGAAAAATCCGGCGCAGAAACCATCATCAACACTACCAAATCTCACTTCTCAGATGTCCAATCCGGAAACTTTCAAATCGATATTCTGATAAATAATGCTGGTGTATCTCAAAATACACCCATTCCAGATATCACCATTGATGAGTTCCAGTGGCAATATAAAATAAATGTCCTCGGTCCACTTCTTCTCCTACAAGCCGCTCTAGACTATCTCCCCCATGATAGATCTGGCCGTATCATCAATCTATCATCCGTATCCAGTTCCGAGGGTTTCTGGGGACAAACTGTCTATGGTGGTACTAAAGCGGCCGTAGATGCCATGACCCGTACCTGGGCTCGAGAACTAAACAATCGCGCAACAGTGAATTCAGTTAACCCTGGACCGGTGAAGACGGATATGTGGGCTGGTACTACTGCGGAATTCAAAAAGACTTTAAAGCCTTGGATTGAGAGTACTCCAGGAAGTGTGATTAGACCGGAATTGGATGATCAGGATTTGATAGATGATGCGCCAAATGCTGGAGGAAGACCGGCCTATACATCCGAGATTGCGGGCATTGTGGGCATGTTGTGTACGAGTGATAGTACTTGGTGTACTGGTCAGGTTGTGTGTGCAAATGGTGGAATGGTTCTGAGATAGTGTTGCTCCATATACGGAGATGTTTATTGCTTCTCGGTTTGTTCATAAAAGGATAGATTGAGCCGAATTTGGGTTTACAAATGGGTGTAACCGCCAGACTTTAAAACAAACATTTCTTGTACCTTGCAGGCCATCGGTCCCATTTGCCGTGAATATCATAAATTGCTGCCAAACCTTCGTTGGCTACACCTAGTTTTTAGCAGATGTATTTGGAAGGGGTGCACAGGAGTGAGCCAATTCAAGAATAGTTATCAGAATGATAGGTGCTAGGTCTTTCCTGCACACGTGCAAAATAATTCTTTTGGACTAACAAGACGAAAAGTAGATGTGAAGTTGAAGCGGGACGAGAACTCGTTAGACTTTTTGTGTATGAGAGTCGGGTAGATGCCACAACATTTGCATTGTGACGTACGCGGCTGATGACGATGAAGAATTTTCAGAACCATCACATGATTGTGAATGAATTTGTACAGTGAATCGGCGGCGCAGAGTAGCAATGACATCTTTTAAGTTGTGATGAGTCTCGACTCTTTTGGGGGTTGATATGGAGGACCTGGCCGACCTGCTGCTTGTCGCGCTGGATATCCGATCTAGAACAAGAGACACGGCACGGATATGAGTTGGTTTGATGTTCAATAGACATTTCGTTCGAAGCCGTGTATTTATGTCCTTTTCGATAACATAGCTTCTTTTCAAGGTGATGTTGTGACCTGGGGTTTTCTAATCGCAATTTCTCAGTCGTTAAATTGTACTGGTGCTTTGAAGGTACTAGTAAGTCCTCACATCTTCCTTGCCATGCGTACGCTCCATGTATTCGAGGCTGTTCTTAGTCTTGTGCCACAAAATTTCCATCATTTAGTCACCATAAATTAGAAAAAGAAGTCATAGGGTGACAGTACCAGGCTAGTGTTTGTAATGGAACTGGATAACGAACCAGAGCGAGAACGACCGAATGTTAGATATCCCCGAGTGTACCACTCCATCGTTGATATGGTGAGAGAGGGAGCTGTTCTAGATAGTGCCTTCAGTCTCAGAAGCTACAGAGGGAGATCTAAGACGACTTGATTCCGTGAACTATTATATCTCTGGTGGAAACTGGAGATGAGCTACTCGGCAAAGTATTTAATTGCTTGCCAGTGCTTGTTATAGAAAAGCAGCTCCTCAGCGTCCTCTAAATAAGTTTATGTGCCGACATCAGCACTCTAAGAGCCTATTTGATGTGTAACTTGCCGGCTTCGAGTGACGGGAAGCTAAATAAAATGTCAGCATTACAGAACGTGTTCTGTAGGTAGAAGAACTGCAGAACAACGATAATCGTCAAGGTCGATATTGGTAGTAATGACTTACTTGGTGCGATCCATATTTCATAGTACCATTCCTCACCACGAGGCCCGTTATTTGGTGATAAAGCAACGAAAGTCCCCGCGGATTTCGCGGCAGCCATCATTCCAAGATGAAGTTTTACGATGGCAAGTTCAAACATGGTATCGAATTCTGGCTGACCTGTAATCTTCAAGTATCGAAGATTTTGCAGTTTGCCTATAAGTAACTGGGAGCGATGGTAATTATCCAAAGCTGCTTGTGAATGGTAATCAATAGACAAATAATGAGGATGAACATTGTAAAAATGCTCTTTTGCTGGTGTTTCCACTTGTAGTCTTGGGATTATATACATCGGCCAGGGATAACTCAAGCTTCCCGGAAAAGTAGGAATAAGATGTAAAGTAAGTGAAGTCAACCGAGCATTGGATGCTAGGATCTGCTCAAAAACTGGCTCCAGTGACGCGGTATCGGAAGATGGTGCAGATAATTCTAGACTCTTCAGAAATCGAACACAATTATGTGTGATAGAAAAAGCAAAAAGACATAGCGAGGGTCGATATAACATAAATCGAGGGTTCGTCCGACACAAGAATTCGGCAACATCATTCAGGAACCAATGGTTCACGTTGAATAGAACTGCTCCTTCATGGATAAAAAATTTGTGACATTCTGCTTCAGAGAATATATCATCTCGACATCTCAAGTTCCTGAAGAGGTATGAATAAATCTCATGCCGAAGCTCGGCTGGTAAATTAAAAAATCCACTACATTGTCGTGAGATTTGAGCTTCATCTTGAGCTTGTTCTTGATCTTGAGATTGAGCTTGAGTTTGATCTTGATCTTGTTCCTGTTCCCGAGAGAAAAGCGTTCGGGCTGTTTCCAGTAGTCAGTTGTGGCCACAAATTGACCTTATGGTGGATCGTACTTTTAAACTTTGATAGAAGATATTGAATCCTTTTATGTACCCCAGATTTGTTGGTGACCTTGTCATGAAGACGGTGTAAACGTTGTGGTACGTGCGGCATGGTCAGTGAAATTGTAGATCACTGCAATGTCAGATATCGGGATGATGCAGTTGAAAGGAAGCGACAAAAAGAAGTCCAGATAAGTACAACAAAGTAGGATTCAAGGCAAGGCGTGATATGATGCACGTTACCGTTGGTGGCTTGATAGATGGGTGTTGTAACACATGTTAAGAATGTGCTCGTAACTTTTCCCTTATACAAACGAACCAAGCAATATCAGCTGCCATCTGCCACCTGCCATCTGCCACTTAATTGAAAAGCGGGATTCAGGGGCAGGGGGAAATGGTGAGGTTTACCTCGTGATTAGAAACATTCGAGAATCTCGGAGTGATGAATTTGGATGCAATTTAAACTTCCTGATTGAGGCGACGATCAAAAAGCCTATCCTTGTGGAACGATCCATGAGAGACTCAAAGCGCTGAAATGTCTTGCCCTCTCCCTGGTCAATACGGGAATAAAAATACTAGATAATCTCTAAAGTCAACGTCGAGCGGCTTGTGACAACAGGAGATTCAAGAATACTGGCACGACTAGGTACACAAGTTTGGTACCGAAAAGAACTCGTAAGCACGAAAATGTGATTGAAGAAAATCGTGCATGAAAATACCACACGAATGCAGGATTTCTGGGATTGTAGCCATGGCAAATAGCGGCAGATGGGTTTACGATGTAACGGTAGCAGCAGCAGCAACGGCAGCAGCAACAGCAACGGCAACGGCAAAAGAAAGAAAGAAAGAAAGAAATAAAGAAATAAATGGTTTCTTAAAATATAAGAAAGCAGGGCTGCAGGAAAACGCGGCGTCAGTGATTCAGTGTACGGAGTAATGACTTGAAATCCGACACACGATATAATCAACCGTGCCCTAAAAAGACGGCTTGAAATTCAATATTATAGGAAAGAGGGAAAGAGGGAAAGAGGGAAAGAGGGAAAGAGGGAAAGAGGCCAATGGATCCACGAGATTGCGATATGATTGCGAAGGGTGTATAAGAAGCATGACTTTCCGTTAACATCGGAGATTAGAGGGACGGGGTTGCGGGTTGGGGTTTTCGACCGTTCTAATTCGGATACATAACAGAATCTAGATAAGTACGAATTCTAACTGAAACTTGACAAATAACAAAGAGAGGAATAGAAAGTATTGTGCCCTTGCCCTAGATTTGACGGTTTACTATTACTATTTTGCAGATTCAAGACTCCGACTCCGAAATTGGCCACTTGATAAAGGCATTTTCCCTTGAGCACAGTCTAGAACAAAATCATAAAGCGATATATCCCCGCTTCGTTGAGATGAAGGAGAATACGAATTGCAATCATGCAAAAACACCTGCAAGAGGTAGGAAAATTGAGATAATCCTGTTGCTCTTTCCTCACCCACACAAATTAGTCTATGTTCATCATTGTGGAGTTCGCGGAGTTTTGTCAAAGATCCCTGGATCAAACAATATCGCCTCGACATAGCTCCCGTGGTAGTAGTGAACGGCTTCTTCTTGATTCGAATCCAATTTGAACACCCACAAAAAGAGAGAACTGAAGAGCCGTATATCGAATCTTGAAATGAAGATAAAGTATAACAAAGAGATCAAAAGCTACCTTCGTGATAGACTGCTCGGCTACAGGTGGAAAAAAAGCCATTCATTCTTATATCCAATATTCCATATCCCCATATCCCATAAATTGTTAATTACATTCAATAGTTACAGTTCAGAAAGATATGACCAAGGAGACTTGAAATACAAGACGCTGACAGAAATCAATTAGATCCTTCCCAACACCATTCTGTACTTGAAAACACATATCGAACAGGTACTATATCATAACATCGTCTCAATCATCAAATCACCGACCAAACAGTCTCATATGCCTATTCCACAATCATAAAAAAACTTAATACCAATCAAGAATCGAAATCACAATAATCGAACAATAGAAACTCCGCTTTTTATCATGCCCGTTATACATGTCATGGTCAACGCTTTTCCGAGGCAAAGACCTTCTTTCCCAATGTCATGAAGCTTTTGAAAGGATTCTTGGGTTTCTCCCCTGCTGCTTCCGCTGTACGAGAGCCTCGAAATGGTGGCATCTCTGAACGAGGCCCTTTTGAACTATAGGAATTTGAATGGTGCCTCGTCGGCCGTCTTTCGCGATTACCTGGCCTTGAGCTAGGTTTTGATTCTTCGTTGTCGGCATCTGGATCCGATAATTTGCCGAATTTTCCTTCGACATCTCGCTCATTGGCCTCTCGTTCCTCATTTTCTCTTTCCTCTCGCCTTCTTCGTCGCTCCTCACGATGTCGACGTCTCAACTCGTCATCTTTTTCTCTTTGCACTTTGTTTTCCACTTCCGCCTCCTCTTTCGCGAGCTTCTCATGCCTCCTCATCTCCCTGCGAGCTCTTCTTGCCTCTTTCTCCTCCTCCGTCTTGTACTTCTCACTGGTAGATTCTCGTCGACTTGGTTCTTTCCTGGTACTGTAAGTTCGTTCCGACTCTCTGCGGGGAGAGGAGTGCGAGTGATGCGGATTTGAGCGAGAGGATGACTTCCTTGTACCAGAACTCATCTTTGGACGTTCGGGCGTAATGTCAAATTGAGGAGGTCCCACCTCTTCAACGGTGGAATCTCTTCTTGAGCGTGTGATGGGAGTAGGTTTCTCCTTGATTTGTGGTTCATCATTGGCTATAAATGGGCTGGTAACCTCGCTTTTGACACGCCTCTTGAGACTGAGGAGTCGAGACTTGAGATTGTTGTCATTTTCAGGAGGAACAATCGAAACTGATTTCGAGACACTTTCTTTTCGTGATCCTGATCGCTTTAGAGCTGCTGGTAACGGAATGGATTCTGTCTTCTTCTTTTGAAGTGCCCCGTTGACTTTTGCTTCTTCTAATCTTCGCGCTTCTCCTGCTCTGTAGGCTTCTTCAGCTTTAATTGCTGCCTCTCTCTTGGCTGCTCGACGATCATCCTTTTTCCTGTCATGTTCTTCTTTTTCCTCTCGACTAAGATCTTTTCGATGGCGCCGGCGCCGTTCACGTTCGTCATCCACACCCTCAATGGCACTATCTCGGCGCTCTGGGGATTGTTTCGCTGGAGAAATTTCACGACTTCGCTCTCCTTTCTCTTCCTTGTCTTCTTTACGACTAGACCTACGTCGATAGGAGCGCTCTGGGTCGTCTTCTCTGTAACTAGATCTTCGACGATGAGAACGTTCTGGTCGATCTCTTTCTTCTTCCTTCTGGCTAGATCTGTGGCTACGATGGATCTCTTTGTCATCTTCTCTATCACTAGACGCGCCACTAGTTCTGTGACTGTGAGAATGTCTTCGGCGTCGTGGCTGTTCCTCAGGTCTGCTAGAAGGTGGGTAGTCGCCGGATTTGGTTGGATGGTGACTAAATGAGTGGTGTCTTGAGCTCCTATGTCTACGTCTATCTCTATCCGATTTTGAGGGCGATTCGGCTTCTTTATCTTCGCGATTTTCAACGCGATCTGACTCGTTGATTGAAGGTTGTTCGGCTATCGGTGCAGTCTCCTCGTTATTGTTCAAGGCCTTGACTCCAGCTGCACCTGCAAGTCCAGCAAAAGCAGCAGCAGCAAGATCACCGGCTTGTACTTCGGCTGGATTCTCATCTTTAGGAGGTTCACCTTGCTCTTCAACCGAATCTGGAAATAGTGTAGATGTTTGGGACTCCGGAATGACCTCTTGTCCTACTGCCTTCGACTCGACGGGCTCATCGGGCTCATCACTTGGCGGCTCGGCCACTACACCAACAGACTTCCCCAGTTCTTCCACCGCATCACTCGATTCCTCCACTATCAATTGCGGGGTGGCCTCGATGGCAGGTATTTCGGCGGAACATTCCTCTTTTGGCGGTTCCTCGGCGACCTCGACTATAGATTCCTCGATGGTTGGTTCTTGAACAATTTCACCGGTAGGTTCATCATTGGTTTCTCCAAGACTAGCTTCTTCGCTTGGCTCTTGGGTAGTTGAAACTTCTATCCAATGTCAGTGTGAACTTTTCAAGTGAAAGTAAGTACCACGCACCCTCTACCGGTAAACATGCCTGTGCTTCCCCAGCAAGCTCAGACTGTCCCTCTTCCTCAGCCGATTCAGCCGCATCAATTTGCGTAGGCTCAGACTCTGAACATAATTTATCGTTAGTAATTGAGGCCAAAGGAAGAGTGAAAATGGACATCTCTTTCTCTGGAACTTCGGCCTGTTGCAAACTCTAGACGCAATGCGAGAACCGACTCCAGGCTTCCAAGATAGAACGTACCAGATGTTGCTTGTTCCTGTTCCTCCAAATTTTCAATGACGGGTTCGGTTGATGGTGGTGAGGTTGCTGAGGTCGCGTCGGCTTCTGGAGACATTTGATATTAGTTTATATGCAAGGGAATTTTCTCTATTTGAGTATCCGATATATGAGATAGTCGCTCGAATTAATTCGGATCGCGATATTCAAAATCAATTCCAACTTCGGCTTTGTCATCTTGTAGGATAGGGTTTGCGAAAATTTTGGACATTTATAATATGTTTTGCGATACTCCAAACGTTGAATTAAACCAACAGCTATACCTGAATTTCGCCAATAGGATAATTTTGCAATACTCACGACTAGCTTTGTGACGTGTTTGCGGGGTTTAAACTACGAAGCGTTTCAAGTGATCGTGGACATACATATGCAGAAGTGGCATATGTATTGATTGGAAACAAAAAATATTTTGACTTACCCATAGCGGCTTGATTTTCAAAACTTTCGGGCTCAGATTTACTTTCATTTACTGGTTCCCCAACACTATCAGGTGGGGTAGCTTCTAATCACTCGTGCATTAGCATGCTTATCATACCTATTATGGGCCAAAAAAATGAGTTTAAAAAAAAATGAAAGCCTACCAAGAGCAGTTACTTCTACAGCTACAGGTTCAGGCTCTGGAATCGGATCGTTGGCTGCTGAGGAGATATTGATGAGCTTGACATCTCTGCGGGGAGCTCGATGTACGGGATCTAAAGCCCTGTTCGAGAGGAATTCATATCCTAATGGACACTTACCGGCTTCTGGTTCTAGTGGGAGCTCCAAGGATACTGGCTCTTGGACGGGAGCAGGAGTAGTATCAGTCGGTGTGGACTCAGACTCGGTTTCTATATCTTAATATGAGCTTCTTCTTTCATTGGGCAAGGTGGAGCGAAAATTGGCCATGAATATACTAACCAGCTGGAATGTCCTGGGTTAAATCTGCGGTGGGTTGTTCGGCGACTTGATCTTCTGTATCGGGCTCTTCCGTGGGAATAGTCTCCGTTGGTGTTGAATCTGGTTCTGGAATCTTTTAGCCCCCTTCCAAAAAAATTACAAATTAAATTCTCTCAACACTTACCAGCGTATTTTTCTGAAATATCCTCCTCTGGGGGTGTTTCTACCAGTGGTTCTTCAACTACCACTGTCTGAACAAGTATAGAATCGACAGGTGCAGATTCTAGTTCTGTTGAGTCAAGAATTAGTTTACCGCAAATGCTATTGGATTAAAATCTTCCTGTTCGGTGAACACTTACCAGCTAGTGTAGCTTCCGCATTCTCTGCTATTTCATCATCGTCTACAGTGCTTTGATCGTCATCGATGGTTTCAGGCTCTTCATCTGTGACTATTGATATTTTTGTTATCCGCTTGAACTTATTCACTCATTTGTAAGATATAGATATACTTACGAGCAGTAACATCCTCAGTGGCCTCATCCTGGATTACTTCTTCCGGGGCTAGTTATTGATATCTTAGTATTTGTCTTGTAATCAAAGAGGTTAATAGAGGGATGCTGAATTAACTTACCAGCAGGAGTTTCGACAGACTCAACCGTTTGTTCTTTCGGGACGGAGGCGTCAGGATCTTCATCTGAGACAAATTCTTCGGAATGAATAGGGTTTTTATCCTCGATGACCGATTCGTACTCAATTTCCTCTTCGACAGGCATTTTTAGCACCTCCTTTGACTCATGCTCTGGAACGGGAGTGTCAGTTGTCTGCGACGAGACGTTTTCTGGAGTCTCGATTGGGGCATCCTCGCCGACTGGTGCGGGAGAATTTTCAACTTCGGCGGTGTCAGTGTTCTCAGCGGAATTTTCTACGGGCGCTGCAAGATTGACTTGCTCGCTGGTAACGATTTCTTCTGATTGAGACGGTTCTTCCTCCTCAATCGCTGGTTCGGAACTGTTTTCTTCAAAAGTCGATGTTTTAAGTCCTCGACTAAACCTTGCACTGGAGCGGCATGATCTTCTGTTTCTGAATCTTCAGTAGGGTTATCTTCCTCGCTGGCAGGTCCTGGATGACTTTCTGCAGCAGAAATAGCTGGATTTTCGGTAACCGCTTGCTCTTGCTCTTGCTCTTGCTCGGGAACAGGAACGTGGATTTCTTCGATGTTCTTTTCCTCGCTCGGTGGGGTATTTTTCTTTTCATCCACCGACTCGGATGAATCTTTCACAGCAGGTCCTTCCGAGGTTTCGATGGGTTCTCCTTGAGGAACGGAAATGTCAGGCTCTTGAATGGTGACTGTTTCATCTGACTGGATATTTTCTATCATATCCACGGATTCGGGAAGTTTCTCTGTAGTTTCTTCTTGAGTAAAAGAAAAATCGGGATTTTCAACGACAACCGGTTCATCGGCTTGAACATTTTGCTTCTCAGTCACGAATTCCAGTGAATTTTCTGCAACAGGAGCTTCCGGGACTTCATTCAATTGACTGTCAAGAACTGGAACCTTTGTTTCTTCTGTCTCGGACGGATCTTCCTCCTTACTAGTTGGTTCGGAATGAATTTCATCAGTGACAGGCGTTTCATCATTCTCGTGGTCGCCCTCGTCGCCAGAATCCGAATCTTCGCTTGAATCGCCATCCCAGCTCGTTCCGTCATTTTCGGACTCGGCTGGATCGGATTCGTTCAATTCTTCCACTTCGACTCCGTCTCCATGCTCGTTGGTAGATGAATTGGCTGGTAGTTCTTCCATTGGCTCAGGCTTGGTGTTGTCTGCCTGGCTTTCGACGGGATTTTCCTCTGCAGATGGAGGGGAATCGTCATGGGAATTCTCAGGTTGCTGCTCTTCATCTTCGATGGATGACTTCGGAATATCAGTGCTAAGTTCTTCTTCTGCAGGTTCAGGCTGTGAAATCTCGCCCAAGAGCTCAAAAGTATCTTCAGTATGGACAGGAGTAACATTGTGGTCAATCTCAGGTAGAGGGGCGACTTCTTGTAGAGATTTTTCAGCTTTCTTAATCAATTCTGGGTCTTTTTCTATGGACCCCTCTTCTTCATTTTGTTCGTGTGTTTCCTCAATCATGACGTCTTGTTCGGGCATGAGTAAATCTGCTATCTCGTCGCTTTCTGGAGATTCATGAGAATTTCCCGCATCTTCGGTAGGAGAAGCATTTTTCAATCCTGGTCCATCTTCACCCACAGAAGGCAAATCTTCGGTTTTGGGTTGTTCTGTTGTTCCTTCATTTGCTTGAATTTCTTGCGATTCCTCGATTTCGGCGGGAGCTTCTTCAAATTCCTGTGATTTCTTGGGATTTTCTACCTCGATAGAAGGTTGGTCGACCGTAATCGGACCTTCTTCGCTTTTCAGATTATCTTTAATTTCTCCTGTTTTGGGTGATGTATGTTCGAATGACACGGAAATTTCTGGCTCCGAATTTTCCTCAATTATGACTGGTGAATTTTCCAACTGATTCTCATCCGATGGTTCCTCGCTCGCTGGACTTCCCTGAACATTTCCGCTGTCGGCTGGCAATTCTTTGACTTCTAAGTCCGATTTCTGTTCATCTACCTCGGGAGCGCATTTCTCTTGATTCTGTGTTGAATCCTCGACCAAAACCGGAACTGGGACATTCGGAATGTCATCGCTTGGCTCAATTGTTTCCGACTCTCTTTTGGCATTCGAATTCTCCAAAGCACTTGAGTCTTCACCGGTGTTAGTCTCAACGACTGGGGCTTCATTGATATCGTCTGTAGGTGCTAAATCCTGAACAATATCGTCCTCGACGTGGGAATCTTCCACGTGATCTTCTACGTCACCTGTCTCGACCTTTTCGGATGGGCCTCCATGAGTTTCAGTATCATCATCGATGTCCCTCGATTCTAATTCTTTCGAGATGTCCTCATTTGCCTCAGAGTAAGATTCGTTCAAAATAGCTTCTTTGTCCACCTGATCTTCCCCAACTTCGAGAGTATCAATATTTTCGGGTCCAGCTTTTTCGGGACTTGGCATTTCGGCTTCGTTGTCTTCAGAAGGCTCATCTTTCAAGCCCTGTGTATCCTGTTCCTCCGCAGTGGTGTCTTTTGAAGTTCCTACGGTCTTTTGATTGGCGCCACTAGATCCTTCCCTCTCGTCGACAGCTTGAAGGCCGTTATCAATTGTGACTGATGCCTCGACAGGTACAGATGCCGACTCGGTTGAATTGATGATCCCTTCTTGAATATTAGGTTCTTCGGAAGGACTGTTCTCAATGGATTCCTCGCTCAATTGAGCTTCGCTTTCGGGTTCCGAGACAATGCCCTTCTCAAACACATGTTCAGCAAGAGGTGGTGCTTCCTGACTGAGGTTTGTACTTTCTTTCACAACAGCCGGTTCAACGCTAGAGGGAACATCGTCCTTCGGTTCTATCTCGTCGCTTATTGTAGGTGTCTCTATGTGACTCGGATCCTTTTCGCCGATGGCATTTGTCGAAATGGATTCGACAGGGTCTGAGGACTCTTCGCTATGGACCGAACTTTCGTTGGTTATGGTTGAAGCATCCTCACTGCTTGGAATCTCTTCTGTTACCTCGGATTCTTGTGGACCATGTTCATCCGGAGGAAATACCTCCTCATTAGTGACCGGATTTTCTACTGTAGCTTCCGAAACAGGCTCGCTGCTGGAGTCCTCGGTATTCACGTCCAGCCCATCTGCGGTTGTAGACTTATCGTCAGTAATTTCAGGCGCTTCGTTTGGAACAGGAATTTCTTCATGAATTTGGACGTCTTGGTAAACAATGGGAGTTTCTTTCGTATTCGCAATCTCTCCCACTTCCCTCTGTACATCTTCCACTGTTGAGACATCACCCGCAGAGACCTCTCCCGTAATTGAATGTTCCCCCGTGCTTGGAACGTCTTCGCCTTCCACCTGTGCGTTATCTAAAGCTGGCGCATCACTCGTTGACTTCTCCTCCGTGGCTGGATGTACTTCAGGTTGCGTCGGAACACTCTCTTGTATAGGAATTGATTCTTTTTTCTCTACGTCCTCGCCGGGATTATCGTCTGATATGGCGGCGGGTTCGGGATCTATTTGGATGATAGTAAGCGTGTGAAATGGATATACGAGTATTAACCGAAAATTGATATTTCAAAGTTCCATCAAGGATTAGTGATACTCACCCGATGCTGGCTGAACAACTCCTGGAGTTTCCTGTGGCTCCTGGGCCGAATCCACGCCCTCATTGCATGTCGTTATAGGGTCATTACTCCTTGTTGTAGGATCCGATGGTATCGAGATTGATGCGAGCGGTATTGGTACGAGTGCCGACTCTGAAGCATCTTTTCGTCTGCTCTTACTTTTCTTACTGCCGCTTTTCTCTTTCCCGTCCTTCGCCTTCCTTTTCTTGCCCCTTGATTGTGGATCTGAATCATCGGGGTCGCCCGATGGTGAATTTGAACTTCCGATGGTCCTACTGAGCTTTCCCGAGTAGGTCTTGAACTTCTCCCGCTACTACCTTTGCTCTTTTTAACAGATAAAGCCTCAGGCTTGCGTGGTACCGCGGGTGGAGCAGTTTTCTTATCATTACCACTCTTATTGCTCTTGCTTCTTGATTTAGAACTTGTCGATTCTATTTCATCGGCAAAATGAACTACATGATGTGACGAATGCAATCCATGCGAATTTACTCTGCTCAGGGCATGCCCATCGTCGTGTATGTTGTCATGTATGTCATCGTGTATGTCGTCTCTTGGTAGAGGGTCCGGAACGGAAGGGGCTGTGTTATCATTTGTATTCGGGGTAGGATCGGAAGGATTTTCTATATTGTTATTCGATGCTAGCTCCAGCTCTATCTCAAAGTTAACAATACAATCCAATGAGTCCGATGAGATCAATTAGGTGCTACACATGAACACGTGAAGAGGAAGCTCAGCAATCCAAAGACAATAAATAGTTCATACCTGCTTCTGTAATATCTCTCGCTAGACTTTCTTCCGTGTTTGGGCTAGACTCTATCAATTTCGAGTCACTCGATTCTTCAGTCGTGGATGGAGGCTTGTCGCTTTCGGTGGACTGAGTTTCTTCTGTTAAACTGGGTACGTCATTATTCTCTTCCTCTTTAGAACCATCCCCCTCCTGTAAAGGTGGATCTTCATCCTTGGTTTCCGACAGCGGGGTATCGCTTGTTTCTGTCGTTTCTATTGGCTCCTCTGGGATCCCCTCTAATTTGTCCTGGGATTCATTGCCTTCATCCTCTTCTTCATCCTCATCATCGTCTATACCTTTGGTCAGCAATGGAATCTGGATCTATGTGGACATTCGACGTCTCAATTGCAATAGAAGTGGATCATTGAACCATGATTGTACCAATTGATCGAAAACAGCAAATGTGGAGAAGGGCGTAGAATGTAGAGATGCAGACATGAAACTGGGAAAGCTTACCTGTCTTCCCTCATAATATCTGGCAATTTTGATTTTGATGTATCCAATACTAAAGGTTTCGCCCACTGAGTTGTCTGTATTGAGGACCAATTACTATCAATGGCCGTGGTTCTGGCTGGACAAAAAGAAATATTCATACTGATGGTGTGGGTATCTCGTCACAAGCAACAAAAGATGCAGAATCTTCTACGTGAGAACGAATTGAACGTCCTTCTTATTGTTGTCCTGATTATTTCCTCCCATGGTCTACAGTGACGAGGGGGGTTGCCTCCGGTTGAATGCGGGTGCCCAATCTTTGAGTGACAAAAGTTGTGGTTACCACCCGAAAATCGTTCAACGTGGTTGGAATAGAAAAGAGCACAATAAATGAAGGCCTCAAGATTACTTAAATCAGCTGATGGCAAGGCGAGATAATTCGCCTATAGGAAAATAGAATGAAGAATAAACGCAGGACTAAAAAATGATTCGGAAGCATGAACGGAAATTCAAACGAAATTGGTTTCATTGGTAGGTACAAGAAGAAAGTCATTGACGAAAGAGATCATTGCTTTCACTCATGGCTTGATATCAGAGACGGTCAAAGGTCCCACGGCCATCCCATGATTTGCCAATGTTTGTCGACAGTATTAACTGGACTTTGCCTAAATCATGCTCGTGCTCAACCACTATTGGCCCAATATGATAGATACATTGCAGCCACGTTGCGGTCAAATGAATGATGGTAATCAATTCTGATTTTCGAGGCAATTCGCGATATTGCAAGGGCCCTGAGTGCAGCCTAACCTGCACATTGATGAGAAAGTGGGCAAGACCGTGCAGTAAGAAAATTCAGAAAATTCAGAAAACCCATAGTGTAAGGTTAATAGTCGATATGCAGGAATATATCCGACAAATGGGCCAAAACCCTTGCTGCTTGCAGCTTTCATACGTCGTGCTAACTGGGTATCTCACCAGAAAGATGTGGGACATTCGATTATGAGAGAATCCTACTGGTTAAAATCACCCTTTGAATATGTTTGATGTACAAGACTGGTACCCGAAAATGTTTCGCGGTAGTGTGCAGCTTGACCTGGTGAGTGTGCCGTGGTCGCCTTGTATGCCTTATCTTAGGATACTTGCGATGAACTACCAGTCGAGCCACTGAATGAAAGAATATTATATATATCCAATTTATCCTGATCATGGAATTGAAAAGATTGTGCCGGGGGAAGAGGAAGAGTCACAAACCATAAGCACACCCCTTTCAGACCCCCGATAAATGACAATATCCATATGATATCGTTAATTGTAACCGGTTGCCACACCAGTGGAACTGTTGGTGCTGATGCCCAGATAGTGTTTGCGACCTTGATGAGTTGTCAATACAGTACATTGCATTGCTTAGTACCTAGGTAAGTTACTGTATCCATCCTTTTGGGTGGCCGGGGTATCCGATGTACGATAATCTTCAAGGGGGCTAGGGTCTAAACCTTTAGCGACTCCGTTGATGATATGCTATTACATCAAGCCTCTAGAAAATGAGGGGCTAATGTACACATAGTACATATATTTCACGTTCTGTGCTTGTGTGGGTGTGAGCGACAAATATAAGTGGTTAGAAAAATTCGAGGTGGCTGAAAAGAGAGAATATCTATTATTAAAGATGATCTGGATGAGCTGGGTAACGCTGGG